GCTTCTTTGCACTCGAGTTCGAATTTCAACATTAGAATTTAGGATTTGAAATTTATATTAAGAAGATAATTAATGGAAGCTTAAAAAGTTAGATTAGAACCACCATACCGTCTGAGGAACTCCTACCAAGCAAGAAAAGTTGAATTCATCTACATCATGAACCGAATCTCAAATCTGGCATGAGGTGGAGTGGCCAAACAAATTGGACAGCTGCCAAATTTAGTTGCGGGAGGGAATCATAAACCTGACGTTCAAGTTCATTTAAGCATGAAAACCTTGTGCGTGATAAACCAAATGTTAATATGAGCTATTAAAAAGAAAAATGATGTACTCATAAAATTTGAATTGATACCCTCTAATATTTTTCATGCTTTCACAAAATCTCCTTAAATTTCAGAAATTACATTAACATCCTCTAAGATTTCAAGTTGTTTTCATAAAACTCGTCTAGTTAAAAAATTCTCGCGTCACTTAAAAAAAAATTCTTCAAATGACAAATTTATATCCTTGGAATTAATTATATGGGCACCTTTTGAAATTGATCGTGCTTTCACTTAACCCCTTGTGGTTTGAGAAATTACAATAAGACTCCATGAGGTTTTAACATGCTTTTATATAACCCCCTTAATTGCAAAAGGACGTGAAATAATTTGTTAAAAAATAAAAATAAAAATCTCACGAAGCTAAAATGATATTGTTTAGCATAATATCCCTATTTTACATGCTAATAAACAATGTCATCTTTCTATTTTCTTTTTAAAATATATTGCTAATCTTGATAAGAACCTAAAAAACAAAGGGAACGTTCCTTTTAAGTTTTTTATGGGGATTAAAATTCTGGTGAAGATTGTGTCAATCTGTGGTTGTTGAGAAAGTGAGAATTAATTTGAAAATCCATTTTTAAATCACAAACAATAGACAAATAAAATAAAAAAAATTAGATTTAGAAATATTTTCAAACAATGATATTTAATCAATTTCATTTGTTGTGACGGTAATACAACAATATCCATCTAACTTCTTCCCTTTCTTCTTCTAATTAAATTCTAGCAGCTCTCTCCCTCCGTGAGTCTTAAAGGCAAACTCTATAGAGGGGGGAGGAGAAGAAGCATCATTGTCCCTCCTTCCCTCCTCTCTTCTCGTTTGTTCCCTCTAGGTTAGTGAATAAGTCCAATGTGGCATTTTGAATAAAAATCCCATTGTGGTGTTTTTTTCTAAGCCATGCTTAGATTGAAGTTCACCATCACCCTTTTTAGTCTATGTTCTCAATCAAATCATTCTACTAAAACCCGCTTTCTAACGTCGTTCATGTTCTCTAAATTTTATTCTACATCGTTTTTGACAGAGGTTGCTGCAAATCACCCAATTGTTCTTTAGCATGGTTGTTGTTTTCGTTTATTAGTTCGCTCTTATGTGCAAGTAGATCGCTGGAAATCATATTTTCCTCATATATGTTACAGGTGTGGTGGTGGTGTGTGGCCGCGACAGAGCTTCTTCAGGGGGTGGTGGTAGGATTCGTTTAGGCTCATGGGTTGTTTTAGGGTTTTGGTTATGTTGGGTTTGTGGGCTTTGTTTGAGCTTATGATTAATTGTGGTGATGTGCGCTAGTAGTTTTAGCGCGGCTTTTGTCCGCTTTAAAGAGATGGTTATGTGAAAATATGAGTAAACCTCAAGGGTGTGAGTGTAATTTAATCTTTGAGGTTAAATTTATCATTTAGATAATTTTTTTAGAATAATGCTACTCTTACCACATTTGTATACCACATTCTCATACCACCTTATTTGGCAGCTGAGGTGGACAGCCACATCAATTAAAATGATTTAATATTTTCTTTTCCTTTATGGTTTATTCCAGTATTTGTTTTTCTAATTGCCTTAATTAAAATGCACTTCATTGATTTAATTGATGTGGCATATAAAATGGACATGCCACATCATGTGGTATAGAAATGTGGGATAAAAATGTGGTAAGTATAGCATTACTCATTTTTTTATAGAGTTTTTCTATTTAAACCTTGTATTTCTCTTTGTTCATCCCAATACTTAAATCATTAAGTTGTTAAGTTTTATTATTGTGTAAAAAGAGAAAAAGGTCATTCAACGCAATACTTAACCCTAGTACATCTATACACACACCCTACACACTCCACCACTCTTCATATTAAGTTTTAGTAAAATACATACTCCTCTACTTCTTATTGCTAGATTACTCTTCTCTTTTAAAGATGTAGATTATTGAGGAGCCTACCTTTTTCGAAGTTGTGTGGGGTTTAACTAGAAAATTCTTTTATTTATTTATTTATTTTTTACTGGTGTGTATTTAAAGGTAGTTTGGGAAAATAGTGGGGTTTTCTTATAAATTATGAAAATTTGAATAAGAAGTTGAGATGAACTTAGAACATAGGATGAACAAAGAAAAGTGTGGGGTTTAAATAGAAATTTTTTTTTATGACATCACCAATTTTAGGATGAAAAAATAATAGAGTGGATTTTGTGAAAACTATTTGAAACTTCATAGATTTTAGTGAGGTAAGGTATGAAGGAGGACAAATAGAGTAATGTTTATCTGCTTTACCATAATTGGCCACATTCGGCTTACTTTCAGAAAATAAATGATAATAAATTTTGCTGATTTTTAATTACAAAACAGATATAATAAAATAAATTGGCATTCATAAGAAATGCAATATGTTCTTCATATTTATTGAATTTTTGTCTTCAACTAAATAATTTCTTTTAATAATAAAAAAAGAATCTTAATTCTAATTCTAAGGCACGAGACATTGACCCATGGACTTTCATGTAATAAGTTGTTCACTGTTTAGTTAAATCATTTGATGTGTTTGAAGTCAATATATTTCCACGTTTCGGCAATTAAAAAAGAAGAAGAGAGAATCTTCGTTCTTTTAATATATATATATTCTTCTATATATATAAAGCAAAATGCAGAGAATGGTGAAACATTTAAAATACCAGAAGTTTACTGGTATAATTTAATTTTAAAAGCAGTCAGCTTGTAAACATGCGAAAGGGATATCTCATAGGCCTTATTAATACTAGCCTTTTTAAAGAATAGGCAGAGCACTAAAAAACATTCTCTGCCAAGATTTTGCAAAAAAGAAAAAAAAAGAAACTACACACGGTACAATTGTGAAAAAAGAAAAAAAAAGAAACTGCTAAGATGGACTTCTAGAAAAATACGGGCAATAAAAGGAAAACTTTTAAGATGACGATATATCACACGCACACGATTAAAATATGAAACTGTTGAAACGGACATCTATATAAATATAATTGTGAAAAAATATTTACAAAACTTTGTAAGTCGCACGTAGCGCGCGTGATTAAAAAAAAGCATCTCACATGAGCAGAAGCGCGTGCAGAGAGACTAATATGAAATTGTTGAAACAGACATCTATATAAATACAATTGCAAAGAAATAGAAACAAAAATTTGTAAGTTGCTCGCATATGTGTGAACACAAAAATTTGAAACCAAAGAAAGTAAGGCCTATGAGATATCTCATAAGAGAACGAAAGGGATATCTCATTTCAAAAGACACACAAACGGAAGTTTAAAGAGTAGGCCTATGAGATATCCCTTTCGCATGTTTAAAGAGTAGCCTTTTCAAAATTTTGTAAACATGCTCTGCCTATGAGGTATCTCATCTTTATTGGCTAGTATTATATGAAATAACCCTTTTTAAACCAACCCTTTTTTTTCTTTTGTCTTTTTTCTTCAGATCGTGGCTTCCATTAAAAGTTTTCATTGAAATTTAATTTTTCTAGTGTAACTTTTTTTAAGTACCGAGAGAGCATTCGTGCGCCACATCCGTGGCTCACTCTCTCCCTTGTAGTTGGAATCTCGGAAAATCAAGGATTTTTATTTCTTTTATTCCAAGTTTTGTTTTTTTTTGGAGACCTTTTTATTTGTTGCCAAAGTTAGTAAAAAGGAGGGGGGAAACTCACACACACGAGTACAATGAGAGTTTGAATTCATGACTACTTAGGAGCACACCAAAGATTTGGGTCAATCCAACTAACATCCCATTGGACTAAGACTAATATTTTGAGTGTGAACTCTTTTTGCTTTTGGTGAGAAGTTTGACCCTTATTTTTAAGGGAGGTTCACTATTATACCCAATATAAGGGCCCAAATTATATATAATAAAAAATACGTTAAATGGACTTTAGAAACACACCCAAAGCTCATTTACAACATAACAAAGAGGCTTCGAACTTCCTATAAATTACAAAATTGCCATCGATTTCTTAAAACAAGCCCAACTTCAGAACCTCATAAAAAAAAACTCAAAACACTCAATAGGGCACCAAAGTAATTTAATAATCAAAATTAAATTCAATATGGTCATCTTTCATTTTTTTAGGTTTTTTTTTGTTTGTTTTTCTATATATATAAAGCAAAAAGCAGAGAATGGTGAAACATTCAAAATACCATAAAATGCATTTGGTTAATGCAAACATTAAGAATTGAAATTATGAATTAAATGAGGATAATATGGTAAATTCACACTTTTTCATACTAAAAAAAATTTAAATTAAAAGAAAATTCATATAATGGATCCTATTTTTATGGAACATAACTACCCATTATCTTTTTAAATTCTAAAATAAATTAAAATTTTTTTAAAACAGGACTCTCTCAGGCGCGGAAGCGCGTGCGAAGAGGCTAGTAGAAATTAAATGCTGTAGGATTTATCTATATCATTAGTGCAAAGAATGGGTAAACTCAAACACCCAAAGAAAAAAAACACGAACACAAATAAAATGACCAAACTGTCCTCAGGCAGGAAAACAACAACTGTGATAACTGCCATCCTCCTGACACTTGCCACCCTCTCTCTACTCTGTTCGTGCCTATCCCATTTCAAAAGCTCTATAAATACGAACTCACACTGTCATTTTATTTCAACTTCAAAACTTCAAGGTGGCCTTTTTTGTGTGAACTTTGAGGGGGTGATCTTTATAAGAATTTCAGAAATGGGGGTAAATTCTAACAGAGTGGAAGACCTTCCCTACCATGAAACCACAATCAGAATCCCAACAGAAGCAATGCCACCCCTTGAAATTCACAGTGTTTGCCTCCCTCCAAAACAGACCACCTTGCAAAAACTCAAGCACAGGCTTGGTGAGATCTTTTTCCCAGATAACCCACTTCACAGATTCAAGAACCAGACTTGGTTCACAAAACTTCTTCTGGGTCTTCAGTTCTTCTTCCCCATCTTCCAGTGGGGCCCTGAGTATAATGTCAAGCTTCTCAAGTCTGATATCATCTCTGGCCTCACTATTGCCAGCCTTGCAATTCCTCAGGTATCTACACAATTCATGAATCTCTCTCTCTCTCTCTCTCTCTCTCTCTCTCTCTCATATGGTAATCGTGTTTTGTCATTTACTGCAATTCAATGGACTAAAGAAGTCAGGTTGTGTGCTCTGCATACTGTTTGTATGTCATTAATTAAGAGGTGGTTTGTATGTCACTATGTTATATTCAAGTGCATATGTTTTTTGTTTTTAACCTTCTTTCATTTGACTGGAATTTAATTTCTTTCCATTTTCCAATATGGTAATGTTGGTTTTGGATAACTACAAATTAAAAGACAACTCATAGTTTTGGTGATCTGACTTAGACCTCTGTTTTCTGATATTGCAGGGCATCAGTTATGCAAAGCTTGCAAGTTTGCCTCCAATTGTTGGGCTATGTTAGTAACTACATCACACTGAATTAATCTCTATCTTAGATGAATTAACATATAATTAATTGATTAATTAGCCCTAATTGTTTCTTTTTATTATTATTATTTGGGATTCATGCAGACTCAAGCTTTGTGCCTCCCCTGATATATTCTGTGCTGGGGAGTTCTAGGCATCTTGCTGTTGGGCCAGTTTCAATAGCTTCCTTAGTTATGGGATCAATGTTAAGCGAGGCTGTTTCTAGCACTGAGGAGCCAATTCTTTATCTCAAATTGGCTTTCACAGCCACCTGTTTTGCTGGCCTTTTCCAGGCTTCTCTGGGTCTGCTAAGGTATTCAGTTTGAGAAATGAAACTCACAACTTACCCAACAGCTTTTACTACCCGCCCTTCACTGTTTTTTAAATAAAATTTAAAACTACCTTTTATTGAACAAAATAAGTCTAAAAATGTGTCCGGCTCTAATAAAGAATATGTGGAAGCTGTTACATAACGGCTGACACCACTACTGTTGTACTAGAGCCGGACGCATTGCATCGAAGATGCCTAACATTTTTTTTATGGATGATCTTACAGGTTAGGGTTTATAATCGATTTTCTCTCAAAGGCAACTCTGATTGGGTTCATGGCGGGTGCTTCAGTCATTGTGATCTTGCAACAACTGAAAGGGTTGCTTGGAATTGTCCACTTCACCACCAAAATGCAATTCTTTTCTGTCATGTCCTCCATTTTCAACCACAGAGGAGAGGTAACTTGCTTTAGCAAAAGCAATCAACTTGTTCTTTTCTCTTTATATTTTATTATAATTAACACCAACCCCTATGGGCAACAGCAGCAACATCATGGAATAAAAATCAATGAAGGTCCTATTTGTTGGCACTCTTATTAATGCTTTGGGGAAAAATAGATTACTTTGAGTTTTTCTAACGAAAGGATATATACTTTCTCATTGCTATCAAAAGGTTTCAAATATATATCAAATCATATAGAATTGGTAGGTATATATAGATGGCGCTTTATTGTAACCAAGCAGGTGCCTACCCTTTTCTGTTTTATAATTGGAGAATCTGTCACTTGCTTACTTTATGTCTCCAAATGCATTAGTTGGAAAATTTGAGGTCAATTTTGTACATTTGAAGAGATGCATCCCAAAAAACATTCCCAAATAAAAGTATCACCGTGTAAATCACTTTATAAGAAAGCACTTTCAAACGAGTCCTTTTTTTTTTTAATTGTTATTTATAAAATTATTGGTTTGATGTGTGCAGTGGTCATGGCAAACCATTGTAATGGGCTTCATCTTCCTGGTGTTTCTATTCACAACAAGACATATTGTAAGAACTACATCACTTACAAGAATTTGTCATCCTCATTAAATTATAATTTTTCTAATTATTTTTATTTGGCTACAGAGCAAAACAAAACCAAAACTCTTTTGGGTTGCAGCAGCTGCTCCATTAACATCAGTTATCATTTCCACAGTTCTAGTCTTCTTCCTCAGTTCAAAAAATCCTCATATCTCAGTTGTAAGAACTCATCTCTAAGTTTGGTGATTTTAGTGATATTCTAAACCTATTTTCTTCTCTCTAAATTGAATGTTTATATGTAACAGATTGGCCATTTGCCAAAGGGTCTTAACCCACCTTCATCAAACATGCTATATTTCAATGGCCCTTTCCTTGCTCTTGCTATCAAAACTGGGATCATAACTGGGATCTTGTCTCTCACAGTAAGACACAAATTTTTGGAGCTTTCAAAACTTCAAGACTTTTGCTAATCTGGGTTATTAATCAAGCACATCTTTCTTACATTTTTTAGGAAGGGGTTGCTGTGGGAAGAACATTTGCAGCTCTTAAAAACTACCAAGTTGATGGAAACAAAGAAATGATGGCTATTGGGCTCATGAACATCTGCGGTTCTTGCTCTTCATGCTATGTTACCACAGGTGAAGATCCTTCTAATCTTATTTGACCTTAAAGCAATGCAAAGCAACAACTAAAACCATGTTTTCTTTACTTTCAGGTTCATTCTCTAGATCTGCAGTAAACTACAATGCTGGAGCAAAAACAGTAGTTTCAAACATTATCATGGCGTCAGCTGTGCTTGTGACTCTGCTGTTTCTGATGCCACTGTTCTACTATACCCCCAATGTTATCTTGGCAGCCATCATCATCACCGCTGTGAGCGGGACTGATCGACTACCAAGCTGCATACCGGTTGTGGAAAGTTGACAAACTCGACTTCTTGGCCTGCATGTGCTCCTTCTTCGGCGTTCTTTTCATTTCCGTCCCACTTGGTCTTGCAATTGCGGTAAGATAGATTTCCTAATTTCAAGCTTTCTTGCATTTGTGTTTCAAGTGTTCAGGCAACCAAAAACCTTAGATTTTTATCATCACATCATCCTAGATTATTGTCTATATCAGGTTTTCCTTTTCGTATACGATGTTTCCCTACTTTCAGTCTCTAAAATCTTGGCTGTACAATTCAGGTTGGGGTATCAATTTTCAAGATATTGCTTCATGTCACCAGGCCAAACACTATGGTTCTAGGAAATATTCCAAGAACACAAACATTCCAGAATCTCAATAGATACAGAGAAGCTTTAAGGATCCCTTCTTTTCTCATACTAGCGGTTGAGGCACCCATCTACTTTGCAAATACAACTTACCTACAAGAAAGGTCAGTTCACATGTTTGCACTCACTATTCTATCTAAACTCTATTCTGTCTGGCCGAGTTTCGAAGGAAATAGTACAGATATGAGCAGCATCTTCTTGGTAGGGTTATCTGATTTATGAATTTTGCTACGTACAGGATATTAAGATGGGTTCGGGAGGAAGAAGAGAGGATCAAAGCAAGCAATGAGAGCACTTTAAAATGTATAATTTTGGACATGACAGGTATGTTGTTTATGAATTTTTTTTGGTTAGTCTTGTCTCAGTTATGTAACAATGTGGTTGCAAATGTGTTTTTGTGCGTCTTGCTCACAGTTTTACATCTTCTTCTCAGCTGTGACAGCCATAGACACTAGTGGTACCGACATGATGTTTGAACTCAGAAAGATGCTGGATAAAAGATCACTTCAGGTAAGAACTATCCAAATTTTACCTTAAGTTCTGAAATTCCAGTGAGTTAGTGGTAGCCATTTTTCATATCTTGTTCTTATGGGTGCTTGTTACTACTCTCCTAGCTTGTGTTGGCAAATCCTGTGGGAACTGTGATGGAAAAGCTACAACAATCAAAAACTTTGGAGTCGTTTGGATTGAATGGAGTCTATCTTACAGTCGGCGAAGCTGTAGCTGACATTTCATCAGCTTGGAAGGCTCAACCATGACTTCCTAAAGGGCTTCAGTTGGACAATGGAATGATAAGTATATAGGGATATGACTAACTCTGCATTGCCTCAGCAGTCTAGGAAGAGCTCTAGTGAGGCCAGCGGTTTTTCTTTTCTTTCTTTTCTTTTCTTCCCTTTTTGTTGGGAATCCAAGGCAAAGAATCATTTCGTTTTGAATTAAGAATTTTGAAGTTTTGGTCCAAGTTCTTCAATCTTAACAATAAGATATTATGAGCGCTAAACTGCTTGGGTATATACAAATGGGATGCAGGAATTTAGAAGTAAAATCAGATTTAAAAAGGTAACAATACATAGGTCCAGTCACAGTATCTGATCTTGATGAGAGTTCAAGATTCCAGTTCTAGATCTATGTAGACAATGGTTGGGAAAGATGGTATTTGGGAAAAGAGATCCCTGTTATGTAACATATATATAGGGTAAATTACTCAGATGATCCTCAAACTTATACTCGATTTACATTTTGGTTCATCAATTAAATTATTCGTTCAAATGGTCCATCAACTCTATATTATTCGCTCCATTGGTCATATCGTTACATTATGTCAATATTTCCGTTAAATATGAGGGCAAATTAGTCATTATTTACCCTAAAATTAGGTTAAATCTAACAGAAAATTAGATGATAGGACCATTTGAGCGAATAATATAGAGTTGATGGACCATTTGAACGAATAATTTAGTTGAGGGACCAAATGTAAATCAAGTATAAATTTGAGGACAATTTGAGTAATTTACCATATATATATATATATATATATATTCTAATCAGTAAAAGGAAAGAGGAAAGGAACATAAATAAATAAAAAGAGGAAACAAAGCCACATCATTAATCAATTGACCAAATTTATTCACAAATTTATTCTGAAACAAAAATATACGGATGTGTTTGTTTTGAGGGATCGGGGCTCTACATTTCCGTGTTTGGTAAATACTAGTTTAGTTTGGGCTTCATTTCGAGTAATTTTAAGGTGACCGTAACACGCAGCGATAGTAATCCACTCATATTATAAAGTACTAACCTCTCCGCAAACGCTTCCACACATGCAAGAGGCTTTTTTTAAAAAAAAAAGATTAAAATTTATTTTAGAATTAAAAAATAATAATGAGTAGTTGTGTTCCATAAAAATGAGATCCATTATCTTATTTTTCTTTTAATTTTAATTAATTTAATTAAAAAAATGTAAATTTATCATATTATCCTAATTTAATTAATACTTTTAATTCTTAATATTTGCATTAACCAATGGTATTTTCTGGTATTTTAAATGTTTTACCATTATCAGCCTATTACTTTATATACATAGATAAACTCCTACCCCACCCATGTGAATTAGTAACAGTAAAAGCCAGTATTCGATTCCAAGGCCGCGAACAGAGAATATATGATGCGCTAATAACCACACTAGCAAATGTTATGCAAGGGTACACTAGAAGACTTTTATGCCAGGCAACAACAATGGTGGTGCACAGAGAGTCAGCTTTATGAAAAGATCACGATCCTTACTGATATTGAGCTTGGGGTTGAAAAATGCAGTGCATGAGTTGACTGGAAAATATGGTCCCTACAAAGACTGCATATGAGCACATGCATCAGGAAGAAAGCTTATGTCTACTACTGCAATAGATTGGCGGAACCACTCACTGAAATCCAATTTCTTTTCAATGCTTTGAAGCCAATCATCCGAAGGCCACTTCAACTGACCCCCAAAATATCTCCTCTAAAACGAAGAATTGGCAGGACTCTAATATTCTAGCCAACCCTCGAGCACTAATGGCAAGAATGACAGGAAACTTTTCTCTTAAACTACCACAAAAATGGTGAATTCATCCACTTTAATATTCCATTTTAGCATGCAAGTTCAAAGTCGATGGACTGCTATGAGAAAGCAATTTTACATTGGATCATTTGATTTCTCAATACAAAGATGTCTATCTTTCAATAGACCAGTAGGTCGAAATCATTCACCAAATTAACCCATAGCGTGTCCAACTTGGGAAGGTTTCCTAATTCAGATGTATCAAATGTATTCTTTACTTGTAATATACATAATTCTCAGATAAAACTTTCTTCCAGTATAACAATTTCCTGATGTGAACTAGAGAAGCTATGACAATTCAGCGGTATGGAGTATTTACAACAAAAGACATAATGAGAGAGAGAGAGAGAGAGAGAGAGAGAGAGAGAGAGAGTTATCACAAGGAGTTATAGAAACAACAACCAGGAAATAAACTAGACAATTATAATTTACAAGACATGTATTTCAGCCCTACACGTCCCTGTCAATTGAGCTGACTCTTGTTCAATTAAACTCAAGATTGAGCAATATTAAAAGCATTTCTGTATGAAAATTTCAGTTTGCTGATCCTACAACAGAGTCTGACCACACAAAATGATTACCAATTCATAACAGTAATTGAAACCATTCAGCTTATAATAAAAAATAGGAATAATGAAACTGAATTGACATGGCGTATTTATAAAAATAAATTTTAAAAAAAAAGGGGGGACAATGATATCAGAAGCACAGTAAGCATTGCTCTACTTAAAACCACCTAAAATTGTACATTAAGATTCTCCTAACACAATGCATACCTAGTCTCATGTGCTCAAACCTCCATCATTTAAAGCACTGTGTCAAACTTTACACTTGTTCTCAGGTAACTGCCACCAGCATAGACAAAAGAAACCATGGAATAAGGTGGTTGATCTCATCACAGATTGAATGGGTATTCATGAGCTTAACCCAGAAGCTCCTCCAAAGCAATGAAAAAAATAGCCACTAAACCCCACAAGAATGCGTGTTCTTGCCTGTCGTGTTTCTCGTCAGTCAAACATCTGCACGGGGATAGTTCCAAATTAATTTTGTAGATATAGTGATGTCAGCAGAGAGGAAAAGAGGCAATCATCCAAAATCATCCAATCCCTTTGCCCAATTCTTAATTCTACATATAAAGTTTTTACCAATTGAAGCATAACCCATAATACTAAATAACTATCTTAGGATCAAAGGTCTGATAAATCCATGAGGGTCCAACGTTGACAATCACCCAGAAAATACAAGATCAGCCAAAATTATATACATGAATGTCAAAGTCTAAATCCCAGTGTATTTTTGGTGTGAAAGGTCCTCTTGCACATGTCAGTAAGCAGGCATTTTAGGGCAGAGAATCAGTATAAGCATTTTCTTTTCATCTAGGCATAAACAGAGATTTTTTATAAAAAAAAATGAAAAAACTAACAAATACGAAGAACGAACTGCAAGTTCCTGAAGCATACACTCAAAGTTGCAGAAATGCATAAAGACACTGTGTACCAAATGAAATACTTGACAAACAACAAGATTGGCCCCAAAATAAATTTATGGGTTTCTTCACAACATAGCCTGCTTGCACAGGCCCATCGGAAAACCAACCCTTTTCATTTAAAAAAAATGTTAGAAAATTAACCTGTTTTGGACTTGAAAGAACCAAGATAGGGTCGATGTGCGTCAAGATGTGGATCAAGACCTCCTATTCCTATCTCAACCCACATCTTGACTATGGCACGACCTTGACACGACCATCCAAAAGAGGTTAGTTTTCTAATTTTTTTTAAGCATTAGTTTTGTATGTAGTCTATGTAAATAGGTTCTTTTTTAGAACCCAAACTTTAACCAAATGAAAGTTCAGCAAGGCAGCAACTATCATACAAACAGTAAAACACAAGAATTTTATGTTAGGTACTTCTAGCTAGTTAGTTAACGTATTAAAGGGGGAATGAATTTTACTTGAACGAAATCGTGTTATAGGGATCTCCTTCAGTTCACGTTTAATACAGAGATATTCACCCAGCAGAGCCATCACTGCAATTCCAGTACCATTCACAACCCACCATGTTATTGAGGAGGCCAACCCCCATAAGAAATGCATATAAAGAGATGTACAATGTAGACAGTGGCTGAAAATCTAAGCACTTCTTTGCCCTCTCAATCAGAAGAAGCAGATATCCAGCGCTGTAAACAATAAGACAGCCAAGTTATGTAAACTCTTGTTCGACCAGAGAAAAAGATAGATTTATCTTAAGTCTTGAAGTTGGCATTTTGAATTCTGTGTTAACAATTCACAAACACCTCTCTTCTTTTTTTTTTTTTTTTTTTTTTTTTTTTCTTTATAAGTCACAATTCACAGAAGCATAATGAGCTCTGCATTTATAAACAGAAAATAAAAATAAATTTACAATGGATTCCCACTTTATGTTCTTACAATAAAAACTAAATTAGAGGCATACACCCAACCAGATGGAAAACACAACAAAATCAAATTGAACTGCAATTGAAAAGAGAAGTAGAATGGGATTCTCACCCTGCAAGTGCACTGAGCATAAACGAAGCAATGACGCACCACCCAGTGACCGTGGAGACAGTGAGAGTAGCAAAGTCAAAGAAATACACGAGGCTCATTCGGGACACGCGAGTCCCAACAAGAATTGACAAGAAGAACCCAAGAGTGAGATAGTACAAACATTGAAGGCACACAATTTGGACAACAATGAGCCAAGGGTCCCATACCAATGTACCATAGAACATTGTCTACTACAATAACCTATTGCCAATTTGCCACACAACCAGAGCTCCTTAAAACTCTCAAATCACTCAGACTTCTCCCAAAGCATGAAATACCTACACATCAAGTGCTCGCAACAATCAAAGCTAAACCCAAGTTCGCAATTTTAGAACAACGAGAGCCACACCCTTTGCACCCTCTGAGCTATACAGTGGTTCCCAATTGCCCAATGCTTAATCCGCAAGCTTGAAACCAAAAATCAATCTGATTTCATGAAAATTCAGGACTCTGCTCTAATATTCGTGTCACTGAAACGGGAGTTGAAACCCATGTCGAACATAAATTTGGATCTGAATACAACGAAACTAGAATCCAGGGAACCTTCCCAGTAGAAAAATAACGAAAGAGTTGAAAATTTTCTCAAGAAAATTAGAAATAGAATACCTATTTGGGATTTGTACGAAATCAAACGTCTGCTGGAAGATTCAATTTGAAATCGAACAAAAGGAATTGTGTAAGGAGAACAAGAATTGGAAAACCTAGATCGGGAAGGATGCAGATGAAGAAGCTGACCGTTGAGAGATCGACGATGAAAATTGCAGAATCTCTCTGAGGAAGCTCTTGTTTTGCAGTGTGTATGTGTTTATCTGTTTAAGGAATAATGATATATTCGTCTGTGGAGAAGATGCGAGCCATTGCCTAACGCATGAGACCAGAGAGAATGCTGCAATTCTTCTTTCCCCTTTTTTATTTAAAAATAAATAAATATATATTCTTTCTAAATTCCTTTTGGTCTTCCTTTCCTTTTCTCCTCTTTTTTTTTTTTTTTTTTTTTTTTTTTTTTTTTTTTTTGGGTGTTTCCATAACCATGATACGATAAATATATTTTATTATCACTATAAATCCCTGACAAGAAATTGTATAATTCAACTACTCTTACAAAAGGCAGTAAGCAATTATGCATGTTTTTTCTAATTTGATTTTCTTAATTTTATTTAAATTGATTACTTCTACTAGAGTATGACCAGTTTCTTAAGTTTTTGGATCAAATCATAAACATACTTTTAATTTTCGTATAATGCAAACATATGGAATTCAAGAATCAGATTGTCTCCAATACTCAGTCCACATGAATAAACATGTTATAATACACGTTTTGGCCATTAATCAATTTAATTTCTATTAATTTATAATGATTTTTCAGTTTAATAATTTTTAATTTATAAAATATTTATAAATATATATTGTTTAATTCATGTGGCAGCCACGTCATAAATTTAACAGAAATTTTAACGAAACCTCATGTTAGGACCATTTTGATGTGTAAGGCGTAACATAAAAGACTAATAATGTTAGTAAAAAACATAAAAGATGACAGGGGATAATTTGACAAACCTCATAGACAATTTGTGATAAAAACTCAACATAATATTATATTTAGAGAGTATAACATTTAAAAATTTAAAAATTAAAATAGTTATAAAAAAAATAAAAATTAAAAAGTACCCCATTATAGTCGCGCGGTAATACAATTTACTTAAAAAAAGACCCTGGTATCGCCGTGCGGCTATACTATTTTTTAAACTCCTATTATAGCCGAGCGCCTATACTTTAAAAAAAATACAATAGTATAGCCGATCGGCTGTACTATTTATTTTTTTTTAAAACCGACCCTAGTGTAACCGCGCTAAAGGGACACCAATAGAGCTAAAAGGGGCCCCGCGTATAGCCGTGCGGCTATACTATTTTTTAAAGGGACCTTAGTATAGCCGTCCGGCCGTACTATTTGTCTATAAAAGGGAGCCTAGTATAGCCGCGCGGCTATACTATTTCTTTGTAGAAAAAGGGCCCCAGTATAGCTGTGCGGCTATACTATTTATAAACAAAATGAAAAACAAAGGAATTTCTTCCTCGATCGGCGGCTTACTTACTGCCCGGCGAAATCACACAGAACAGCAAGTTCCTAGTTTAGGGTTTTTCTTAGCATTTGTTCAGACAATCTGATCGCAGAGAAGAGCAAATAACTTTTTTTAAGAAGAAGATAACCAAATCGCTCAAGGTAAGCTTTCCTTTTTCTCCTGCTTTTTTCATTTTTTCATTTTCGCTTTAGAAAATGAAAAATATTGGTGCTTGACTAATAAGATGAACCAATATCAAGCTAAGTTTACAATTATCAAAATCGTCACTGTCTATAAGTTTTTTTGGTGAATTCTATTCCTTTTTATTTTTTTTTTCTTTTTTTCCAGTTTATAGGTTGTGAGGGACATGACCCATACTTCTTATCTCACAGTTGGCAAGGCTTTGTAAGAATTCTGAACTCTTGATCTTCATACCTTTTTATTTACTTGTTTCCTGGAGATGCGTCCCTGCGTCAGTTTGGATTGCTGAGAAATTGAGGAAAAGGAAGAGAAATAAAACATAAAATTCGTGTCTTTTTGGTTTTTATGTCCCGAAATTCAAACTTCTGCATTTTCTAAAAAATAAATAAAATGAATTGTAAAGTATGGTTGGTTTCAGAAATGGTAATAGAGTGCATTTGCTTCTCTAGGAATTTTGGAGCAGGAGTGGTGCGAAGGTCATTGAACTTTCATTTGAACTTTCCCCACAAATTTTTTATCAGGAGGATTCAAATGGCAAATAATAATCACACATGTAGCCTAAGAGGTGGCAAGGAGGATTCAAGAGGTGCCTTGGTTGTTCTTGAAGGATTGGATCGTTGTGGGAAGACTACACAGTCCACTAGACTAGTTGCAAACTTGGAGAAGTTAGGGCATTCAGCTGAATTGTGGCGGTTTCCTGACAGAACTACTAGTGTTGGGCAAATGATATCTTCTTATCTTTCCAACAAATCACAACTGGATGATCATACAATCCATCTACTCTTTAGCGCCAACCGTTGGGAGAAGAGGTTTGTTGTGTTATTCTTTGCAACATGATATACTCTGCTTATGAGGTTTTCTATAACAGGGAAGAGAAATTGCACTTATTCTGATTGTTGTTTTAGTTTTTAATCGATGTCAGGGCAATGCGTATGGTGATATTTCCTTTTTAATGATTGACTTGTGTAACAGTCCGGTTTAAGAACCTAATATAATTCAGCTTCTGTTTTGAGTTGAGAAACCAATGCAGCATAGGGATCAATAAAATGTGTAAATGAAATCATAAGCACATATGTAAGCAGTAGTGCGGAAACAAGTGATTGATATTTTTGTTTCTGTAGGCTTCTAGTCTTTATGGGCATTCATTGTTTTTACAGATCCGGGTGCTTGTTTACATCAAATGTGTCAGTAACCTCATGTATTCCGCAGTTAGATTTCTCAGGTCCCTGGCTACAATCTATAAACATGAGACCAATGTATGGTTGCAGGATGTAGTAAATAGGCGAGAAAATAGAATTTGTTTCTTCGTCTTTGTCCAGTATTTTTTGTGCCACAGAAATTCGGATTTTATTAAATTAAATAAACTTAAAAATCTTAGTATTTCAACAATGCCTACTTTAGAAAAGAGATATTTTGAGGTGTTTCCATGTTATGTTTAACTTACAAGTTAAACTGAAACACCTAGTGAGTAAGGGCAGAGTACATGTTTCCTTAGTTTGGGTTTCCATTCTTGGATGAAGAATGAGGTTGTCACAAATCATTGTACTACTGTACTAAATAATCTATAATGTTCTGCAGATCATTGATGGAAAGCAAATTGAAAGTGGAATCACCCTTGTTGTTGACCGTTATTCTTATTCAGGGGTGGCCTTTTCATCTGCCAAGGGGCTTGATATTGAGTGGTGCAAGGTGATGAAATGCTTTTTTCTTTTTACCCCTAATGTTGTTTATCTTCTCTATCTGATGGAATTTAAAAACAACGAAGTGTACTTTTGTAGGCTCCGGAGATTGGGTTATTGGCTCCAGATCTTGTAGTGTGCCTTGACATACCACCTGAAGTAAGTAGTCATTCTAATGTTTGCAGTGAATAGTAGGGAAGAAAAGCATGATGACTTAACCCATATCTTCTGAGACCCAATTTTTCACATTTAATAGCTTATATGGTCTGACATATCAAAAGAAATTTCCGGGATACGCATTAATTTTGCACAGTTAATAGCTTCTCAAAATAAAGAAACAATATTGACCAAAAAAAGAAGAAATAAAGAAACAATGTATAATGTTGGCCCTTTATGCCTTTATATAACTGCTGAAATTTTAAGGTGCTTATGCTTATGCCCATATCTTTTTCCCTATTTTGAACTGAAATTATAAATGTCAGAAAGCTGCTGAAAGAGGAGGCTACGGAGGTGAGAGATATGAGCAGCTTGAGTTTCAAAAGAAGGTTGGCCAAAACTATCAGGTCCTCCGTGGTCCCACTTGGAAGGTAGTTCATTCATCCATTCTTAAATTGCAATAAAGAACTCAGAGATTGGCTTAAGGTTATGATGCAATTTTTAACGCAAATTTTAATTTGGTACTAGAAAGAACAGTATTGAATCTATTTTTCCTGTGGTGGCAATTAAATAGAAAATTGAATGGTTGTTCATAAAAAAGAATAAAATGAAGTGACTCAGACAAGAGCATAGATGGAGGTGTAATGCCAAACCCAATTTCTTTTCCTGATATCACATTTTCTTCTGTTTTCCGACAAATGCTAATCGGAATATATAACATCTATGCCGGCCGGACTGCCATTATCTGATGATTGTGTACACATTTTATGTTGAAGTGATGCTGTAAGTTCGTAGTAATTTTATATTAACCAAATTCAGGCTCATTGCAGTGCCTGTTCAAACTTTAATCATGAAACAACTAAGCCTAGCCTCAACACTGTCAAAAAAAACTTTGGTTTGCATTTGAAGCATATTTTTTTTCTGGGTGAGTTGAGTTACTTGGCTATCGTAATTCTTTTCCCTGATGCAGATCATAGATGCTTGTTTGCCGATGGAGGACGTTGAGGAACAGTTGCAAGAGATGGTATTGCATTGTGTAAAAACATGCCAAGAAGGGAAACCCCTCTCATGTCTCTGGTCTTGTTAATTTTCTGGGGGAGACGCATGTATCTTTCCAGGGTTGAATGCATGTATACTAGTGAGCTATGCCGATTGTTATCTTTCGAGTATTTCATCACTGATTGTAACTTGATAAATCTTGCATTTCAAAATTAGATTCAGTTTTTCTTATCCATTAACACTAAAAAACAGGACTTATCTTATTAATGGATCACACTAAGCTTTTGACTGAAATAGATGAGATTGCAAATTTGCTTGCTTGAATGAATTTGATTGTAAACGTGACAGTTTTTGGTGAAGGAACTACAAATTTAGCCATGAGGACACGAATATAAACTACTAACCACAAAAATAAAGCAAATAAGCTGCAGCGCTGGTAAGTTCTTACACGAGGCAATCTACTTCCAGAAATAATTGCAAGAGAGCAAGAAGCCCCAAAAGTACAATCAATGGATCAAATTTTGATCCGAATTTGATGTAATTAGTAGGAGATGGATTTGGTGACATAATCCGATAATCCGATTATATTTCATATCCGTTAACCCGTTACGTTAATGGAACAAATTTGGTTCTTATCTAATCCGATCCGATATGATATGATATAACATATATTTCATTTTATTTTATTTTTACTTAATATATATATATATATATATATATGTAACACTCTTGTGAATTTTTTAAATAAATAAAAATATTTTTCAATTATTTGTATATGTCAAGAATTCGGATCCAAGATTGGCTAATTCAACAAATCATATATGGATCTAGTTGTCTTAGATTGGATCGGGTTGGAAATTTTTAAATCTAGTCGAGACGTATTTCAAGTGCTCCACTCCATCTCCGACTGGTTTAGGGTTTACAGGCCTATTCATCACTAGATCAAGATTAGAAGATTGAACGTACGATAGTGCTAGCTACCTCCCTTCTTGCTTTCCCCTTCACTTTATGCCATGTGTAGTGGAAGTTCAAAATTTTAAATAAATAAAAAAACTGCAAGAGGGATAATTAACCCTTATTTAACTTTTTTATTTCAAAACAAACAGCTCGTTGTTGTTCAAAATAATAATATATAACAGAAAACGTTAAACTCTCACAGGAAGACCGCATAGCGCAGTGGATTAGCGCGTTTGACTTCGGATCAAAAGGTCGTGGGTTCGACTCCCACTGTGGTCGCACAAAATTCTTTTTGTGTCTTGGAGGAGATCAATCTCCAAAAGCACTTTAAAAAAAATCTCAAAACTAACTTTTATTTCCAATATTATTATGTGTATCTCCATTTACCACCCATTTTTATTCTAATATGATTCATTTGTGGATTTAATTGTTTCCAAGAGATTTTATTCAGCACCTCAACAAGCACAATGCAGCAGCAGCAGTTTGTAAATTTTCTAAAAGCGGGGTGTCCATGTTCTGTATCTTTTTCACATTTTTTGAGCTTTTTTTCCTGAAATTTTTTTTTTTTTTTTTTTTTTTTTTTTTTTTGATTTTGCAGTCATCGCATAAATGTTGGATCGATGCCGAATTACTGTTTCTTATTGATGTCAAAGTAGGCAACAAGAAAAAGGATCATGCATCCGGTAAACAGGGTTGTGTATGGACTTTCAGTGTCAAACTCAGATAGCCTAAGAACTCAGTGGCGAAATGATAGCTGTTAGGAAAACTTTCTATGATAGTTATGAATACAGACTTGTAGGAAAATATATACTAAACTTCAGATTTGATACTATACACTGAGCATGTACAAGGGAAGCACATTCATACTCAAGAACTGTTACATACAATCATTTTTCACCCCCAGTGTCCTATTTCTATAACACTATGATAGTGGGAAAATTCTGAAGTCAGAGAAGAAAAAAGCCAAAGAACATGATGCTTTGAAGGATGATGACACATGACTCAATATGGCAATCAAAAGTAGTTCACTGTCTTATTCAGCAGCCTTTCTCCTCCTACCGCTTTTCTTTGCAGTAACAGTGACGGGCACTTCAGCCTTGCCTTCCGGTGGTTGCTGATTACTTTTCCTTGCAGTGACAGTGACAGGTGCTTCAGTCTCGCGTTTAGGCAGTTGCTGATTATTTACAAGATCTTTCAACGAATTTATTTGACTACGTAGCCGCAATATTTCGCCTTTGGCAGATGCCAATTCCTCTTCAAGCTTCTTTGTTTTCTTCTCCAGACTATCCCTTTCCTCACCAAGTCTCATGGCAAGATTATGGACATCTTCCATGTTTTCTCGGGCCTCTTTGGATGCATTCTTTTTCTCTGTAAGAGACTTGTAAAGCACCTCTTTCTCATCTTCAAGGTTAGAAATTAGAGAATTAGCCCTCTCTAAATCTTTGGAAAGTAACAATGCATTTCGGTTCATCTCATCCAGTGATTTGGTAGCCTCGTCCAGGTCTATTTCAAGAGATTTCCGGGACTCCTTGTCCTTCGAAATCTGCTTCTCCAGAGTTTTAACTTCCTTTTTTAAAGAAGAAACTAGTTCTTTTTCTTCGTTCAGATCATTAGAAGCTCTTTCAGCTTTTTTATAGACATCAACCAATTCCCCTTGCAGGCTATCACGATTTTCTGCAACAGATGCTAGTTCATGAGACACAACTTGCAGCTCCTCTTTTGTTTTCTTCAGAAGTTCTTTTGCTGCAGCAAGCTCACTAGCAAACACGTCACTACTTACTGTAGCCTCATCAAGGCTCCTCTGCAGTGATTCCCTAACTCCAGCAAACTCAGCCTGAACCCCAGAGATCTCAGCCTCAAGTTCTGTGCACAAAGTTTTTGCCTGCTTTAATTGAATTTCCAGATTTGAAGCTTCATTTCTTGATTTTCCAAGAGCTTCATGAGTGATATGGAGCTCATGTTTCAGATTTGTTTCATTGTTCAATTGTTTATCCAGCATTTCCCTCAAGTTTTCCTTCTCTTGGGTCAAATCCGCAATTATTTTTTTGTTTCTACTTGTGTCAGACAGAACAAGTTCAAGCCTTTCCTTTAGCTGCTTCAGTTCCTCTTCTTTTTCTCCCAAAAGCTTGACATCCAAAGCTGCCTTTTGTCCGGAGGATGTTTTTAGATTATTGTATTCCTCCTGAATAGCATCAAACTTCCTCTTCAAATCATTTTTCCCAGAAGTTATAGAACTTACTGTTGCATTCAATTGATCCAGAGCGGCATTCTTCAATTCTAATTCCTTTGATCTTTCAGGAGTTCATCTTTCAATTTTTGAATATTTGATAGTGCATTGGCTAGTTCATCCCTTGTTCGCTTGTTGGTAGTTTTCAAGTCATTCAACTCCAAATCCTTTTCAGCAAGAGAAGAGCCAAGATTTTGAATATTCGTTTCTCTATCCTCGAGTTCTAAATTGAGCACATTAATCCTTCCCTGTAAGACTTCAATTGAGTTGATCTTTTCCTTCAAATTTTCCTCAAGTGCTATTTTTTCTTCCCCAGCCTTTGAAAGGTTGGTTTCAAGACTATCAATTTGAATTTTAAGCTCGTCAATCAATCTCTTCTCACCATTGAGCTCCTTTCCTAAGCCTGCAATTGTACTATTTGCAGAATTTAGTTGGTCCATTAGAGATTTCTGCTCTTCCATTGCTCTTGTGAGTTGTTTGCTCCATTCTTCTTGTTCATTCAGTAGCTTTGATTCAAAGTTCCTTTCCAATGAAATGATAGCAGCTTCCTTTTCTTTCAGCTTGGTCTTTATCTGTGCACATGGGTAAAATCAGACAAAGCATCTAAAAGTACATTCTTGCAACGAATTGCAAAAACAAAATTAAAGGAATATGATTTTATAAGGTCAGAATAGGTTATTAATTGGTAGAACTTTAGGAAGCATTTGAGAATAGAAGAAATGAGGAAAAAGATTAAACGATAAACATTATCTTTGTTGTACACTTTTTGATGTTCCTTTTTAAAGGTACTAGGCTCCTTCAGTGTCTGTGCTATCTCAGCATGTAAAGAAAGCTTTACTGTGGAACATAGGGACTTACAGATTCTACTGTTGCATCAGTGGCTTTCTTTTCTGCCCAAGCCAATCCATAGAGTGCTCCAAGAATACCAGAACTGAAAATACCAAGGCCATTCAGGAGAGACAAAACGGGATTTGATGGTGCATTTATTTCAGATGGCTGTTCAATGAATTCCACACATTAGAACATTAAGCTAATCAATTTATAAAATAAAAATAAAATATATTAATTGGGATAAAGTGAATCTAGTAGACATTCAGACCTCTGCTTTTTTCCTCTCCTCCGGGTTTTTGAGCTCACTTTCTCCTGAAAAAATAAAGGAACAAATGCATAAACCAATCATGAATGAACTGAGACGGAAATGGGTTACAAAGGATAGTAATTATAGCAAGGAACACCAGTCCATGTTAAGAAAAGAGTACATTTTAAGAATCTTCATCACAATACAAAAAGATGTTTAAAAAAATATTATTAGCTCAAATCAAAAAGATCTGCACATCATTATGCATCTCAATTGTGTGCTTTTAGGGGGTCAAAAGTATGCTTCGTGGGCTCCCTTGCTAAAACTCTGTTTTTCTGCATCCTTTTGCCTGATAATATCTTTGGGATGGCAACATGATGAACAAGGAATAAAAAATCAAATGTAAATGTACTATCCACATACGTTGGACACTTGAGGTGAAAAATATCTTTTAGGCCCATTAATTCCCCACGTAAACTTCAAACAGGAAAAAATGTAATAAAATTGGGGCATCGCATATGGATTTGCTACTTGTATTCCCTTTTGCCCTGATGACTTAGTACAGGACCTGTCCCGGAATAAGCTGCAAAGTTATGCAAGTCCTGCTGCTATCTTGAGTTGCTAAAAGAAGGAACTGATGTGCAGAAGTTAGTCTGGCATTAAACCTTACACAAAGGAGCCCTATTGTGGGTAGAACTTACTCCAACAAAACCAGCTTGTAAAAGACTGGCGCTCAAGTGCTTATAAAGCACTTTTGTGCCCGACATCCTAGTCTACCTGTCTGTTGACTGGAACAACAACCTGATGGTATCATTTCCTTCCTATGAGGCGACTTTCACTCACATACGACCTACCAGTAACTAATGACTTGATATTATACCCATACATAATACCAAAGTGCATTTTAATCCAACCTAGAGGGATAGGTCGCCCCTTCTGTGGACTTTAGCCACATTTCATGGTGGGATACTCTAATACCAAAGTACTCATGGGTAGAACTTTGCCCTACAGAACGATTACGTAAGGGAAGGGTGCCCAAGAGTTTATAAGCTATCTTATACCATCGTCCTGTGTAGACATAGGTGATTCATTCAATGCATAAGCAATGTACACTTAACTTGTACCTAAGTAATCAGACAAACTTGGCCGAGAAAACAAAAGGCAATCAGACTATTACTTATGTTTACAAATGGATACTTCCTGCAATCCCATTTTAATATGGTGCTATTGCAAAGGACGTACACCATGACCATCCCGGACTCTTAGTATTGCCTAATCACTCTCAGTTCTTAACTTCACTTCCAGCATATTAATCAGCATCTCTTAAACATAAAACTGCATTATAATGCATTGACAGAAGTTTGAGTGACCAGTCATTAAAGCATACATATATATAAATTTAATAATAACTGTGATAAATTGCACAAAGAAATAAATATAAATTGCCAATAAAAGTCAGAGACTAAAGAAAAATCTAAAAAAGACTAAGTTCCATGTTCAAATGCAATGAACCATTTGAAACAAACCCAAACCTTTACAATGACAAACTATAATACACCTAAAAAGATTTTATCTTAGAAAACCCATTACAACGAAAACAATTTACAAAACCCATCTCCCCAAATTCTTGAACTCCCATCCTACCAGGAAGAAAACAATCAATTTTGAAAAGCACAAGAAAAGTTAAACTTACTGGTGGCCAAGCCTTCAAGAGCATTAGCCCTGAGTTGCAAGAACGGAAGAACTGAAATACCCACCAACATAATAGCCCTCCTCTTGCAAGAAACGGCGTCGTTTGGGTCCTCTTGGCGCAGAGACGCCATTGGCAGAGCTCTCCTTCTCTTGGCCTCTGCAGTTCTTGAGGAGGAATACACGAAAAAGGGGTGAGAAGAAGAGGGAAAACGAGAGAGGGAGAGAGGAGAGTGTAAAAAGCAAGAGCTCCCCATCACAAAGCCCATTGCTTTTTCCTTGATTGATTTCTTTGGTTGAGATAAGGAATAGAGTTAAGCGCTCAGAGCTTTGCTCTTTTTGCTCTATTTTCAACTTTCAGTTTCAGTTAGCGTTCACATGGCTGATGGTGAAAGATTCATAAGCATCCAAGTTTCATGGTGGTTTGTTCTTTTATTTATTTAATTAATTTTATTACTAGAGATATCCTCCTTTTGAAATTTTATGTGGAGGTAGTAAAATGGTACTGTGTTACAACAATTTCTCTGTTAGGGCACACAGTCCAGACTTGCCTTACATTTATTTAAAATAAATCTTACATAGAATGAATCGAGTAAATTCATGTTAGTCTTCATGTGCAAAATAAGCCCCTTAAAGGAAATTCAATTTCTATCAATTTTTCATATCAGGTAAAAAAGTTATAATCAACCATATAAATGAGTGATTATAATACGGTCATGTGGTATATTTTGTATATATTTTATAATATAAGTTGATATTTAGTGATACTATTCCCTAAAAAATAGAAAATAAATCATATCGTCCACCCATATTATGACATGTGTACAAAATATACCATGTGGTCATACGTATTCAATAATTTCTCCACATAAAGAAGCATAAAATTCTAATTCCTAAACATATATGTGATTGGCTCTGACACAATGCAAGTGAATCATCACTTGAGACATTTGAGGACATAAAATTTGGTTTTCTTTTCCAGACAATCAAAATTAAGCTTTTAATCTTGTTAGTTAAACTTGTTCTTGTTGCTATAATACATTAATTGTTGCTATTTAAACTTGTTCCCATTTTAAGTACAATAAAGCTCTTAATTTTTGTGTGTGGCTGATTGTTGAAGTTTTTAACCTTTAAAGCATGCAAGAAAATTATGTAGAGTGTTCCTTGTTTTTTTTTCTTTCTTTTATATATATATATATATATATATATATGTATGTATATAGGTGATATCAGGAGGAAGATGACAATCAAACACATAACTTTTAGTGCATGAATAAACGTTCTTAATCACTTGAATTACAAACTCCTATCCTTACTCATTTTATTTCTATTTTCATAAAGCATGCCACAATTTACATAGTTTTTGTAATTACAATGATATTGTCAATTCCTATCAGTAAATAATTGTTTTAGTTTTTTTTTCCTTTTTCAGAAAAAGTAGAAACTGACAGCATTGCGTGAGAATGCAGTCAAGACAAGTTTTTGTCGTGTTGAGAACCATTTTTGAAATGTTCTACTACACTACACTAGTGCCTAGCTCTCTGCTTCAGAGTCAAATTCGCGTTAGGAGGATCATGCCCTTGTGTCCTCTGCAGCACTTTCAACCAATGGGAACATGCCATTGCCAAGAAAGAAAATGTGGCTTTTATCATGAACTTGTGTATGTTTTGTTGCCACGTCTAAGGTGTTTGTGATCTTCAACTCCACAGCAACCATTAAAATGAGAAATTGTAATGCCCACTCAGGCAGAATATGTTCTTTCATCAGTAAAATCTGTGGTCAGATTTACCATACTCTGACACCAGTAAAATCTAGGGTGGGGGCAATCCTTCTGATTTTAGAAGTCCAAGTGATTTGATGATTGAAATATATTAGACTGGCAATATTTTGATCCCACGAGCAGCAATAATTTTTGCAAAACTTAGAAACCAAAGTAACATGATTTGTTTACACCATATTTACGAACATGATGAGCTTAACCAATGGCTTAAGCTAGACTTCAGTTGTAAGAAATTTGTAACTCAAGTGGTTAAGAGCATTTATCCTTTCATACGAGGTTCTAAGTTCACTTCCCCATTCCTCTAATATCACTTGTATGAAAAAAGACACAAAAAAAAAAAAAAAAAAAAAAAAAAAAAAAAAAACAAAAAACTAGTTTGAATGTGGGAATATCTATCTGCGATCAAGAATTATGTCGTTGAAAAATGTGTGGATGCAAATGCTTACTTTGGCATGATTGTACGCTTGTCAGAGGGATGCTAGTCCTACACATTGTACATCTGGGTTATCAGAGGAATTTTTGTAATGATACAAACACGAATATGGTTCTTGATGTAAATTCTTCATTTGAAAGTTAAAGATTGGCTTGGGCCAACATGAACCTGATTGTCAGAAACGATAGACAGAAAGCAAAGATTTCTAACACAAAGGATGGGGTTGGTTAAGATGTACCAGGAGGAGAAGGCCCTTGCTGCAGCAAATAAATTAAACGCCTTATTGGAAAACATTAACTGGCAGCAGTGAATCCCAAATGCACAGTATATTCTCACCACATCATAACATAGATTTTGAAGATTAAATGTGTGTTCTTGAGAGCTATAGTACAGTAAAAGCATAGTTCAAACATACTAAGCTGACTGTAATACCATCTGCCACAACTCAGGGGTATATTGGCCGCATCGAAGCGTTACCTGAAAATGATCAATTACTAAAAATCGCTTAAACAACGCTGATTAACTTAATGCACAAACCGTGTGGGAGTACACAGAAAAGCACACACAAACTGGAATATAACAATCTGTGACCTTTCCATGATATAAGTTGTCAAAGATAAAACATCATATATATACCTCAAGAAATAATGAGAAGTAAATGGTAAGGTGTTATTTAAATATCCCGTGCACTCACTAATGAGTTCAGCAGGTCCAAAGGGTTTCTTAGATGAACACTTAATTGCAGCGAATTAGGAAACAATAAGAAAAAAACTGATGGTCAGGGCGTTCAGCCACTTGAAATCCATCAGCTCAAAATGATAGACAGCAAGACCTATGACTATTCTATGTCCTCACAATGCATGCCCAATAAGAAGAGATCTTCATGGTAGCTTTCAGAAGAGCTACCTGCAGAATTATCACAAGTACTTTCTATTTCCCCTTCAGCAAAAATCTTCTCCGAATGACAATCGAAACTACAAAATGCTTTCTCACCTCTGCAAAAAATCAGAGAAAACCTCAGCCTCCATAGTAAAAGGGGAGTTGAGTGAAAATTGCAAACAGATGTTTGAAACAAACCTGCACATGTACATTTCTTCTCCTTCCAAGTTCTTCTTGCAGGTGTAACAGAATCTCAACGCTTCATCCCAATGCTCATTTGCCAATCTGTCCTGGTACTTAGCCACTCGAGGTGATTCTATCCAGAGTTTTGCTTCATCAAAATTGTTTAACTCATTTGTGTGACATTCCAAAATACAGTCCCCAAAAATATGAGTTGTCTTAGGTTTTGGACCATGAGAAATTATACAGGTATAATCCTCAGACAGTTCTATCTCTCTTGCAGAGATAGAGGATGCATATTGATGAGTAGAGGCAATGGGTACTGGAAGTGAACTGGGTTTGAAACCCACTGAATTTTCTACTTGGAAACTTCTGCCTAAAACTAAAGATGAACTCAAAGTTTTATCCACTGAATCAAGACTTTTGAACCTCAAGTTTGGATCATACATAGAGCCACTTTGTGAGGAACCACTGGAGTTCAACAAGAATGATGCAATGTTTTCAGATGGTTCAGATTCCAAAGGACGTCCCACACTCCCAAAGAAACCATTCACTTGGTCTGCTTGGTGTTCGGGATCGAGAGTTATGTAGTTCCTATTTAAAGATTTGGACTTGATGGGACAATCGTCTGAATCATAATAAATCTTTGAGGAGTTAGAGACGTTAGTTTTCACCTGTGATCCAAAAATTATATTCTTCCTCTTTGGTGAACCAATAATTTCACTAGTTGCTTTAGTTTCATCACTGAGTGAATTGACAATGCCGAGGCCTTCTATACTACAATCCCATTTCGTTTGATTTCCATTTTGGGACGATGGTCTACCAGACTTAAGACTAAATGGGTTGCTAAGATTGTAAAGAACTCTGAAATCTAGAGGAGATGGAGGACTCCTAACTGAGTCAGAATCTGATGAACCTTTATTACCAAACCCTGTAAAGAAACCAGGAATACTGAAAAGTGAGTTGCTTGTATGTTTCAGGCTTAACATATTAGAATAAGTCATTAGATCATCGCGCACAAACTTTTTGCACGTGACATGCTTATCTTCCTCTGTAATATTCTAAACAGCTCACTTCTCTTAAGAGGAACCAGCAATTCCTTACTGTAAATCGATGGTAGTAACCACTAAATTCTGGAGTAGGTTGGGAAAAAGGTAAATCCTAAGTTCAAAACCTGTCATATGAAAAAACAAACCAACACTGTAACCAATGAGTGAAGAAGCAGGTTGTGAGCAACATTGACCATCCACCTAGCTACACAAATGATAAAGCTTGAGTGCACATTATGGATAATAGGAAGTGGAAATGCATCTTGTAAGCACTGATACGAAAAGAAAAGAACAAATGAGAAGATAATTGTCCAAAAAATAATTTCCAGTGGAATAATTAGGAGTACAATCGAATAAAATCAACTGGACATAATCAGAGGAAAGAAGGGTAAACCATGAGCACGCATCAATGAACCATTATACAGGCAGGCAGGGAAAATCAAGGGCAACCCAAATAAGAAATTTTGTTGACACATTCAGAAATAAATGTAAAAACATGGATTGGATTGATGATCAAGATTAAAAATTTCCCAAATGATAACTAATTAAAAATTTCAAACATCATAACTGATCAAAAATCCCAGAACAACCTAGAGAGTATAACTTAAATTACACACTCAAGAAGCTTAGAGACCAAACTAAGTGCAGAAATAAGTTAAATAAGTTAATTCATAGAACCCATTATAGAAAATTGTCTTCAATGTCCGGTCACAATAATATTAAAAGCAGATATAGATCCCTTTGATTTTCCCAAATAAATACATAAATTCGTTTAAAATTGCTCGGGGATGATAAAGAATTCAAAGGTACCCAAGAGATAAGTTGAAAATGCAGTCACAAATACGGCAAGTGCTTAATCCTTCAAAATGTATCAAAGGGTATCCATTATGATCAAAGTCTGAATATTTTGCACAACTGAAAGGCCGATACACGCATCCTAATGAACCTCAAGAACACTAAGTCACAGTAAACAACTGAAAAGTTAAAACAAAAAATCAAGACCCAGTTTTGAGGTCCCAAAAACCCAATCCATCAAAATTCAAATGGATCAATGAGACAGAAATACAGACCCATAGGAAATAGGAAAATGGTACGGAAAACCCACCTGGCTTTCTTCTCCGCAACTTCACTGATGAAGTTGAGACTACGAAAACAATCCACATAAAGCATAGATAGACAGTGAAAAAGTCTGTAACTTTAACTTGCCTTCACTTTTATAACTCATATGTTCCTTTCTTATATTGTATGCACTGAAAACCAGAGACAGGCTCTTCACTGAGAAGAAAACTGATACACTTCTCTATTTCTCTCTCATTCACACATACACACGATTAACAAAGGTTATGTATTGTATGCGGCTTGGTATAAAACTACGTATATTCTCAGTTTTGGACCTTTTGGAGTTATGGCAATGTGGCAGCATCTTCTGGTCTAAGAGTATCCACAGTAGGGGATGTATTTTCGAGGGTGTAAAACCACTTTTACATCCCCTTTACATCTCTGGGGGTGTAAATACGTTTTTTTTGCTCCAATAGGAAACGATGTAAAGCCACCTTTACATCTCATTTTCTTCATTTTTCCTCTCTTTTCTTGGGTGGGTCCCGCCTACAAAAGATGTAAAAATATATGCAAATGTGCATTTTATTTTACATCTCCATAGTGGTGATGTATGTTTACAACCTTTTACATCTCCCTATTGGAGATGATTCCGGTGACAAGGGGTGTATATTTAACATACACCCCCTTATACACCCTCTCATTGTAGATGCTCTAAATCTAATATTCTTTCTAAGTAGTTACTCATTTACAGTAAAATCTCTGGCCTTTGCCTTTTCCAGTTTGTGAAAAATAGAGGATATTTATTTGTTTGTTTAACTTGTCAAAATATGTGGTGCTTGAGGATAAGAATATGTAAATGAAGAATATATATGTTTAATTAACTTGTACAAATTTTGAGAAAACTTGTAAATTTTCAATTAAACTTTAATCCTAAAAAAGGAATGAACTTTTTTTTTCTTTATAATTAGTGCTTGTCACGCGCAGAGTTTTCAAATGATGTACTAAACTCTTATTCTATTATGGTTAAATTTAGTAGGATTATGAATCCAACCAAAAGGTTGGGACTAATAAGTTGGATTGAATTATGTCTAACTCTATCATATTTTATGTGTAGTATTGTAGGGGTCTTTTTATTCCAGCAACCTGACGAATGGGCTTGGGCTGCCGTAAAGAGAAACAGGTAAAGCCACCCCTTGTATTTGAGTTCAAGAACCAGGCTCCAAGAACGTTTTGAAAAGTTCGTCAGAACCTTAGAAAACACCTCGGGTATCTTTCACCAGTAAGCCAAATGCACGTGGTAAATTATTAATATGACTTGCTTGAGGAGCTTGTGGCATGGGAGCTAATCCTCACAAGTTTAGCAATTTGAGAGAGAGAGAGAGAGAGAGAGAGAGAGAGAGAGAGAGAGAGAGAAGCACGAACTTCTTACAGAGAGAAAAGATTCAGAATGGGGAAGAGGAAAATTAGGAGGATTTTTATCTCAGGAAGAAAGAAAATAATGGGAATAGAAGATAAGGTGTCTTTAGTAAATTTCCAGTCACTTGACAAAGCTTGGTCGCGCTCTGGATGATGGTGTTTTGCTAAGTAGAGGAAGCTCCCTTTTATAGGCACTTAGAACCCCTAATTTTATCTAACCTTCTTTTTCCTTTTCCTTCACTTCCTTCGATTCACTCATATTTGGTGAAATTTCCATAACCATAGTACCTGAGTAACAAGTCTTTTTGGGGTTCCAAGATTTTTACGCAGCTGGACCTCTCCATGTGGGTGAGGCGCCACCCACTTTTCTCCTTGGTTTTCATATTAGAGCTCGCAAAGGAAAAGGAGAATGGATGGAGCGTTTGCCTAATGTGTATTCCTCCTACACATATGAATTTTCTTTGGTTTTTGCAATAGCTTCTCGTTGACTCTGTTATGGAGCTTTAACAAGGACTGAACACGATGCTAGACATTTTATAAGGCGTTGGGCTGGGCATTTCATAAGGTATTGGGTCATTGGTGCTCTATTTCTAGCAGCCTATGAGTTTGGTTTCGTCAAGCTGCAGGAAGTAGTTCATTTGCTTTGTTTTTTGACAAGGTGTTGGATGCTTTAACTAATGTGGGATTTTCTAAGTGTTGCAGCAACCAATAGATATTCTCCTGAGGCATTGGATCACTTTTCTCTCTCTCATGCTTACCCATGTGCTTGGGCCCAAGAAATGGGCTTGAGTTTTAGTGCTCCCAAGTAGCCCAAAACTTCCATTCTCTGAACCCTCAATGGGCCTTATGAGTGCTCGTACCCATCCATACCACAACCTTCTCAGCAAACCCCAGATATTTACACGGCTTTGGCCCACTTAAGCTTGTAGCATGGCTTGGCATTAGAATAACAGTCCTTTTGCTTGGCATCACATGTTTATTTAGCATGTTTGTGCTTGAGTTCTATTATGCCGTAATAAGCTATGACCGAGCCAAGTAGCACTTGATAGGTCAGTAAGTGTGAATTTATAGAGCCGGTGCGTTTTGACCCTTTTGACGTGGCGAGTGCGTGTGTTTGCTTGGCGTGGCGTGTGGCCCATAACTCGTGCAGGTGCGTCCCACAGGTTCTCATATGTCCCAGTTGGGCTCCTTTTGCAATTAAATATTTGTGCTGGGCTAGGAATAAGTCTGGGCCCAACCTTTGGATTTTTGGATCTCAACAAGTACCAAACACATAATTGAATTAGTGTTATACTCTCCAATTCAATGTAAGTCAATGTAATCCAATGCAATTCAATGTAATAAAATACAATCAAAATCTACCTCATAATTCAATTCTTCATAGATGTTCTGAATCCAAGTTCTAACAATCAAATTCGGCCAACGGGTCTAGCACAGTAAAAAAAGACATTGCCTTGTAGATAAGTGGTCTTAGGTTCGAATATGATACATTGGTAGTGAACAGTGGTCTCAGGTTCGAACATGACACATTGATAGTGTTTGTGTGTGAGAAACCCCTTTACCATTATAGACTATCGCTTGTATTTAAAATAAAATAAAAAGAGGCTGAAAGTCACTTTCGGTCCCTGTAGTTTGACACTTCGACCAGTTTTGACCCTATAGTTTCAATTCCGTCAATTTTGTTCCTATAGTTTCGTATTTGTAGCAATTCAAGGACAAGTTAGTATTCCTAACAATTTCTTTGGCAGTGCAAGGGGCAATTTCGTCAACTCAAAATCCTTGAGCATAAAAGCTCGTTTGAATCTCCCATAGTTTCATATTAGGACTTGAAATTGGTCATTTGGGTTTAGTGTTCTTCAAAAATTGGGATTAGTAGTTGAATTTTGAGCCCTAATATGAAATGGGAAGAATTTTAGACAAGCTTTTACGCTCAAAGGTTTTGGGTTGATAAAATTGCCCCTTACATTGTTAAAGAAATTGACAAGGATACTAACATGTCCTTAAATTGCAACAAATATGAAACTACAATGGCAAAATTGACAGAATTGAAACTACATGGTCAAAAGTGATTGAAGTGCCGAACTACATGAACCAAAAATGACTTTTGCCCAAAAAAAAAATTTAAATTCATTAATAATTCCTTTACTCTTTTCCCTTTCTATCCCTACTTTTTGGTGCTCTTGAATTCCTTTTCTTTATTGCTAAAATTGAAAAAGAAACACAAACAAGTGCAACGTATCTCTCAAATCCTATTTCTTTTATGTATGTGGTGTGCATGGTACATCAGCTAATAATAAGGCCTTGTCTAACATAAACAAATAAAACAAAATAGTGACTCTAGAGCTTTGAGGACCCATCTACCAACTATCTATGTACGCAAGGGCACAACTCATGAAAGAATGTTTCTTTTTTCAAATTTAGGAATGATTGTCAATATTTATGGTTAAATTACTAACATATCATGTTAACACCACAACATATATGGATTTAGCCCCACTATACACCCGAATTCAAATCCCCCTTCTCGTAGTTTAAATTACATTAAAATATAATATCGTTTGTATAAAAAAAATTGTTAACATCACATAAAAATCTGCATTTGTATTTTTTTTAATTTGATAAACTAAAATATAAATATCATCTGGGTGTGAACTTTCCAAACTAGGACCCAGCTCAAACCAGCATCCACTAGGCCCAAAAAGCCCAGAAAGAAAAAAAAACGAAAAACAATAACGCATTAACGCATCTGTACCAAAGAAAAAAAGGAAGAAAATAAACAATAACGTACCAGGTGTGTGATATAGCAGTGCCAGTGACCCTCTTTTATCCCTAATTCTTTACTCTCTCTGCTTTCTTGTCTTTATTTTCCCATCTCAGTTCTCCTGGAAGGAGACACAATTAATTTCAACTTTGAGGAAATTTCGAGTTGAAGCTCTTTCAGAAGCTTCAATTTGTCTTGCGACTGAGGAAATTTTGAGAAAAGTTTCGATCTTTCAAGCCTGTAAAAACTTGTCCTTTGAGGTAAGATTTAAGGGCTTCATTTCTCGATTTTGAAACTGCTGGAGTTTGAATTGAGCTTAAGAATTAGGAAATTTTTGGAAAACGAATGGTGGGTTAGTTTTTGTTTTACTTTTCATGAGTTTAGAATGATAAATTTGGTGACTTTGTTAGGGTTTACTTACCAGTCTATTGAGCTAAGGGTATTGAATTCTCCGACAACGATTTTCACCATAAAAATAGGTTTCTTTTTAGAGAGATATTCATCGGGGTTCTGATGTTTTCGTGATTTTCTAAAACAAAATGCTGATTTGGAGCTAGTTTCAGTTTTTCTTTTTTCAAAAGAAATTTTTTGTAGATGATGGTGATGATAACAAAGGTTCATGAGCTTGGATGATTTGGGGTTTTGGTTATATGAAGGAGGAGAAGTTGTTGATTGGAATAAGAAGCTAGCTGAAAAAGGATAATGGTATGGATTTTGTTGGAGTTTAGCCCAATTGAAACGGAGAAACTGGTGGTTTGGAACTAGCAAGTAGGGTCTTACTGGTGTATCGTATTTGTGGTGGTTTTGTTGTTGTTAATCTTGAGTTCGTGTTGAAATGGATGACACCGAAGATGATGCAAGGTATCCTCCAAACCCATATGGTGTGAATCACCAGCAGGGTTATGGTTCTTCTCAAAGGCAGAAGCTTCCTGTTCGTAGTGGTCCATATTCTAGGCCAGTTGGCAGTCACTATGTTGATGATGAAGAGGACGATGAGGATGAAGAGGATGAAGAGTTGGGTGAGGAAGAAGAAGACAACAATGGTCAAAATGGTTATCCGTCTGTTCACAAAGATGTTGATGATGATGATGATGACGACGAAGATGATGGTGATGATGAGGAGGATGAGGAGGATGAAGATGATAATAAGAGCAAAGTTTATAATAGAATGATTGATGATGCTGATTTAAAAAAGCACCCAAAGAAGCGGAAGTTGAAGAATTTGATCTCAAGTTATGAATTTGCTCCTCGTCTACCAGCTCCTCCAGCTGCTGCACCCTCTGCTCCAAGACAATCAATTGGTGGCCGAAATTCGCTTACCGATTGGACCGAGCATGAGACATTTGTGTTACTAGATGCTTGGGGTGATCGGTTTCTTCAACGTGGAAAAAAGAGTCTTCGCTCTGAGGAGTGGCAAGAGGTAGCGGAGAAGGTTTCAGAGGTGTCAAAGATTGAAAGGACAGACACACAATGTCGCAATCGGTTGGATACCTTGAAGAAGAAGTACAAAAAGGAGAGGCTCAAGTTCGCAGAGACTGGTGGTGCTACTAGCAAGTGGGTCTATTTCAAGAAGATGGATATGTTAATGTCATCACCACAACAGCAATCTGGCCTCTCTTGTGGTTTGGACTCAGGGGAGTATGTTTTCATGAACCCTAGAGTGTATTTGAACCGTGCAAATGGGTTGGATGAGATGAGGGATAGTCCAGGAAATTCAGAATCTGCTGAGGGAGTGGATGATGATTCTGATGGGCTACCACCCAAGAAGAGAAGGTACGGAAGGGACAATGATGATCGGTGTTCCTTTAGATTGCTTGCTGATTCTATTCAGAAATTCAGTGACATATATGAGAAGATCGAAACTAGTAAAAGGCAGCAGATGGTAGAACTAGAGAAGATGAGGATGGATTTCCACAGGGACTTGGAAATGCAGAAAAGGCAGATTATGGAGAGAGCGCAGGCTGAGATTGCGAAAATACAGCAGGGTGATGACGAGGAGAATGATATCTCTGCCGAAAACGCTAGTGGGTGATATGAGTATCTATCTATAATGTCAACTAGTTATGTTAACTGCTAGCTGTTGTTGTAACAATTGGGGGCCTTTATCCCTTTCAATTTCTTTTATGGAAATAAGTTGTTGATGTTGTAGCAGATATGGTATTAGAAATATGAAAATTCGAATTACTATTGTATTGCCTAGTTCTGTTCCCTTTTGTTCCATGTTGATGGTCTTGTATGTATCCACTTGTGCTAGTGGTCTGTTTTCTATTTTGATTGCCTCTGCCAGCATTTTGAGCTGAAAATCATGAAGATGCAACAATATATACGTTTTAAGTTTTTTGACAGATCCATATACCTTGGTGCATGAGTTTTGTTTGTTTTGGTTTTGTTACAAAATGCAGAATCTAGTCTAAACTCATCCCTGAGTTCTCAACCATCTTTTAAAAGGAAATGACAATTACAACCTTATCCACCCATGATATTAAAAGGACATGAACGTTAATGCTGCAAGCGAGATTGGGGTGCTGCATCCGCATTGTCATGGGACTTGTGAAATCTAGTGCATTTGAAAAATAAAGAGTGAAACAACATTTAGAATTCATGAGGTGGAATGTATAGTTATAAGTCACTGATAATCAAATTTCCAATTGGGTACAATGAAACGCATCAGGATCAATTATGCCTTACAAATATAGGCGGTGAATGAACATGAGTTCATAACATTCTTTCATATTACTACAATTAACAGCTACTGCATTTCAGCACTGAATTTGTCCATCTCCTGCGTAAGTTACAATACATGAGGCAGTGCGAATTGTGTAGCAGAAGAGCAACCCTCATTCAAATCGTATTTACAAAGGTAACATTTGAATTGGGTTTTCTACAATCCACCGTCTTTATAATGATAAGTGGTTATTAGTGTTTTTCTTTTCTTTTCTTCCAGCAAATTCCAACTGGAAGATACTTGAAATTTGTAGGATATATGGCTGTGCCGCTAGCGCTTAATAGGGCGTATAACCTGCAGAAGAATCAGCATTTCATGAGTGAGTTAAGTATACAGCAGACGGTTTATAACAGCATTACTAAAAATTTGATTACTAGGACATAGTGAGTATCAATCACATAGCCCACATGCAATTAAGAAAAAAATTGTCATATGAACAGCTCAAAACATTAGCCCAAACATCGTAACTGATAATTATGCATGTGGTGTCAACTGATATTGCATACTTTCACAAGTTCATTTTTTGTTTTTCTACTTATTAGCAGGTCTTCAATCATCTAAATCAGAAACAGTCCTTAACCCTGGGTACTAGTGTAAGTAAAAGAAGAGAAACTATCTCATACCATATCCCTCTGAGGAAATCTTGCGAACATCATCAACCTTGCCAACCGCCTCAAGTATTGATGAGTAAGTGATGAGATCATATTGAAAACCTTTTGAATCCATCTCTTTCATCAGCTTTGCAGCCTCCTCGAGCATACCAGCTCGGCTGAGACAACCAAGAACAGTGTTATAAGAAACTGCATCTGGTTGAATCTTAGAATGCTTCATCTTGGAAAACATTTCCAAAGCCCGATTTGGTCCACCTGTCCTGGCCAAGCCATTTAAAATGATATTTTGTGAGTTTAGGTCTGGAATGCAACCATTTTCTTCCATTACTTTAAGCAAGGAATGCGCTTCATCCATCATGCTAGCCCTCACCATCCCTGACATGAGCGCATTATAAGCATACACATCTGGAGTGCATCCGAGTTTCTTCATCTCGTTAAAAAGATCCAAAGCTTCATCGAAACGCCCGCATTTCCCAAAATGTTTAATCATCACAGCATATACCCTAGCACTTGAACGCCCACAGTTTTCTTTCAATTCTTGAAATAACTCATTTGCAGCTTCATACCGCTTTGCTTTTCCAAGACTGTTGATCAGGCTGCAATAGGCAGCTGGACAAGGAGGAAACCCCTTTTCATCCATCTCCTCAAGAAGCAACAGAGCTTTCTCAACTCTATTTGTTTTGCAAAAACCATCAATAAGAATTGAATAGGTAAATGAGCTGGGAACAATGCCATTAACTTTCATCTTCTCAAACCATGAAGCAGCGTCAGAAGCTGGAGCTTTGGATTCAAATAAAGCTTTAATTATAGTGTTGTATGTCACCACATTAGGTGTGCAACGCAAAGAAACCATCTCGTTGAAAAGCTTAATAGCATCTTCTATACGACCTTCCTTTCCCAAAATGTTTATCAAATTGTTAATGAGCACGACATCAGGCTTACAACCCTCCCTCAGAAGGTTTTTGTATATAACACAAGCATCTTCAACCCTACCAGCTTTGCCAAGCCCCTTTATCAATTCAGTGTAGGTAAACACAGTAGGCGGACACCCCTTCTCTCTCATCTCCTGGGCCAGGTTTAAAGCTTTCTCAACTTTTCCCAACTTGAAAAAGATTGCCAACAGGGTAGTATAAATCTTTGCAGTTGGATGCAAACCATTATCCTTCATTTCATCAAACAACCTAATGGCAGAATCATCACGACCCAATTTCCCAAATGCCGATATTAGTGCACTATATGTAACTGTGTCTGGGAGACAGTTAACCTCATTACACATCTCATTATAGAGCTCATGGACCTTGTCATGATGACCTTCTTGCATCAGCATTAAGATCATGGAGTTGTAAGTGTTTGCTGTTGGTTTGCACTTGTGGCCTTTGATCTGGTAGAAGACAGATAGTGCCTTGTTTACCATCTTAGCCCTGCCTAAGATTCTTATGATTTCAGATAATTCAGCTGGCTCAATAACACATGTACTCCGAACCATTTCTTGGATGGTTTTCCACATTTCACCAACAACACCAGCCTCATCCAAGCAACGGATCAACGCCATGTATGTGGTTGAATCGTGTTCGAAATTCCTTCTCTTCCCAGCCCACTTGAAAAACTGAATCTTAACATTGACTTCAACATCAATTTTGAGAACCGCGAGAACCAATCGATGATCCACTCTCAACTTCAGCACTTCTAGGGCCTTTTCTGCATCAGGTCCCCATTTGAAAATTTTCAAAATCTTTGTGAACCTCTCATCCAACATCCTAACTGAAGGGTCCTTCCTTGACATATTCCTACTCATGGGGAAGTTTTGCACTTCTCCAGAAGCACGGGGCAACCGGAACATTTTAACTATCTCATTTTCTGCTAAGCCACAACATAACAACAGGTTAATATAGAAGAAATATCGGTATATTCAATCAAAACCATGCTAATACAGAAATACAAGTTGTTAAAAAGTACAGCATAACCTTGCCAACCAAATAAAAAACAAAACAGTCAAAGAAAACCCAATTGCAGAAATTGAATTGGAAACAAATGCTTGCTTCACATATTTAAGTTGAAATTGATACATAGAATAATGCGGCTTACCTGTTTGATTAAGTCTCTCAGAGAGATGAGGATAGGTTGATATTGATCGCTTTAAAGCAAACGATTTGGCAACCATTTTTGTCATAAGTAACGGGGATTTGCACATAAATTTACACCTCAGGCGGGCAAATTCCACTCATGCTAATTGCTAAAACAGTATGACGAATTGATTTTGGCCTTCAAAGGAAAATGATACGACAAAAGCATACCCCAACATTGTTCCTAGCCAGTTCGTCGTTGTCGTTTCAATAAGGAGAAGAAAGGAGATAGGGAAGAGGGAAAACAGAGAAGAGAAGAAGTCCCTGCCAACAACTGTCGTTGCCGATGCCGCTGTCTACTTATAAGTGAAGTGAGAAGCTTTAGAAACTGTCATGTTTAATTTTGTGCGCTAAGTAGCTGATCCCGCGAGCTTGTGATTGATCAACCCCTTCTCCAATGCGAATTGAGTATTTGTAAGGTGAGTATTTTTTTACTAAGGTTTGTGTGTCATAATGAATACGTAAGTCAATTTTCGTAAGATAAAAGACATTATTTGAACATGATACCAAATTGAGGGATTTGGTGGACCAATTCATATATGACAAACACGCTTAACACGCTTAACACCGACAACAAAGAGTCTGACTTAGGCAAGGGACTTGTAGCTCCATCAATTTGATAAGAGCATTTACCCCTGCATCCGGGTCCTAGGTTTAATTCCCCTCTCCCCCAATATCGCTTGTAATAAAAAATGTATATATATGACTTAGTATCAGACACAAGAAACCCAACCTTTTACTAACTTGTCTTTTTTATTTATTTATCGATGAGGTGAGAGATTTGGACTTGAAATGTCTTTTCATATTGGGAAGAGAAATACCGCTATACCAAGAGGTAGTTGGTAGGCAACTGTCTAAGCTGGTACCATATGCAAAAGAAAGTTGCTTCAGTTTCCATATCTTAGTATGTGTCCCATGAATCCTTTTGTATGATTTATTTTAAGATTTCTATTAATATCAATATAAGTTATATAAACTTTTGTGTAAAAATTGTGAGACGATTGGAATAGTGTGGAAATAGAGAAAAATTTAACCTACTTTAATGTCAATTCTCAAGACCACTTAATGGCATAATTACTCGCCTGAAATGGGAGAGAGAAATACTAGATATGGGATACCCACGTCTTAATAAATACGTAGGATGTACAGAATACTAGCAATACTCATTTCAAGTAAGCAAAGGAAAGAGGACATGTTCGTTTTCGGTCAGTCGTTTTATCCTTTTATTTTTCATCATAATCATACCATTTTCTTTTATACAATGAGAATTACCAAAGCAATTTTAGACTTCATTTTAAACTGAATCATCTTTTCCCGCTTGGGAGAATTACTAATCTTTTTTGTTGTGTTTTCGAGCAACATATGGAACTAATCATATATCAAATCCGAGTAAAAATCACATTACATCACATCACCGGAGAATGTAAAAGTGACTTTACATCTCCATTGGAGATGCTCTAAAGCATAAGTCTTGCACCAAAGACGACCCTGATGCAAATGATCCTATGCCAACAACATATACTATCAACCTTGAAGCAAAAGATGTCCAGCCTGACCACATACATGAGAAACTCGGAAACAAAAGCGAGCAACCTTGTAAATTAATGAAATTTTAGAGAAAGATTTAAAACATGAAGAAAGAGTAGCAACAATGGCCGACGTGAAGACGACTTGAAAGGGAATTAGTCTCATTTCCCTACATAAAGAGCAGGGAAATGAAACCAAGGGTACATTTCTCTTGAAAACCATTATAAAAAAAATCCGGAATTCTAGAGACCAAATGTAACAATAATTAATTAAAACTGACAGACCACAAGCACAGAAAAGGCTTTACAGACTCCTAAAAAAGTATATCATTAAACACACCGCGGGCCTCTTCCCCTCTCTGAGAGTCCAAATTGTGTGCAAGGCTCAAATGAAAATGTTTTTACGCTTAGGAATCAAATCCTGCCACAAAAACCATAGAAAGGCAAATTACTCTACACAATTACGCAGAACTTTGGGGTGCTTCTGGCTTGTCTGTTTCCATTGGTTCTTCAGAAGCTTGTGGAACCTCATTGCTGCTGTCGGCAGGGTTCTCATTACTGCCGGCATTGGCATTTGCATCCCCGCCCTGAGGCTGGTGCTCATTTCCCTGAGGAGGTGGGGTTGGAGTTTCAGGAGCTGCTGGCTTGGCTGGTGCTGGTTTTGGTTTCGTCATTATGGGTCTACAGAACCTGTCCGTGCAAATAGATTGGGAAAAGATAACTACCAAGTCAGATATCACTGGGCCAAAAGACAATTGACTAGAGACAAACAACCAAATTCTAAGAAAAGACTTTGGCACTTCTACAGAAAGGTTCCAAAAGACTATGCAAGCCAACCAGTTTAAGAACACTAGCAAAAGAAAAAAAATTCATGAATGCAGAAACAATACCTGTCAAGTGCTTCAGCCTTCCGTCTCACATCAGCTGACAAGAGTACTGGGTTGGCATATTTTGGGAGCGAATCCTGTTGCTGTTTTTTCTCTCTTAACCAGGCCTCAGCTTCAACACACTCATTTAAGACCTATGTCACACAAAAAACACGAGTTGGAATGGAAGATATTGGTGGATGGGAAGAGATTGGGGGATGGGGAAGAGCTCAATGAGTCCATTACCTTCTGTTTATCAGAAATATCAATGTGTTCAAATTTTGCATCAGTCGACATTGCAGCTTCTCTGTAACTATTAATACAGTAACCAAGTTGATCGATCACAGTACCCCTCTCTGTGTGCTCCCTGTATCGCTCTTCAATTGGGTCACCTTGCTGCAATTTGATAAATCACCATCAATTTCAAACAATCAAACCAGTCGAATATAATACTTTAACATTGTTGCCCTCTTTTTAACAAATTAAACAAAACCAAACAGAGAAGGGCACAAAAAATCATTAGGAAAAAAAAAAATCCTAACCTTCTTTAGCTCCTCAAGCTTGGCAATGTAAACTCCTTTGGTTTCATCTTCACCATCTTCATAGAGCCAGTCCTCCACCTCCTGAAGTCTAGCAATAAACGCTTCCCTCTCTGGTTCGGTGACAAATTCCTGATATTTGTCATTGAGCTGGAGACACAAAAGAAAATTTTGAGTCGGTATATGAACAAGAAAAGAAAAGGAAAACCACAAAACATGCCATGAACATAGAAGAAGCAGACTACCTTGTTTCTCGTGTCATAGACATATGCCTCAACAGCATTTTTCTTGTCTTTTGTTTCTTCCATAACACGGTCTTGCAAGGCCATCTCAAACTCCTTCTCTATTGCCTTTTGCACATCTGATGGAGGCATCCCTCCATAAACTAACTCTACAACAGGAATGTTTGTTTTCTTTACCTTTCTCTTAGGAGCATCAGCCTGCATGGCATAAAAACATCAACAATGCAGCCAACCACTGAAATAAAACTAAATAAACCACTAATAACATTAAAAAGAACAGGAAGACTGTTTGTAATTCCAGGTAGGATTTGACACGCACAATCTATGACTTCTCTATAGGTCATATAAAATGCAGATTGCATGTGGAAGGAACGATCACAAAAATGTTAAATAGTACAACTCCTCTCAATATTTCAAAGAACATGGAAACTTAAATGTATTTCAACATGATGGAAACTCTAAATATTTCACAAAACATTAAATCCTTCATCCTTCTTAGTCCACACAAAAGTGAGTCAAATCAAATAACCAAACCCTACAATGTCAATATATACAGGGCTATTTGGCTACCTACCCCGAAGCTGAGGTCAAGAAGAAATAACAAATAACTCATGATTAACCAACATATGACGAAAGGAGAATATTACTGACCTTCGCATCTGTTTCCATCTGCACAGGCTTGTCTCCTGACTCAGGAACACCATTTTCAGCACCCGAGGCATCAGCAGTGCCCTTAGCATCTTGCATGTTCACATCAGTCTCATTGGTACTTGGGGGAGCCGCATCACTAGGGGCCTCATCAGTCTCCATCTTAGCGCCCTCCTTAGGTTGCTCTTTTGTGACAGGAACCTCAATTTCTTCTTCTTCCAAGAGCTAAAGCACATGTCAAGAAAAAACAAATGGACTTAAAATCAACCAGTGACGGCTAGAAGCACAAGATGTTTTTAACAAACTTACAGTTGCTGAGTCTACAGATACAATCCCATGCAGATTCAGGCGAGCTTTGACCTTCAGTTTTGCCCGCTCACCTTTAGTAGACTGGAAAGGACCAATCTGCACATATAAAGTATAAATGTAAATATAAAAATCTGGCAGATAACCTACTAGCCTTGAGACAAATTAGAGCATGCAAGTTTTAAGATCCACTCACCGTGTATGTGCTGATTTTTGCAGGTGCTTGCAAATCAGAAACATCGGCATACTGTACATCAACTGAAAACGTGCCCGATCTGTAAAATGTAAGAGCCTTGATACTTGGAATAGGATTTCCCTTGGGGAAAACAATAGTACTTTGGTTATTATCAGCTGCTCCATTCTGGGTGTCTGGACCAGAACCTTTCCATGACAAAGCAATTGTAAATGGGAAGCTCTCGTTCACCTTTAAATTAAATGGAGTAACATTAATTAAAAATAAATCAGCAAGGCAAACAAAGGTAACACATTAATTAAAAATAGAGATTAGTTCAACTAATGGAAACAAACACAAAGATTTTTACAAAGCATGAGTTTAACTCACCTGAAACTCTCTGACTTTGAATGTCGGACTAAGAATTGCGCATTGCAGAGCACAACCCCTGGCAACACACTCACTTGCATTCATAGTTCGCCTAGGCTCCTTTTTGAAGAAATCTGTCAATATCTTGATTATAGCAGGAACACGAGAGCCTGAACCAACAACCTCAACTGTATGAATATTCTCTATTGAAAGCTGTGCATCAAGAAGAGCCTTCTCCAAAGGCCCCTTCACACGTTCCAAAATAGGAACACTAATTTGTTCAAACTCATCACGCTTAATAAATCCCCTGACATCTTTCTCTTCCATTAAACACTCTATATTCAAAGGTGCCTCAGGATTTGCACTAAGCATCTTCTTCAGCTTCTCACAAGCAACCCGAAGACGAAGGCAGGCCCTTGCATTCTGAAAGACATCGATCTTGTACTCTTCCTTGAATTTTGCCGCAAAGTGGTGGAACAGTACTTCATCGAAATCCCTGCCGCCCAAAGACTGGTCAAAGGAATGAGCCAGTATTTTCAACTGCCCCTTCTTAAAACCAGCAATGCAGACTTGCATGCTAGCATGTCCAATATCAACGAAGGCAACATTCAATTGGTCATTTTCTGGTAAATCCGTCTTGTAAATACCATAAGCCAAAGCAGTCGCTGTAGTTTCGTGGAACAAGCGAAGAGGGTGCAAGCCAGCAATTGTTGCTGCATCCATAACAGCTCTTCTTTGGAGATCAGTGAAATAAACTGGAATCCCAATACAGCAATCAACAACAGCTGCATTAAGATTCTTCTCAGCTATGATTTTCAGATCAGAGAATAGCATTCCAAGAACTTGGGTAGGTGTAAATGTCCTCGATTCTCCCAAATATCGGGCATGAATCAACGGGTATCCATCAGGGCCTTCAGTAACAGCAAAAGGCAATGACTTGATATCCCTCTGCACAACAGGATCGGAGAATTGCCGACCAATTAAACGTTTAATCTGGGAAATTGTGTTCTTAGGGTTCATCAAGGATGAAGCAGCTCCTGCTGTCCCAATGAACCGCTGCTTGTCACCAAAACAAACAAGGGCTGGAGTTTCGCGTTTGGATTCATCATTAAGCACAACGTCAATACCCCTCTGCCTGGCCACGGCCACAATGCAGCTCTCATTGCCAAAATCAAATCCAACCACGCTCATCCTTGCAAAATCTTAAATCTGGAGAAAAATTAAGAAACCACATTCAGTAAACAACTGAAATTTTAAACAAGTTATATGCAGCCAGCTTCCACATCAGTAAACAGCTCAGCCAAAGCAGACTGATTGAAATCTACCATTCAATCACAAAAATATAGAAATTTTAACGAGTTCCACGGATGACTTGCATCACCATCGTCAGAGTGATTACAATATCAGAAACCAACAAAATGGCAGCTAAAGGAAACAAAATAAGATCAGATATTATACCTCTCCACAAATTTGGACTAAAAATATGTCCCACTCAAACTACATAGCATACATAATAGTAATCTTCATTGGACATTAAAGTTAATCAAACGCAATAGCAAATTCAAACCCACATTAATAACACAAGGAACCTATAAATCTTTCATCTAATTAAATACACAACCGTAAGTATATAACACAACCAAATTCAAACCCAACAATTATCAAATTTACAGCATCATTCAAATCAACATCTAGTTATACTGACCAAAATCCAGCTAAAGAGAACACAAAAACAACAGAGTAAGAAAAAAAAATTGAATCGATGCAGAAAAGCAAGCACTTCAACACTACAGCATCGACCAAGGAAAAACCCGGTCGAATGTTCAAATCGAGAAACAGAATCTAACAGATCTAAAAGCATTTTCAGAAAGAAAGATCTGATCTGATGCAAAAGCTAGGGTTTTGGAGACCGTACCTCGAAAGCAATCCACAGAGAGTCTGAGGTCGCGATGAGCAAGGGAGAGAGAAAGCGAGAGGGCTTTTGGGGTTTCTGGAAGTCTCTACGAAACGAGTTTATGAACAAACAGAGGAGGTTGCGAGCAGAAGAGGGTACTTAACAAAGAGACCTAAGGGCTGTGTAGAATTTTCACCTTTTATAATTTTCGATTTTTTTTTTTAATAGGTTGGTGTGGGAATTAGTGTTGGGTTTTATAAGGGAGAGTATGAGGTCAAGCGGTCCTAGACATCTCTAGAGAGATACTTGGTTCTTCTAGAAAGATCCTGCCACTTCCGAAGAGGGTGAAGAAGAATTTCCAAGTGGTTTATTTTTTATTTTTTTGGAGCGGTTTGAAGCATTTGGTTTGGTTTCGGCTTTTGGGTTATGGGCCTATTACTAGGGTTTGTTGTGCATTGGAGGCTTATGAACATGGGCTTTCTTATGACCAAAAATGAGAGTGGCAACCTTATATTCCGGAAATTGTATAATGAGGGGTATGTTGTGCGGGGTTATTTTATAGTTATCAGATCGATCTCATGGTTGAACTCGTTATGCTACAATCGGGTTGCAATTACCCGTTTTGAAAACAAGAAGAAAGATTTAACTATAGACAGATATGAAGAAGCAAAGAAATTTTACTGAATACAGTTGATCACGAATAGTTGGGCAAGTAGTGTTGATGAGGAATTAGCTTTTAAGAAAGTGTAGTAAATCTAGTTACATACTTGGCTGCAAGTTTATTTTTTTCCATGTCCCATATATTTTTTTTTAATGTTAAAGTATCTCATGCAACTTAGTTTTCAGAGTTGTACTATTGCAGTTAGTCATAAGAGTTGTTATTCATGCCTCCGTATTTGATTGCTATTGCAGTGAATTGTTTTGGTGTCCCCGCTGGTGGATGTTACCTTTTGTTTGCTACTGCAGGAAAAATTGGCATATTTTCTAATAAACGAGCTCAAGGATGTTCTAACCCAATTAGGCCTTTCAAAGCAAGGGAAGAAGCAGGTGAGGCGCCAGAAATACTGCTTTTGTGCTGCGATGTTACTTATTGGTCATGCTGCAAGTCTTCTTCTTTTGATTGGTTTTTTTTTGTCCCAACAAGTTCTTCCTTCTCCTTGCAAAGTTCTAGGTGCTGTTTCATAATATGGAGTTCTCTGTCAAGTCCCTGAATTTGGGCATTGAGACTTCTGATAATGCCAAGACCTGTGAGAATGCTGTTTCCTTGCATTCCCTTCCGTGAGAATGCTTTCAGCAGCTGCCTGTCTTTGATCAGGTGCAGCCATGGCCATGATCTTTTGGATGTTGCTCACACCAAAGATCTTATGAGCATTTTGGAACTCACTGTACCTGCTGGCTGGAAAGTATGGGGCCATTTCACAGGTCTCATCACATTTTCTCCTCTGATGCCTATTTTCCATGATTGCTTGTTCTCACTGAAAATGCACCAAACAGAAGCAATTGAGGGTGAGGAAAAGCAAAGAAATTGGGATTTAATTGAGAGTTAAAGAGGGATATAAAGTTGGCACAAGCTTTTGGTTAATGAGTTGGTTAGCGTCAGATTTTGTGAAATTTATTTTGGCATCACCTCTTATTTTCTTATGATTGCTCTGTTTTTTTTCCTCACTTGCTATATTTAATAAATTTGTATCTTTTTTTTGTTAATAATTTAATTCTTGTTTATATTTTGGGCAAAGGCTAATGCGAAGGAAGCTGATAAAGTAGCCAACCAGTTGCAGTCTACTGGTATATCTTCTGGTGGAGAAAGAGCTGCTTCTTCTTCAGGTGATACTGTAAATATGTGTATAGATGTATGTAGCAGTGTATGTTTGTATTTCATTACCCCCACTCTCTCTCTCTCTGGGGCTTCTGCGTTTTGGAGCGGCAAGAAGTTACTATTGAAGAGGTGACACGTAATAAACAGAGTATAGCCGCGCGGTTATACGATTTCTTAAAAAATTAAAAACCAGAGTTATAGCGAGAATAGCCGTGGCTATACTATTTCAGTGAACAAATTAGGAGAACCGAGTATAGCCGACCGGCTGTACTATTTCTTTTAAAAAAATTAGCATGAGAGGGACTGGGCGTCGTTTGTATACAATGTTGGATTTTGGGATGAGCATCTTTCCAGGCATTGCCACATTATGAGTTCATATGTGGGACATTATTGTTTTGAATTGCAGGGGGATTTTAAAGAGGCTGATGAGAAATTCCGGTCAAGGCCAAGGGGTGGCCATAAGAGGAAGTACCCCACTATAGAAATGCTTGTACGAAAAAGGGTGACTCCACCAGACCAATTGGGCCAGCAGCTGAGTACCTCTCCTGGTTGCTCTCACAAGAAGCTGAAGACGAGAATTGAGCCATGCCCTTGAAGTAAGTGATTGGACATATATCCACTACGTACGCTAACCTACTTAGAAGTTTGGGTGTCATGAATCTCAACACTAGATATGGAAATTGGGTGATGCTGTGAATCTGAACACTAAATATGCATAGCATTTCCGCATTCTTTTGGAGATAAGCATTCTTCTGTTTAGTTGAATGGTATTTATTAATACAATAGTCATTTTGCATTGGCTCAAAGTTGTGGAATGAGTGCTCTCTCTTCTTTTTGCTCAGTTTTGCCCACCACAAGTTTATGTAGAACAACTTTGTTCTGCTTGTTCAAACCTTGTGAATATATAGTTTTGGATTGTTTTGATAATTCAGAATGACTTTGAAAACTCATCCTTTTCAATAGAACTTTCAATTACTGTAAGTAGAAAAAAGAAATAGATTTAAATTTGGGTGGAATATTTGGTGCGTGGTATATAAATTCCAATAAATGGATGTATTTTTCATGGATGTGGTTTTCTTTCAGTATTTTGATTTGTGTTGTCAGCAAATGCACCGGCCACAGACCACGGGCCAAGCCAAACTTGGTCTTATGAAATTTGATAAAGAATTCGAACGGGGGAAAGGGACAGAATGTATGTGACATGTATGAGCCTCTGGATAGTACTTTCTTTAGGAAATTATATTGAGCATGAAATTCTTTGTAGCTCTAAGATAATTGTATGAATATATATTTCCAGTATGGAGTTTGTGATGCAATTAGAGTTCTCTGACAAACTAGCCATAATAATTTGCACGTTTCTGGTGGTTAAACAAATAGGATTGTCCTTGCTTGCTATTTCTTTTATCACCTACTGAGTACTGACCTCTATTTCTATTTACTGTCTTATGCTGTCAGAGTGAGATAGCGAAGTTACAAGACTTCGCTCAGGCTGCTTTTCGTGGGTATAATTCTCTGAACCGTATTCAAAGCCACATATTTCATAATGTTTATTACTCTAATGAAAATATACTAGTAAGTTATTGATTCTGTTGATTATGTGAATACCAAACCATTGCAGTGGAAGTGCTGATATGATATGCTTGAATGTGATTTTCATTTACTTGCAGGTTTGTGCTCCAACAGGAGCTGGCAAAACAAACATAGCTATGATTTCTTTTCTACATGTGGTATGCAAATGATTGGCTATTCCTGGGTCTCTATTCTCATTTTTGGTAATCATACTTTTTCTCTTACTACTTTGGCTTGATCTCAAATTCACACATTTGTTTTTGAATTGTGTAAGAGTTAATCTGGGTTAATTGCATAGTTAAAATGGCATGGGAATGGCTGTAATGTCATATGAGCTGGTATTGTATAGATTTTTCTGGGAGTTTTAGTGTGTTAAAGATATCAGCTTGCAAAATAAAGCAAGGATGTTTATATTTAAAAATGTTTGTCAGATGTCTGTTACAACTTACATGTTGCTTATGTAGTTTATGGTTGGTTGCAAAACATTTAGTTGCTTATGACCTTTTGTATACTTTTTAGTTGTTTTTTATTTTTATTTTTTACGTGCGTGGCAGGTGGAGTCTACACAGACAATGATACGCATTGTGGGCCTTTCAGCCACTTTACCGGACTATTTAGAGGGATTTTGGTCACCTGATGATATCTTTTATCTGTATTTGTTGGCCTTTAAATGCCGTACTCTGAAATCTATTCTGTTTATTTGTTAATGTGGATTATTCTTCTATAATCACCCAGGTTGCACAGTTTCTGAGAGTGAATCCAGAAGCAGGACTCTTCTTCTTTGATTCTAGTTATCGCCCTGTGCCCCTCGCACAGCAGTATATTGGTATTAGTGAGCACAATTTTACAGCCCGTATTGAATTGCAGAATGAGATATGCTACAAGAAGGTTTCTTTTTCCTTGGGCTCTCCTTTGTGTAATGTATGCATTAGAATGATTATTTAACTGATTGATACCTTTTTCTGCCAGGTTTTTGAATCACTCAGACAAGGTTATCAGGCAATGGTATTCGTTCCTTCTCGAAAGGACACAACAAAAACAGCTAAGAAATTGGTTTACCTTTATATTCCATCTTACTTTTGTGGGTTTCTATTTGGTTGAATTATTTTTTGGAAGTGTTAATAATAAATTAGTCATGCTGACTTCATAAATGAGGAAGCTTCAGTTGGTTGCTGATGCAATTGCATCAGCCGGACCCCATCGATTCCTTGCAAGTATTGATTTCAGCCATGGGAACTGCCTTGATCTTTGTATAATATGTTTCCTTTGGAGTATATGTGCCATTTGTTTTCTCTTATATTGTTTTTAGTTTTGGAGTTAATGATATTGCTCTGGTTCAAAAAGATAAAATTTATCAACAGAATATGACTTAAATGAAAAATAAATATATTAATGTACTAAAAAACTATGATCTATATTGATGAAGTAATCATTGGAAGTTTGATTTCACACATCTAACATAGAAACAGTGGCTTTCTCAGCAAGAAATAATAATAATAATAATAATAATAATAATAATAATAATAATAATAATAATAATAATAAAAGGGATGCAATTGGGCAGTACACCTTGAACATAAACCTTTTGTCTGTAGCTTTTTGGGTTGTGGCATGAGATTCGCAAACAAGCATGTGAGAGATTAGCATGAGAAGACTGGCGGTCATGTGTATGCATATATGAGTATTATTCTTAGATCATTCAATACCCTCATATGCTGGATTTTGGGATAAGCATCTTTCCAGGCAATGCCACATTATGAGTTCATATGTGGGACATTATTGCTTTGAATTGCAGGGGGATTTTAAAGAGGCTGATGAGAAATTCCGGTCAAGGCCAAGGGGTGGCCATAAGAGGAAGTACCCCACTATAGAAATGCTCGTACGAAAAAGGGTGACTCCACCAGACCAAATGGGCCAGGAGTTGAGTACCTCTCCTGGTTGCTCTCACAAGAAGCTGAAGACGAGATTTGAGCCATGCCCTTGAAGTAAGTGATTGGACATATCCACTAAGTACGCTAACCTACTTAGAAGTTTGGGTGTCATGAATCTCAACACTAGATATGGAAATTGGGTGATGCTGTGAATCTGAACACTAAATATGTATAGCATTTCTGTTTTTTTTTTTTGGAGATAAGCATTCTTCTGTTTAGTTTAATGTTATTTATTAATACAATAGTTGAACCACAACCTCTATCTGAACTCTGAAGAACAAATTTGTGCACTACTTGCCAAACCACCCATAACTTTTATGGGCTGGAACAGTCATTTTGCATTGGCTCAAAGTTGTGGAATGAGAATGAGTGCTCTCTCTTCTTTTTGCTCTCAGTTTTGCCCACCACAAGTTTATGTAGAACAACTTTGTTCTGCTTGTGAATATATAGTTTTGGATTGTTTTGATTAAGAATGACTTTGAAAACTCATCCTTTTCAATAGAACTTTCAATTACTGCAAGTAGAAAAAAGAAAGTTGAATAGCAGACTTATTTTAGAATGATGTCATACCAGTTTAGCAATAAATTGAATAGCAGACTTATTTTAGGTATTGCTCCTTCGAGAGTATATTCTTTCCCTCTATTATTATTATTGATGATGTTGGTGATGGCGGTAGGAGTGAAGAAGTTGTGTTTGTAACAGATTGAGATGAAGGAGTACAGGCCACAGACTATTGTTCTGCTTGCATCTGAACATGCAGATATTGTAGTTTAGAAAGAAGTTACATGTATGGCTAAAACCTAAATTTACTTAGTATATTATAAATATGCAAGAAAGAAATAAGGTCCACCGAGCAATATAAATAGTAATTGGAACAATATTTAAAGTATAGCCACGCTATAAAAGTATAAAATTAGTTTGTTTACTTTGAACTTCTTTAATTTAATATATGTAATTAAGTAATGTTGATGCTCTTTTTCGGAGAGGGTCAACTTAGAGAAAAAGGGGTTTGCCTTCAGCAGGGAAAGGGTCTGGGCCTTCAATAAAGGCTAGCCTGCAGAAGACAAAAATAGGGGAAGCAGTCGTCAAGTTCCGGGCACCGGTGTGGTGCCGGCCGAAGGCTCTCCGATGCTTAAGTCAGCTAAGAATGGTAACTTTTGCAGAGTAATAGTAAAAGGCAGAAAAGTAGTTACCCTTCTTACTAGGGTACTGTTCCCTTTTTATAGGGAAGTGAAAATGGGAGGTTGGTGTAGATTTCCGATGTGGGACTCTGTGCAAGTTGCCGCGGTGGTGACACGTGTCATGAGAATTAGGTTTAACAGTTTGTGAGCTTTGGCAGTCGGGAGTTTCGGCAGGTGCTTGGCACCTCGGAAGAGTGTCTTCCTTCGGCAAGAGAGAAGGCGTGTCTGCCTTGGTGCTAGTTGTTTTGAGACTGGATATGCTCGGTTGATTATGGTGTAAACAGTAGTCCCCCAAGTTCGCGGTCAAGAAGTGACTTCTGGGTTGGGAACTTGTAAGCTTTTGTGTGATCATGACCGAGCATTCCAGGTTCAGTGGGAGCCGTAGGGCAGTCCCTAGTCCCCCAAGTTGTCAAGCTAGAAGTGGCGTTAACACTTGGAAGGTATAAGAAAAGCTGTGTTAGCCTCAGTGTTTGTTGGTAGCTGGGTACCTTTAAAAGAAAAGTAGACTTGGGTTTTTGAAGCTTCAGGAAGAAAATCTGTGGGCCTTAGTGTTTATGACCCGGGTCCTGCCGTTTGGTAACCAAGTGATGATTTTGAGTAGAAAAGGCCTGGGTCCCAAAAGATTGGGCTGAAGCTTGAAAGAGAAAAGAATATGGGCTTCCATTTTTCCATTTTCCTAGCCCCCTTGCCATTCGGGGCCCTTTTTTTTTTTTTTTTTTTTTTTTTTTTTTTTTTTTTTGTGGTATGGGCTTGGGTAATTGGGGTTGGGCCATTGAGGCATCTGAATTTAGGGGCTGCCATGTAAAAAGTGGCCCAAGGTGAGCTGGGGCTTTGGAAAAAGAGAAAAAGGTAACAAGGGGCTGAGCCCGTGAGTTTAGTTGTGAGGCCTTGGCTATAGTAGGGTGCTAGGTTGAGATGAGGATTGGTGTGCCTCCTGTATTTAATTTTTATGAAACCTGCCGTTCGGCAAGCAGTGGCTAGGACCTTTGTGGAGCAAAAAGGCTGGGCTGTTTTGTTGGCTTAGGTAAGTGAAACGCTAGGTTTAGATTTTGTGGGGAAAGTATAAATGAGTTTCACTAGCCCTTGCCGTTCGGCAAGAGGTAGCTGGGACTTTTGTGGAGAAAAAAGGGGCTAGGCAAAAAGGCTGGGCAGCTCACGGTTTCAAGGGTATTTTTGAGCAAATCTTGGAGCATCCATTTTTAGTCCCCCATTTTCCTTCCACACAGCCCTTGCCGTTCGGCAAGGGTGTGTTTTGTTCTTGAGCTGGCTCGTGAGAGCTGGTTCTTGGAAGAAAAAGATCGGAGCAGGGCCCCTTGGCAGGTTGAGGCTACACGAGCTGGATCTCTTCGAGTCTCTGGTCTTTGGCAGTGCTTAGGTAGGTTCCTGTTGAATTCACCTCTTGAGTTGCTGAACCCTTGCCGAACGGCAAGGGTGGTGTGAGTGGGTTTTTGTGGTGGTCCTCAAAAGATTGGGTGGGCTGAGTCACATGAGCTGGTCGTGACTTGGAGCTAGGCATCTTGGCAAGAGGGGCCGGTCCAGTTTCGGCTCAGAGTTAGCGAGGCTGCGGCCACCTTGGCTCGGGTCGAGGTGAATATTTTAGTGAGTTTGTGAGCCTCCAAAAACCTGTTCACGGAGCCTGCCGTTCGGCAGGTTCCTGTTGGTTTGGCTCCTAGAAGGAGGATTGGGGCTGGTCTTTCGAAATAGAGCTGGGTTTGTTGGGGTGGGTGTCTTTGAGCATGTTTGTCGTGACTTTTGGAGCTTTAGAGCTGGGCTTGGGTGTCTTGATCAGTTTGGAGCTGGGACCCGTTGCAACCTTTTGGGTGTTTAGAGCAAATCATGGCTCCTCCGTTTTGTGCTAGTTTCAAGTCTTGAGCAGTTTTTACAGAAATTGCCGTTCGGCAAGGGCTTGGTTTCAGCGCAACCAAGCTTCGGCAAGCAAGGCAAGGTTCAGCTGACAAAGACTTGGTTTGGTGACCTGGAATCGTGACCTTGGTGGGCTGTTCTTCAGTTTGTGTTGGGGCTCTTGCCGTTTGGCAAGTGTAGAGAGGAAGGGAAGAAAATTGGAGCTGGGTCCGAGGTATTGGTGTTGTGGTTTCCCGGGTTTCTCGAGCTTGGGCTTCCATCTTGGGTTGCTGGCAGATTCGGCAAGCAGAGATTTGAAGGTGCCTTGAGCACTTTGGTTGAGCTGGGCACTCGGGTCACTTGAAGTCATTTTTACAAATTTGGAGCTAGGCTCCTTGAGAGTTTTGGGGCTGAAGCGCTGATCTCTGGGTCCTTGCAGCTGGGCTGTTTGGGCAGATTTGGCTAGCGGGTGCCTTTTTGAGGTGAGATGTTGTTCAAATTTTTTTATTTTTTATTTTCGTTGCTGCCCATCCCTTGCCGTTCGGCAAGTTGGCTAAGGCTTTATGTTTTGTAGGTGTCGGCAAAGTGGCTGAGGCACGGATCACCTAGAGCTGGGTCTTAAAAGTAAAACCGGATATTTAGAGAGGCTGGGCCCGTCCTTTGTGAAGCAGAGCTGGGCCTTGCGTGGCTGGGCTTTCCTTGAGAAATTTGGTGAGCCCTCGGATTTTTGTTGTTGTGATTTTTCGTTAAAATCCCCATTTGGTTTTGGATAGCCCTGGTGAGCTTGGGCTTCCAAGTAATAGTGTCGGGCTTAGGCATAAATAAAAATGATGGGGTTTGGGCCTTTAAGACCTAAGGCATGGATTGGGTTAGCTCGGGAGGCTGGGTGCCTTGATCAAATTTTTGGGTTGGGCAACTTGGAAAATTGTGATGACCTTCTTGTGCCTATGCCCGGGCCTCGCCGTTCGGCAAGGTCCTTGGCCCTTTTTTCTTTTTTTTTTTTTTTAAATCTGAAATTGCAAATGCTGTGTAGGTACTCTTGTAACCCTAGGGCCTAGGGTTTGGGAGGGAAGGTGAAAGGTTGCTAGGGTTTCTCTTGTAACCCTAGGGCCTTATAAATAGGAACTTGGAACTTGGAGTGACGTAGGCATCATACTTGGAGATTTTTTGAGAAAGATTGTCAGAAAGTGAGAAGGAGAGAAAGATTTCTGGTGAGATTTTGGTGGTGGTGCAAACAAGGTTAGACCTCATTTCCCTTGAATTCTCGAAATGAAATTCAACTTTTTGTATAAACATGTTGAAGAGTATGATGAACACCTTGAGCATGAGTATGAACATGTTGAATGTATGCATCTAGATCAAAAAGCATGTAGAGGCTGTCCAATTTTGTGTTTTTGTGCTTAGATCCTCTTTGCATGTGCATTAGTTCCTTTTTCTTGTTTCTGCATGTTGTAGATGTCTGAGAGTGAAGAGGCCAGTGAGTATGTTTGTTCTGAAGAGGAGAGTTCCCAGACAGATAGTTTTGTAGAAGGGCTTATAGAAGCTAGGATGGGAGTGCATGAGGGTGAGATGGCTGGGCCATCAGTAGAGTCTGGGTCAGAGGCATATAGGAAGATGCAGAAGAAGTATAAAGTGTTAGAAGCCAGTGTTGATCGGGTTCTAGCCTTGGCACATACACCGGAGGTGGGCTCGAGCAATCAGACATCACCATCAGAGTCTGTGGGTATAGCCATGGTTTCAGCTTCAGAGGGGGTGGACATCCGGGTTGGTGTTCCGTTGGGAAATCGGAATACACTCACAGAAGCCAAGTTGGTTGAGCTTCGGACAGATTATAGTGTGCCATCCTATGTGGGCCTGAGGCTACCTAGTGCTGCGGATGTAGTGAGATATCCTCCGGAGGGTTCAGTGATGATATTCACTGATATGTACCAGCATGGTCTCAGACTACCATTTCATCCTTGGGTGCAGATGATGCTGGCCAAGTTGGGGTATGCGCCGGGGCAATACAATCCCAACTTTTGGCTACTTCTGCATGGAGTTTACATTGCATGGTGGTTGGTTGGGTTGGGGGAGCCAACATTTGAGCAGTTTATGTACTTGTATTCGATCTCCAAGCAACAGGGGACCTTTGGCTGGGTACAAGCCAATTGCCGGAAGGCAAAGGAGAGAGGTTACTTTATTGGGCATAAGCCGAGTACGCAGAAGTCTTGGCGGAACAGGTGGTGCTTGGCCTATGGTGATTGGGAGTGTCCTCCAGGGAAGACCGTCTCCAGACATATTCCAACCCACTTCCAGTCGATAGGTCCTTAGCCCCATCCTTTAAGACTAGTTGTGTTGTAGTGTTTTGACGCTTGGGTCTTTATTTATGTTTTATTGTTTTGCTTGTGCAAGCATAAATGGCTAAGTTGATATCTGAACTGTGGTGCAGGTTCGGTGAAGTGGGGACCGATCTCCAAGGAGCGAGAAGACGAGGTTGAGAGAGTGAGGTCACTGTTGTCGGAGACCCAGCGTGAGCGTAGAAACTTAGTCACCCAGAAGAACCTGTACGAGTCCGGACTCTTGCAAGGGAGTAAGTACCTGGGTCACTGTTGTTGTTTGTCTTATGATTCATTTTGTAGTTGAAACTGACTTGGCTTTTGATGTGCAGTGGCAGGGATCATAAGGGGGAGCACGAAGGTGGCCATGGATCTGGATGATCCCGAGATGCAGAAACGGCTGAGGGAGTCTCGGGCCAAGAAGGCAGAGAAGGGAGGTGCCCAACAGGCTGCTGGGAGGCGTTCCAGAGATGAGGAGGGCCTAGTCTCTGATGTGCTGGGAAAGAAGAGAGCGCTGGAGGAAGCTCACCGGAGCGTGATGGGGACAGGGCCGAGGCTTCCTCCCTTTGACCCGCAGGCGCCGCCGAAGCTCCCCTTTGGTATGGATGATGTTTACGCCGAGGGGGTAGAGAAGGTGGACTTCTCTGGACTGCGTCGGCAGAAGAAGGAGGTGAACCTGGCCATGCATCGGCAGGAGGTTCCCTTGGTGAACGTCTTCCTGGAAGGCGTGAAGAGTGACCCAGAGGTTCTGGCGAGGACCCCGGCTACCTCCTATGCAGATCGGGCCCAGAAGACGCTCCTGACCCAGGCCTATGTAAGTTGGCTTGCCTTAAGACTTTGTTCATATAATTCGAATTTGCCTTGAACTGATAATGTTGTGTGTTGCAGGCTTATGGTGAGATGTACGTGAATATGGCCAAGGCAGATAAAGAGATCCAGAGGTTGAAGAGGCGCAATGAGATGGCCAAGGATAAGGTAGCGGAGGCGCAGGAGGCCATCCGAGAGAAGAACACCCTGGTGCTGCAGAAAGCGGCGATGGCCAAGGAGATGGAAGAGCTGAAGCGGTCGAGGGCCGAGGAGGTAGCTGCTGCCCGGGTCGAAGCGATCGAGTCGTTTCGGGGTTCGGATGAGCTGAGGAACTACATCATGGATCAGATGGTGGCGATGCAGCTGGGTTGGGAGGAGAGGGTGGCGATGTTCAACCCTTCAGTGGAGATTAACTTTGACACGAGTGGCGAGCCTCCCTCATCTAGTCGTACCACTGATGTCGTTCCAGAGCCAGAGCCAGAGCCAGCCATTACGGATGCTCCATCGACTGAGTCCTGAAGGCGTTGCTTTCTTTATGTATTCTAGCCTTTTAGTTTAAACATTTGATGTTTATTTTGGTTATGTATGAACATTTTGCCTTGCCTGGGGCAAGGTTATTTTGATGTGCTATGATATGAGACTTGTTGTCATTTGATATCAATTGTGCTTAGCAAAATGGGAACCATGTGATTGATGAAAATGAGCCAGGGTCAGGCGTTCATTAAATATGTGCCGGAAGGCAAAAAGTACAAGAGTTGGTTGAGTCAAGGCTCGAGACCAAAGTAGGAGAAAACATAATAGCCTAGAGTCTAGGTATGTTTACTTATAGTAGTACTTGAGGTGATCAGCATTCCAAGGATGAGGCAAGGTCTTGCCCTTGGTGTCACGAAGCTGATAAGTGCCGGGGCGGCAGACTTTGGTAACCTCATAAGGACCTTCCCATGTTGGGCCCAAGGTACCTTCAGTGGGATTCTTGGTGGCCAAGGAAACCTTGCGCATGACCTAGTCCCCCAGTTTGAAAGCACGGGCTTTGACTCGGGAGTCGTAGTACTTAGCGATGCGCTGTTTGTACGCGACATTGCGCATGTTGGACTGGTCACGAAGCTCGTCAATGAAGTCGAGGTTCAGGGCTAGCTGCTCGTCATTGGCCTCGGCCTCATAGGTGGAGGTGCGGTATGTGGGCTGGCCAATCTCCACTGGTGCCACTGCTTCGGTACCAAAGGAGAGAGAGAAAGGTGTTTCTCCTGTTGAGGTCCGGAAGGTGGTGCGATAAGACCAGAGAACTTCTGGGAGTAGCTCCGGCCAGCAACCTTTAGCTTTGTCAAGCTTAGTTTTTAGAGTTTTCTTGATGATCTTGTTCACAGCTTCCACCTGGCCATTAGATTGAGGATGGGCTGGGGAGGCGAAGCAAAGCTTTATCTTGAGGTTGGAACAAAATTGCTTGAACTTTGCGTTGTCAAATTGCCGGCCATTGTCTGTAACGATGGTGTTGGGGATGCCAAAGCGACAGACGATGTTTTGCCAAACAAAAGTTTCAATGCGGGCTGCAGTGATGGTGGCTAAGGCCTCAGCTTCAACCCACTTGGTGAAGTAGTCCACAGCTACAACTGCATACTTGACTTGGCCCTTGCCCTCAGGCATAGGTCCAATGAGGTCAAGTCCCCATTGGGCGAATGGCCAAGGACTGACCATGGCTGTCAATGGCTCGGCTGGAAGTTGTGGGATGTTGGCAATCGCTGACACTTATCGCACTTCTGGGTGAAGGTCTGGGCATCAGTGTGAAGTGATGGCCAAAAGTATCCCTGTCGGATGATCTTGTGTGCTAGGGAGCGAGCGCCAGAGTGGTTGCCACAGATACCCTCATGAATCTCTCTCAGGACATAGGTACCTTCCTCTGGGGTCAAGCACCGAAGGTAGGGGAGGCTGAAGCCGCGCCTGTATAGGGCGCCATTGATGATCAAGTATCGGGCAGAACGATAGCGAACACGCCGCGCTTCAGCAGGATCAGCAGGTAGTGTCTGGTTCTGCAAGAACTGAGTGATGGGGTCCATCCATGTAGGGCTTTGATCAATGACACAAATGAGTGGTGCCCGTGTACTGGGCTGGTCCAAGAACTCGATGTGGATGTTTCGACCTATGCCCTGCTCCATCGCCGAGGCTAGCCTTGCCAATGCATCAGCATGACTGTTCTCAGAGCGTGGCACCTGGCCTATGAGATAAGCATTGAAAGTTGTAAGCAGGTGGCGGGTATGTTGGAGGTAGGCTGTCATGGAGATGTCCTTGGCCGTGAAGTCCTGGTTGACTTGGTGGACAACAAGCTGCGAGTCGCTGAATATTTGGATTTGCTTGGCGCCCATTTCCTTGGCTAGGCGAAGGCCGGCTAAGAGTGCTTCATATTCAGCCTCATTGTTGGAGGCGTGGAATTTGAAGCGGAGGGCGTACTCAAGGGCAACCTTGTCTGGGGATATGAGAACGAGGCCAGCTCCACATCCCTGGGCATTGGAAGAGCCATCCACATACAAGGTCCACAAGGGCTGAGTTAAGTCTAGGGAGCCGTTGCTGGCGACATGGACCTGGTTCGAGGTAGGAGTAGGCGTGATTGCAATCTGAGGACTGGCCAAAGTATGGGGTTCGGTGAATTCAGATATGAAATCAGCCACGGCCTGGCCCTTTGCAGCTTGGCGGGGTTTGTAGTGGATATCAAACTCACCAAGTTCAATGGCCCACTTGACTAACCTCCCAGAAGTCTCTGGCTTCTGCAACACTTGCCTGAGTGGTTGGTTGGTTAGGACATGGATGGTGTGAGCTTGAAAGTATGGCCGGAGGCGTCTAGCCGAAACCACCAGGGCGAAAGCAAGTTTCTCAATGTCTGGGTATCGAATCTCCGCATCTTGCAATCCTTTGCTCACATAGTGCACCGGATGCTCAGCACCTTCATGTGGTCGAATGAGCACTGAGCTAACCGCCGTAGCCGAGACAGAAAGGTAGATGGTGAGGACGTCCCCAGACTCAGGGGTTGACAATAAAGGGGCTCGGCTCATGTATGCCTTGAGCTCGCCGAATGCCTGGTCACATTCTGCAGTCCAGGTGATGTTGCGCTTGCTACCCTTAAGTGCCTTGAAGAATGGGGCGCAACGATCAGTGGCCTTAGAGATAAATCTGGTCAGGGCTGCGACACGCCCAGTAAGGCTCTGAATGTCCTTGACCGTCTTGGGTATCGTCATGTCCAAAATAGCCTGGATCTTCTCTGGGTTGGCCTCAATACCTCTTTGGCTGATCATAAAGCCAAGGAATTTGCCGGAGGCCACCCCAAATGCACACTTGGTGGGGTTGAGCCGCATCCTATACTGCTTCAAAATGGTGAACGTGGCAGAGAGGTTGGGGATGTGCTGGTCAGCAGTGCGACTCTTGACCAGCATGTCATCAACATAAACCTCCATGGTGTTGCCAATAAGTGGAGCGAAGATGCTATTCACCAGACGCTGATATGTAGCCCCGGCGTTCTTGAGGCCGAATGGCATGACTTTGTAGCAGTAAAGGCCACGGTCGGTGATGAAGGATGTATGAGCTTGGTCCTCAGGATGCATGAAGATCTGGTTGTACCCTGAGTAAGCATCCATGAAGCTGAGGAGGGCTTGGCCAGCTGTGGCGTCAACTAGCTGGTCAATGCGGGGTAGGGGGAAACTATCCTTTGGGCAGGCCCGGTTGAGATTTGTGTAGTCTACGCACATGCGCCAACCCTTCTTTAGTTTACGTACCATTACCACATTGGCTAGCCAGGTGGGATAATCCACCTCCTTGATGAAACCAATGGTGCTCAGCTTATCCACCTCCGCCTTCATGGCCTCATACCGCTCTGGGTCATAAGCACGACGCTTCTGCCGAACGGGTCGGACGACAGGATTAATGCTTAGCCTATGGGAGATGACGTCAGGTGATATGCCCGGCATGTCGTTGTAAGACCAAGCAAAGACTTCAGAGTTGAGGCGGAGGAAGGCAATAAGATCAGAGCGAAGCTCTTGTGAGAGGGAGGTGCCGATCCTGACCTGTCGATCCGGGATATCCTCATGGAGAGTGACCAGTTCAAGGTCCTCCACAGGTTCGGCCTGTTGGGTGGCAGATTCCTCCCTGGGGTCCTCTGGGCGCTCAGTGCCAGCTCGAGGTGGGGCTAGGGCCTGGGTTACTGCTAGGGCCTCACCCCTATGTTGGCGATTAGTAGACTTTACTGCTGAAGCATAGCAACTTCGGGCGCCCAGTTGATCACCGCGCGCAGTGCCCGTGCCATAGGGGGTAGGAAATTTCAACATTAACATATGTGTGGAAATGAAGACCTTCATCTGGGCCATGGCAGGGCGTCCCAGGATAACGTTGTAGGCTGTAGGGGCAGTCAATGATGAGGAAGGGAGTGGTGACCGTCGTTCGCTGGGGAGCTGCTCCAATAGAGATAGGGAGATGAATGCTCCCAATAGGCTGGACCACATCACCCGAAAAGCTCACCAGGGGTGTGACGCTTCGGTCGAGCAAATGAGATGGGACCTGGAGCTCATTGAAGGCATCAGCAAACATCACACTGACCGAGCTGCCAGTGTCTACCAATATGCGCCCAACGTCAAAGTTAGATATGTCGGCGCGGATAATGATTGGGTCATCATGAGGGAGGATAACGCCGCGCTCCTCCTCCTCGCAGAAGGTAATGGGGGCCCAGCCTGTTTTTTGTGTCTTCGGCAAGCGTCCCTGCTCAGTACTGAAGACCTGGTGCGCATAAGTAGAGCGGACATAATGTTTGATGGAGTTGTTGGAGGTGCCAGCCATGGTTGGGCCACCGCTGATGGTTGAGATCATGTTGATCTGCCGTTGGTGAGGGTTAGGTGGGAGGTTGTGCACGTATTTATCCAGCTTCCCCTCGCGAATAAGTCCCTCAATGATGTTGCGCAAGGCAACACAAGATTCGGTATCATGGCCACCGAACTGATGAAAGCGACAGAAGACTCCTGTGTTAGGCATAGGCTTGCTGCCTGGTTTCCGGGGTGGAGGCTGAGGTATGATAGGTGCCTCGTGCACTAGGACATTCTCATAGGTAGTGTTGAGGGTGGTGAAGACCTCGAACCTGGGTTTGGGTGAGAATGGGAGTGGGGCCCGGTCATTTGTCCTGGGGGGGTTGCTTCCACTAGACTGGTGGTGGTTCCCATGTCTGCCCCGCTTGTTATTGTTGAAGGTATGCTGGTAACTATCCTTCCTCTTGGGGTGTTGGGCACCCTGGGTGCTTGGTGCAGGGGCAGAATGTTGGGGTGGAGCTGGGATGGGTACCGAAGCAGGTGGAGGATCAGCAAAAGGATTATGCGCCGGGATGGCTGGGCTGCGCTTGGAGTTGAAGTACTCAGCCTTGGCATGAACTGCTGCTTGCTTCATCAGCTCGGCATATGTGTTCCAAGGGTTGCTGTGGACCAGGTACCGGAAGTTAGACTCTCGGAGGCCACTCTTGAAAGCACCGAAGGCGGCACGATCATCAGTATCTGGGCAGCGGGAGTATTCGTGGCTGAACCTGGCTGCATACTCCCGAAGGGGCTCATCCTCACCCTGTCTAAGCATGTATAGGTCGTCCGCAGAATAGAGGCGATCGGTCTGGATCATGAAATGGTCCAGGAAAGCCTGTTTCAGACTGTCAAATGTATTGATAGTGCGGGGGTTCAGCCTGTAAAACCAGTTCAGGGCCGCGCCACTGAGAGTGGAAGGGAAGAGGAGACACATGCCTTCGTCAGTGAGGCCCTTGCACCCCAAGGCAGACTGGAAAGAATGTATGTGGGTGAGAGGATCCTCTGTGCCAGTGTAGAAGGCGATGCGGAGTGGCTGGATGTCCTTCTCCTGGTGGTAATTAAGGATGCGTTCGGTAAAGGGCCCAGGTCGTGGCTTTGCCCAGAGAGGTTGGTGGTTGCGCTGATGTTCGCTCTCCAGGCGCCGGACTTTCTCGAAGAGAAGCCTCATTGCCGGGTCGGTATGAGGGAGAGTCTCGGGTGCTGGGGGTCTGGTGTGTGGGTGGCCATGGGCTGGGTAGAATTCTTCGAACGCCTCGGTGTGATAAGACTCGTAGTCTTCTGAGTAACCCTGGCCCCAGTTCTCTGAGTCCCCTATACCTTCTCCAAGGGGTAGTTGGGTAGGCTTTGGCGGGGGGCCCAGGTGTTTCATCTTTGGGTCTTGGAGATTAACAGAGATAAGATGGGGTTCCGTTTGACGGTCCAGGATACGGTCCCTGCAATCCCGGTAGACCTTTGTTGGTTCATGAGGCCGGTTCCTTGGTGGGGAAATGCGGAGAAGCCGCGACTTGGTCGTGTCCGGATAGAGGGGGCCTTTACCCTTGCTGGGCCTAGGCTGGGTTGGGACATTGTGGTGGGAGTGCTCCGGCTGGTTTGGCTGTGTACGCTCAGGTACCTGGGTAGGGCTGTGTTGGGAGCCTTGGGTCTGATTCATCTCCCAGTTACGCTTCAGTGTGCGGTAGTCATGCTCGAGCTCGACGTTCTTAGCATGAAGATTGTCATATTTCTCAGACATCTTGGTGACACTGGCGCGGAGGCTCCCATGGGGGATATGGTGCTGAGTCCCCTGGCTATCCTCAGTAGGCATAGCTGAGTGTGGGGTGAAGAAGAGGCGACGGGGCCGGATAGGAGAAGGAGCCAGCTGGGCTGGTAGAGAAAAAATGGGATTCAAGTATCGTTTCCCACAGACGGCGCCAAACTGTTGATGCTCTTTTTCGGAGAGGGTCAACTTAGAGAAAAAGGGGTTTGCCTTCAGCAGGGAAAGGGTCTGGGCCTTCAATAAAGGCTAGCCTGCAGAAGACAAAAATAGGGGAAGCAGTCGTCAAGCTCCGGGCACCGGTGTGGTGCCGGCCGAAGGCTCTCCGATGCTTAAGTCAGCTAAGAATGGTAACTTTTGCAGAGTAATAGTAAAAGGCAGAAAAGTAGTTACCCTTCTTACTAGGGTACTGTTCCCTTTTTATAGGGAAGTGAAAGTGGGAGGTTGGTGTAGATTTCCGATGTGGGACTCTGTGCAAGTTGCCGCGGTGGTGACACGTGTCATGAGAATTAGGTTTAACAGTTTGTGAGCTTTGGCAGTCGGGAGTTTCGGCAGGTGCTTGGCACCTCGGAAGAGTGTCTTCCTTCGGCAAGAGAGAAGGCGTGTCTGCCTTGGTGCTAGTTGTTTTGAGACTGGATATGCTCGGTTGATTATGGTGTAAACAAGTAATATCTTAGTCTTTTTTAATTACATTAATTAGTAATTATTTTGTGCGTGTGAATATTTAAATAATTTACTAATTTCATAAATTACTTAATAAATAGTAATTAATTATTTTATACAAAATTATTTGGGTGAATCTAAGTCTCGAACCAAAAACCCTAGCTTCCGAACTTGTTCCAAAATATTAACAAGTGGTAGTGTAGCCGCCGGCTATACTCTATAAATAGAATCCCTTTAAATAACATAATCTGGGTTTCTCTCTTTAATTACCTTAATTAGTTGTTATGTTTTAATTATTATTTACATAGTGAATAATTAGTATTTTATTATTTATTTATTAAAAAATTACTGTTTATCAAGTAATATAATTTATATAGTTAATTAAAATATTTAATACTAATTATTCACTAAAGAAATAATAATTAAATAAGGCCAAGATATTATTTAATTACTAAAAACAAAACTTAAAATAAAAATTTATTGACTTAAAGGTTTAATTTTAATTTTTTTTTAAACCTCTGACGAGCACAAATCTTTCCCGGCGACCTTTTATCGGATTAGACCTCTCCCGACAAAATTTCGTCGGCACAGGTAATGTTCGTCGGAACAGGTTTTCTTTCTTTTTTTAATATTTTAAGAGTATAGCCGAACGGCTATACTCTATAAATATAAATTATAACATTATAGCCGAACGGCTATACCCCATAGATAAAAATTTAAAAAGGTTAGCCGAGCGGCTATACTCTATAAATGTGAAAAGCATAGCTCTCCGACTCTCCGTTAGTTAACCCACACATCTCTCTCTAACTTTACAACTACGATTGATTTATATATCGTTGAACCATTGATTTATGACTTTGATATCAATCTTCGTATGAGTTTGTGGTCTCGTGTTTTGCAAGTGCGTAGTGATTTCTCTTCCATCAAGTTTGGTTGTATTTGGCACCCTAGTGTGCTTCATATCTTGTTGATAGCTTTTTAGGGGTTCTACTCACTCGGTGAATTTTACTTTTAGTCCAGACTTAAGCTTGAATTTATGTTCCTCCATTGATTTTATTTTGGCTGATGTCACGTCAGAGTATGCAATAGTTTACTAGGTTCTGTTCTGTGTTGGTTCTCTGAAAGTCAGTCTTAGCTTTTGATCTGCGGGGTGAGTTGGAATCTGGTTACATGCTTATGTGGTTTGAAATCTTACTCTTTTGTGAAAGTGATGAAGAGATTTGGTAGTGCATGGTTTTATTGCTTCTAGTTGTTGATACAATTTTAAACGAGGCTCTGTTGTCATTTGCAGGTTCTTGGCAGTATTTAATCTATTAAGATGATTCAAAATGGATTGTTGCTAAAGTTAAGTTCCTATTTGCATAATATTTTTGTTAAAGCTCAAGCAGAAGAACCATTTCATGTAATATTTATAGACATAACTGGATTCAGTTAGGTACTAGTATTAAAAAAATTTGTAAGTTGATCATCGGAGAAACGGATATCTTTTTCGAACAACAGAAAGTCCTAAAATTACGTTGTAGGACGAATATCATTATCTAAACTTCCCAAGGGAGTGAAATTTTTGTGAGTGTTCGTTATATCTTAACATTACCTCAATAATCCTTGTGATGGCAATGGAGTTGGCACCATTTTGTGTATAATTATACACAACATCCGAAAGAGTTAACTTGCATTTAATCATGCAAATGCAAAGGCATATTGGGGTCAACATGCATTTTCTAGCACATCGTAAACCACAAGGAATAAGATGACCATTTGGAACCACATGATTTGTATTGGAAGGATCAGAGACATCATCAACTTGACAAAGAGTGTTGCCATTTGGAACCGCATTGGTACAAGAGGGATTAATATCAGCTTGAGCTATTGCAAGCACAAGCATGCTCATCAAAACCACAGCCCTGAACAGACTAGCATCCATTGCTCCTCACTTTTCTTTGTTTTTTATTTTTTTTATTTTTATAAATTCAACTCTTTGATTCTCGAAGTTTGTTGGTGGTGGAAGTGGAAGCTAAAGCCACAATTTATAGGGAGACTACTGTTAATTATTGTGGTTTGCGTTTTTGTTTTGTTGTTGTTGGTGATTCAATGTTGTGTTGCAGTGGTGGAGTGGGCTAATGAAGCTCTTCAAGGTCTTGGAAAGGGTCCTCCCTTTTCACTCTACTTGACACAGAAGTATTTCCCTAGAGTTGCATATGCACTTAGGAAAAATGACAAGATTCGTTAACATGCTCAAGATTCCTTCCTAAAAATTGGCAGAAGAATGTAGTTTCAGGAAATCAAAGATTGCAGGAGAGAAATTTGGCTTGGAGAAGCGTGTCCTTCGTATGATGTTTGCAACATGCGTTACAGGGATAAACTTGAAGCTCTCCACCTCTCCATCTGTTCAGTAAGGGGAAAATTGCAGATGGTTTAGGATGAAATGAAAGGTGAAAAATGACGAAGCTGAAGGCAAAGTTCACAACTATTTTAGGTAAAAGCTAAGCTCCAAGGGTCCTACCTTGATTCTTAGGCGTGAAACTCTCAGGAAGTTTTAAATCATAGGAAAACAAAACATCCCTGACAATTGCATTTGTAATGCTTAAAGTAGACCACTAAATATCGGGCAAGGAAGGACCCCTTGCTCTTCTAGTTGCCTCAGATTACAACCATAAAATCCAGCCAGTTCTTGGGTCAAGTAGTTTCACCAATTACATTGACATTAAAGTGCACCAGAGCCGTCTAATTTAGGAACATGTGATGTAAATCCATCTATTTCGGGGTCGGGGAATGCCCATGTTATTTCATCAAGGTCTGGAGGCTCTAGATACCAAAAGCAAACTATTCAAGCAAGCTCCCACTGAGCACTAACAGCCTAAATACTGATAGAACAGAAACTAAATTGCCTTAAAACGAGATGAAAGCTCGTTACAAACCAGTCCACCAGCAACTAGATGATCAAGCATCCCTGGATATATATAATATAAGTGGTTTTATGTTGACTTCTCTTCGCTATATCCATAGAAACTTCTTCCCATCCTTCTCAACGTAGCCATTCATGTGCACTCCATAAGCCTATTCCAACAAGAAGTACACAAAAAAAGGTTAAAAATGAAAAGTTCCAAGAAAATCAAATGAACAACAATAAAAGAGTTAGCTGGCTTCCTTCCTACATGACCATTGAAAAAGCGACCAGACTCAATGATACCACTGAAGTTTCTAACCCTACAAAAACTCTTATATTCCTCTCTAGCCAACACTATAGCGCACACAGCGTCACCTCCAAAACCTCATTACCAAGCCCTTTCACAGAACCTCCATGTCGAGGCACTGCTAGATACATCCAAAATGACATGCTTGAGATGCATCAAAAATTGATTATGATTCACTGTTTAATCTCACCAAGACAAAAAAGGTAAAAGGTGGCGCACATCGCAGAAACAAACCGTAGTTCATTCCTTATACCTGGACTATGTTCTTCCCTTAAGCTTTTGATTACATCTCCCACAGCTCTCGTCCTCTGCTCAGCGATGAATGAAACCGCCATTAGAGTTTGAATTTTCTGGTGGGAAAGTAAACACGTCCTTGAAACTACGTAAATTCTCAGCAAAACTAGAGATTTGGGAAAATTATTCAGTGCTATATCTGAGCATGAAACGGGTATTTGAATTCAAGGAATTTGAGCTTACCCTTTGTGAATGGTCCTCAATTTCAAAGGGAAGGAACTCAGAGTGCGATTCCTGCAAGCAGTTTCAATAAAATGTGGAGTGGACTGTGGAGAGATAAACGAACAATTGGTCTGTTTCTGTTTGGCAGCTGAGAAAATGTATTGTATAACTTACCAAGGAAAGCGCGATTGCAGATTTTGATCTTTTCCGAGTAGCCCCTGAGATCTGAACCGGTTCGGATATCCTAACGACGTGGTCCCTCCCAAGTGAAGACATCATCGGAGGCTGAGACTGATGCAGTACGACAAGTGACAACTTTGTGAAAAGCTTTCTGGTTGGAACGAACTGGGAACGACATCGTAAGTGCCTTGGGGAAAGCGCAAAAAGCTTTGGCAGTAAAACGGAAGGCCAGAGAGTCGATGAGTCTGTGAGAGCTGAGGAATGCCGCTGCTGCAGTCGAAAAATCGGCCTAGGCGGTCTAGGCGGGTTTTTTTTTACTTTATTTTTTTATTTTATAATAATTAAAAAAAATTCTTTTTTTTCCCCGACTTTAAAGAAAACCGAGTTTTAAAGTCTTTATTCGTTGCGGCCAAACGGCTAGTTTTATTTTCATAACGTTTTTTATTTTTTATTTTTTTATTTTTTTATTTTTAAATCGCGTATAGCCGATCGGCCATACTATTTCTGTTAAAAAATTTCCAAAAACAGCCGGCGGCTATACTATTTCTTTTTCAGCACCAAGAGAAACTTTTAAATCGTCTTCTTCAGCACCAAGAGAAACTCTTTATGTGTCCGATTGAAAACTGTAATCGTGGGTTTGTTTTTCCCAAGATAACATGAGGAGGCATGTGAAAGAACTCCACAATGAGGATGATCCTTTGGCTAATGTTGGAGGTCAGAAGCTGCCTGTATGCCAGGATTGTGGAAAGGTGTTCAAAGCAGCGGAAGCATGAGAATTCTCATGGTAGCTTTCATTTCTGAAGTAGATCTTCTTTTTGTATTCTGCCGAGTATAGGTTGGCGGCTATACTATTTCTTTTTATTTTTTTTTAAAAGGGAAAAATCGGGTATAGCCGTCCGGCTATACTATCATGTGTGAGATAAGCATGAGAAGACTGGGCGTCATGTCTATGCGTATGTGAGTATTATTCTTAGATCATTCAATACCCTCGTCATAAGCATCTCTCCAGGCAATGCCACATTATAAGTTCATATGTGGGACATTATTGCTTTGAATTGCATGGGGAATTTTGAAGAGGCTGATGAGAAATTCCGATCAAGGCCAAGGGGTGGCCGCAAGAGGAAGTACCCCACTATAGAAATGCTCGTACGAAAAAGAGTGACTCCACCAGACCAATTGGACCAGGAGTGTGAGTACCTCTCCTGGTTGCTCTCACAAGAAGCTTAAGACGAGAATTGAGCCATGCCCTTGAAGTAAGTGATTGGACATATATCCACTACGTACGCTAACCTGCTTAGAGGGTGTCATGAATCTCAACACTAGATATGGAAATTGGGTGATGCTGTGAATCTGAACACTAAATATGTCTAGCATTTCTGTACTTTTTTTTTGGAGATAAGCATTCTTCTGTTTAGTTGAATGTTATTTATTAATACAATAGTTGTAAAAGGGAACCTTCATCAAAGGAAATCATCTCATCATCAACGCAATCATCTGCAATCTCTCATCAAAGTCAACCTTGATCTTTGCATTCCTGTCATAGCTGATCTGGATTGATTCTCTTCATCAATCCCATTGTATCTAGACAACCTGGATTGATTCTCTACATCAATCCTGTTATATTTACCTTATTTAGATATTATCAATTTGTATATAATAGTCATTCCGTGTATCAATCAGATATCAATGAAATATACTATTCATTCTTAATCTCTTTATGGTATCACAGCCCTAAGGCTCCAACGAGCATCCTCTGTTTTTTTTTTTCTCTTTCCTCTTCCAGCAGTCTATACTCATGGCTCCTCAATCCTCTGATATATCCACCCCAATCATCACCAACACCAACTCCAACACCATATCCTCCCTAATCACCATCAACGCTGCTGCACAACTTCCCGTCAAGCTTACCCCTACAAATTACCCATCTTGGCGTGCTCAGTTTAACGCCCTCCTTATTGGCTATGACCTCCTGGGCTATGTGGATGGTTCTTCTACATGCCCACCAGCCACTCCAGCCGCGCCTCGCGCCCTTTGGATTCGTCAGGACCAGCTGCTCCTCCATGCCATTCTTGCATCCGTATCACCGCAAGTAATATCCCTTATTGCCTCCGCCAAGACCTCCAAGGAGGCGTGGGACAAATTGCTCCACCTCTATGCTAGCAAAGCACGTGCTCGTGTCCTTGGTCTCAAGGAACGCCTTACTCTTATGCGTCGTGAGGATAAGCCTGTCTCTCAGTATTTGCAAGATGTTAAGGTTATCGCTGATGAACTTGCCATCATCGATGTCCCCCTTTCTGATGATGATCTTCTCCTTTACATTCTCAATGGTGTTGGTTCTGAATTTAAGGAGATCGCTGCTGTTGTTCGTTCCCGTGACACCTCTATCTCATTCGAAAATCTTCATGATAAGTTGGTTGAACATGAAGCTGCCCTTACACGTGCCGACGCTCCAGTTACCACACCTGTCATCACTGCTAATGTCACTCAAAGCTCCCAGCGAGCCCCCACCAACCGTGGCTCTCGCTCCCACACCCACAATCACAATCGTGGTTCTTCTAGCTTCCGCAACAATTACCGTGGTTCCTCTGAATCCACCTCGCCCTCAACCACTGACAACGGTCGTCGTTCAAACACAACTACTGGCACTGGTTATCGTGGCTATTGTCAATGGTGTGGTACACAAGGTCATAGTGCCAAACGTTGTCCCCAGCTTCAATCTGGCTCCCAAAGTCAGCCAGTGGTCAATTCCACCTACCATGGCCGCCACAATGCCTCTCCCACATGGTTGCTTGATTCCGGTGCTTCTCACCATGTTACCTCCAAAGTCACCAATCTCTCCGATGTCTCCACATATGCTGGCCCTGATGAAATAATTATTGGTAATGGTTCAGGTTTGGGTATAACTCATGTCGGTTCATCCTCTCTCACTACCCCCTCCTCCAAAACCTTTGCCTTATCTAATGTTCTTTGTGTTCCTTCCATTAAGCAAGATATTATTTCTATTTCCAAATTTAACAAACAAAATAATACGTCTATTGAACTTTTTCCTGATTTCTTTCATGTCAAGGATCTGAGCACGGGGGCGGTACTTCTTCAAGGCCCGAATAAGGACGATGTGTATGAGTGGTCCCCCCAATCCCTCCGTCAACCTCAGGCCATGGTGGGTGTGGTGGTCTCTCCAAATTTGTGGCACCGGCGTCTTGGTCACCCACATTCTAAAACTCTTCACCAAATTCTTCGTTCCTCTTCCATTCATGTGTCCTCCAAATTGTCTGAGTCTCTTTGTCATTCATGTCAATGTAATAAGAGCCATAGGCTCCCATTTGGTACTTCTTCCCTTCAAAGCAATGGTCCGTTAGAGCTCCTTTATAGTGATGTTTGGGGCCCTGCTCCTTATTCTTCCATTGATGGCTTTTCCTACTATCTTATTTTTGTTGATCATTTTACCAAGTACATATGGCTATATCCTCTCAAAAAAAATCAGATGTGTTCTCCACCTTCACCACCTTTAAAGCCCTTGTTGAAAATTATTTCAAAACTAAAATCATCACCTTATTTACTGATGGTGGAGGGGAATTTGTCAAACTCAAAAACTTTCTTTCTTCCGCTGGCATCTCTCATCTCATCACCCCACCACATACTCCACAACACAATGGTGTTGCCGAACGACGGCATCGTCATGTTGTCGAAACCGGTCTCACCCTTCTTCATCAAGCCTCATTACCTCTTTCCTATTGGTCATATGCGTTTCAAACTGCTGTCTACCTCATAAATCGAATGCCCACTCCCATCCTAAAAAATGTCTCACCATATCAACAACTCTTTCATCAACAGCCCAATTACTCACGTCTTCGTACCTTTGGATGTCTGTGTTTTCCATGGCTACGGCCTTACAACTCCAACAAGTTACTTCCTCGTTCCCGCGCGTGTCTTTTTCTTGGTTACTCCTCCAATCAAAGTGCCTACAAATGTCTTGATCTCTCATCCAATAAACTTTTTATCTCTCGTCATGTCCAATTTGATGAGTCCACTTTCCCTCTTGCTAGTGCCCATAATTCCACTTCTTCTGTCCCCTCTCCTACTTCCACCTCTTGGTTTCCTCCTGTTACTCTTATTCCTTTCCAAGCAGCCCCCATGCCACCACCATCGGCTACCACCTCCTCACCGACTGCACCATCCACATCGTCCTCCGCTGCCGCTTCTGCCTTGGAGCAGCTCTGCCCCCCTGCGCACATACCACCTCCAGCCCCTACTGTCTCTCCACTTCCGCCACAAAACCCACCCACCTCTAACCCACCTCATACTACTCTTACCCCTTCACAAACCATGACCCCAACCCATTTCCCTTCCAATCCGAACCCCACTGAACCAGACACCCAACCTCCCCAGCCATCCCCTATCCGTACCTACCTCAGAAACCCAAATAGACTCGTTCTTACCTTCCCAGCCCCTGACCCATCGCCTCCCCCACCATCTTCTATCTCACAACCCTTGGTTCCCGATCACCAAATGGTGACGCGTGCCAAAGCCGGTATTAGCAAGCCCAATCCTCGGTATGCTTTAGTCGCCACCAAACATCCCATACCCTCATCCGTTGAACCGACATGTGTTTCTCAGGCCATTAAAGATCCCCTTTGGCGAGCTGCCATGTCTACTGAGTTTAATGCGCTCATTAGCAATGGAACGTGGGAGCTTGTTCCATCTGACTCTACTCAGAATCTCATTGGTTGTAAATGGGTCTTTCGTATCAAACGACACCCAGATGGCACTATTGACAGGTACAAGGCCCGTTTGGTCGCCAAGGGCTTTCATCAGCGCCCCGGCGTCGATTTCTCAGAAACTTTTAGTCCAGTGGTTAAGCCCACCACCATCCGTGTTGTGTTGCATCTTGCCTTGTCTCATGGCTGGCCTATTCGTCAGTTGGATGTCAACAATGCCTTTCTTCATGGCACACTTAGTGACACTGTTTATATGTCACAACCCCCAGGTTTTGTTGATACCAACCTCCCATCTCATGTTTGTAAACTCCGAAAGGCTCTTTATGGCCTTAAGCAGGCACCTCGGGCATGGTACAAGGAATTGAGCTCCTTCTTGCTCTCACAAGGCTTCCGCAATGCTACCTCTGATGCCTCCCTATTTATTTCTACCTTTGGTAGCAATGTCATTTATTTCTTGGTTTATGTTGATGACCTTATTGTTACTGGCAACAATTCTTCTCTTGTAATGCAGTTCATTGCCACATTGGCTCGCCGGTTCTCTGTCAAAGACTTGGGGTCTCTTCATTACTTCCTTGGTGTTGAGGTTATTCCCACCACGACTGGTCTATTTCTCTCGCAACACCATTACATTCGTGATCTCCTACTCAAAGCCAAAATGGACGGTGCCAAGGAGGTCAGCACTCCATTATCTACTTCTGATAGTCTTGTGCTCAATGATGGGACTCCACCTACTGATGCTACTCGTTTTCGTCAAATCATTGGTGGTCTTCAGTATCTCAACCTCACACGCCCTGACATCTCTTTTGCCGTTAATAAGCTCTCTCAATTCATGCATAAGCCTTCGGAGTCTCACTGGCAGGCCCTCAAGCGTCTCCTTCGTTACTTGAAGGGCACCTTATACTTTGGTCTTCATTTGTCTCGTCGCTCATCTCATCGTCTCTATGCTTTCTCTGATGCCGATTGGGCCGGCAATCTTGATGACCGTAAGTCCACTACTGCCTATGTTGTTTATCTTGGTGGCAATCTCATCTCTTGGAGCTCTCGCAAGCAACGCTCTGTGGCCCGCTCTTCCACTGAAGCTGAATATCGAGCCATTGCTACCACCACTGCCGAAATTGCATGGATTCAATCCCTGTTACGTGAACTTGGCATTTCCCTTTCCGGTCCACCGCTCATTTCATGTGACAACATTGGAGCCACATTCTACTGTGCTAATCCTGTTCTCCATTCTTGCATGAAACATATTGATATTGATTTTCAGTTTGTCCGGGATCGCGTTAATAGTGGTCTTCTTCAAGTTTCACATGTTTCTACTGTTGACCAACTTGCCGACGCCCTCACCAAACCACTTCCACGTCTGCGTTTTCAGCTTCTCCGGTCCAAGATCGGTGTCTCCGATGGGACCACCGTCTTGCGGGGGCGTAAAAGGGAACCTTCATCAAAGGAAATCATCTCATCATCAACGCAATCATCTGCAATCTCTCATCAAAGTCAACCTTGATCTTTGCATTCCTGTCATAGCTAATCTGGATTGATTCTCTTCATCAATCCCATTGTATCTAGACAACCTGGATTGATTCTCTACATCAATCCTGTTATATTTACCTTATTTAGATATTATCAATTTGTATATAATAGTCATTCCGTGTATCAATCAGATATCAATGAAATATACTATTCATTCTTAATCTCTTTAAGTTGAACCACAACCTCTATCTGAACTCTGAAGAACAAATTTGTGCACTACTTGCCAAACCACAAGCAAACTATTCAAGCAAGCTCCCACTGAGCACTGACAGCCTAAATACAGATAGAATAGAAACTGAAATGCCTTAAAGTGAGATGAAAGCTCGTTACAAACCAATCCACCAGCAACTAGATGATCAAGCATCCCTGGATATATATTATATAAGTGGGTTTCTGTTGACTTCTCTTCGCTATCCATAGAAACTTCTTCCCATCCTTCTCAACATAGCCATTCATGTGCACTCCATAAGCCTATTCCAACGAGAAGTACACATAAAAAATGTTAAAAATGAAAAGTTGCAAGAAAATCAAATGAACAACAATAAAAGAGTAAGGCTTCCTTCCTATGTGACCATTGAAAAAGCGACCAGACTCAATGATACCACTGAAATTTCAAACCCTACAAAAAATCTTATATTCCTCTCTAGCCAACACTATAGCGCACACAGTGTCACCTCCAAAACCTCATTATCAAGCCCTTTCACACACCTCCATGTCGATCTAATAACAAACTACGTACAGTACAGGCATTGCTAGATACATATATAGCACCAATTAATCCATTCATCATACAGATTAATATAGCCAAAATGACTTGCTAGAGATGCATAAAAAATTGATTATAATTCATTGTTTAATCACCTTGACCAAGGTTATAAAAAATAATAATAAAAAAAGGTGGCGCACATCGCAGAAACAAACCGTAGTTCATTCCTTATACCTGGACTATGTTCTTCCCCTAAGCTTTTGATTACATCTCCCACAGCTCTCGTCCCGTGCTCATCGATGAATGAAACCGCCATTAGAGTTTGAATTTTCTGGTGGGAAAGTAAACACGTCCTTGAAACTACGTAAATTCTCAGCAAAACTATAGATTTGGGAAAATTATTCAGTGCTATATCTGAGCATGAAACGGGTATTTGAATTCAAGGAATTTGAGCTTACGCTTTGTGAATGGTCCTCAATTTCAAAGGGAAGAAACTCAGAGTGCGATTCCTGCAAGCAGTTTCAATAAAATGTGGAGTGGACTGTGGAGAGATAAACGAACAATTGGTCTGTTTCTGTTTGGCAGCTGAGAAAATGTATTGTATAACTTACCAAGGAAAGCGCGATTGCAGATTTTGATCTTTTCCGAGTAGCCCCTGAGATCTTAACCGGTTTGGATATAGTAACGAAGTCGTCCCAAGTGAAGACATTATCGAACGCTGAGACTGATGCAGTGCGACAAGTGACAACTTCGTGAAAAGCTTTCTGGTTGGAACGAACTGGGAACCACGTCGTAAGCGCCTTGGGGAAAGCGAGAAAAGCTTTGGCTGTAAAACGGAAGGCTAGAGAGTCGAAGAGTCTGTGAGAGTTGATGAATGCCGCTGCTGCAGCCCATGAGAGCGGGTTCGAAAAAATAAAAGTAAAAATCGGCCTAGGCGGGTCTTTTTTTATTTTATTTTTATTTTTATTTTTATTTTTTTCCTGACTTTAAAGAAAACCTGAGTTTTAAAGTCTTTATTCGCTGCGATATTATTGTGAGTACTGTGGCATCTGCAGGTCCAAAAAGAAGCTGATTGTTTCAGTCCTCCTTTTTAATTTTGGTCCAATTATGAATTTTTATGAATTGGATTTTTGTATTTTAAAAAAATCTGAAGCTGTGTTGTCTTCAGATTGATTATATTAATTTTTACTTATAATTTGGTTACTTTTGTTCCAAGAAGAGATGGAAATGGCCAAAGAGGCTGATGGGGATGGGGAAGGAGAGAGGGAAAAATCCAATACTTGCCAAGAATGCGGTGCTACTTATAAGAAACCTGCATGTCTTAAGCGACACATGCAAAGCCATTTCCTTGAGGTATTGCTTGTATAGCTTGATATTGCTACCTATTAGTTTGATAGCTTCATTACAGCTGATTGTGTCTATAACTTTCCATGCATTCCCTTCCTTGAGAATGCTTTCAGCAGCTGCCTGTCTTTGATCAGGTGCAGCCATGGCCCTGATCTTTTGGATGTTGCTCACACCAAAGATCTTATGAGCATTTTGGAACTCACTGTACCTGCTGGCTGGAAAGTATGGGGCCATTTCACAGGTCACATCACATTTTCTCCTCTGATGCCTATTTTCCATGATTGCTTGTTCTCACTTAAAATGAACCAAACAGAAGCAATTGAGGGTGAGGAAAAGCAAAGAAATTGGGATTTAATTGAGAGTTAAAGAGGGATATAAAGTTGGCTCAAGCTTATGATTGCTCTGTTTTGTTTTCTTCACTTGCTATATTTAATAAATTTGTCATCTTTTTTGTTAATAATTTAATTCTTGTTTATATTTTGGGCAGAGGCTAATGCAAAGGAAGCTGATAAAGTAGCCAACCAGTTGCGGTCTACTGGTATATCTTCTGGCGGAGATGGAGCTGCTTCTTCTTCAGGTAATACTGTAAATATGGGTATAGATGTATGTAGCAGTGTATGTTTGTATTTCATTACCCCCACTCTCTCTCTCTCTCAGGGTTGGTGGTGGCACTTCAGCACCTAAGCAAGAAGAAGTCAAGCGTCTTCCAGGCGGGAAGATTAAGAAAAAGGTGAGACTTTTAAAATTATTTGTTTTTGAGGACCTTTAGAATACAATGATTTAACCTTGGCATTGGCTTCCCTGTAGTAGAGGCAAGAAGTTACCATGGAAGTAATAAACAGAGTATTTCTTTTAAAAAATTGGAGAAACGGACTATTTCTTTAAAAAAATTAGGGGAAACCGAGTATAGCCACGCGTCTATGCTATTTCTTTGGAAAAAAATGCCGGGAGCGGCCATACTATTTCTTTAAAAAAAAAGGGTAAAGTCAAAGTATAGCCGCACGGCGATACTATACAAATTGGAAAAATCAAGTATAGCCGATTAGCTATACTATTTGTTGAAAAAATAAAAATAGGATAGCCGCGCGGCTATACGATTTCTTAAAACAAACATAGAAAAATAGTATAGCCGACCGGCAATACTATTTATGGAAATAAAATAGCCGATTAAAGCCGCACGGCTATACGAATTTTAAAATAAAATTAGAAACAACAGAGTATAGCCGCGCGGCTATACTATTTCTTTGGAAAAAAATAGAAAACCCGAGTATGGACGTCCGGCTATACTATTTCTTAAAAAAATATATATATAAAAACGAGTGAGTATATCCTGTTGGCTATACTATTTATTAAAAAAGATAAAATAAAATATCCGAGCAAAGGCACGCGGCTATTTATTATGAGTTCATATATGTGGGACATTATTGCTTTGAATTGCAGGGGTATTTTGAAGAGGCTGATGAGAAATTCCGGTGAAGGCCAAGGGTGGCCGTAAGAGGAAGTATTCCGTGTTGAGTCTGTCCAGCATAAATTTTGATTGTTTGGTATTTTATTGTGGTAATGATGTTATGCTCTTTTTCTTAGTTTATGAATTGACATTGCCTATTTACTTTTATGTCTTCGTTATAGCGACCATACAAAATGGTTATTTTACCATCCTGGTTTTCTGCATGTACTTAAATCTGAATTTTGAACTAAGATTGTTTCACTATGAGTCTATTACTTCCTTCATGGGTGAATTGCATCTCCATTTCCGATAAGAGGGTGAGACCTTGAAACTTCAACAAATTAATTTCTTTTTTCGAAAACAATCTCTGTCTAATTTTTGAGAGTTTGTTTCCTTATTTGCAATTGGTAGCAGTTACAAGTTATCTCTTTTATCTGCGGAACTCTCGCAGACAGAAGTATGTATGGGGTTAACATTTTATATCGTTGGAACTCTGCATCACATTACTACTGATACTTAATCTTCTCGTCTCTTGATTACTTTGAAGTAGTCGAATGCATAAATCTTGCAATTTCAAGCAGGAGGAAAACCATATATGCGTTCTTTATGTAGCAACCTTGTCTGTTTTGGTATTTCAGGGTGTGATTTTGTGTATTGGTTAAGAGTTAAGACTGCATGGACTGACATTTGCTTTCTTTTCTTCACAAATCAACATGATTTGCTCTCTCATGAAAAAAAAACCCATGGATTGTTTACATAGAAATTGCATTTGTAATGAGAGTTAATCCTCTAGCTTGGTGGTATTCTATGCTTGCAAATACCAGAAGGTTGGTCCACATGTTAGTAAATTCATTTGCAAAGGTCCTATTTGAAGGCATTATCGTGCTCATCTTAGAACAGATTCATTTGCAAGTCCTATCTGAAGGCATGCTACGCTTTAAGGTTTTGATCCAGTGACCAACCAATTTGAGCAGAGGGCAGCGCTTAATGCCAATCCACCTTGGATTTTAGTTTAGTTTGTGTGATAACAGGGCAGAGGGTAAGATATTAACCATTGTGGCTTACATATCACAAAGATAAAAAGATGAGTATAAGGTTTCTAAGAAATCTATTTGGATCAGGTTGGCATGATGTGGAGTGAAGCTTTTATAGAAGCATACTAGGATCCATCACAATCACATCCTTCATTATCCTTTGCATTGAAACCAAGCCTAAAATCTCTAGCCCTATTCAATGTGGGCCCATAACAAACCCAAGTTAGCCCCAATTTATAGCCCAAATTTACATTACAATCTTTCCTACATATTTTTCACGACTTTGTATAAATTTCACACTGTTTTAATATCCGCAGCATCACACTGGCAGAATTGCTAGTAAATACTATATTCTATCAAATTGGATCGGATTTAGCCAAATTCAAATTTGTTCCGTTAACTTAACGGGTTAACGGATTCGGAACATAATCCAATTATCAGATAAAATCACGAGGGTCATCTCCTATTAATTTCATCGGATTAAAATCACGCAAGCATGTATAATATATGACCGTTAATAGTAATACATATGAGGCTCACATATATAAATCACTATCCTTTGTAAAATTCTTCCGTATAGTCACTATCCAACAAATAAGGACTGATCTTTTAAGCTAGGCCCAATGTGCAGTCCAATTATACTCACTCAACTTCTGATTTGTGGTAAGGGAATAAGGAATATAGGGGGTGGATTGGGGGTGCTCTATCAGAGATAAGAGTTATTTTGATCGTTATACATAAGGAAGGTAGGCTACTTTGTTAGACTGATGCTTGAACTCTTATGTGTAGAGATGCTCGCCTAATCCTCTTCATCTTGAGTCATACCCTTGTTTTTGCACTTGTTGCTTTATTTAATGATATCTTATTGCTTTTCTTCAAAACCAATATAGAATGACTAGAAATTCCATCACATGTGATTCACATAAGAAAGGGGTTGAATTGATTCAACTTCAAAAAATTTATGAGATGTCTAGACCCACTTGAGTATCCTACTTCTTGTTTTATGGAAGAACTAAAATTTATACCATTCTAACTTTTATAATTTTTTTTTGGACTAAAAATATATAAAAAATTTATACCTCTCCTTAGATTAGAGACTATCACTTGTATAAAAAAGAAAAATAGCAAAAAAGGCAGGCACCAAGAAAGCAAAAAAAAAAAAAAAAAAAAAAAAAAAAAAAAGAAGAAAAGGCAGCACATACCCCGCACGTGTTACGCACGTGAAGAGACCCGTTCAGCCGAACAGAGCAAGATGGCGGGAAAATACGCAATCCTTCACTCTACCAGACTATATTTCCCCCACTAGCTTCTAGGGTTTGTAGATTTTACCTTTCCGACCGAAATCCTCAGTTTCTCGCGAATTTTTTTTTGCTATTTTTCTAGTTACCAGCGCCGGAGACTAAAGAGATGCCGACGTACAACATCAGAGGCATCGATGTGGATTTCCCATTCGAAGCCTACGATTGCCAGCTCATTTACATGGAGAAAGTCATCCAATCTCTCCAAGAAGTAGGCCTAATTTTTTAAGTTCATTTCTTGCTATGAATACCACAAGTTGTTGTCCGTTTTTTCAAATTGTTTTTGTTATGGGGTATTCTTTGATATTCAGTTTGGTGCTTTTTAAGACGTGTATGTGATAGAGAAGTGTCTAGTTGAACGGATTTGGGGTCAAATTAAAGATTTTTTTTATAAGGGTAACTCCAATCATGTAAGATGTGTGTACTGAGCTTACATAAGCATACATTTGGATGATTTTGGAGTCAATCTTGAGAATGTTGTTGTTGGGTAACCTGATTTTGGTGCTCTAATAGCATGGATCCTCTTCATGTGGTGTTCTTCGTATTGGCTTTGGTCATAATTAATTTCTGTATGAATATTTTAAAGACTTATCAACATCATTATCATTGTTGTTGTTGTGGGAAGGCTTGCCCCAGTCAACCTGGTGGTTGGGAACAACCTATCCGGAAACAGGGGTATGGCTGCTTATGTCTTACCCTTTCTGGACTCCACGTTGGCCGTAGGTTTGCCTTCTTCGGATCAGTGGTTTAGTTTGTGACTTGTGTGCACATGTAAAATGCTGCAGAGAAGTAATGCACTGTTGGAGAGTCCCACTGGAACTGGAAAAACCCTTTGTCTTCTCTGTGCCACATTGGCCTGGAGGAAGAGTTTGGGTGTTTTCTCAACTGGTCCTAATGTCAAGATGAGTCTGATCACAGGAGAAAAATCAGGTGTTCCATTGTCACAGTCTGCGACAAAAGATCTTCCTACCATAATATATGCGTCCCGCACTCACAGCCAGATCCGGCAAGTAATTAAAGAGTTGAAAAGAAGCTCTTACAGGTCAGTTATGGTATGATTTTGCACTTATTCAATATTGGTTAAGCCTTGGATGTCATTATTACTATTGCTATTATCATTTGCTGTTTTTGTTGTTCACTTCATCCATTTCTTGTATTTATGCCATCTATTGATGCACAGCTCAAGTGTTATTTCCTGATATTGGGTTGCCACATAAATGAATGTCCCATGTGCCTTTTCATTTGTTCTTTTCTACTCAAAAGGATTATGCCAGTTTGCAATGTACCTCAAAAATTGCTGTTTGGGGACTTGTAATCTTAGCCATTCTTTTGTAGTTGTTATTACATTGTATTTTCATCTTTAAATAGTTGGTGCAATCTCAACAATGCTACATATGTTTTTGTTGCTTTTCTAGGTTGATGTTCTGTGTACATTGAAGCCTGTGTTATCTAACAAATGTTTGAGCTTGTGGAGCAACGTAAATGTTCATTAGCTGCATGTATATTTTTATCTTACCACCTAATGGCTACATATGATTTCTTGTCTGAAAGATTTTAACTTGCTTTCAAGTTATTGATAGTGTAACATATTCATTACTTAGACATAACGTAGAATTTCTGGCATCTATCTTGATACTGTAATTAGTTGAGTTGTTGGCGATTACCAGCTTGTTTGTTACAGTTGCGTTAGCAAATGTTGCAACTCTAATTATCAGCTGTGAAAATCAGTATTGACACCTAAATTTTTTAGGAATGAATTTATTTTCAGATGTTTTTGGTGGTGTGGAATTATTCTCTATTTGCCCAACGAATTGTTCTTTGTAGTTAGAGTTCTCTGTTTGTTTTCCGTTTGAATTGTAGAAATATAAGGAACTTAACTAATATTTGACAATATGCAGGCCGAAAATGGTAGTGTTGGGGTCTCGAGAACAATTATGCATTAATGAGGAAGTGAGTTTACTACGCGGAAGAACACAGACAAAGGCTTGCCATTTCCTCTGCCGGCGCACTAAGGAAACAAAGGATAAAAAGCGTCATTGTGCTCATTATTCTCGTGGTTCTGGTAAATATTGTGCTTGTTAGTGTACATAGTACATATACACTTATGTGGCTGTCCTTTCTTGTAACGTTAAGTTTTCTGAATTTTAGCACATGTTCGAAACAATTTTGTTTATGGAACTTATTCCCTGGGATACTTGGAAACATATTAGCCATTTTGAGTGTCACCATTATTTTACACGACAGGATAAGTGTGGTGTCCTTTCTTGTAATGTTAAGTTGTCTTGAGACTGATAGTCTTCATCATCAAAGCCCTCCCTCTCTCTCTCCCTCTCCCCCTATATATATGTATCTCTTTATATACCATAGATTTGACCTTGAAAATTCTCCCAAAATTAGCTGAATAAGATGACTATACAATTCTCCATTCCTCAAAAACCAAAAAAGTGTGGCATTGCTCTACTTTGTTATGAGCACTTAGTATTCAGTTGGATTTTTTGTGGTAAAAAACTTTTTTATGCTTGTTTCTCTTTCCCCAAATTCCTGATTTGTTCATGCTTTTTTATTGGCTTGTGTGCTTGAATGTGTGTGCCCCTGTAATCTCTGGAAGTGAATGTGCAGATGAGTTTTGAGTTATGAAATTGCTTTACCTAAATAAATCCAACTAGTTACTTATTAAAAATAACCTGGATGATGTTATTGATGATTGATCTGGTCAGGAAGGTTTAGGAATTTTTTTCCTGTGCCATCTACTGCAGTAACTCAACTGCTTCTTCATGGATTTTATTTTGATGTCATAGCATTTAAGAAAATCTAACGTTTATACTTGTTGGTTCTTCTATTGTAGGTTACTTAAAGAATAATCCTCATCTTGGAGATGAACCTATTGATATCGAGGATTTGGTGAATACTGGAAGAAAATTAGGGCCGTAGGTTCTTTTGTCTGTGTTCTTTCACTATAGTAAATGATAACTTAGAGCCCCCCTCTCCTCCTTCTATTTATTTTAACTTGTTACCATTTTCTTGTAGGTGTCCTTATTATTTATCGAGGGAACTCCATAAGGTTGTTGATATATTATTTGCACCTTATAACTATCTTATTGATCATGGGTATAGAAAATCGCTACAGATAGATTGGAAAAACAGTATTCTCATATTCGACGAAGCTCACAACCTGGTAAGAGATAAAATTTAGTGTTATTTTCGGGCAGGGAAAACTCCAATTTTTTGTAGATATCTGAAAACTATATATGCTGGTTTCTGAATATTGTATTCTTTGTTCTCTCATTGACTCTTGGGAGTTGCTCAACTTTGAAACAAATATTCACTTCATATTCATGCAGAATTAGTAAATTTAAATTATTACACAAGTTTGTTGCTTACATAACCTAAACACAATGCAGGAAAGCATATGTGCAGATGCAGCTTCCTTTGACTTGCCTTCTTGGCTTCTTACAGCTTGCAATTCTGAAGCGAAAAATTGTATTGACCTTTCTATAAAAAGAAGGGAAGAATCAACTGATAAATCACAGAATCCAGATGACTTTGCAATTCTCAGAGGTAAACCTAATTGGCCCATTCGTCAGTATTCAATTTTTACCAAACTTGCCATTTCTAATCAGTAGTATTCCATTGCATAGTCGCTATACTGGCGATGTTTTGTTAGGGAAAATTGCCTTTTAAAATCCTATTGCAGTGGTTTTGTTGTTTTGGTAAACCCCTTTACTTGACGTTCTCTTTAAGATAGCATATTTTTGTTATTCTTTTAGTCCTTTCTTTGTTATAAAACTTTGCCTGGTCACAAATTTTACAATTTAACAATGCATATTTTGCAGCGCTTCTTTTGAAGCTTGAGAAGCGTATTTCTGAAGTGCCTATCGAATCCAAGGAATTGGGATACACTAAGCCTGGGCCTTATATCTATGAACTCCTGGCTGAATTAAACATCACACAGGATACTGTCCCTAAGCTCATTAAAATACTTGAGGATGCTACTTTACTTATTGAGGAAGAAAATCAGAACAAGGCAAATCGAAGTGTCTGCCGGCTGGAAAGCATTAGTGACATGTTTAATTTAATTTTCAGAGATACAGACAATAACCATGCAAAATCCTATCGTGTAAGTTTGGATATTGGTCTGCTAGTTATTATCACCTGGGACTTTATCAGGAGCTTTCTTTACTTCAAATATTAATCTTAGTTGTTAGTTCATTATGCGTAATGAACTAATTGTTTGAATATGGAACACTTTCTGTTCATTTTAGGTTCATGTACAAGAAGTTGAAGCAGCTGCAATTGATGGTTTAAAGGGTAATTGGAGACCTATTTTTCTGATATTTTGAAGTGAGATTCATTGTTTCATGTAACTGTAGTAGATAAATTTTTGTGTTCTAATATTTATTGCATTATAAAAATATTAGAGCTGGGATCCTAATGGTGTCATGCACAGTCATTTAACTTGACATATAAAAGATTTTCTTTTGAATCCCATAAGGTGTTATAATGTTGTTGATAAAGATTAATGATCAAGCTTTTATTGACTTTTTACTTCTCTCCCCTTCGGTCCCTCCAAATCAATGGCTAAAGTGCATTCAAATAGAGGATTACCTAGTTTGAAATAAGGGATGAGGGATTTAGAACTCCAGTTTATAAGGCTACAAAGTAGAAAGCCAATGTGTCATACTTAGGTGATATTTTCAGTAAGGTGGATGTTGATATTCAAGAGTTGTTCTTTAGTTAAAGGGCATTATGCATGCTTGTTAGCTACATATTTGACTGTACTTATGCTTAGGAGAAACTTGGGGAGCAGATTTGGGCCCATGAGAGCTACATCTTAGATGGTAAAACTAAATTAGATCTCAAAATGGGTGGCTCTGCCCCTCTGGGGTTCAAATTTCAGGTCATTTCACAAGTCACTCTAACCAAGTCATACAACATGACTTCCCTAAATTATTCTAACTAATCCCAGATTAGCTCAGGAATGTATGTTCTCAGTTCCATGAATCTAGAACTGAGAGGTCTGGCCAGATGCAAGTGTAGTAGACAATACTAAGAGGGAGTGGAAGAGACACAAATATTCTAAGACATGATATTAGAAAGACATAGAGTTCCTCTTAATTTTTGAGCCCTCTGCTGGAATTGGTGAACAAACAATTTGGTGTATGCTATTCTATCCCTTGGGTTGTTGTATGCAGATGCTTACCTTGTATATAAAAGAAGCCTTAATTTAGACAAGGCAACAGCAGATGTAGACTTCAGTTGGGTTTATTGTCTTGTGATCAGCTTCCATTTCAATGAAGCCCACATATGTACTTAATTCTTGTTTGCTACAGAAACACCTTGTATTCTACAAGATCAATTTTAGGTGTTCTGAGAAGTATTTGACGATTTATGTGTTGTGATGATTATGAATCAGTGTCGGTAGTGGTATCTCTCATTAAACTTTCAGATTGTGAAGTGGAACACTAGGAGTTGGGAAAATCGAATGGATGATGAAAAAGAGATGACTTTTTTCAAGGATCATATGTATCCTGTTTTTGTCTTCTATGCAACCAAATAGAGGATCAGAGAGATTGGTTATGTGGGAGTGGAGAGCCATAAATGAGCTGATGAGTGTGTGGGGCTTGTCCTTTTTGCTGTAAATCAGCTGATTAGTTTGCTAGTCAGCTTTGTTTGTTATTGACTGAAAAAGCCTTGTTTGTTTTTTGTCTTATGAAGCTACCTCATTTGAACTCTGCACCAAGCATAGTAGCTTGATCTTTTTAAATTTTCATATTCATGACATGTGATTGATGACATTCTTTCCTGTGATATTGACAATGATATATTTATCCTTCTGGTTCTAGGTAAGGCATCTAGGACACTCAGCTGGTGGTGTTTTCATCCTGGAATTGCAATGGAAGAATTCGCCAAGATGAATGTGGGCTCCATTATACTGACATCTGGCACATTATCTCCCTTGGATTCATTTGCACAGGAATTGAAACTGTAAGTGGCTTTTGTGCAGTTTATTTTCCATTTGGTTTTAGTGTGGCTGCCTTAAATTCTTTTAAAGACAATGGTTTATTTGTGTCTCAGAGAGTTCCCTGTGCGGTTGGAAAACCCTCATGTTATTACCCCAAATCAGATATGGGCTGGAGTTGTACCAGCTGGACCTTCTGGTTTCTCTTTCAACTCCTCTTATAGAAATCGCGATTCTCTGGAGTACAAACGGGACCTTGGAAATGCCATTGGTACGTAATGTAATTGCTGGTAATAGTAAAATAAATTGGGATTTTAGTTGCCATTTAACATGCCACTGGTCTGGGTACCACCTATTTTGATAAATGCGAAAGGGTTAATAATTTCATTGAACCCCAGTTCCTCCAAAACACAAAATTTGCTTATTTCATATTTCAATCTTATTATTGGGATGAAATGTTTTATGAATTCATTGTACTCATGGGATTTTAGATTTGTCAAATACGTCACAGTGGTGCACAGTAATATGTGCATCAAAATTTTCTTGTATGCATCTGATGTGTAAATAGGGTCATATTAGGCTTAGACATTGACTATATAAGTTAAGTAGAAATTAAATTTGGATGATTTGCATTTGATGTGTTGATGATTTAGTCTCATAAGGTTCAAAAGTTGTGTCCTCTTGCTCTTGACATGGAGAGAAAGGTATTTTATTAGGAGACTTGCCTCCTGGACTCAACAGAGTACACATAAACACACCTGCAGCACGGTTGTGCGCATACACAGAAAGAACAAATAGGAAAGGCATAACCGAAAAGAAAAAAGAAGAATAAGCATACATAGATCTAAGATAAAATACTAAAAACCTCGTGTTACCCCTAAAAAACGGATGGTCCATGTGGTTTATTTCATGAGACTTTTATTTCCTATGGTTTCAGAAAGTGTAACACAGGGTGGTTTATTTGGACCCCCTTATTTGCTTGGTTAGCCCACCAAATTTCTCTCTTTTTTGTAATTTTATAATTCCAATTATTTAATTTTTTCCCCTAAAACAAACTGTTTCCCCTCCCCCTCCTCCCATTGTTCCTCTCCTCCCTCCTCCTTCCCTTGTCCTCTGTCCTCCACTCACTCCCTCTCTTTGGCGGCAGTGAGGTGCTTTCCAGTGCCTTGAACGTGGGGTTTTTTTAATTATAATTTTGATTAATAGAACTTTAGAAGCCAAAGAGGATAAAAAAAGGTTCTGGGCAGCTTTATGGGCATCAGTTTTAGCTGATATTAAGGATTATTCTTATTCTTCTATAATGTTGGATTTGTTAGCAGCTGTGAAGTAGATTAGTATGGTGAGCATGTTTTATTTTACATCCTTTTGAGTTGTACTTTCTTGTTTTTACTTGTTTTTTCCCAGATTCTTGATACCTTTTCCACTCTTTGTAATTAGCTTTCCTACTTTAATAAATTTATGTTTCTTTTCAAAACCAAAAAAAAAAAAAAAAAAAAAAAAAAAAAAAAAAAAAAAGGATAAAGGAAAAGATTAAGAAGAAAAAGAAAAATGAGAGAGGATGAATGAAAGATTAATTCAACCAAAATAATTTTGGTGGGCTATGTGAGGAAGTAAAGGGGTCTGTAAAGAATGAACCTGTACCATATTTTGTTAACAGCAAGCTGCAAATATACATAACCAGTTTATGCTGATGTCTTTGCAACTGTTGTTCTAAAGAAGAGAGAGAAGTTGGTTGCAGTCTGATGCAACAATTGTTGTAACAAGTTGTGATTGATTCTTCATCGGCTTTTTGTCAGTGATGACTTTTGCTTGTCAGTGACCTTGTTTTTTTAAATTCAAATTGCATAGTTTCATCTCTCTCTCTCTCTCTCTCTCCTGAAATTTATCCCCATGATATATCAAGATCATAAAACCTCTTACTACACCAACCACATGAATCTTTCACTGAACCAACCAAAACCCATCACTTGCACAGAATTTTTGGATATCCAAACCCAAAACCCACATCCCACCCAGCAACATTTTCCAGATAATGCTCCATACCAGCTGGCCACCCTTTTGTAAAACATGCTGGGAGATTGAAGAGAGAAAAGATGGTGGGAGTGGTAGTGGTGTTTCGAGCGAGAGAAGATGAATGGGTGAGGGGGAGGCAGTGGAGGTTGGAGTTGTCCTCTGTTAAAGTGCTAAAGTGTCCATTCCTCAATTACTTGTCATGGCAGAAGAAACCACTGGGCACAAACTAAACCCCAAGGATCATCTTTGTTTGGAAGCCCAAGGCATGGCACTGGATTTTGAATCTAAGCACCTAACTTTAAGGAAAATGGAGAGTGTCCAAATTGTAGACTGGTTATTATTGTTTATTACTTACGAAAAACGTAATGTTCTTTGACGTTCATGTTTCAGTCAATTTTGCTCGAATCGTTCCCGATGGATTGCTTGTATTCTTTCCGTCTTACTACATTTTGGACCAATGCATTGCCTGCTGGAAGAATACGGTAAGGAATCAAATAGATTCTGTGAAGAGGTCAAATTGGTTTGCTTTCATCTTATGACACATTATTTTCTACTTATGCAGAGCCATGCCAATTCAACTACAATATGGGAAAGAATCTCCAAACATAAGAAACCTATTGTAGAACCTAGACAATCTTCATTGTTTCTTTTGTCAATTGAGGTGACTGACATGACGTACAAACAATCAGCGATTTTTCTTATTTATAACTGTATAGTCTTCCCTCACATGTTCCCTCGATTATATTGTTGGCAGGACTATATGGCTAAGCTGAAGGACACCTCAGCTTCTGGTGCAGTATTTTTTGCTGTTTGCCGTGGTAAAGTATGTCTGATTCCTGACTTTTCAGAAATAGTCCAATTTTGTGCTCTGGAAGACTTCTTCATCTTGTGCTGATTGATGCATATTGACAGACATTTGTTATGAACATTTTTACTGTCATACAATAGGGGTTTTTGAAAATCTACGATATATACTTAATAAGCTGCTTCAAAACTAAACCTTTTTGTATTTGTCTGGCATCAATCTCGCCTTGTGATGCTTTAATGTGAGATTACTTGATAAGAGCATTTGAACTGCTTGATTTGCAATGGTTACCACGTTTTAAGTGGCTTCAAGAGGGTAAGTAAAGACTAGAGATGCTGAAAATATGCAAATTTTAGAGAGTCAATAAGTTGCACAAGGCATGCTTATTTTATGATCCTTTATTTGGTCATATTATGTGGCTCTTGTATCTCAATTAAGTCACAAGAAAACTGCCTTGAAATGTGTTATGATTCCCAAAGAAATACATCTCTTGTGCTGAACATACTCTTTTATGGCCTTTATTGCACTGTACTGACACACATGATAAGTGCACAAATTATGATTGACATTGCTATCAATGATAGTTCCAGACACTATCTGCTTTAGACTGCCTATGAGGCTAGAAAAGTAGAAATTAATGCTGAATTGCAGGATCTCCCCCGATTTCAAGAGGCATTCCTATCATAATGTTGATGAATTCTTTTGGTGCTTACCGACACTTTTATTCTACTACATGTATTTGCTCTAGACCTCTCTGAAATCTTAAGCTAGTGAATAATTTGTCAGGTAAGTGAAGGACTAGATTTTGCTGATCACGCTGGAAGGGCTGTAGTCATTACTGGTCTACCATTTGCCACAAGGAATGATCCTAAGGTTGACAATTCCCCCCATTTTTTCTTCTGATTACTTTTTATATGTGTGCATTATGAAAGTTGTGGCCGTTTTAAAAGGTTGAAGTTGTGACCAGTGATTTTGTGAAGCATTATACCTTTGATTATTGACACTGAGTCATGCTGGTAATTTGTGATTTTATCTTTGACTTTGCTTGACTGCTAGCATTGATTACAATTGTTGAACATAATATGGAAACTACTGCAAGTGCTTATTTACCTGAATCTACCTCTTAAATGTGATGCTGACTGAGTGAAATTATTGAGAGTTAGGCATTAGACAGAAATCTTCTGCACAAGTTTATTTACGGAAAGATGTGTTTAGTGAACATTCATTGTGAATAAATTACATATTTGTAAACATATCTAAACATACAGAACCTCGAATATGATTATGCGTGTATAACATTATTTTTCATAATAATACTTAGTAATTATCTAGATATTATCAGTTTGGCATATTCTCACTGTTTTCAATTCGTTACTGTGGTCTTGTTCAAATTTCCACTCATATGAGATGACAACATAAAACAGGTTCGTCTGAAACGTGAATACTTGGATCAGCAGGCATATTCCCAGAGGCAAGTATGTAAGGTAATGTCCAAATGTTTGATGTGAGATGCCACTTTAAAAAAAATTTCCTACTAATTTTATCAAAACACTGAAGTTGGAGGTTCTGACTGGAGAAGACTGGTACAATCAACAAGCATCACGAGCTGTAAATCAGGCTGTTGGACGTGTAATCCGTCATCGTCATGATTATGGAGCAATTATTTTTTGTGATGAAAGGTGTTTTTTCCCCGCTGCTATCTCACGACTTGCTGACAGCTTTCACTAAGATTTCATGTTATTTGCTTATCAGATATATTCTTAAAATGCATAATTTTGGTTTAGTGTGAGATCAACTTTACATTCTTTTTCAACCAGATGCTAGTTTCAAAATGTATCGTTGTAAGTAATTGTAAACTTATTGCTTTTCTTCCACCCATCCCCACTAAACATGTTGAGAATACAATAAAATTCTACTGTAATAGTTCTTTCTTGACTAAGCATAGTTCAAATATTACCTTTAACAATTTACTATATTTGACTTTAGTTTTCCAATTCCATAGATCACAAAATTTCAAGCTCTTTCTACAACCTGGCCTTTCTAGGGAAAAGGTAGAATTCATTTGAACTAGACTGGATTCTGAAACGATTTTTTCAATTTTTTGTTTTTATAGCGTTTACCAGAGATATGAAGCCACTTTGGACGATCTTTAATGTTTATGGGCCTTGCCCATTTTTTATTTTTTATTTGTAGATTGTTGTCAAACGCCATGTTGGATTTAGACTCACAAGCTTGTAGTTTTTAAAACTTTTCTGTTCTTAATATGTATTCCTCTAGAGATTTTTTGTTTTTTTTCTAAATATTGGTTTTGTTGAGAGTATTTGTCCCACATTTGAGAATGGAAGCCTTGCATAAGTGCTTTAAAAGATCTTGGGGCCTCTCCACCTGTTGCCAATTGGTTTTGGGTTGCATGCTCACTTTCTAATAGGTTTCTATAATCATTTATGGTTTAATTAGCAACACTGACCTCTTGACTTGTATGTGTATATGTACTTTGTTTAATTTTGGATTTATTAACAGGTTTGCACAGCCAAATCGTCAATCTCAAATATCGCTCTGGATACAACCTCATGTCAAGGTGCTTTCTATTTAGGAATAACCTTTTGATCTATATGAAAACTTTTGTACTTATACGTCCTTTTTCAGTGTTACTCTAAATTTGGGGATGTAATTTTTTCATTGACCCGTTTCTTTCGGGATGGAGGAGCTCGGGGTCCTACAAAGTTGAAGTTGTTACAAACTGAAAAATGGGGTAAGAATAGTGCGTTTAAAGAACAAATATCTGTTAGTTTTTTTCTCAATAACTGAGGCTTTTAACAATATGGTTAATGTTCCTATGAAAATCATGTTTGAAGGGCACATCACATATACATTCTTATCTCATTATAAGTACAAACTAAAACTTACTAGGCTCACAAGTTTTGTGTTATGACCAATGCTCTAATTGAACAGAAAAAGTTTCATGCTTTTGTCATGATGGGAAAACAAGTGCTTTGTTCAAACCATCTACGTGGTTTTGAAATTAGACAATTTCACTTGCAATTTAAGTGCGGAAATCCTATAAATGTATTGCCACATGCATCATTTGAATGGAAAGATTAGGTCGTAACCCCCCTTCCTGTGGGTGACCTTTCTAAATCCCTGATAAAGGATAAATAATCAAGCATTTGAAGAGATTTTTACACTAGCTTTCACAGTACCACTGGTTAATTTATATATTGTCTTTACATATTCTTTTCCACTGGCTTACACAATCACTGCATCATTCGTCAAACTCACCTTTCTGTCATACTTTTTCCTATAGATGCAATTTCTACATCAAATTCAGTACTTGATGAGCAGACAAATGAAGCCCCATTCGATCATAAACCATATTCTGTAGGTTCATCAACCTCAGTTCATGGTAGGTCTTTTCTCTCTTGCCTGCACGTTCTGCTTTTGTTCTCCTCTTTTAGCTCTAAATAATATTAACAAAATAGGCTCATGCACTGGCCTGCACTTAAATCAGCTTTGTTAATTATGAATTCTCTTCCCAGTAATAAGGCATCATGTAAACTTGCATTTTCTCTTAATTTGATTCAAAATCATTTACCATGTATATGCAAGGATGTAAAATGGAAATTGGTAATGCTCTTCGTTGCCTTACTGTTGTGCTTTTATCATCCTGGGATCTTCAACTGAATTTCCAAGTACCATTGCGTCTGATTTACCTTTTTTCATTTTATCTGCAAAGGATAAGTTGCAACACGTGACTAGAAAATCCAGAAGTTATTGTTGTGACATGGACTTAGAATATCTGTTAGCTTTTGGAATTTCTTAGATACTAATGTTTGGGGCCACAAAATTGCATAAATCACTTTGGGATGTAAAGCATCATTTTCTCATGTTTTGTGATGTGACTAACTTTTAATGCTGCAGCTTATGTTGATTTCCTTTATTCATTTTACAGGAACATCAGGGAAAATTTATGAGTTGAAAACTGAGCAACCACCAGAAAAACTTTATCTGGATAAATTTCTCCCTCTGGTAATTTTTAATTATTACCTCTGCAGACACTCATAGTTACGTCATAAGTTGTTTTATAGTGTGATATGCTTCTTAGTTATTTGTGCTTGCAGACAACAGCAGTCAGTCAAGACTGCCCTGTAAAGTCATCTTCTTCCCTACTTAAAGCTGGCAGGGACAAACTTTCAAGCCTGTTAGGGGAAGTTCTTCCTGCCAATCGCTCATCTCTTACTTCCTGTAAGGATCAGTCTGTGTCATTGAAGTGTTCAAATAATCTATTCAGAAATGAGAAAAGGCTGCTTATTTGTGAGAGGGAAACTCTGCAATGTCAAGATAGTAAAGTATTTGGTTTTCCTGGCAAAAATGAGAAACGAGGCGAAGAACTAATAACACCTTGCTCTGCAAAAAGGTGTAAATTAAGCACCGAGCATGACTCAGTACATCTTATTGACAACTCTAATAAGCATTCATCTCTTGCAAAAGATTCTGATTCATATGGTGGTTTTCCCAATATTAATCTGAGAAGTGAGAGTTCACATATATCTGACAGTTCAAGTTCACAAAATGCTCAAGTTGGTTCAGCATTGCTGCGTAAAGACAAGAGGATCATACAACAGGGAGATGCTGAGTTTCTGAGTAACAAAAACAAAAGTGCAATATCCATCCCTGTGCTTTCTGGTGATAAGGAAACCAGAGGATCTGAGTTTCTAGTTCAGGTGAGCATTCTGATGATGTAAATGCTTTTTTCTCATAGGCCATGGCTGGAAAGCAATATAAACTATTGATTTGTGTTAATGCATGCCTTTATTCAAAGGACCATTGAGAAGAAACTGATAGGGGATGGCTCATAATGCATATAAAATCTGTTTAACATGTTTTCCAGAAACAACTTAAGCTGACATGCTTCTTGTTGCTTTAGACTCGTTGTGTTATATTTACAGGTTGGTCTGCATGATGCTTAATTATTTCCTTGTTGCATTGTTTAGGATATTTTAGAACTTGTTACCCTGAATGGGATACTAAAGGATTTACCCAGGGACAGAAAATGATGCAGAAAACTGTCTTGTGATCTACTGTCATGATAATAGTTAAAAGTGTTTACTCCTCGGGAAGATTAGAGACTTGTTGCATGAGTCACAGGCAGTAATTACTTCTTCATTTCCTGGGGCAGTTTGGTGGGGTCACTGCAATGGGCTGAGGGAGGATGGTTGAAAAGTACATACTGAAGCCATGAAGTAGATTTAAAGGGTACTGAAGTTTACCCTATGTGGCTCTGTCCCAAAGAAAGAAAATTACAATATGTGGAATACTTACTAAGAACAGAGAAGAAAAAAAAAGGATACTGGCCATAAAAAAATAAAAAAATAAAAAGGAAAAAAAAGAGTTTCACACTTTTGAAACATCTTCCTTGAGTTTGAGAAACATAAATACATCAATAGTCTACCATTTGTTCACTATGACATTTCCAGAAATAACCCTCTCTTCTTCTAATGGCCTACCTGAATCCCTCATGTAAATTTGTTAATTCAGTAGCTAGGCATTTGAACTTTATAGAACTTTTCTGTCAGAATTTTGTTAGGTAGTGTTCCTTCTTGGGAATTACACAGTTTTCCTGTTAAATAGTTAGTGAACAACTTGGGGTTGTTGGATGTTTTCCTTATGCGTTACAGGTTGAAGAAAAACTTAGCACTTTGGAATATAGAGAATTTGTAAATTTGATGAAGGCACTTAAGTCCAAAGCTATGAAGATGAATGAAGTTTTACAATCCATTGCAAGCCTGTTTTCCGGACGAGAGAGGCTTCCTCTTCTTAAAAGGTAATTCTCCTATCTATACTTCATATACAGAATCATATTTTCTGCTTGGTGAGCATGAAAATGTGGTTCACCAATTGTTGTTTCAAAAACCAACGGCTAACATTTATTCCAAAAGAAAAGCTTTTTTAGAATTTGAATATGAGCTGTTGAATTTTGATGAATGGTTGGTGATCATGAGTAAAAGATCACAAATGTGTGTGTGTGTGTGTGTGTGTGTCTCTCTCTCTCTCTCTCTCTCTCTCTCTCTCTCTCTCTCTATGTATGTACATACACACACAAACACAGACTTTGAGTTTGACATATCATATTTCAGGTTCTCACTATTTCTCTGTCACAATTGTCAACAGATTTAAGGATTTTATCCCAGTAAAGTATCACTCTATGTATGAGCACTATTTTCAAACAAATGACGGGCTCTAGATATCCAAGGTAAGGAAATCTAGAATTCTTAAAGACCTGAATTATAATGTTTGCTGTGAATGAGATATAAACTTAACTATAGACCTTTCTCGACCCTTTGGCTAAGATGAAGCGCAATTTCTATATATGAAGGGAGAATATCTAGAAAATACACCTTATTAAGAAAGGAAAATACCACATTGTGGGACCATCCTATAATGTGGTCCAATGATCCAAATCATCTATTCATTTGGTTCATATTCACAATCTGGGAAGAGGACATCACACGCTCACATGAGTAGATTTAGTAATGACCCAAGTTAAGGGTCCACTGTGCATCCCAACCCCATATATCTATATACATCTTGTAAGCTTTTGTATGGTTTTCTTTGCCTCTTTTTGTATAAAGAATGCTAAGAATAAAGTTCTTATTTGATATCCTTGGTCCTCAAGCAAGTAGACTAGTAGTAGAAGAAATTAGGGAAAGTTATAATTCGATGTTACATCAAATTTAGGTTTCAGAATAATGTTTGCATTTGTTGAAATTATCATGAGATAAGTAATTTTACATAATTGTTTGTTGAATTTAGCTTTCAAAATAATTCGTTTATTTTTTGACATCCTGGAATGATAACTATACGAAAAAAAAAAAAAAAAAAAAAAAAATTAAAATAAAAAAAATAAAAATAAAAAAATAAAAAAAATTCAATATAAAAGTCCATATATACTTTATCTGGAACCATAAGATGCTCTAATTTGATAGGTTGATATCTACTTACATGTACTTAAAAATTATTTAAATTTTTTAAAAAAACCATCCTCCTAATGTAAGGTGTGAAAATTTAGATAGTTCAGATCGTGTTTTAAAAGATGAAATTTGTTGAGGTGCCTAGCTCTAATTTTCTGAATAAATTATTCTAATAAAATACTTGTCATGCAGGAAAATAAAACTCTTAAAAGGGTTTTTGTGTCTGGCTCCATAAAACTTCATGCATTTTCCTAGAGCAGTTGGGGACGTGTAAATACTTGTATCATTGTGGTTTACATGATAGAAAATGACAGTTTAGTGAATGAAGAAAGACAGAACGTCAAGTTCAGGGCCTCAGTATCTTTCCTGAAATATACAATTTATTAGTCACACCTTACTTTCTGATTGGTAGTTTTTGCTGGGCTTACCTGAATGTTAAAGCAGATAATTGTTGCCTCTTGCCATTCATATAAGAGAAGAACCTGCTTTTTAAGGTCAAGCTACTCTGGATTATCTCAATGATACTGGAGTTTAAGAAACTGCTCTATTTTATGTGAGGTCTCTTGGGCGTAGGAGACTTCGAAAGGATGCTCTGGATCATGAAGCTACAGTTTGTTTTGTGGTTGAATATAAAGCTACAGCCCTAATTGTACATGGATTATTAGTTGCAAAGGCAGCTTTCACTATTGCTTATTGGCTTCCGCAGCCTTTCATGATGAAGTGAGTTCAATTCAATATACAAGTGGCAAACTGCCACAGTGACCTGGGCGTTGTAAGTATGGCAGTGCCCGGGGACGGTACCGTCAAACATTCAAAGGGGACACATTCATTATTCTAATTCTGTAGCAATGTTGTTGTAGCTGCTGCTGCCAGTGACCTTGTTTATGTTGCCTTTAGAAAAGTTGGTTTTGGTTTTCAAGATCTATTTGAAATTTTGGCTATATAAAAATTCATTCTTGCTCTGCCTCACTTTGTATAATTAAAAGTCCTCGGTGAAGATATGGCATTGAATTTGGCTTCTCTGTAGTTTGAAGAAGATAGTACTTTGCAAGCTGTTGATGAAAGTCAAAATCAAGTCTGATGGAAACATTTGACCGAAAATGTATAAACCACCAACATTTCCAAATTACCCCTATCCAAAATTTCCTCCTTTTTTTTTTCCCCTTTTAGGGCCATAGTTAGAAACCACATAACTAGAAAAACATAAAAATCAATAATGTTGCATTGTGGCAAATCCAAAAAAGAATCTATATAACAGATAACACAGAAAATTTTATAGAAGGTCACTGCTTGGCTTCTTACATGTAAAAAGTTATTCTTCCTTATCGACAAACAATAGTTTGACACATGCAAAAATAACGCATTAAAAGTACAAAAAGAGAAGTTTATGCACGCATGCCAGATTGATTTGTCTGCAAAGAGGAATAACTCCTTACATATAAGAAACTAAAACATTTTTATTTCCGATATACACGTCTTTGGGTCACTATTTTTGTATAGGATTAATGGGGCAATTCTCTCCTTTAGCTGTTGGCATTATGAAATTATTGTTTCACATTATTGTACTATGCATACCATATCACTTTTACGTCACCCTTATATATTATATATATATATCATTGGCCCATCATACTACATACTAAAATAAAAGCTCCAAAAAATAATTAAATTAAAGGTCCTATATATCTGAGCTCCGGGGAACATGTAACAGACAAGACCTTATCAAATATCCATAAAATCTCACCAGAAACCACAAAAGTACAAAAATTAAACGATAAACAAAGTCTGTTCATTTTCTTGAAAGCTACATCATGTCTATAATACAAGCAAAGCATTTTGAATGTGAGCACTACCGAGAACAAAACCCAGAAAAAATTAACAATCTTAAAAATACATTAATATTTTCTGTATCACCAATCTTCATGTTCAAATACTCTGCTGAAATCCACGACCCCCTTTTTCTTGCATTTTCAAAATTTTGATGACGACGACGACCTCTCGGAACCCCTGTCCGAATTTTGACGCAAATCCACAATCAAATCCGAAAAGGCACTTAATATGAACCTGTAAGACTTCTTCTCGTTCAGGTTTAGGTAGCAAAACAGAAGCTCCTCCATGAAATTCCAATCAACCTTTGCATGATTTCGCAGACGGGATTCCACCATGTCCTGCATGGATCTTCGAAAATCGTGGTAGGGGCTCGGGGAGTAGGTCAAGACTGCGATGCAGTCGTTGGGAAGCGTGACGTCTTTTGCATGATCATTGTTATTAGAGTTCGACGTAGTGGCTGAGTCATTTAGGGTTGGAGTTGAGATTGAGCTTGAGCCTAAGTCTTCGGACGTCGTGGTGGTGCTTAGCCGAGCCTCCTCCATGACTGAGCTCGATGCTCGGCCAGGGGACACAAAGAACCGGTGAGAGCCACAAAGATCCACCGCGGGTGGATCGATATGGAATCGAGGGGATTCAAACAAAACCCCGCCTGAGCTTTCAGTGTCGTGATGCTCATCACGACTTTCTTTCAGGCGTAGAGTTTTATCCCAAAAGGCCTCAGTACGACGGACTTCTTTACCCCTTTTTTCACTTTCATCGTCTTCAACTTCGTCGTCGTCTTTCAGATAAAGTGACCTGAAATTCTCGAACAAAAACTGATCAATATCCGAGAGTGAGGCTGCATCATCGTTGTCGTTATGGGCTTCCTTTTGGCCACGATTGATGGCAAATGATAAGGTTTTTGGGTGCTTACAACCTGATCGGATCCATTTTCTGGAGGGAAACAGGATTTGTGGGGGTGGTTTCTTTACCTTGGAGAGGTAATCTCGGAGATACTTTTGGAGTTTCTTGGGCATTTTCTTTCTGAGGTTTTTGTGTGATGTGAATGCGATGGCTTTGAGTGAAAAAAGTTTGGAGGTGGAGTGGTTTATAAATAAACAAGCAAAGAAAGTAACATAAGATACAATTGTTTTTGGAAAACGGATGCATTAATTTAGATGGGAATTTTCAGATACTGGGGAGCAACATGGATGGAAATAATTGAACGTATGTGGATTTCTTAACTATTTTTCCGAGATTTTGACCATTTCTGAAAATTTTGGACATGGTAAACTATTTAGGACTGTTTTGGAAGCAACATGATGGGTTTGCTATAAACATCATAAATATGTTGTATAGCTGGGCTAACTTTTCGATGTGATCGTAGCACAATCGTAACACTACATCAATAAGTAATTTGTCTAAATTATAACACGTGCATATTTACCGATAAAAAAAATTGAATAAATAACTTAGCATATGTATTTTCACCACGTGTTATAACTTGAGTGGATTAATAACATCTCATCAGAATATTAGGTGGTGGTGCTATCACACTCAATAATCTAATGCTAAATCTAAGGACAATATGTGGGACATTAATAACGTCATTAGCTGGAGTTTTTGATTGAATGATAATAAATTGGGGTGATTAAATTACTTTATAAGTCAATTCATTTAATCTTGCGATTCTATAACCGTCCCTTTTGTTAATTTGAATATACATTCTCCAAGAGTATTGATTTTTTAATTTTCCAAAAGTGCTTTTAATTTCCATCTGTGTTGTTTTAGCTTTGTTTTTTCAAACTGCAAACAGTGTGGTTACATCACCATTCGGATCTGGGTTGACATTTACCCCCAATGATTTAGGTGCTTAATTGTATCCAGCTTTTACGGGTTCAACCATGGACTTCCTCTGTCTTTTTTTTTCTTTCTTCTTTTTTCTTTTTTTGGAAGTGGGACTTTCTCTGTCTAAAGAAACATGGAAAACCAAAAACTCTTGACTTGTAAATATTAGAATTCAAGTTTAACAGTTGTCAAACGATAGTATATATATATATTGGTCATACTAGTGTCTTTCTGTTATTATTATTATTTTTTATATAAAGGACGATATCATTTTATTGATAATAGGGGATAGAACAAGTACGAAGCAACTATATATGGTGTCAAATATGCATAAATTTCTTCTGTAATGAAACACAACAATAAGAATTGATCTGTAGAGAATCACACACAACTCACAAAGTGATTAAAATCTCTGATTCAGTAATCAAAAACACCCATACTCAAACCTAAAATACCAATTTGCCGCGTAATGACAGAAACGGCAAATTCATATTAAAAGGCGAAATGTAAATTCAAATAAAGTCTCTATATAGCTTAATTATTTTCTTATAAGAAACTTCTCCTATTACCGGTTGTATACAACCAGTGACACCTAAAATATTCTTCAGAATTACGAATTACATTATCTGCAATTACAACTTAAATAAATACGAATCAAAAACACGTATTGGGCGTTCTCTAGTGTCGCATGGTTGGTTTATTTTCTAATAAGCTTTTTAGTTCTTTTAATTATTTGTTCAGCATGTGCCAATTTAGATTTTTTTTTCTTAAGAATTGGTGTCGTTGGGTGTATTTATCAAAATTATTGGCTGTATTTTTACAGAGTCTATATCTTTATTTCATTTTTTTTAGGGATGTTGATATTGAATAAAACCATTTTTTTTTAAGAACATAAAACTATAAAGAATGCACCCAAAACACTACAAACCAATTGAAACGGACGCAATATTGAATAAAACCAAAGAATGATTTAACAACAATATTTATCTTTCTTTTTTTTATGTAAATAGAGTTACCCTCTTTCGACCCAAAAAATAAAGGAGTTAACCTCTTGACCAACAAAACGACATCGCAAAGGCATTGATCTCTAACGGAAATACCGACGGGCACGAACTCGTTTTGATAGGCCGAAAGGCTGAAAGGCAAGGCAATAGGCAGAGAAAGAATCCAATAATCAGTGGGAAGGAGATGGCAACGAACAACAACGCGAGCAGAGAAGAGAGAAGAAGAAGAATTGTAGAGAGAGAATCGGATCCATCACCGGCCGAATCCAATCTCTCCCGCCTCCCTCACCGCCACCATCGCCTTCATTACCACCACATGATCGCGCTCTGCACCCACATCGCATCAATGGTACCATTAATTATTTAAATTTTCTAATTGTTTAATTTAATTATTTAAATCCAAACCCTTTTCATGTTCTTAATTATGACTATGAAATCAGTTTATGTTTTTTTTTTTTTTTTTTTTTTTTTTTTTTTTTTTTTTTAATACCACATTTTTTGTTAATTTATTAAAATTAATTGGATATATATATATACATAATATATAATTTAATTTACACTATAGACAAATCTACAATTGGTGGCAAGTTGTCCCTCTTTTGGGTCTAATAAAAAATTTGTGCTCTGGGTTCGTTTGTCTTTGCCTTTGGGTTGGACAGACAAATTGGAGCAAACCATTATGCGATATAAAGGGTCTGGTTTGGTGGTTCGGTCTGGACTGGATTATTTCAATTAAATTAGACTATTGTCTTGTTCACCGTTTGGTGAAACTGTGAATGCTGGAACTAGACTTATTAAATCGAACAGGTATCTTACAAATCTGATCTAGAGGTTGATTTCATAAGGACTGCCTTAGACTCAATTCCAATCCAGTGTAGCGGAGCCACCGAGCAAGTTATTAGACATTTATCCCAACCGATGTGAAACTACTGTTACTATTTCATATGAAGTTTGAATAAATTATTGGGTGGTTTTCTTATCAATTTTCCTGGTTTGCAGCTGGTACTGAGGGTAAAGATGGCACCCCTGCAGATTCTACGTTGCTGAAAGTACATGGAGCTAGCAATGAAGACGTTTCAAGGCAAAACAATGCAGAGACTGGAAGCCAAGATGGACCTTCATCTTGTCAATGTGACATAACTACAAACACTTTGCAACCTCATGGTGTTGATGGCACCACCCAAGTTCAACCACAATTGGGCACATCAATAGTTCGAAAGGCACCGCCAACCGATACAGAACTTGCAATCACACATAGGAGGGCAAGGTTTTTCACTTCGAAACGATTAAACTCGTGCATTGTAGAATCGGAGAGCATGCGCATTTTCTGTGCTCTCATAATAGCATTCTTGGTAGTGTTGTCTTATGTTGATTATGCGTTGTTTGGAGTGAACTTGGTGAAGTCGGAGAGCGTTGTGGCCTCAAGGCCTCTGTACATTATACTGCTAACTGACGTAACAATTGTTCTGGCACGAATGATTCTCGTGAGACGAGAGGATGTAGAGGAAGAAAGAGTTGTAGTCCCTCAAGATGGACATAATTGGGTTGAGGCAGTCAAGCTCTTGGAGAGGGGTTTGGTGGTTTACCAAGCCATTCGTGGGGTTTTCATAGATTTTAGTGTTTATGTTGTAGTTGTTATATGTGGGCTTTCTTTGGTGTAGCCTTGGATATATCACTCCAACTGTGTCAAGAATTGTTTTCAAATCTACTTTAGTGTTATACAGAAAAGTGCTTCTTTCTAAACTTGTGCTTGTGACAGTTACTAAAATTTAGAACAGCCAGATTTCCTTGTATAATCAACAATTTAAATCGTTTACGTTTAGATGAAAGTCCAAACAGCAATGGTGCAGCTAAAGCTCACCAACCAGCTTCAAGAGCTCCTGAGTCCAGAGCTCTTTGTTAGGTGGGTGATTATAGCCATGAGGTAGATAAATATCTTTTAAAAAAGCACTGTTTGAGAGCAAACCATTCGCGATAAATAGGGCCTCGTTCGGTGGTTCTGCTTCGAATGAATTATTGAATTAAATTGGACTAATCATGTCCACTGTTTGGTGAACTTATAAATGCTAGAACTTGAATTATTAAATCGGTAAACATTCAAACATATTATGTTTCACAAGCCTCATCTAGAAGGTGAGACTCATAAGGACTGCCTTAGACTCAATTCCAATCCAATCCAGTCCAGCCAAACCACCAAACGAGTTCTTAGACATTTATCCCAACTAATGTGGGACAAATGCTCAACAAAAATGTGAAAATAATTGCTATCTAATAAAGGAGGAAACTACTGTTGCTATTTTTCATCACTTTCTTCAGCTACACGTACTCTGACCATCACAACTACCAAACCAGTAACGGTACCGTTAAAACAAGTTGCAAAATTGAAAGAACCAAAAAAAGAAAAAGAGATTTGATAATAAGAGTCTTTTTTGTTATATACTCAAAATAACTTCCTCTGAATTATGTCATGATAAGCTTTTGGGGCCTAATGGTTGTCTATGATCGAAACCTTCAACCCTCATCTCCATATGCCGGGTAGCGTTACACATGAAGGAGAGTTTTAGCTTAATATACATTGTTGACATTCCCCGATAACTCGAGCTTAGGGCGTACCTACGTAATGTCTAATATTATGTTCTGCCTTTAGTTTTAACAGCCAATTTTCTTGCTATTTATACATTTCTGTCAGCTGAAATGTAATAATGTGCATATAATCAACTGTTACTGTTTTGTGGTTGACTCTGTACTTCAGCACACAATTGGTTTAACCAATGCAGTACATCCTTACAGTAGTTCTCCAAATGTTGTTGTCAATTCAAGTTTCAACTGTTCAAAGCTTGTTTTGCCCCTACTAGTATTAGAACAGGAATTTATTTTAGATAGCCCTGTCCTTCCTTCCTTTTGTCGGTACAATAAAAGTCTCATATGATCTTATTCTGTTTGGGTTGCAGCCATGCTCATGCTCGTGAATATTAATTATTTGTTTTTCTTTATGGGTTTGATGCATGTACTATATTTTTAACCTTGGATTGTTTGTTTGTTTGTTTCTTGGTTGCATACACTCCTATCAGTTTCATACCTCCGTTAGTTTGTTCGTTAACTCTAATCTTTTATTAACCCATAACGTGACAGGGCTTGGGCTCACCATATATTTTTGAAGAGCACTATTTTGAGAGTTTGTCCAAGCCATCAGTGAGATTGTTTAGTTCCCTATAATTAGATCCCAATATAAATTGAATTTCAAATTTGTACATGTTGTAGCCCTTAGAGCCTCTCCAAAAGAGAAGAAAATTTCACTCTTTAAATCGTACCTTTTTGACTTACGTGACAATTTGTAGAGTCAAATTTCTCCGCAATTTGCACTGCTACAAACTTTTCAAGGTCGATTAGTTTTTTTAATAAATGAAGACTGAAAATTAGAAACTGAAAACTAAAATAGTTATCAAACGACGGGCCATTAGTTTCTAACTTCTGTTCAAGCTGGTTTTGCTGGTGTGGCTCACCAAATCAAGCACTCAAAATCAAATAGGCTATTAAAGATGCTCTTAGAGGCGTATAGCAGTTATTTATTTGTTCTCTAATAACCATTTTTTTTTTTATTTTTTTTTTTTTTTTTTTATTTAAACGAGTTTCTCATATAGATTATTGCAATAGTTAAAGTTCAAGCTTTTGAGAGAGGCAAAGTAGTTTATCTCTTTTGCAGATGAATTTAATATTTTGGTCGGATTTGATGAATATAGTTGAGTGAGTCTGGTAAATTGGATGGAACAGTATGCTTTAAGCATTTACCATCGTCACGCCCTTTAAGCTGCTGAGGATCAGCTTGGTGCCTGCTGCCCTTCAAAATCATAAATGAGTTGTTGTTCTTGTTATGAGACCAATTCAAGTCTTCAAGATATCCTTTGGACCATTTATGTACACCCTATGCACTTTGCCCAATAAAAGCATGCATGCTGAAAACGATAGGAGTGTGTGTAAATTGCATCCCTTTCTTCAGCTACACGTACTCTGATTCTCTCATCTACCGAACCAGTAACGGTGCCATTAAAACAAGTTGCAGAATTGAAAGCACAAAAGAAAAGAAGATTTCATAACATAAGAGTCTTTTTGCTACACTTAAAATAACTGCCTACGAATTATATCCTTGATCATTCATCTCCATCTGCTAAGAAGAGTTACACGTGAATTAGGGTTTAACTTGATATACATTGTTGACATATTTCTCGAGAATTCAAACTTATATGGGCCGTAGTTTCCAATATTATGTTATGCCTTTAGTTTTATCAGCCAATTTTCTAGTTCAGAAAACATACAATTGATTTCCAATTAAGACAGAACATATACTTAATTATAGTTATCCAAGTTTTGTTGTCAATTCAAGTCCCAACTGTTCAAAGCTGTATTGATTTTGAGATCTATACACACTGGCAGATGTGACAAATTGCATATGTATAGACGTGTTGACGCCATCAATGCTTAGAAACCCTACTTACTTTTGGTTTGAACAATTTTGAGAGAAGAAAATAATTTTCCTGAAATGAAACATGGGTCTGAGTGAGTAAGGACATCCCAATTCAAACAGTGACCCACTGGTCTTCCAACCTAAGTATGAAGCACATGCATGCTTGCTTATATCTACTTTTTGTACATGTATTAGATGGCAGTGGTCCACACTTTTTAATTGGAAGCAGCAAGGCATTTAATGGTTTTGTTTGTTTGGTTCCTGACTAAAAAGAAAAGTCATTCTGTCAGCAGCAGCAGTCCAAAAAAGCAGCTGTGGCTTTGCAATTGACGTGCAGACAGAAACGTACTCTACTGTATTATAATTCTACGCAGTTTCGTTTTAAATTTTTCAATAATTTAACTGGAAAAGGATAATAATTCCCAACTAATAACATATCCTGCTTTTTAAGATGCTGTTAACTTTGCAATTTCATGTGCTTTTTACACACAGAAAAAACAGGCCATGTAACTTTAGACACGGTTTCTCTGTTTTTCTCGTATGTTGTGCGCTCTCCCCTCATTGTTTCCTCTTTTGATGTAGTTTATCTTGATTGATCAGGAAAAAAGAAGAAGGAAGAGAAACTCTAGACAGAGAATAAGAAGAAGAAGATGAATACATTCCTGAAATTAATTAGTTCTAACAAAACAAGATATCACATAGCTAAACCTACTAACTAATTGCAGAAAAGGAAAGATAATCAGATATCAAGAAAAGAAAAACTACACAACTCCTATAACTAATTCTGAAGCTAATACGGTAATTAAATACTTTGAGAGAGAGAGAGAGAGAGAGAGAGAGAGAGAGAGAGAGAGAGAGAGAGAGCGGGGGGGGCAAAGCTAGCTGAACTCGGAAATCAAACACTAACCAACCAACCAACCATTCTGTTTTTCTTCCCATCAGCTGCCTACACTCTGAGTCTGATGGAAAGCCCTAGATGGAACAGCAAACCTAGCTGAGAAAGATCGAGAGAGGAAATCGGGGTCTGCCCACATCAAACCCTGATCGAAATTCTTCGAATACGTGTAAGGATCATAAGGAACATGGACTTGTTGAGCACTGGTTGAACAATCAAATAGCAACCTCTTCTTCTCTTTCTTTATTTTTCTCCACAACATTCTCCACCTAACTGGCACATGAACCTTGGATTGATCTCTAGTAATTGCCAATGCATTGAGGGAAACCATCTTCTTTACACAGATGTAGCTGAGGTCCATAATGTGAAGGGAAAGAGGAGCTCAAAGCTGGTCTTTAATTTTCAGAACAAGTTATAATAGAGGAGTGCATGCTGATTTCTACTGGGACTATTTATAGTGCAGGAGGGGGACACTCTCTGAGGCTTCCCTATCCCTATATTTATTATGTGTTTTGTGTTTGCCGTGAAACTTCAGCATCTCTATATACTATGTACAATAATTTACTTGAGCAGCATTACTTGGACTTTTCAACTAGAAAACAATAGAAATTCTTAACCCAGTGAACAAGAATTTACTGTCTTAGCAGTGAGCATCCAAAAGGATTCCCTTTGCTCAGAGCATTAAAGACATGTCTTTTGGAATGCTGGACTGGACTAGCCACTGAGTAAGTACCAAAGGGAAATGGAAGGCCCAATTGGCAATAAAGTTCTTTTATTAGCTGGGTCTGATATGATAGTTGTGTGGTTGCTTGGGCCAATACTTTTTTAATTTTAAATACAAGCGATATTTAAAGAGAGAGAATTCGAACACAAAACTTTAGGTGCAGGGATAACCGCTCAATCACCTTACAATGCTAAGTTTGTATCCTATCCTACCCAATTTGACCTAAGATTAGAATCCAAAAGTTTCGTAAGATTAGTGCTCCAACAAACTAGTTAAAGTGGTGATTTTGTGAATAGTCACTCAACATTTGCTGAGGAGGAGAGAGAAATTAGCATAAAGTTCAATCCTTCCATGGCTAACGAATCAAAGCAAATAAAAAAGCTTGTTTTACATATCCAAAATGCTCATCTCACCCCATTTCGGAAAGGGTTGAATAATTTTGTTTTCCTACAGTTATTTTACACACACAAATTGCCCTCCCCTCTCCAATACAATATCCCATTTCATAATCACACATGACATGCAGTCGGCATATATGCATGTTGCGAGTTGTGAATTTCACAGAGCCCCAAGTTTTCTCAGTGTGTAAATCATTGCATGGAGCAAACACCAAGCCCATGACCCATTGAAGCTTCTAGCTTGCTGCGCCCAACTTCATCACTACATTGCAAACACAAAACAAAGCAAACAAAATCTATAAATGCTGTTGCATATAAGAATTATTTTACGTATCTATGGTATCAGTAGCATAGTCAATGAAATATGCGTGACAATATTATTCCTACTTTAGCTTTTCGCATTTCCATTGTGAGTTTATGAAAAGTTTTAAAATGCTCATTTCAGTGTGACAAAAGCTAAATTGAGAGTGTCGAAATCACTACTTAATAGATAATAATTAACCTAACCACTTCAGGAGATCACATAATAAAACTACCCCAATTTGTTTGACCTACATAGTAAAAGAAGTTTGATCTTTGTGACACTAACTCGACTTATCTATTACTTGAGTTAAAAAGTAGCATAACGAGTTTATGTTAATCAGCTCTAATCCATTTAGATAATATTTTTGTATGGTATTTGAGTACCACACTATGCGGCAGATGAAATGTACATGCCATATCGATTAATGAATAAATCTCATTAGATGTTGGTTGTATGCATCTCTTGCTCACCTCGTAACAATTATGTCGCAAAATTGTCTGATTCACTGTGTTCACCATGACTTCACACGACACTCTTGCCTGCCAAGTTTCCCAACCAAATCACAAACATTACTTCCAAGTCTTTCTTTCTTTAACCATAAATCATTAACCAATCTCAACTTAAAACCTTAATTAATTTAATTAATTATACTCTACAAAACTAATTAAGCTTACGTACCTGCAAAGGGAACTCAAAGAACAGGAAGCCCAGCCGCCCGTGGACCTCCGTAACAGTATCAAACGGTACCTTTCCTTTAGCCAAGTCCTCGAGCAGGAGCACCACGTCAGAGAACACCCCGACCCCGTTGAATTCCACCTCCGCTTCCATGTAGGACGAACCAAACGCCCGCACGTGACCCCGCTGGAACGTCACGTGCCCCAGACTCCTCCCTCTGTACCCAACCGCCACCTCCAGCGCCTCGTAGTCCATTCTGTAAACGTCGCCGTTTCGGACCTTGATCGTCACTAACATGGACACGTCGATGGCCACGTGCGGCCGCGTGTGGACTTGGACTCTGTTAAGCCGCAGCCGTACGATCTTGAGGGAGGGATCGGACGGCCAGAAGAGGAACGCGGAGCAGCTGGCGGCTGCTAGGACTAATAGGAGAGTGAGGGCGAGGCAGATTGTACGACGTCGTCGTGGGAGGTGGGAGTGAGGAAGTGATGCTGGTGAAACGGCGTATTTCTGGTCGGAGAGTAATGGGATGTATTGAGGTGGTGGTGGTGGTTGTGAGTTGGGGGTATCCATGGGGGGTTTTTGTTGTGCGTGTGAAGTTGGGTTGGGAGATGGGTGGGTGTTTAGAGTATTTTTGGGTTTTGTTTGGATGCACTTTTGAGGGGTTTTGTTTGGATGCGGGGAAACTCCTGTGGGGTAGAGTTGTTGCTTCGTAGTTCCTACTTCCTAGTTATTTTCATATAGGACATGATGTAATTTTCTAACGTTCCTTTTATCATTGTCAGTGCTACAAGGTACCTTTTGTTTATGTTTCGTTTGAAAAAGGATTAGCAGCCTAATTCAAAAGCAAAAACGTTGGGTAACGGTCGGGAATAATATTATGGAGGATATTAAGCAATTTTTAGTTCAAGTAAATGTTAAAAAAAGTGTGTTTTGAACCTCGTCGTTACAATAGAACAACATATATGAGCGAGAGCGGGGTTTGCCCTATTGATTGGAATAGGGTTCATGGTTCAATTTGGTTAAATGAGATTTGCTCTATTGATTTGAAGTGGATTCAGTTTGAGAGTCACCTAGTCGTAATGAAAGTCTTATCACACTCGAAAAACGAGTTTTTATATAAAAAAATATCTAAAATTTACCTCATACTTTCATAAATGTCAATTTTTATAAAAACTTTTAAATATAGTCAAAAACTGAGTTAAATATACTCAAATGTCCTCAAAACAAAAGCCCACATAAACCTAAAAACTTAGAAAATAAATAAGACACCACCATCCTAGCCTATCCCAGTCGCCACCATTCCTCTCCTCTATTTCTTTCCTTCAACAACTCACCACCTTGTCAACCTCCAAGCCAAGCCACTTTCCCAACCTCAAGGCCCTGATTCCCTAAGTCACACCCACCACCCAAACTCCAATCCACCGCACCCATTTTAATCAACAAAGGTACTCCAGTTGTCATCAATGTTGTAAAACAAGAACCGCTCCAAAAATAAAAAAACTAAACTTGTTCAAGTAAAAACAAAAGGATTACAATCCAGAGTACAGTTTTGAAAATAATCCATAGCAAAATTGAAAATATCCTATATTGCTTAAGATGAGGTCTCCTTTCGCAATTACTCTCTTGTTTTTTCTTGATGCTGACTTCTTCAACTTCATAGAGAACCAAATTCATGTACACATCAAAACCAATGATTCAGCCTTCAATCAAGAGCCAAATCTAAATGTGAGCTTTACTTTGAAGGAACCAGAAAATAAAATTAATGGGTTGGATCATAATCCTCTGAACTTTGGTGCTCGCCATTGCTGCAAAATTCAATGGGTTTCGGGTCACAGACAAAGGTTCTAGTTGAAAAGACTTTGAAATCGAAGGAGCTTTTTTTTTTTTTTTTTTTTTTTTTTTTTTTTTTGTTGTTGTTGTAGGTGGTGCCCGATGTGCCCACTCACCTCACTTTTATCTAATAGGTTTTCCTTCTTAGGTTCATGTGGATTTTAGTTTTGAGGGAATTTGAGTCTATTTAACGAGTTTTTGGCTTCTTTTTTTTTAAGTTTTTATAAAAACTGACATTTATGAAAGTATGGGCTAAATTTTGGCTATTTTTTATATATAAAAACTCCCTGAAAAACACATTATTTTAACAAAAATCTTATGTTTAAACCCCGCACTTTTCTTTGTGATCACCTCATATTCTAAATTCACCCAACTTCTAATTCAAATTTTCACAATTTCTAAGAAAACCCCACTATCTTTCCAAAATATCCCTAAATACACACCTAGCAGAAAAAAAAAATAAAAAATAAAAAACACATCAACCTCACACCAGTGGCGGAGCCAGGATTTCACATTAGAGGGGGCCCTTCATAAACTTTGTCTTCTCTTCATAATTATCATGAATTTCATATTTTAAATTGGTTAAATACTAATATCATCATCTACACTATTAAAGACTTCAAATTTGATCATTTACATTCCAAAAGAGAAAATAAATAGAAAAACAAAAACAAAAAAGAGTTCATAAAGTGCAAGATTAAGGTACTCAACTCATACATTAAAATAAATGAGGAAAATAAAAAATTCATAAAGCTTTAAACAAAAGAGGAAGAGAAAAAAAGGTTAAAACTTCAGGAGTTTTTAGTGCAAATATCATAAACTAACCTAGAAGATTTAAGAGAGATGAGTAAAAGAGAGACAAGAAATTTTATGGTTAATTTGTAGACAAAAAGAACCTAATATATTATTTTATTGTGAAATAAATATGCTAAAACTAATATAATATATTATAATATTATATCATATATAATATACAAATAAATAAATAAATAATTGGAGTGGGGGCCTGGGACCACACTGGTCCCATGCTGGCTCCGCCACTGCCTCACCCCACACTCCACACCCTGCTATCTTGCCCCTTACCATGGATGAAGAAATGATTATGGTTGTGTGAATTTAGTTTTGTTGATTTGGCTGAATTTTGAGCTTGTATGGCTGAGAAGTTATGCAAATTTTTACAGTTTGATCCAGTTGTTCATATGTGCATTGTTGTGTTGTTCACTAAAATCCCTAATTTCGATGTTCCAAGGCATCAGGGTTTTGCCTGTACTCTTCCGTAGTCTGCTGCTGTAATCCATGTACAGCAGAAGACTGATTTAGCTAGCCTTATTGAGAATGTTGACAATTAGAACTTCAGCATGTTGGCAATTACAAGTTTTGGCCCTTGAATTGGTCATATCAGTTTATCTTTGCAGGTCCTTTTCTTTTGGTTTCTTTCACTAGAAGCAGTTGGGTTGTTGTTGTTCGTTCATAGTCTTGGCACTTGATGAAGAAAACAACTGAATATATGAACTCAAACTAAATCTGTTTCTATCAGATACATAGGTTCTAGTTGTCTATGGAGATAAATTGAGTCAAGTTTTGTTGTCTTCCCTAGGCCATGTTTTCAGGAATAAAATCTCACTCCACATCTGCTGGCACTTTCTCAAGCTATAGGGTGCAGAGGAGTTTGTATTTTTCTAAAACTTAATATGAAGAGTGGCGGGTGAGGTGTGCGTATAAATATACTGGGTTAAGTATTAAGTTGGATGACCTTTTTTGTCTTTTTACACAATAATAAAACTTATGAGCTTAATAATTTAAGTATTGGGGTGAACAAAGAAAAGTATGGGGTTTAAATAAAAAAGCTCTAAATAAATATATAAAACACAAAAAGGGGAAAGATGAAAGATATAGAAGAACTCGAATTAATGGAAACAATTGTTAAGAGTTCATGCGACATTCAGAATGAAAACAAACTAATCTCTTACTACGAGCATTGCTGAAACCTGAAAGATATTTAATAAGAAATATATATATATATATATATTTTTAAAGAGAGAGAGAAGAAAAGAAGTGGGGAAAAATGACAAGAAGATATTGGAAGTTGGAACATCAATTTGGAAGAGATGATGGAAGCAGTTGGTATCCTTTCATTATTTGTTGTAAGCCACCCTGGAAAAGAAAAAGTGTGAAATAACAAACACCCTTTTTCTTGACGAGGGCAACAAGGTGACAAGGGCAAAGGTATTCAACTTCTACTTTAAGGACAAGAAAACCAATGAAAACACCACCAAGGAAAGGCTAAAAATTATATTACCAACACCCTCTCTAATAATTAAGTTTGTAGTGAAGCGTTGCTCGAAGTGGATTAATTCTTTTGTGTGTTATTTTGGAGTTTTACCATATAAGAGGAAAGCACTAAGATAAAATTATTCAATTCTACAAAAATTGGATAAATCGATCTAGTTACTGTCCGAGAGTGATATGAAATAACTCTTATGTCACTCTTATTAGCTATCTAAACGCAATTCATCAAATTAAGTTCAACACATTATTGAATAGCACGAACGAACGTGACACGACCTAATAGACTAAGAACTAGTGGGTGACTCCTTGTGCTTAAAAAATTACAACAAAATAGACTAAATTTTGTGCTTGATTCTTATTGCAGTGAAGCGTTGCTCCAAGAAGAAAATTTAATTCTTCTATCTTTCCCTCCCTAGACCCATCCAGGACAGGAAGTGAAACAAAATGAACACCCTCTGCAAGTTGACCTTGGCTTATGTAGTATTTGGCACTTCTCTCTCTGTTCTTTAAATATTCTCTAATAATTTTTTTGTTTTCTGTTTATGTGTTAAGATCAAGAAATAATAACTTTTTTGTTTTCTATTCATCCATCAATTTTCTTTTTGTTTTTTCAGAGTGCATGATTTTGATAGCATAAGAGAAATAAAATATAACTTCGACCCAGCACATGAATTTTGGGTACAATGCAGAGAAATTCGTTCATATACAATATCTCCAATCTATGCAGCACCCAGTTAGTACTCAGTAGGTCCCATAATATCCAATGGACTCATATAATTAATAAGGCCATTGTGAAGCAGAAAAACTTATTTTTAACGGGGATAGCACTGTTTTGCTATTCCAATCAATAACACAATGAAACGTGAAAAAGTTATCTCATATGTCATTGCGTCATTGGTCAGATTTAGCAAAAAGTGCTATTTCCGTTGCATGAAAGTGTTATCCCAACCAATAACACAATGACATATTAAAATGTTATCTCACAGTTATTGCATAATTGATTGAAAATAGCAAACTGCTATACAGATTGCATAAAAGTCTTTCTCTAAAGTAAATATACATGGGCCCACAAGGAATGCTTTCTTCATTTTTTTCCAAAGCTTTCTTCATTAAGATTGGAGAAGTGCAACAAAACTACCAGTCAACAGATTACAGAACTACCAGTCCACTGCTGGGGATTGAGTGTTTTCTTTTCTTTGTCCAATTTCCAGTTCCATCTATTAATTTTCTATGAAAATTCACATACAACTTTTATGTCTCTTTGACAACAGCAACTTCTATTCTCTCTCTCTCTCTCTCTCTCTCTCTCTCTCTCTCTCTGTAAAGCCCTCTCTTTCCTTCAACTTTGGACAATTTTGATCAAGGTGGTCCAATGGCCAGGCCTGGCAACAAGATCATACAAGCCAAACTGGTGGGTATGTCTTGCCCTTTCTTATTTCCAATTCATTACTTTGAGTATTCTTTCTAATTTTATTTATTCTTTTCAATCCCTTAATAATCTGTGCAATAACCCTTTTAGCACTTTTGCTACTATAGGTTGGTGCCATAATCCGTTGCTCTAATTCCAATTGCTTAAGAGAAGAACCTTATTGTGTGTATTGCCTAGAATTCAAAATTTGATGTAAATTGTAGATATCCATTTTCTTTTTTCCAACTGCATGCCGGAAAAACTAAACCCCACAGAAGTGCTGATTTGAGGCTCCACCATTTTGAAATGCCCCAATTCATGATTTGCACCCCAAAAAAAGAAAAAGAAATAAGTACAAAGCAGTGTGGCAATTCAAACAGCAGACTTTATATCAGCATACACCAGCATTTGTAGGTGTGCCATTCTTACTCTAAGACTGTCCAGTAGTTTGTGTAGGAGCTGATCTCTTACCTGTATTTTGAGAAGCATAGACTCTCAGGTTGAATTAATAGCATATTAGGAGAACCTTTTGGCTTTTCTTGCATTACTTCCTTGATGAGAGCAGTGCTTACAAGTTGCGAGAATGTAGTACAATGTCGATTTTCATTTTTAATTAGTTGAATTGTCTCATAAAGACACAGCTCATTTCTACATTTCTTGAATGTTTCTTATTCAGGTGCTTCTAGGGGACATGGGAACTGGAAAAACCAGCTTGGTATTAAGATTTGTCAAAGGCCAGTTTTTTGATCACCAGGTTTTTGTTGACCTCTGTATTTTCAATAAAATCTTTCCTTTTTTCTTATTTATGTGAAATTTCACAACTGAGGATCTTGGTGCTTGTTTTCATGCAGGAACCAACAATAGGAGCAGCTTTCTTCACTCAGATACTGTCGTTAAGTGAAGCCACTGTGAAGTTTGATATATGGGACACAGCAGGACAAGAACGGTATCATAGCTTAGCTCCTATGTACTATCGTGGTGCAGCAGCTGCTGTAGTCGTGTATGACATCTCAAGCACGGTACCTATGAACCAAACTTCTTATGTTTTGTTCATTCATTCTAATGAATTCCACCCTCTCTTTCTTAAAATTTTAAAAGAGTATATGTGCTTGTGTAATGTATGCAACAGCTGATGACTGACTTATGATGTACGTATATCGGATTTAGCTCCCTTAAGTTGCCTATTTCCTGTTCGAGTATAGTAAACTAGCTTCACCTTTTTTTAATCCAGATTCCGAAGGTATATAATTATTAGGGTACTATTCTTTAGTGTCTAGATGAATATGATTGCAAGTTGTATGCTGTAAATTCTGATTTGAAGATTTGAAGGTGATGGCAGGTATTTTCAATTCAATACTCAGTTATACTATATTGCAATTATATATGGTTCACTGATTAGAATGTGCACTGGCCTCAGGATACGTTCACTCGAGCCAAAAAATGGGTTCAAGAATTGCAAAGGCAAGGTGAGACCATAGAAATTGAAAAGTTGTATTCTTACCATGTTTTTCCTTTCTAAACTCTGTGTTAAATATGGAAAACCAAGATACCAATTTACTCACACGGTTTCCCTATACGTATGTAATGTAGAAAGAGTTAAACAAACCAACCTTGCTTTTGCGTATCTCCTCCTTAGTTCCTATTCTCATCTGAAATTTTCAGGCTGTTTGTCACCTTTTCTGGTTTAAAATTGTATTATTTGTATCTTCAATCTGTGGCAGGCCCTGATACATCTTTTTTGCCTACCCTCTGCTGTCACAAATTGTGATTGCTTTTCTCTGGCTAGTACAATTTGAAACAGCCTGGTTTAGCTCTTTTCTTGCACATATGTCTGTGGACCCTATGTTATATATTAAAGTAATAAGTGTGTTTTGGGATGATTTTTCAGTTTTTGAAAAATAATTGGTATTTTCACTGTGCTTATTCTGGAATGACTTTTGTTCTTGAAATGAAACATGATGCATTGTTTATCACCCTTTCCAGGGAATTTAAGCTTAGTGATGGCGTTGGTGGCAAATAAGTGCGACTTGGAGGCGAAAAGAGAGGTCGAGAATGAGGTATTTGCAACAGCTTCTCCACAATTTCCCTTTCGCTCCTTCTTTCCATCTGCATGAGTGTGTAGTAAGATGAACTTATTTGCAGTCGTATTGACTATCAGATCTGGATGCACAATAACGTTTTGATGTTTGTTAGTTTGGAACTTGTATTTAAATTAAAGGTTTCGTGTTTTATTTTTCTTGTAATTGGATTGCAGGAAGGGGAGCAATTTGCTCAAGACAACGGGATGTTTTTCTTGGAAACATCAGCCAAAACTGCACAGAATATCAATGAGCTATTCCATGAAATAGGTAACTTTCAGAATTATTATCTGAAGATAAAATCTGGTTCGGTTACAACATTGTCTAAGGATAGGGTCATCACGAGGGAAATTTACTGTTTCAAACATTAGACATTGTTTTTGTAATCCAAATTCTATGCAAGTTGAATTGCAGCAAAGAAAAAATCGGCATGAGTCCAGACTTGTTCGCGTAGAGTTGTATCAATCATAATGACTTAGGACCATGTAGAATTGTTGGCATTCAGAAAATTTAATTTGTTTGGTCTAGCATGCTTCAGGTACAATGATAGTATTAACTTGAAGGTCTTCTGTTTTCTATTTTTCATTCTAACATTCAGAGTTCAGTGTTTAGAATTTCGGATGTGCAATGCTTACACATCATGTTCCTTTCCACCTATGCAGCAAAGAGATTAGCAAGAGCTTGCCCCTCAAAGCCTCCCGGAGTGAATCTAATCAACGAAACACGAGACAGAAGAAGAAAGTCATTTTGTTGCTTGGGGTGACGACCATGCACTGCGGCAGACTGTTTCTCGGAAGATCCCATTTTGCCTCTTATTGATTCAGGGGTTGTTTTCTTCAAAGTGTAAGAGGGTGTCTCAACAAATTGCTCACAGGAAATCAAAGAAGTACTTACCTTAAAGTGTTCAAAAGTTTAAGAACAAACTTGTAACATCTGTAAATTCGTATAAGCTCTGCAGAATATGAATATCCATGCTGCCTTTGATCATCTTATGTGACTTATGTTCGAAGAAACCATATGAAGCATAAATTGGAAATAGAGCCCTCACCAACAAAACACATATGATAGAACAAACAGAAATGAATAAATTTATTCAGCATATGACCTCATGATTTATTTCTTTGATACCGTATTTACGAAGATAAAAATGGTCCGCTATAATTAAATGAGAGAAATAGATAAAATTAACAAAAGACAAACAAAAACAAAAACCAAAAACAAAATGTTTGCCAAATTGGCCCCTAACTACCTCTTTATTGTTATAGAGTTGTTCTTCTTCTTCCTATTTGGAGGTTATTTAAACTAACACAACAACAGAAAAGCTTGCGCAAGCACGAAACCGAGGCAAGATGTGGAAATTGACTAAGCTTGATCTAAAGCTTGACTAAGATAGAAGATCCAATGCTTGAAGTAGAAGTTGGTTCCACCATACATGTTAGGTTGGATGGATCTGCTCATCTGTAAAAGGCTTATTCCTCTTTCTTTTTCTTCATCTTGTGTGAGTTTTGTAACCATCTATCCCTTTTATCTAAAAGATCTAGGTTGCCAACTTCTTTTCAAAATAAAAAGCTACGTAATTAAGGGATACCGGTTGTATACAAACATGTATCAATCTCGCTCGTTCCTAGTCATGTAAGGGATACCGGTTGTATACAAACATGTATCAATCTCGCTCGTTCCTAGTCATGTAACGTACTCGTATCTCATGCCCTCCAATGACCAATATGTCAAAGCTACGTGCCAACTTGACCTCTTTGCAGTTTTGAAGTATGTACTAGACTTTTAGACCACTGGATTCTTTCTTTGGAGGGAAGAAAGCTATGTAGTCCTGCTTCCATGATTCTCCAATACTCCTATTTCTTTCTGAAAGTACATAAATGTGGTGGCAAAACAAATCTAAAGGAGTGGCTTTATTTTATTTTTCAGAAATTAAAAAATAATAAATAAATAATTACAATTTCAACCTTCTACAAAATTAACAAAACGACGTGTACATGTGAGTGCAGCCATAGAGATAGAAGCAGCCATGACTGCATTGATTAAAAGCTTAAAATTTTGAATAAAGAAAACGTTTCTAAATTGTTAAAGGAATACAAAAAAATGGTCCTTCCTCAATATATAGGAATCAACTTCACGTATATGATTTTCAGGGCTTGTCCCATATGAAAATTGCAAAATCCTATAAGTTACTGATAGATACAAATTGACACTAGAATCAGGACAAAAATTATTAAAATGAAAACAAAAAACAAATGGGCAAATTATACATACAAACTTATTCTCTTGCTGAGCTCTGACTTGGACTATGGGGTGATCTAGGCCTCAAGCTTCTGTACATTTCTGAACATGAAGAAGCAAAATCCGACAATGCCCTAAACAGTTCCGGTAAGCGAGATTTAATACTTGCTACCGACTTCTCTCTCACCTGAAGGCATAGCCGTTCATAGGCTTCCTCCTCCTCTTCTAACCTCTTCTTCACTATTTCCACTGCAAACTGCTTTTCTGCAACCACATCATTTCGAGTGTGGCCTTCTGGCCCGTCTGGATCTATTTCGTCCGGAATGGTCTTGTGCATATTTTTATTGCACCAGTCTTCAAAATGTCTTTTCTTGCGGGCAAGCTCTTTCCGGGTTTCTTCACATTTGTCCTTCATTTTAATTTCATCCTCTTGGAGAGTCACTATAGTACTTATTACAGCACCAAAGTTATGTATAGCAGTTCTTGCGACATCATCTGGAAGTTTCTCTAGATGATCCTGCCACGTAAGGAGGAGTCCCTGAATGGGGGGTCTTTGAATTCTTGGTGGGGAAGAAACTTTTTCCTTCAAGCTGCTCTCAATAGGGATGAGATTGAGTTTTAACCAATTGTTGAGGGCCTTGATGTACACCTTTTGATAAGCCACAAGCTTCCCAATCTCAGAATGCCACCCTTGCACAACACCAAGCAGCTGGATTGTGCGCTCATGGTGGTGCTGACTTGTTTGCTTGGGACAATGGGAGGTGTCAAGAGACCTGAGGGCTGTTACCTTCTTTGATTGGGTCTCATGGTGCAATCGCATGATATCCCACATAGTAGCCATCCTGCAGTCCATTAATCATTTATTAGTGGTTTCAAATTGTACGTTTGAAGATAGATGCAAAATCCTACAAGAACAGTTCAGTGGTAAAGTCCCCAACTATCAAGAGCCTGGCCAGGCGTGTCCCTTTAAGTTGATTAACCAAAAGATAAATAAACTGGAGCACTAAAATCTAAAATCTACAGTACTTTAGGACACCATATCTAGGTTTCCTTATAGATATGAACAAACAAGATAATATTTTATAGGTCTTCATAAAGAAGGGTAGCACCATCAACTCATAAGATGGGAGGAAAGGAAATCTTATGTTGAATGCTCTCCAACACAGGAAATATGAATCAATTTTAATTGATTAGTGTACAACTCTCTAGTTCAAGATGTGAATAAACAAGTTACTTTTTTTTAGGTCTTCATAGAGAAGGGTAGCACTATCCACTCATACAATGAAAGGAAATGCTCTCCATCAATATATATATATATGTATTTGTGTGTATGAAAAGATGCTAATGTTCCTTTATTCATTTTTGTATTCAAAATTTAATTATAAGGCACCCTATTTTCTGCAAAACCTACTGAACCTTCTGCCAGAAACACCTCCTTGCAATATGCAGACGAGGTGTTTGAACTCATTATTTGCAATTATAAGGCACCTTATTTTCTCCAACTAATTATTTGCAATTTCATCCTATGACTCATTGTCCCCACCCATTAAACCACCTGCAAATCCTTAATCAACCCACAATATGCACCAATAGAATCTTGTTGTATATTATCAAATGAAAACTCACCCCTCGACAAGCTGAACAAGTTTTGGGTACAACTGTCCGTCTCGTAAAGAGTTTATCTCTGATACTGTTGAATCCATAGACTGCATGTCAACAATGTATCTTGTATGTAGATGACTTACGGCTGCTTTTGCTTTCTCCGATGCTTCAGAATTACCCCGTTTCTTAAGCCTGTTCAGCGAGGCAACCTTCTTTTGGTACTCAAATTTCATAAGCTCACCTGCCTATCCAACGATAGTCAATCCTAAGTCAGATTGAGTGCACAAGTAATGAATACTGATATCATTGCGGAAGAGTAGAAAAGTTCAAAGGACCACACTACAGCAAGAGCAAAAACAACAAAGACATTTTCATGAAATAGTGTAGAACAATGTAGTAATTAAACCAGAATATTGATATCAGTGGAGCCCTAAATAGTTAGAACCTTTAAGGCTTAGAACCTTTGAGACTTGAATGCGCAACCTCTCTATCTATTTCTCACACGGTTTCTCTATCACAGTGATAGCAAAACAAAACTGATTAAGTTTTTTTGTACCTTGACTTCGTCATATAGCTTTTTCTCCCATGCCAGCAACTTATCCAAGACTGTAGCATGAGTTTCATGCTCTTCTGAGTCGAACTCATCCTTGCCATCATCGACATTTGGAATTCCTTTAAAAGAACGATTCCATGTAATAACACGCATCACTCTTGCAGAGTGATCTATATGCCCTGCAAATGTAATCACAGTAATTGTAAACCAAACATCAGAAAACCACTCAAATATAACAAAACCCAACAACAGAACCACAGAACTATGATTGATTACCTCGATTATCAGCAAAATTCGAGTGATAGTGGAGCCTGGTGGCCTCCAACATCTTGGAAACATCATGGGCACTCTCTGAAGCCTTGAGAAAATGGTCATCAAGCTCTGCAAATATCTGCAACAAATTCACACTCCCTTTTAGCACCGGGACCTTGGCCTTCTTCAAGCTCTTCCCGACGGACCCACCGCCCACCTCATCCACCACCGGCAGCTGCGGCGCCACCACCACCTCCTCCTCCACTTTCGCGCTCCTCTCCACCTCCACCTCCTCCTCTTCATACTTCTCCACTCTCTCCGGCCTTTCTTCGAACACCTCCTCTTCTTCCTCATTCTCCACTATCCTTGGCCTCTCATCGTACACCTTCCGCTCAATCTCCTCGGCGTCGGCCAGCGTCGGGGCCGGCATGTCCTCCACTGAGAAAAAGTAGTCGTAAGGCGTGTCGCGGTGCTGCGGCAGCGGCGGTACCGTCCTGCTCTCCACCGAAACCGGCGGAGACGGAGAAGGCACCGGCGGCGGACCATCCAAATCGTGATCACCGTTTTCCACAACCCCTTTCTTGCTCCGGCTGCTCCTACTCCTCCGCCTCAAGCTCTCGCTACTCTCAATCACCTCATCGTCCTCGTCCTCGTCCCCCTCGATGATGGGCTTGGGCTTGGACTTGGTCCGTGGCTTGGGCAGGTCGGGTTTGATCTCCGGCATGCTGGCGGCTCGTTGGAGAGGAGAGGCGGAGAATTTGGGGAGTGGCGGAGGCGGAGGGGGGAGGTTGTCGACGAAAGGCGGCGGGGCGGGGACGACGACGGCGGCTGGGGCGGCGGCGGAGGCTAAGGGCTGGTGGGCCGGGTGCGGGGCCACGATTTCGCCCTGGGCGTAATCGCTTAAGGCGGCGCCGGTGTTCTTGAGGTAGATGGCGTAGGAGGAGTGGGCCGCCGCGAAGGCGTTGCGAGACGTCACCGATTCCTTCATGAACTGCTTCCGCTCTTTGCATCGGGATACTGCTTCTTCGTTCTCGATCTTCGACTGGGTGCAGCCCATGTTCGCTATTCAGCTGAAAACGAAGAATTGGGCGTGTAAGAACGAAGATGAGAGATGGAGATTTAGAGAGAGAGAGAGAGAGAGAGAGTGTGAAGGGTTGAAGAAGAAGCTTTTTTGGGTTAAGTTGAAGAAGAAGCTTGGAGCTTTTACTTTCGCGGCTGCGTCTGTGTCTGTCGGTCTGTCGTGTTCTTTCTGCTTTGGATTGGGAAAGAATAATGAGAAAATGGGACATCAGGACAACAGAAACGATTCGATTCTCAGGACAATAGAAACGGCGTCGTTCAGTTCTTGTTAAATGATTCCCATTTTTTTATTTTTTTATTTTAATTTTGGTATTTTGGTATTTTGGAGTGATGTGGTGTGAGGGAAAGGATCCAAAGAGAGGAGGGGACAAGGGGAAAGGGGTGTTGGGATTGGAGTTTGGATTTTTGGGGATGGGGGATTTTCAGATTACCAGTTGATTAAACAAAATTAAGAGGGGTTAAGAAGGTCAAACTCATAAGTTAGTGCAGCATTAAAAAAATAAAATTAACCCTAACCCAACCTAACCTAAATCAACCATTTGGTTAAATGTTTTACATTAAAAGAAGTGTAATTTTGAACAAATTCGAACCAAATATCAATCAGTTTGAATTAGTTTGATTTACTTTTTTACTTGTTTGGCACTCAACATTTACAAACATGTTAGGAATTCACGACATCCCTACTTTAACTTTTTCTTCAACAGAAGAAATATTATTTACGACATGAAGTGAAGGTACTAGATCCCTACTTTAGAAATGTTTTTTTTACTGTTTTGTAAGGAAAAAAAAAAAAAGGAAGTTATTTGAATTTGAGCATCCTTACTTAACAAGTTATGGGCACTAGTTTGCATCTGGTGTTTTAATTTCAAGTGTTTTGGTTTCTTTTTCTTCACATCATTGACTTGGCGCAAGGCCAAATCAATATGAACCCGATATAGCAGTAAAAGCAAGACGTGTAGGCGGATCGACTCATCAAGTTCCCATTGAAATAGGATCCACACAAGGAAAAGCACTTGCCATTCATTGGTTATTAGGGGCATCTCAAAAACGTCCAGGTCGAAATATGGTTTTCAAATTAAGTTCATCCCCCTCCCTCCCTCTATTATTAGTCCTTGGTGGATGAGGCTTTTCTTACGAAATTGTTATTGACACTCCAAAATGTTGATCATGCTCTCGCTGCTTTTCAGGTCCATATACACCCAGCCCTAGTTTTTATAAACAAATATGAACTATAGCTTATTTCTAAAAGCCCCTATCACGAAAAAGGTGGAAACAACCAATTAGCACCTTTGGTGACTATATGGATGGACTTTACAAGAAGAAGGCTTACAAGAATCCAGTCTCAGTGTTTACAATTTTGTTTTGTTATACTTAATCTGCCAAAGCTCAACATCAGTTCCTCTATCATACTCCCTCACATACTGAGGAATCTGTGTAATGTCTACGCATTTTCCCACAAAGCAAGGCATTGAACCATATTCAAGGGTTTCAGAATCTGCATCTTCCATTGAAAACCAAGTATAAGCCGTAAAGATAAAGCAAAAAAATAAGAAAAAATGAAGTAACAAGCTCATGATATGTATGGGTGCATCTTGATACACGAACAAGCTTACCCCCCTCTAACCGCAAAAAACTTCGGAAATGCGAGTAACCATTTGCAACAACATTGAGATCATCAAGACTGAAGTTGTAGCGTTTTTCCAATGCTAAGTACAACACCTGAGAAACAAAAAGCTAACTGCCATTTACTTGATCAACATCTAATGGATGAAAAGGAGTTTCTGAAAAAGATGAGGGACTGTCGAAAACATGGGAATGCGTCATCACCCTCATTGACACCTATTCTAATCATGATCAAGCTCACTTATGTACCCATGTAATGGTTGCTTCAAATCCTATACTTTTGATATATTAAAGGCAGAGAAAAAGGGCAAACAGGACAAATTCTCGGAATTCCGACCAGTCACGACACATCGCATCATCCTCATTTTATTTTAATATAGGACTTGTGCAACCCAGCATATTCATATCTCAATTATAAGTTTCTAAATGGAACCACTTTATACTTTATGTCTTACATAGAACATATTACGCTATTCATCCTTTCGGAAGTTTCGATGTAAGGATTCCTTTACTGTCACCCATGATACTTCTATTCTCCATCCCCGGAAATTCTAAGATTTTGGTTTGTACGTACCTTTTCTGAACCCGAAGACATTAATCTCTGTAAAGTGCTGAAAAACGCATCTGTCAGGTCATCACTGTAGATTACATCTGCAGCTACAAGCAAAGAAGCTTCCTGGGCTGCTTCGACTTCTGAAAAGGTCCAAGAATACCTAGGCAACATCATTAAAAACTGATTTATGTTTGCCAATAAATGATGTTAGGATATAACAAATAGTGTTAACTGTTAAGCTACACGATTGAGAACCCAGCAAAGGGAATGCACTAGCAACGTGATAAGGAATTATCCAAAATGAATATGTTGTTATTCTGCTAGTTTCTATAAGCAATCAAAGTAGATACGTAATTTTCACCTTTTACCCAGGGAGGATTCTTCTAGGGTCATTCTTGGGGGCCAGGGTTTCATCCAATCAAGTTCACGTACATGAACTGTAGCTCGATGACTGAACAGTTCAGAATTGAGGTCGACATTCTTAGCACAGTTGTCAAGGACCTCATTCCCATGGTCTGGCACAGAGGGCAACCTTATATTAATCACAAGTTTGAGTTGTATGACTCAAATAAGTAAATCCAACGTAACTATTCATGGAACTCATTAGTAAAAATCATATAATTCATTGAAAGATCAACTTTGATTCCAAAAACCTAGTAACATACACTGAAATGATCCAGCACCTGTTAAAAAGACATTTCTTCAAACCCTTGTTTGAAAAATACAATTAGAAAAACTTTCAAGGAACAAAAGGACATGAAACAATATTCAGTAAGTGCAAGGTCACTGTACCTGTTATAAAGACTGTTTTAGCAACACGTGCAAGTAATACACCCACCAACCCTGGTAAAGATAATGAATTCAAATTCCTGTCACTGAACATATAGTGATGTCTCAAATGATGGTCGTAAAAATCTTGAATGGATAATGAACTTGTAGCATTGATTCCCAAAACTGTTTGGTGGTATTTTCAGAAACAATCATGGTCAGATTTCTAACATTAGAGTGTTTTCCTCCCCCAAACTACAGTTCTCGAAAAATCATGTCGCTTTTCTTCATATTCTTCAAATTGCATTTGAATTTTCACATTTTAAAATTCCAATGGTATAGTTCAGCTATCCAAAATTTGAGGTATATATCATCTTTAGAATGCATGAATAAGCATCGAGTTAATTTAGAATGAATGTTAATGAATCAATGATTAACTGTAAGGAGCCAATTCCAGGACAGATACAATATAATCAGTTAAAATAAAGACAGTACTAATGATTATTGTACCTGTACCAGCACCAAGTTCTAATGCGACAGTTCCATCAAGTTCAGATGATGTAAACATCTTATGCAGCAAAAAATCAGATAATACAAGTTCTGCCCTCCACACCTGCGGGGGCAAGATGAGATTAGCGAGGGATACATTGCAAATAAACCAAACTTAAAAGCTAAAATTAAAAACCAACATCACAAAATTTACTTGCAAACCGACGCTTGGAATTGATGATGTGATATTATGCTGAATGCTCACGCTAGAACTCTGAGTAGATAATTCTGCACATTTTTGTGGAGAAAAAAACAACACAAAACCCCCAAATGATCTTCAAAAACAAATTACATTCTTCTTATCTTGATAAAAAAAAATTATTGGAAAAAACGAAATATGGTCTTTATTGTGTAAGAATTGCTGGTTTTGGTTAAGGGATAAAATTCAAAACAAATCAACCAGCAAGCACAAATGCACATGCCCATTCTAATGTACAACTAATCAAGTCTATCTGAAGGAGTAACCCAAACAAACAATCCCAACATGCTCATTGAGAAATTGGGTTGAGGTCTTTAAGATCATAAATGGAAGCAAAAAAAAGTTGTCAAAATAAAAACAAAAGCAGCATGTGTGAGTGGCAAATGGCAACTTACTGTTGCGTCTAGGGAGAAGAAGATCACCATCCTCGTCCAAGCTAAACATTTGATTTGTGGAAGCAGGTTCAACTTTGGAAGTCCCATTGTATCTTCTGGGCTCAAGTTCTATGAGTAAGTGATTGTGTTAGAGGCTTAAATCTTTCTTCTTCTTTTTTAATTGAATAAAACCTAAAAACAAAAGGGCAAAATTGAAACAGAGCAGAGGTTAGGGGAGATTGAATTCAGAACCAGGCGGGATGGAGAAGGTGAAGCGGGAAATGTGGGGTCCAGAGAAACCAGGTCGGCAGCCCAAGTGTACTTCACTCATCACCTGCTCTTCCTCCTGTGACTCTCCGCGGTTCATTTGCCCCATCGTCTCCAAAGACCCTTTCTCCATTGACACCAATCTTACTAAGAAACCAAACCCTAACCCTAATTGCAATGTTCCTCTTAGAAGCTAATCCCAATTCTGCGTCAAAACGCTGCGTTGTGCGTTTGCAAGCAAAGAACACTGAATAGGCAGCTAGCCCATCCGGAAAATTCTTAAGCAAACTGAGAAATCAAGTTGATACCTTTTTTTTTTTTTTTTTTTTTTTTTTTTTTTTATAGAAAAAAAAAGTTGATGCCTTTTTTGGTGTAGAAATACTTGAATACCATCACTTTTTGGAATTTTTTTTAAGCCCTTTTGAGGATTACTAAATCAATACATCCAATTCAATTATATCACATGAGTGTCAGTTCATGTTATTGTTGGGATCCAATATAAAAATAACTACAAAAATAAAGACTTAGACCCAGATTTATATCTAAAATATGTTGGATTCAGCCATGAAACTTGGATTTTTACAATGAAATATGATTAGTAAACTAATGAATGAATATTGATAGAGATATCAGACATGCACCACGTAATTTTTTTTTTACAAAGATACACTTCTAATGCTGCTGTCTTCTTCTATATTCCTCTAAGCGCTGCAATTCGAGCTGCCAGTTCATCATACTCCGGTAGTTTCGGGTGCACATGTGCATCTGGTTGCAAGGAATTGGTTCTGTCGTGCCTTTTCGGTGCCTCAATTGGAGATGTTGGCTCTGGTGGAAGAGATGATGCTCTGGCTGATGGAGCATCTCGATGAGATCTTCTGCTTCTGTTCGCAGATTCACCAGCATCATTGTCTACTTGACTTGGATTGCCCTTCATCTGTCTCGATTCATAGGGTGACTGTTTCTTACTGTAATGCATCAAAAGCCCATCCAGTACCCTCTCTTCTTCATCCCTTGGATCATTCCTGTCAAGATTCTCACGACCGGGTGGTGGTTTCAAGTTTTTCCTCCTAACTGATCTTGGTTTTGGATCATCTTCGCCAACTGAAACATCATTATGGTGATCTGTTTCAACATGGCTGTTTAACTTTGTGGGTTCCTCAAAGCTGCTTTCCTTTCTTTCAGGTTTTGGTTTGTAGTAAGGCGGAGGAGCAAATTTGGAGTAGAAGGGCATCTTGTTATCCGCTTCATCCCCTGATGTACTTCCTACTGAACTCGAACAATACTTTGGGGCGTCTTGGGATACATCTGTCGTTGTTTCATCTTCACTTCCTACTGATGCAGTATACTTTGTTCTGTGGCTCAATACGTCCCCAGCATCCTGGTTTTTTCTCTTTGGAAAAGAATTATCCCTACTTTCATGTGATTTCTGCATATCATCATCACTGTCGCCTGGAGACCCATATCTGCGCTGTCCCTGCGAAAAAGAGAAGAGACCATAAGAAGCATTAGAATATACACAATGCGGGAACAGAAAAACAGGATGGACGGAAATGTTTGGCATCTAAGAAAATTTGGAAGGTACAAAAGTCCACTCTTCAACATCTTTTCTCAAAGGTTAAATCGCCAAAGGCAGGGCCTGAGATAACGATTTGAGGTGACGTATACTGTGAATACATAAGCGGATATTATGGGCCAGATCACGCTATTTCCATTTGATTCTTTCCAGTACAAATAATTTTGTAACAATGATGTATAGGTAGACTTACTTGGTCAAGTGGAGATGGAGTATACAGTTTCTGTTCCAAAGCCTTTGAATCCCATTCAATTGAGAACTCTTGTGCTATGTCATGCAATAACTGAATCTTCATCTCCTTTGTAGGAGGCTTTGCCTTCAACCTCTCCACAAGCTAAACACAAACGATTAAGTGAGTATGCATTTTCTGAGTATAATTTAACTATGAACTTAAAGAGCAAGTAACAAGTTGTGAATTATTACCTCTTTATTCATAAAAGGTTCAAGGGAATTTCCATATCTTTCAGTAAACATATTTCTGAGGTCACGCAGTTCTGGCAAATCAGCAAATCGTGCTGCAGCGTACATCAAAGATGGAACAGCTTCCCTGCATTCCTCAGGACATTCGCTACAAAACAAAAAACAGATAAGAGAAGGTGGAAAAGTCTATCAAACTTATGATCAGAGACATGTATGGCATTGACAGTTAACGCTGCCAGTGAAAGCAAAGAATATTATTTCGGAAGCCACAAGTACCTCTGGTTTTGCATGAGAGAGAGATTATTTGAGATGCATCCAATAAAGTTCTCGGTTAATTCATAGCAGGCAGACATATTTTGCTCAACCAGAAGCCCCTCAGCCTGATTCACAAAAATAATGAAGAGTTAGGCATTGACTAAGATATAATGATTTGGACGCTTTGTGAGTGAACAACTGCTACAAGTATTCATGCAAAATGTAAATCATACACATTCAAGAAAGAAGATCAAAGGAAGAGTAAAAAAGATAAAAGATAAAAACAAGTACAAAAGACAAGGCACATAAATACATATAGGTGATTTTACCATTTCAATTGGCCAAAATTACTTGTTTCACATGCCCCACGCATATTCATCATGCGAAACAGATCATGCCACCCCTCCCCACATAGAAAGATTTATGATTAAAAAGAGGGCATAAAATGCATGACCAACATGAGGGTACATGTCATGCATGGATGAAACGTGTGAGGGCAAGCCATGGTGGTGGTGGTGACAACAAAACAGGGCCCCACAACCAGTTGTTTTAGCTAATGTATCAAGATTTGAGACAAAGAGCCGTGACATAGTCTCTCTGAATGGATGATGCATCAGATGGAAGCAACAATAACATGCCGCCATCACCGAAATTATGCACAAAATGCAAGCAAACAGAAAATCATCTATTTGTAAAGAAAAACAAAAAGGACAACAGAAAAAGTCTTGAGGCAGAGCATGAAAAAAAGCCTATTTTTCAGGCCACACAAGACCATAAAAAGCAACAAAAAGAGAAGAAAATAAAAAAAGATCAACAGAACGAGATGAACCAAAACCCAAGAACGAGATTAACCAGAAACATACCCTGCCATAGGCATTGATGTCAAGGCCACTCCTCAGAAGATCAGCAATATCATTCTTCAAATACTTCTGCACCGCGCTCCTCTTCTTCTTTATCGTCTCAAACCTCAACTTCGTGATCTTTATATCAGATTTGCTGCATCAAACAGACCCAAATTTAGAAACACAAGAAACAAAAAGCAATGAATTTTATAAATTAAAAAAATTAAAATTAAAAATTCGAGTTGCGTTTGTGCCAAACCATTTGGTGAAAAATTTCGGCTTTCTGAATCCCCTCAACATCTTGATCTCTGAGGACTCTGGAGATGCACAAAGCTGGTATAAAGAAAGATGAAAACCGGTTTCAAACCAAGCTTTAATGCAATGCAATGGGTTTTCTAAGAATGCAACAACAAGGTAAAGAATGACTGAGAGATTGAAAACTTGAGGCTCATCTCATCAAGTCACGCCAAGAATCAAATTCAAGAAAACCCAGAAGGAAAGCAAATGGGTATGTTTGGGATTGAAAGAAAGACAAGCACTTGAAGCAAGAAACCGAGAAACAATGGGGTTTTCAGCAATTTGGTTTCAAAATGTTGGGCAATTGGGTAGCAACAAAGCCTCTAATTTGGAAGCACCAAGAAGAACAGAGCTCAATAACCAAGAAACAGAGCTGCTATACACACACATATATAATATTTATATATATGTGTATGTATATATCTTTCCTAGGAAGAACCTCAACAGAGAAGGAGACGAAGAGTCAATGAACAACCTATATATACTGCCAGATTGAAGCTCTGAGAAAAAATAAAGAACGTGGGTTTTTGCCACGTGGCCTCTCTCTCTCTCTGTCTCCGTCTCCGTCTCTGAGAGCCTCCCGCTAAAAATATAATTATCGCGCTCTTTTTACGAAAGTCGCTACTAAAAGAGCGAAAATTACCTGTTTTTGCCTGTTGAGGATAACGAACATAGAAAGGGTATTTTTGGAATATAAGTTTAAATTTTTTTTCTTTTTGTTCGGGCCTATTAGTTAGGGTTTTGAAGCGGGCAGTAAATGTAAGTCCAATCGCAGGCAACCAAAGCGTCGAGAATTTAGCGTTTTATTACTGGATGGATTTGGTCCCAAATTTTTTTATTAAATATATTTTCTTCCATTTTTTTTTAAACTATTAATCCTTCTTAATTAAGTTAACAAATAATTATTGTTAACTTAATTACACAAAAATTAAAATTAGTTTTAGGGTAAAGACCAGATTTGGGGAAAGAGGCGGGCAATCAACTTGATTAGGTTAAATGTGTTCCTAAATTTATGAGATAAGAAGACAAAAATGGGTAGCAGCCTGTAATTAGCTGTCCCTGGCTTAACGGGCCTGCAAGGAATTCTTCAAGTATATCTGGCACATATTAAAAGGTTTGCAGCAGCCAAATATTAAGGTTTAACACCTAATCAAGGCACCATGTACAGACAGATATACCTAAACCTCAATACTCAAGTTGGCGGTTTTTCTAGGTTTTTGGTGAAAGGGGTAAGTTCACTCACTTACCCTCCAGTTGGAGAGGAACTTCCTTGCCCCGGTGTCACTGCTCTTTTCTTCTAGAATTTTGTTGCCCCGGATTTCTGCTTCTATTTTATGTGATTTGTAACATGAGAAGAGAGATAGAAAGGGAAAGACAGTGAAACCGGAGTAGGAAAGTAAAGTATTTTTCCTATAAGTTAGAATATAGCAGAAGTTAAATATTGTCATTGCTCGAATAAAAGTAACTTGTGGGTGTCTTTTGCACAATAAAGGTAGTTATTCACCACAATAGGGATAGTGTGGTTGACCATTATGCTATGTACAAGTTCAAGTTTGCCTCTTCAAGAGAATCTTTAGTCACCTAAAAGAGAACTATACTAGGATTTCCACCTAATTATGTGCATGAAAAGAAGAAAAAAAAAAAGTTACTTTGAAGTTTGAACCACGACTGGCTCACTATAGAATGGAGCAATAATGGAACAATCTTAAATATGTATACCATTGTTACACCAAAAAAACAAAAAACAAAAACAAACAAAAAAATCAACTTTGAGCACTATATGTGGTTTGTTGATATTTTGCAAGTATTTGTTCATTACGTACCTTATAATTTTGTATCGCATGAGAGAATAGGTTGTGACAAACATATCAGCGGAAAGTACGAATAAAAAAATTAACAGACGTTAAATCCAACAAAATGATAAACCAAAATCTTCTGTATCGAACATACTCTCAAAATTTCGATTACTGACGGAAAAAAGCTGAAAAATACAGTTCTAATTAAATAGGCCCTTTATGTAGGGCACGGCACCATACCCTAACTCAACTAGGAAACATAAAATTAACAAAGGAAACCTAATGGAATAAAAACATATTTTAAACTACAAGAAAATAAAATCAAAGACTTACCCAAAACCAAGCCCAAAATAGCCTTGATGAATTTTGGCTAACCTTTCCCTCCCACATTTGCTTTTCATTATTTTCAAACTAAGAATAAAAGAAAGTAAAATTCCATTGTATATTATATAAGCTTTGGGCATATAGTCTGCGTCCTCCTTAAGCATCCATTTGTCACTATCAGAATGTTGCGTGATGGAAGCGAAAGCGAGTCCAGAAGCCTTGTGACCCGGTGGAAAAGTAGTCAAGCTCGCTAGGACACAGCTGTGTGCAACATATCCCTGCTGGCACAGTGGCACGATATACTTATGACATGTCAGCATATTATCTCTTACTTAAATATAAATATTATTAATTTATAATCTACTTCATTAATTTATTTCTTGTCTCTGCTGCACTAAGTTCTAGCTCTTGTTACTTAATTTATTGAAATGAAATATATAGTTACTTTGTCACATAATAGGTTATTGCAAGATTTCTTAATTTTTTAATGTGCGTTTGTATTCTCACACGTCTTCTTATCTTACGTGTGAAAATTTCAATCCTAATACGAAAATCATTTAATTGAGCTTTACACACGAGTAAATATGTTTTGATAATATAATGTATACATCCAACCTAAAATCAATGCTAGCATCTAGCTCGTAAATATCTTTGTTTTATTAATTTATTTATTTCTATCCACGTAAGATTTATGTTGTTGATTAAGTTGAATTTTTGTTTGAATGTATAATTGGAATTAAGAGTTTTGAGAACATTACATGCTATCAATGGATTGAAAAGAAATGGTTGGTCTTTCTAGAAAAGAAAAAAAAAGTGAATCTTGTCGACCAAAAAAGAAAAGTTAATAAAAAGGAAGGCAAGCGGTATTTGTTTCAACTTTTAGTTGGAAAAAAGGTAACAACTTTGGTTTTGAGCAAGAATAATGGCAAGGGATAAACCAAGACTTTAGGGTAACAAAAAGTCGTCAAAATGATGCCGAATCATTGTGGTTAAAACAGGCTCAGTTACCTCAATTACATGCGACTTCTGAGGAAAAATTCATATATAAATTAGGTAGAATATAATGAGCAATGGGAATTCAATCTGAGATTTTTAGTCTATAAGAGCACTTCCACCCATAAGGGCTAAGTCTAAGGCAAGGGCTGCACTATTCACGTGAATAGTGTCAGCCTTTGCATTTGTGGTTTCACCCATGAGGGCAAAGTCTAAGGCAAGTCAAGGGCAAGAAAAAAAAATTATATATATGCAACAAAATATAAAATTGTTATGTATTTATAGGGAAAGTGAATAAAATTGTTATGTATTTATAGGGAAAACATCCATAATTTTTTGGTTTTTTTTTAAAAAAAAATTGAATTTTTTTATAATTTTTTAGATTTTTTTTTTGCTCGCTGACGTCAGCATAACATCAGCGCTGACGTCATCGCCCTCGGGCTGAAGCCCAGGCAAAATCTGCCCTTGGGCTTGCCCGGGCTGCAAGTGGTGCGCTGGAGTTGCATTGGGCTTGCCAGGGGGGCCTTTTGACCAGTTTGATAGCAGCGCTGAAACTGCTCTAAGTTAAGGCCTTTTTTCACTAGACTAAACCCGTAGACTTATTTGTCTACATAAATCTTGATAGATTAATATTTTTTATTTGATAATGTATAATTTTCACCTTCCTCCTCAACTCGAGGAAGTTCTTATATAATAGTAAGACCAAGACCATAAAGACCTAGAAAAAATAAATAAATAAATAAATAACTTTTTGAGTATCACAACCTACACTGGTCAATTTAAACCTAATTTGCAGGGCGAAAGATGATATGATTATACAAAGGTTAATAAACTATTATTGTTCTAATTATATAAAACACAAAGTCGTGGAATAAAACACACCATTGACCATTGGCACATTCGAACATGAATTCAGTTACATGCATTCAATATTCATAAGTTGAAATTGCTCTGACTGGTCACCATCATAGGGTCAACAATGATCAACGTCTTTTAGTTCCTTATAACGAACAACTGACAATAGCATTTCTCTATAATTAACGATTTCTTTTAGTGAAAGTCGAATGATTTTGTATTTAGGAATATAGAAAGATCGTAGCTTTTCTCTAGTAAGCTCTTACTTAACCAAAACATAAAACCCAAGAGCAGCTGGCAGTGAGTTGGTTGTTGTGATTGTTGCCAATAGAAAGAAAACACCGATTGATTCTCAGAAATAGCAGCTGGCAGGCGTAGAAACGTAAATGAGCTGGTTAGGGTTTTGCTATCACACTTTTTGACACTCTTTGAAAAGCAGCTTGGAAAATAAGTCGTTGGGTTTCTTGCACGCAAACTATCAACTTGTAGTTCCCAGCACTGTTGGAACTTCGACTTCAGCTGAGGCTGCTTATGCCACGTCAGATTTTGGCTTGTATGATTGGCGTAGCACCAAAAGACACTATCGTTGTCTTGAATTATATACTGGATGACAATGAGCATTTAATATAATTTAATTACATGGATGGATATAGCCACGTGGCATGTAGGGAATGATGACCACAACAAATTTTAATGGAGCAATCCACATCGGCCATGTCCTCATCACTCACTTTCTTCTTTAGTTAATTACCTACTTGTGTAGATGAATATCATTTTCTGTTATAATTAGGGATTAAAATAAACAGGTAGATGTAAATGACTTATAACTCAAGTAAAAGTAAACTCTTATGTAATGTATTGGTCAATAATGCAATGACACATGTGATAATTTTTTTACGTGTCATTGTGTTATTGACCGATAATAGCAAAATAGTCATATCTCCATTACATGTAAGTTTTTTTCTTTCTAATGATGGGGAATGTTCCTTGAGGGCATTCTCCATTCTTGAAAAAGCTTGGCTTGTTTGTTTGATGTTTTCGCTCCATTTGGAGTTGAGTTGGGTTCCATATGTAGCCACAAAATGAAGTAGTAATTGCATCTTTATATATGTTAGAAAATTTGTGACGGCTCATGAAAAAAAAGCTGCGATTACTCAAATTGAAATATAATATGCAAGAATGTTGTAGTTCAAGCAGTTACGAGTAGCCTACCTATATTTATGGGTTTTGTGCCCCACAATATCACTTATATAAAAAGAAACAGAACATATTATAATTATAATATGCATCTTTTGTCTCTCAATTGATTAATTTTTTTTATTGAATATGCGTATCACCAAACAAGTCTGCAACCCAATGTTATGGGAACCAATAATGGGATAGTTGGGCTTAGTTTTGGGCCCATCAGACCTGAGGGCCAGCCAATTTCGTTCATTTGTTTTTCTGCTTATCCTTGTACCCTATTTTTTACTTTAGTCATATGTATCTTAATTTCTTTACCATTTATGTTTATTTCTTTTCAACTATTTTTCAGTATTTCATAGGATCACTAGTCATATATTCCATCAACATGCCAGCCCATTGGGCTCAAGTATGTTGGACGAGGAATTGAAGGAAGAGGAGCATGATTTTTCATTTTGAGGAGATTAGAAGGGATAAGTTATAAGGTGTTGATGTTGATTCTATCATTTTGTGGGGACTATATGGGATAATTTTTTTTTCACGAGTATTCCATTTTCTACATTCAAATTGAACAAAATTTCTTTATTTCTTAATTCACCATACTTTATATGTAGGTATCTCCTATCCAATCAAATATCGTACTCTAAACGAGCTCTTAAGGTCGGCCATGGACATTAAATTTATTGGGACGGCCCAAATTCGATCCAATTTCGAGTCTTTGACTTGTTAGCTTAAAAGTGAATCATGGCAAACTTTGTTATTGTTTAGTGATGCCTTGATTGATGCCCTTCGAACTCAAAAATGCAAACACAACCTACATGTCATAGATAGAGGGTTAGTGGAAAGCCTACACCAACAAGATCACATATCGAAAGACTATAAAAATGGTATAGAATGAGGCTCAACCAAGCAAAATGTGCATATATCGCAAGGGAAAATTCCTGGGTTACTATTGCAATTCTTCAAAAGTAAATTCAACACTATATGTTGCTTGTCTCTACATTCGATCCCAATACCCTATTTTTGTGCACACAAAAAACCCCGATCACATTGGCCAACCCAAATGAGGTGCTACCAAAAGCATCTCAAAACGTTGATGAGAGAACTGAAAAGGCAATTTTCTTGAACAAGAAGGTACTCACGTCGAACCAATCGCTGTAATCGCTCCGAGTTGAAATTTCGGGGGAGAAGATCGCTGTGGTAGAGCAAGGTTGTGATGGTGGCTGCCGGCCGAGCTATCAGTGCCGTCACAAGCCTCACCAATGATCCAAGCATCAATTGCATTAGAGACTGCCACAAGTTTTAAGTTGCCACTAATTAATCAAACCACCACTAATTCTAAAATATACATGCAACTTAATTAGTGCATTATGAACCCGCCAATAAAAAACAGTGCTCGAATGAAAAATTAGATGACAAATATTACTAGGAATTTAATTCATCCAGCTTGACTGAAACATAATACTATGATTGCCAAAGTTGTAAACTTTGATTGAATGAAGGGGTTCTTTGCTCATATTATAAGTACAAATTAAAGAAAAAGACTGCATGCCAATCAAAGTTTTTACTACACAAAATGAGAGAGAGAGAGAGAGAGAGAATACCATGGTGATGGGCTGATCACGAGAGAAGAAGATGGGTTGACAAAGGATGAAGAATCAGTTGGAGAAGAGAGAGAATCTTGGTATTAAAGAAAGAGTTTATCCAATAAAAATTTAATTAAAAAAATGAGTCACAGACACTCAGAGAGAGAGAGAGAGAGAGAGATCCAGAGATGTGATTTGGATTTTACAATAAATAAAAATGTCACAATTTGAGGTGCTGTTGAGAGCTCCTGCCCTTCAATGGGGTTTATATGCCAAATGGTACAAGCTGAAAGTGACTGAGAAACCCAAGACAAATGTTCTGAAATCTGTGTGAGTTATTTGGCCTCCTGCTTTGGGTTTATCGACAACACCCCCTACAAAAAAGAAAAAGCCAACAGATTCACACAAAAGGGGTTTTTTTTTGGGTTTTGTTTGGTAAAAATGGATCTTTCGACAAAGTGAAAGCAATAACAAGAACAGAGCCAATTGTGGTCTTCTGCATCACAAATTCACAATAACCCTCTTTCTATAAAAGCAACTTTTAACTTGGGAAATAAGAAGAAAGCTTCTGAAACAAGTAAACTTGAAAACCAAGAAAGCAATCCTCTTAAACAAAATAAGGAACTAAATTCTTGCACAAGACTTAATGTCCTAATGTGTTGATTGTTAATTTATGAGCCAAGGAAGCCAATGCGGGATTAGCACACTGGTTGTGACCCTCCCCTTCCCCCCGCTTGGCACCCAGAATCGAAACTCAGAGTTTCTTTCCTCCCAAAATATTTATTTTTAAAAAAAAGAAAAAAAGGTTATGAGCCAATAAAGCAGTCTCTTTCTCTACTGCATCAGCCTTTTTGTTAATACCCTTTTTATATACATATATGAATACTAGTGTCATCAAACTCTTGTTTTTTCTTTTTTGGTCGGTCATCAAACTCTTTTAAAATTTAATCGCTCAAAAAAACAATGAGGTTCTTACATCACTTGATATACAAAAGTTTTGGAATTTTTTTTATGCTCATGCTAGATGAAGCATAAAATCTTGACTAAATACTAAAGAGACAAGAAATTTGCTGTAATAAATAGAGTTGATTCTAAGGAGTAAATGTAGATTTTGGGCAGTAGATTCATGGTAGTTTTTTTCTAACTTAGATCTAGATAGTTTGTATTGTTGTATAAATCCTCTCTATTTAGAGAATAAATCATCAACTAATAACCTCTGATGCCAAACTAAACACCTGCCTTTCGAGAAATTATAGTGTGGTGTCGTACCACGACATCCATATATATTTCTATTTAAAATTCGACATGTTTAAAATAAAAATAAAAATAAAAATATATTTTTTAGGGAAAAATAAAGGAATAAAATAAATACTAGAGTCATCAAACCCTTTTTCTTTTTTCTTTTTGGTCGGTCATTAAACTCTTTTTAAATTTAATCACTTAGTGCAGCAAATTGAGTGACAACTTATTTGTTTTTAAAAAAGCACTTGATATACAAAAATTTTAGAACTTTTTTTTTTATGCTTTTAAAAAAAAAAATTATGCTTATTGATTGGAATGTGGACTGTATATAAGTGCTCATACTTCCTCATCTGGTCTAAATACCAATCAAATAAGGAAAGAATGAACTGGATATTTACAAACAAAAAGAAAACAATAAAACTGACTATGATCCACGAGTGTCAGACCCCAGAAAGGTCAGCAACTAGAAAATTTTGCCAGCTAATTGGATTGGACTATATGCGTTGACTTGTTGACATTTGACTCTCTACCCCATTAGCCTAATTGATTGATAGCAAACTATTATTAGGCAATGACACAAACCTCCTAGGGGCAAAGCTTTCTTCACTCGGTCGCTAGGGAGAATTTCGAAATAACCCCTAAACATGAGTTACTTTCTATCTTAAAATTCTATGTAATATCAGAAGTTCATTCTTCGGTCTTGCTTGCCAAATAGGTTACTCAGTCTATAACGATTTATAAATCCCATGAAAGCCCAAATTTATTGTCCAAGTGGCTCATCCAAACCGTCGCGATCTCAGGCCTTTCGTCGAGCAATTGGTGTACGTCTTGGGGTCGCACACCAGCCAGCTATGGGTTCGCATGAGGACCTCCACATCTAAATTTTCGGCCGACATGTGGTCACATGACCACTCTTGTCCCTCCGCACGTCCGCCTCTGCAAACAGGCCCTCTAGGAATTCTAGTTCCTCATGAACATCCCGCCATTCACTCAATGGAAAAAGTTTGGTTCCTTAAAACAAGAGGAGCTACCCCTCACAACAAATGGAATTTTGACACTTTTAAAATTCTTTTTAATTTTTTTCTTTTTGAATTACTTCAATCCTTTTATCTTTTTGAATTTAACAAGTGTCAAAATCTCATTTGTTGTGATTATGTACTCCCCTCAATTTTAAGGAGCCAAGACATGCTGCTGTTTTTTTGGTAATCAGTTGGCTCCACTTCCTCCTCTTTTGATGGAAAATTTCATTTCATATAGTTCTTAAATTATATTCCCTTTAAAGTCAATTTATGAGGCTGCAATTTAAAAGTTGCTTTGACCTTTTTTTGTTTTTTTGTGGAGAGAGTTGTTTTGACTTTGAACTTTTATATCCTCAAGGCAAGGCTTATTGGCTTAACAAAGCCAAGGCTTGTACATGTAGGTTCATGGAAATCAATCTCATACTTCTTTGTATTCTGTGTTGCTGCTGCATAATCTTCATAGGGCCCTCTGACTCTCAAACTGATACTTTAGCACAAGGCCAACAGCTCAAGGATGGGATGCAGCTGTTTTCAGCTTCTGGGATTTTCAGGTTAGGATTCTTCAAGCCTGGAAATTCAAATACTTCTTACTTAGGAATATGGTACAACAGAAACAATGAAAAGGCAGCGTGGATCGCAAACCGAAACAATCCGATTCTTGAAAACTCTGGAGTTCTTACAATTGATCAGTATGGTAACTTGAAAATTTTATACAACATAGGAGATTCTATTGAGCTATATTCAGTTCATCAAGAAGCAGTAAATACTAGTGCTACTCTACTTGACAGTGGCAATTTTGTGCTCAGTGAGCTGAACCCTGATGGATCTATAAAACAGGAGTTGTGGCGAAGCTTTGATTATCCAACTGGCACACTTTTGCCAAAAATGAAACTGGGGTTTGACAGAAAAACTGGCCTCAATTGGACTCTAAATTCATGGAGAACTGATAATTTGCCTGCCATAGGGTCATTTACACTTGGTTTGGACCCTACTGGTTTAAAACAAATGGTCATATGGTGGAGAGGAAGCATCTACTGGACTAGTGGGCCTTGGAACAATGGGTGCTTCAGCTTCATGTATGAGTTTTGCAATTATTATAAGTACAACTTTAGCTACATATCAAATGGGAATGAAACATACTTCAGTTATTCAGTTGATAAAGGTACCACTATTTTCCCAAGGCTCATGCTAAGTGCAGGGGGTGAACTCAGGGGTTTTGGGATGGATTCCATGTTTACAGGAGTTTCATGTACATCTTCCACCAACTCTTCCTTGAAAGATGGGTGTGTTCAGCAGAAGCTTCCCGACTGCAGGAGTCCCAGTGAGAAATTCGTGTTGAAAATGGGTCTTATGTCTCGTGGTGGGATTAAGTTCCATGAAAATGAGAATCTCACTCTCATTGATTGTTGGGATGAGTGCTTCAAACTTTGTTCCTGTATTGCTTATGCTTCTGCAAATGATGATGGCACCGGCTGTGAGATTTGGACCAAAGGGACAACGTTCACACAAAACAACCTAGGTATCCTGAGAGAGATACACATCCTTGAATCTAAAGGTAACTAGTTTTCAATTTACGAGTTGAAGTCAAACTTCTTTTGATGAGAATTTTTTTAGTTTTCTTAGTAAAAAGTACTTGTTTCAAATAGATAAGCTGATCTTAATTACTTACAAACATGATTTTATAACAGAAATGGAACAAATAAGGAAAGAACAATCCTGGCCAGTTTGACATAACTAATGAAATCTATTTGTCAATGCAGTACGGCTGTGGTGGATATGGCTAACCATTTTGGTAGGAGGAACTGCTCTTTTCCCTCTACTCTGCTCCTGCTGCTATGTCCTGTGGAAACAATCCAAAGCAAGAGGTTCTCAGTCGCAAAGAATGACATACAATATCCTATTACATGAACTTGGTGAAGGAAGAAGACATCAGAAAGATGGGAAGACAAGCAATAATGAGTTGCAGATGTTCAGTTTTGAAACAGTAGCTCTTGCTACAAACTGTTTCTCAGCAGCAAATAAGCTAGGGGAGGGTGGTTTTGGACCTGTTTATAAGGTACAATATTTACATTAGAAAATGTTGTGTTTCATTAGTATATGTCGTTTTACAAATCCTGAGTTTTGTTTAAATTCCAAGTTTATTTTCTTGGTACAAGTACACCCTAAAAGAATCATAATTTCAGGGAAAATTACTTGATGGGCAAGAAGTAGCAATAAAGAGACTTGCAAGAAGCTCAGGACAAGGGCTGGTGGAATTCAAGAATGAAGCCATCCTTGTTGCCAAACTCCAGCACACTAATCTTGTGAGGCTTCTAGGATTCTGCATCCAGGGAGAAGAAAAAATATTGATCTATGAGTACATGCCTAACAAAAGCTTAGATTTCATCCTCTTTGGTAGGTCCTTGCCCATCACATCACTAGCAGATTTGCACATACATATCTGCTATTCCTAATTCTGGCACTGATATTCAATTACTTGATATTACATTTTACCCTGAGGCAGATGATCAGAGAAAGAATGTGTTAAATTGGAAGAAACGCTTCAGCGTCATAGAGGGGATTGCTCAAGGACTGATTTATCTTCATAAATATTCAAGACTAAAAGTGATTCACAGAGATTTAAAGGCCAGCAACATTTTACTTGACAAGGATCTGAACCCAAAAGTATCTGATTTTGGCATGGCTAGAATATTTGGTTTGAATGAGATGGAAGAAAACACAAATAGAGTTGTTGGGACATAGTAAGTACTGCATCCACAAATTTTACCTGTCTGTACTGTGCAATGTCCGCATTTTTCAACTGCTTAAGTTTCTTTTTTGTATTACTGCAGCGGTTATATGTCTCCGGAGTACGCCATGAAAGGCATTGTGTCCATAAAAACTGATGTGTTCAGCTTTGGAGTCCTACTGCTAGAGATTGTGAGTGGGAAGAAAAATAACAGTAACTATCATTTCGAGTATCAACTCAACCTCATTGGATATGTAAGTTCTCATAACTAAATATGGCTTATGTCCACAAGGTGATATTCTCTTGATGTCTGAGAAAAATCTCACTTAACCAATCATGCAAATCAACAATTTGGCAACATAACATAATAGATTATATGTCAAGAGAAAATTTTCATACAGCCATCAAGTCCTTCCCATTTGTATGCAACTGCTGAATTACATGCTCTTGTTTCATTCAGGCATGGCAGCTCTGGAATGAAGATAGAGGATTCGAGCTAGTAGACCCGGTGTTGGGTGAATCTTGCCCCATTACTGAAGTACTAAGATGCATTCATGTGGGTCTCTTGTGTGTACAAGATCATGCAGCAGACAGGCCAACAATGCCAGATGTTGTTTCCATGCTCTCAAATGAAAGCTTTCCATTACCACCACCAAAACAGCCAGCATATTTCCTAAATACAGTTAGGGCAGAGCGAGAGATGGCTGAAAATAAGTCTGAAATCTGCTCCAAAAATGATGTAACAATCTCAGTGATGGAAGCAAGGTAAATGCAGTAACTATGTAAATATGCGTGTGTGTGTGTGTGTGTGTGTTCAAGCACAATCGTGGTTCTTTCAAGAATTCATTTATCTGATGATCAAATACAATGAATAAAGGATGTGTAAATGAACAATCCATGATGAAGAGTTGGAAATCTTTTTTTATTTTTTTATTTTTTTTAATGTGCTTGTAAATTCAAGTAGAATATGATGGATTGAATGCGTTTGTATTCTTCTTCATCTTCTCTTTTTTACCTCTCTTTCTGTATCTTAATTTAGAAATAATAAATAAAGAATTGTGAAAGTAGTAATTAACAAACTTCTTCTTTTCTTAGTAGTTATATGACATATCAAAAAACCTCTTTGAATGACCTGTTTTTAGAGAAGAAATGTGATTTCCAACTGACCAATCTCTCAACCACAACAAAAATTACCCCAAAAAAGACACTCTCAATTAATTTTTAAAACAGGTAAAACTTGAATTAAATAATTTGTTTTTAACAAATTATCCCTCTAGTTTCTACAATTTCACAGAGGCAGAAAAACTAATAATGGTAAATTTATTCACCTTTCATATTTTTCGCCAACCAATTGACAAAATTGTACACCTTTTTTATAAAAGAAAAAAAGAAAAAATATATTTAAATAAATAATCTATATATATAAAGCAAAAGGCAGAGGATGGTGAAACATTCAAAATACTAGAAAATGCTCTTGGTTAATCCAAACATTAAGAAATAAAATTATTAATTAAATGAGGATAATATGGTAAATTCACACCTTTTCATATTTAAAAAAATTAAAATTAAAAGAAAAATCATATAATGAATTTTATTTTTTAGAAACACAACTACCTACCCATTATATTTTTTAATTCTAAAATAAATTTCATTTCATTTTTTTAAAAAGTTTTTCGCAGGTGCAAAAGTGAGTGCGAAGATGTTAGTAATAATATTAATAATAATAATAAGTGGAGGTAGATGACCAAAAGGATTGACTCATGCCAGATCCGAAAACAGGGGTTGACTCATGCACGTGAGAAGCACGTGCCAGTATCCATTATATAGAGATGATTTGTAAACCGGTCATAGCAAGGCTGTGCGTATTATTGCAGTAGGGTTGTCCTGGGAATTTCTCCTTCCTCTCAGATTCGACCCAAGCCTTTTGCCCTAGATCGCAGCCATGTCTTCCAAGCAAGGTACGTCGTTGACGATAAGAACCCTAGATTTTTTTAGATTCAATTTTCAATTCTGACTCTTATTTCGTGTCAATCAAAAAGTAAGGAAAAGAAACCCTAAAATTTTGTTAATTTTTTGGGGATGTTGGATTCAGAAATTAAACTTTTGTTCTTCTTTTAGGTGGAAAGGCAAAGCCTTTGAAGCAACCCAAGTCCGAGAAGAAAGACTACGATGAGGTATCGCTGATGATTGTTTAAATTGATTGTTGAATTTTAAAGTTGGAAGCTTTGGTGGTGGATTTTGTACTCAGGATCTTACTGATTACATAGAAAAGGAAATAATTGTAGTAATAGATCGGTTTAATTGTCTGGGTTTGATGTTGATCTGGTCTTAATATTAAGATGTTCTTGCGGTTGAAAAAGAAATTGAATTTTAAAATATCCCATATAATAGGTAGAAACAGGCTGCTTGATTTAATATTTTTCACAAAAGTTCAATAATTTGTTTGATGACCCAAGTAGCTGTTTACTTTTGGCGTATAAAAGAAGAAATTCTCTTTTTAGTATTAGATACCCAGGAAATCTCTTTGAGTAGCAGATGTTCAATGTTCAGCTAATAGCAGCATGGGTTACATTTGCCCCCAAGGAATCTTTTATGGTTAATTTTATGGCATTATGCCACACCACATGCTATGCTATCTCATGACTCCTGGCACTTTTATCTTGAATCCTTTATGCTTTGAATCTAGAACTGAAGGAGCTGTTCAAACTGCGTTTTTCCTAATTGTATTCCAGCTAAATTCTTCTTAAATGTTTATTCAAATATGTCCCTTGGACTAAGAATTTTATTTGCTACTTGCAGTCTGATTTGGCTAACCTTCAGAAGAAAAAAGATGAGGAAAAGGTCAGGATTTTTTTCGTTTCTTAGCATATCTTGGTTCCTTTATTTGGTTTTGAAAAATTATTGATTAAATTTTCGTTCTTGTCATGAACAGGCACTGAAGGAGCTTAGAGCCAAGGCACAACAGAAGGGATCTTTTGGAGGTGCTGGGCTCAAGAAAAGTGGGAAGAAATGAGAGGGTTATTAGAACCCCCTAGTTGGGGTGCAATATATCTTTCTTGGGCTGTAATTATAAACACTATTGTGTTGAAGTCTTTCAATTTATGTGATGGTCTAGTTTCTAATGTGCTGCTAGACGCATGAGTGACTTTCAGTGTGTAACAGTATGACTATGTCTAAATAAGTTAGTTGGAGTTTGCCTATCTTGAGCCATTCTGCGTTTTCTTTCTTAAGCTTTCTTTGCAGCATTATCTTCGTTTGCTCTGAATTTGTTGTCTCATGTGTCAGGCGCGGGAGGTTGGTTTTTTTATTTTATAAATAAATAAAAATTAGGGAGTTTCACTAAAACACCCAAAATGGGGGTTGAAATTATAAAAAAACCCAAGCACTATTTAAACATATAAACACACCCCAAACCCATCATTACATACACTCAAAACCCATTTATAAACACACCCAAAAAGTTGACTTTGGGGTTGATTTTGGGTGTGTTTCTATGTTTAAATAGTGCTTGGGTTTTTTTATAAATACATGTCTAGGATTGGGTTTATTTATAAATTTGTATAAAAATTATTGCAGTCCTTTTGCTCCAAATTTTAGAGTGGTCATGACAAAGGACAAGGACAAGTAAGGGCAGATACTATTCACAAGAATAGTGATTGTCTTAGCAATTTTTTATGCATTCCCATTCATTGTCATGGCAATGGAAGGGTAACCACTATTCACATGAGATATGAGGAGAGGAATATGTATGAATTTTGGTGTAGAAAGTGAAGGACATGGTTGGGTATTTATAGAAAAAAAATTCTGAATTTTTTCCCTTGTCTTTTTTTTTGCGGTGTTTAAATTGGTCTCGAACATCTGTATGATGTTAGCTTGCCTAGGCAAGTCTTGCCTTTGGATTTGCCCAATTTCATGGGACCACTTTATGCCATGGCAAAAGGTAATTGGTGCAAGTTATTTTTGGAGCCTAGGCCATGGCAAAAGGTTAAGGCTGGAAGTGCTCTAATTAAGGCTTAAAACTAAGTGGAAGCATATCGTTTTGGAAGTAATTTTGGGCCAAAATCACTTATGGGAAGAAACACCTCCCGTGCTTTTCCATAATTGTGATTTTAAGCGATTATGAGAATAAGCTTCTTCTTAAAATCACTTTAAAGTGATTCTTATGAAAGTGATTATTGGCCTATCTAGAATCATTCCCAAACAAGCCATAAATCACTTTTTAAGCAGCAGCTTCTCATTGAACGGCTATAGCCCTCTTATTTAAGAAAAGCAAAAGCACAGAACAGTATTATTTCGATTTGCTTATCAAAACAGCATTATATCTAAGTAATCAGGCAACAAGCATTATATTTTACTATTATTCCAAGAAAGTTGTTTCAAATAGTATATATCCATCTTTCGTTCTACCAAATAGTATCACATCCGCATATATCAGCCTCACTTGGGAAGCTTGAAATGCACAAAGCAGCAGCACAACAATGAAATATGCTCCACAAACTCCTCCGGTTCATTGCATAGCTACTGCTGCCCTGGGTCTTCTGGGTTCTCCTTGTCAGGATCTTCTTCTCCTTCTTCCTCCTCTTTCTTCTCTTCCTCTTCTTCATCTTCTTCCGGAGGATCCGCTGGCAGTGGAGGCGGTAATGGTGTTTTCATTGGGCTAAACTGGGGAAATATATCCGGTCTCCTCCCGGGCTTAGGTCGTTCCCACTCCTGCAATGCAAGCAAATGCACACAAGATGAGCAAAACTTAATGAGTGGACCTAGTTAAGAATCAAGTTCTAAAATTTACGGCATTGCCTCAGTGCCAGGTCAATTATAAACTCAGGTTACATGCAGCTTTGGACCTTGTATTCTGAACCCCAGTACACAAGTGTTTGCTTAATTAAACAACTTTTCTCTAAAACCATTTGAATGTTGATTTCTCATTAACTTGAGTATTGAGGAAGCTAAAAACCTCTCAAAGCCTTGGCCTAAGACACCACACCATTAATTCAACTTGAAACCTTGTGTATCATGAACTTAGAAATATTATGTTTTCTTTATCAAAAGAGAAAAAAAACACAAAGAAATATTATGTTTTGAGTCATATACTAATGCTGCAAATTACGACATCCAATTCAAGCAAGCTCCTTAAGCAACTACCCAATAAACAGGAACCCTCGTGCTGCTGAGCCCAACAAGATTGTGTGAAATGATTTCAAAATGAAAAATTCCGAGCATTATAAGCAAATACTGAGACAATAGAACAAATTATAGAAGCTTACAAAGCACATAACGTGTTTGACAAAATTACCCAGAGAGAGATATAGATGTCCAAGAAAAACTTACAATGGGGAAATCGAGAGGGGAGCGACGGGTCAACTTTTCTTCTTCGGGAGCCATCCGAACGACATGGCTTTGCCTCCGACGGTTGAGAAAGCTGATGGGTTTTGCGCGGAGAGCGATAGAGCAACCGGGATTGGGTTTATACTGGTATGGTCTAAAACTACACAAACAGGAAGAAGATGACGACGAAGAAGAAGAAGAAGAAGAAGGTGGTAATGGTGGAATTACGGCGGGGAAAGGCAGAGGCAGCGTCAGGCTCCGCAACGCCATTTGGGTCGGGACTTGATATTCGCTGCGCTCCTCCTACCAAGACTGGTTAATATTCTATCACCTGACTCTGAGTCTCCTGGCTGGGTGCAATTCGGCTAATAAGTCTGCCCCAACTCAAACCATCAATCCAAGCCCAACTCTAATTATGGGCTGGCTAAGTTGGAGAGTATTCCACACATTTACGAGCATGCAACCAGACATCCGTTCTCATCGTGCAAGAATTAAGAAGCCGTATTTCAGTACCATACAATAATTTCTTATGTCAAGCTCAATATCACTAAAAACCAAAGAAAATTGGGTTGCTAAAATAGGTTCATTCTCTTATTAACTAGTGTGGTAACATATGCCTAGGTTCGATCGATTAGTCGAATTGGGTCAGCCTTTGAACAAAATGTATGGCCTATGACCCGACTTGCAAGTCGTGGGTCAGCAGGTCTCTTGCACATTGTGGGCTGTGAACTTTGGGCCTCATCCCATGGCTTATGCATTTTTTGAGAATTTTTAAGATACACGTTTCAACGTTTGTAGTGGAAAATCTTTGGCCGGTGGAAATGTTCGTGATTGGGAAGGCACTCATTATTTCTACATTAGGCTTTTGAGGAGCAATAGTCTTTAATTTGTAACTGATTCACATCTTGGTAATTGAATTCGCAAAATGGTTGATGCAATCCCTTAACTCCACTTTCGTTAGTATCGTTGCTCATGTTGTTACATTTTCTGAGAAAAATAGTAATTTTCATGTTCTTTGTAATGGGCAAAACACCACCAACTTCACCTTCTTCCCAGCTACCTCGACCGCCACCCTCACCAGCCACAACAAAAGGAAAAGATAGAAAAAAGTTTTGGACACTTGAGGAGAAAGAATAAAACTTTTTTTCCCCACTAATTTAATGACCACCAGGTCCGAAAATTAATAATGCATATTCTCGTTACAAGAATTTTTTTTTTTTTTTTTTTTTTTTTTTGGGGGGATTTAGGCTAAGTTATTCATTGAGGACAGCGTTTCAGGTCATATATTTGATATTGTAATTGTCTCTAAGAGCAGTACAGTTTGTTCTACAAAGTTTTACAAATCATATTTACAACCTGATGTCCATTGCAGGGGAGCCCTTGAGCATGGGCGGGGAAGGCAGTTGCCTAGGGCTTCCAAATTGGAAGGGCCCCAATTTTTATAAACCTCTATATATGCATATATATGTTACTTTGTTTACTAACATATTTGTGTGTGTTTTTCTTTTTGATACAAACGATAATAAGGAGGGAATCGAACTAGAACCTCGGATGAATGAGTAAATGCTCTATAAGCCTTTTGCGTGCTTTTTTATTTTTATTCAAGTGACTAAACATATCATTAGTATCATTCCTACACGGGACTCCCATATGATCACGTATCATGATTCACAAACAACAAAACATTGAAAAGAAATCTGTGACGTTTCTGATCCAGATGATACGATTATATTATAAGCACCATGACTGATTGATCTGTTTATGTATAATCCAAAGGCAGAAAGAAATGGATGTGATGTCACCTTCTTCTGCCTACAAACAAACAAACAAACAAACGTGTATGCATTTGCAAACTTTCCTCCTTACAAAACCAAACACTCTGGCAATTGGCACATAAAGCCAAACATTCGTACAACCCACTTGTGCAATCTCTGTAAACTTTTCACATGTTATTATAGGAACCCATTTTTTTTTTTTTTTTTTTTTTTTTTTTTTTCATTTTCTTTTCTTTCTTGCAGCAGCGAACCACTTAAAATGGGTTATTGTGTCGTGAATCACCATCCCACAGAAGAAGTTGGTTGCTTAATGACACTAGGCTGAAAGCACTCAAACAAGACTCAGATGCCACGTGTGCACTACCCACTGGTACAGATGGCAGCCCCGCACTGCCTCTTTGAAAAGAAAGCATTGGCCGTTTCCTCTGCTAGGCTTAGGCAACACCCCCCACAAATTGGCAACCGGTGGCTTTTGTTTCGTTCCCTTGTGGAAAGCAAAGAGAGAAAAGTTCTTGGTTCAGAAGGTGAGGAAATTGAGAAGGCATAAGGATTTGAATTCTGTTTCCCTCAGTCATAGAGAAAGACACTTTTGTGGCATATTAATTCTTTGCAGCAAGTGAGAAAAAAGAGTTTTTTTTTTTTGCTCTTGTTGTTTTTGCTGTTGCTGCTGCTGCATATAGAAAACAGAGAACCCAGAAAGGAAATCCAAGTACCCTTTTTAGAATTGAATATGCTTTTGTATCTAAATTGGAACTTCCAGCTGAATTTGAGAGAAAGCAGAGAAGCCACACGCACAAAAGTTATAATTTTGGAACTTTGAACACACACAAACACAGAGACACAGAGACACAGATCCTATAATTTGAGCCTAGATTTGGAGTTTGGTGGCTTTGCAAGGAAAATCAAGAATTGGGTTTTGATCAGAAGAAAATAAGGTGGTGGAATCTGAGGTGTTTGGTGAATGGGAAAATGGATTTCTGGCCAGAGTTTCTTGCAAACAGTTGGGGGAGAGAATTTGTGGCTGGAGGCATTGGAGGCATGGCTGGTGTAGTCTCTGGTTATCCCCTTGACACTCTCCGTGTCTGGCAACAGAGTTCACCCTCCGGTTCTTCTGCCTTCAGCATGTTACGCAATGTCGTCTCTGCCCAAGGCCCTACTGCCCTCTACAGAGGCATGGCTGCACCCTTGGCATCTGTCACTTTTCAGGTTCTTCTTCTTTAAACTCTGTTTGTTGTAAATTCATCAATTTTGTTTCAATATTTTGTTTCTGTTTCTTTATGTTGATCACAAGATGTTTTTTTTTATGCGGATGTTTATGTTGATCCTTAGCTGCATAGGAAGATCAATTAGAATATCTTCTTCTTTTTTTTTCTTTTTTTTCTTTTTTTTTCCGTAATGGGAGGATTTAGAAATAGAGCCCTTATATCCCCAAATGTTTGAAAACAGTGATGACCGCCTATTCTTCACACTAGTCACCCACGTACTTTTTTCACTCCCAGCCAAAACTTTTACCCAAGTAGCCTTTCATGATAAGCATGGCCACCCCAAGCAATGGTCGATGCTAAGAGCATCTTCAAGAGAAGTGGCAAATGAAATAGGAAAGATTGTATTATAACAACCTAGGTGGCATGTTGCCTACCCATTTGCCTTAAGAAAAAAATTGGTCACTTCAAGGGACTAGGCAATGCAAGTCTACAAATCATTATTATATTATTTATTTTTATCTTTTACATTTACTATCATATTTTATAGAAAGTATGTGAGAGAGTGAAGATGATATTTTATTATAAAAAGCAAGTGGGGACCAATATACCTTTTCACTTTGAAGTAGGCAATATTGCCTTGTTGGGGAGAGTAGTTATAATTTGCGTACCTATTTGCCTCTTCCCTTGGAGCATGAAAATGTTGACGTAGCAAGACAAATGAAGTTTGCCTACTCTTTTGCCTCTTCTCTTGAAGATGCTTTAAGCATGACCTTGCTACTATGGTCTTGTCACTGTAGCTATGGCTGGACAACTAACCCAATTTACGCATCATCGATCCATAATATTGTTCATGTAAGAAAATGGTGTCAATTGAGTGTTACGTTATAAATAAATAAATAAAACAAAGATTAATTTAACGATTAGACTGACAAAAGAGCCAATAGTGCAAAGATTCGTAACTTCAAGGATTGTTTGTACCAATATATTTTTGTAAGACATCAACTGTGAAAAATGTAACTCACCCTTAAAAAAATTTATCAAAAGAGAAGTACTGAACAAAACAAAGCATGTTTGTTTCTAAAGATTTCTTCCAATTATGAGTCATTCAAATCCTAATTGCTGCTAAAGTGTTTGCAATAAAGTTTTAGTCTTTTTGTGAGGATGATGGTGGGAAAGTGGTTGGTGGGGTGGATGGTACGTTTTGCCATTTTATATAATGTCAGTATGCCATTTGAAACCTCTTTTTGAAATCATGGGAATTGCTTTTTGCGTCTCTTTTGGAGTGTCACGATCTATATAGGCACCATATATACATAATACATTGAACTTATCGACTCACATTTTAATACTGTTCTTGTTCAAATATATTTTCACAAACACACAAAAGAACAGTAATTCTTACTATTCTTTACTGACTGAAATGGATGCATTTCAATTGCTGGTAAACAGCTTTGAAATTCAGCTTCTTCTATCTGTAGCAACTCCAACTTTGTAGTTATAAAGTAGAAACTGAAATGCACAATTGCTTGCATTATAAGTAACAATATAACAATTGTTAACCAAAGCATAAATCATCCAGATCATCAAATTGATGTGCAACAGTTTTGCAAGAGTTTGGATCATTTCACCCCCGTGCTGACAAATTCTTTGTGCCTTGCAGAATGCCATGGTTTTCCAGATATACGCCATCCTCTCTCGAGCATTCGACTCATCTTTATCCCCCAAAGACCCTCCTTCTTACAAAGGTGTTGCTCTAGGAGGATTTGGTACAGGTGCTATACAGAGCCTAATTCTCAGCCCGGTAGAACTTATAAAAATCCGGCTTCAACTGCAAACCAATGATCAAAGCCGTGCAAAATCGAAACCCCATAAACTGCAGTCCCACAAAGGGCCTGTAGATGTTGCCAAGAGCATAATTAAAGCAGAAGGCTTAAGGGGAATATATAGAGGTCTAACCATCACTGTTCTGAGGGATGCACCTTCTCATTGCTTCTACTTCTGGACTTACGAGTATATGAGAGAGAAGCTTCATCCGGGCTGCAGAAGCACTGGCCAAGAGAGCTTGCAGACAATGTTGATGGCAGGAGGGCTAGCAGGAGTTGCCAGCTGGGTTTGTTGCTACCCTTTGGATGTTGTTAAAACCAGATTGCAGGCTGAAACTTCATACCGTCCACAGAAATATTACGGCATTGTTGATTGCTTCCGGAAGAGTGTAAAGGAGGATGGTTACGGCGTGCTCTGGCGAGGGCTAGGAACTGCGGTTGCTAGAGCTTTTCTGGTGAATGGAGCCATTTTTGCTGCTTATGAGGTTGCTCTGAGGTGTCTAATCAGCAATGGAAGCGGAACCATTCAAACAGAGAGTGCAATCTAGAAAACGTGTCTTCTGTAAAGCAATGGGGCTTATTTGCAACCCTTGATCTTGTCCTAAATTATCTTATCTTACTGATAATTTAGTGACAGAAGCCATTAAAAACAGGCAAGAATCCTGTATGATAATAGACCATTATTCTTGCTGCATTGCTTGCTTGATTGATTGATTGATTTATTCTCCAAAGAATATAAATATAAAATGTTATATGTTATGATTCAGTTGTAAAATAAAAATGACTTTATTCTGTGGTTATAGTTCATCTGACTTTCAACTATTAGCAACGACAATCTTTGAACATGCTGCAGGAGAAGAAGATTGAAACATTCAATGAAGGGTTCAATTTAACCAGTTTTTTAAAATAGAATAGCCAGTCGGCTATACTCAGGTTTTTAATTTAAAATTTACTAGGGTAATTTTTTTTAACAATAGTATAGCCGCGCGGCTATACATGTTATACACGTGTCTCATAACCGCTGGGCGGGATTTTATAGTATAGCCGCGCGGCTATACATTTTTAAAAAAATAAAAACAATATAGCGGATATACTCAGGGTTTTTATAGATATATAAAAGTATAGCCGCGCGGCCGTACTTGTTTTCTAGGCCTCTCCTTCTTTATTTATTTATAAATAGTATTTTGCTGAATAAAACACATACTTATTTTATTTGTTTTTTTTTTTCCGTTCCATATTTTACTAACTATGAAAGAATGTGAGAGGCAAAGATTAGCTTTTACTTGTTGTAACAAAAATGCAAGATGGTGATTTTGCAATCTCTTTGCCAACCATAACAACAATTTCAAACAAATATTTATGGGTATAGTAGTAAGAGAAGTAGTAGGATTCTTCATGTAAAGTATTGTTTGAAAAGTGAAGCAATTACCAGGAACACTCCAACTCATCATGCAATTCTCTACGACAAATAATGTTTGCAGTAACATAATTTAGTTTTTGTTGGTTTTGCAAGGCATTGCAAACATGTTTGAGTTTCCACATTGGAACACTATAGACTCATGAGTTCATGCACCCACTCTTTCTATCGTTCTCATCACGTGACATGATAAAGAAAGTGGATGTATGAATCGGTTTCCTGTATGTTTTTTACTGAACATAATTAGTTATGTGCTAGTGGTATGCACACTTGGTTAACAACGAAATTTCCAGTCAAAGCTTATTGTAACAGTTCAGGGAGTAAAAAAAACAAAACAAAACAAAACAAAAGCTAGGGACCAAAAATATATGCAAAAGATAGAGAATTAGGGGTAATTGAAGAATCTCAAAGCATATATATAGTGTGAAATCAAAATATGCTCTTTAAGTAGCTGTGTAATCCAGAGAATAAATATGTCTGCTAGCTATTTACAAGGCAGGGATAAAGTTAGTAGACTCAACTGTATATACTCATCAATAATTTCCAAACTACTCCAAGCCACTGCTAATTTGCATACAAGGCCAAAACTTTGTAAAACCCACTTGCCAAAATCTCTGAAACTTTCAATGTTTGCTTATTGGGAACCCATAAATTATCAGCAGCCAGAGATTTCAGGTTTCAAATTTTTCTTTCTCTCTCTTTCTTTTTTTCCCCATCAACCAACCAAAAAAAATTGCTTGGATTTTGTACCCTTTTTTAACAACACCAAATCTAAGCCACTTTGCTTAGTATTATCAACCCAATCTAAAAAGGCAATCTTTACCCCCTTTTTAATCTCACACAACAAGATGGACTTAGACTGGGTGTAGATCACAACCCCCCAAGAAGTTTGGGAAAACACCAGGCTCAAACTCAATGCACCTAAAAATAGACCCGACTGTTACATCTGGACATAGTCCACGTGGCAGTAACCCAATGCCCCGCTGAAAAGGAGAAACGTTGCCCGTTTCTTTTCTTGAAATAGCAAACACTGGCCCTTTGTTTATGCTGTGTGGCAGCTTATAACCCAAAGAGAAAGATCAGTTTCTCTGTGGCTTACTCTGAAGCAAGGAATGAGAAAGACAAAACAGAGAGGGTGAAGATGACGAGCTTGGCCTCAACCTCTAACAACTCTCAAATACTCTAATTCATCCCATTTCATTCGCTCTAACATTTTTCCTCTGCTTTGATATGTCAAGAAGGACCAGACCGGCCTACGATTCGATTCGATCCAGAATGTGGTGATGGGTAGTCTATAAAAGGCAAAAACAAGACTTGGGTTTTGATCAAAAGATAGAGAAGAAGATTAGGAGTTGGTGGGTTAATTAGTTTCTTCTTAATAGTAGTGATTAAGATATTAATCAAGATTAAGAAAGATGAGTGGTTATATGGTAGATGGGAAACTGGATCATATGTGGCAAGATTTTCTTGCTTCAAGGTTTGGGAAAGAGTTTGTGGCAGGAGGGTGTGGAGGGATTGCTGGTGTGCTGTCTGGTTATCCACTTGACACTCTGAGAGTGAGGCAGCAGCATTCAAAGAGTGGTTCTGCTTTCAGCATACTTCGCAATGTCATCTCAGCTGAAGGCCCTACTGCCCTCTACAGAGGCATTGCTGCTCCCTTGGCCTCTGTCACTTTCCAGGTTTCTTCTTCTTTCTTTTTTTAACTCCAAGTTAAAGTTCCAGGAAATTTTAGTAAATATGTTTTTTTTATGTTTGTTTTTGAGGTCCGCCTGCATCCAAGGTCCTAGGTTCGATTCCTCCCAACTCAATATTGCTTGTAAAAATAAATAGATAAAAGTTTGTTTTTTAGGTAATTTTATGTAAGGACAAAGTTGGGATTAAAAGTTCTTCTTGAAAAAGAGTGGCTGTTTTAGATTTGTCACTATCTAGCTAGGGATAGATTTATTGAACTTATTCACTCATATTCTTTAATGTTCTTCGTGCTCTTTGCAATGCCGGAAGAGATTCAAGTTCGAACCTTTTTTCCTATAAATAAATATACAGAAAAAAACTATATATGCGACATTTACAATAACGATCCAATTTTGTGACAGTCAAAACTGTTTGTTGTCAGAAAGTAAAACTCAAATGCTTTTCTTGCATTATAAGCAACACTATAAGCATTGCGACCCAAGCATAAATGAATCATCTGACTTCAAACTTCGTTTGCAAATTTGGTAACAAACTTTTTGTGCATTGCAGAATGCCATGGTTTTCCAGATAAACTCCATTCTCTGTCGAGCATTTAACTCATCTGCTTCCACTAAAGACCCTGCTCCTTACAAAGCTGTTGCTCTAGGAGGATTTGCTACAGGTGCCGTTCAGAGCCTAATCCTCAGCCCCATAGAACTCGTAAAAATCCGGCTTCAACTGCAAAACATTCAAGCATATGCAAACGCAAAATCTCATCAACTGCAATCCCACAGAGGCCCTATAGATGTTGCCAAAGCCATCATGAAAGCCGAAGGCTTACGGGGAATATATCGTGGTCTAGGAATTACTGTTCTGAGGGATGCACCTTCATTTTGTTTCTACTTCTCGACTTATGAGTACATGAGAGAGAAGCTTCACCCGGGCTGCAGAAAGAGTGGCGAAGAAAGCATGCGAACAATGATGCTAGCAGGAGGGCTAGCCGGGGTAGCAAGTTGGCTGTTTGTTTATCCCTTGGATGTTGTAAAAACCAGATGGCAGGCTCAATCTGTATCCTCAAAATACAATGGCATAGTCGATTGCTTCCAGAAGAGCGTCAGAGAGGGAGGATACCGCGTGCTCTGGCGGGGACTGGGAACTGCGGTTGTTAGAGCGTTTCTGGTGAATGGAGCCATTTTTCCTGCTTATGAGATTGCTCTGAGGTTCCTACAAAGCAATGAAACCATTCCAGCAGTGAGTGCAATCTAGACAAGTTTTCTTTGCAAAATAATAGGGTTAGCTTGCAGCCAGTTTGTAGCCCTAAATTATCTGATGGATAATTTAGTGAAGATTAGATGGATGATTCAGTTTTAAAATAAAGTAAAACATGCCCTTTTTCCCTGGTGGAGTGTTCTATTCTGTTCTAATTTTGACCGAGATCTAGTTCTACTTTCTTTTCTTCTTTTCTTCCATGCCATAAGATGCAGTGAAGACAATCACATACACAACAATAGGACAAAGAAAATTCACCCTCCTCCATGATAGCCTAGAAAAGCATGCAGACCCATATTCTGAGTAACAGACAAAGACAGCTGCATTTACAAAAGATTTAAACCTGCAGAAATCTACAGGTTCAAACCATTCAATACTGTCCCCTGCATCAGCATTTACCATAGCTAGCAGCTGACAGCACCCATACCTTTCTGTTGCAATGAATATGCTAGCAGCCTGAACAATTCCAGATTCTCAACAGCTTGCTTAAATGGATCTCCAGGTTGGAGAAATTTTTATCCTGCAACCACCACATGACATCCTAATTCACCATTGGGATTGCTGTAAATTATACAACAGGAAGCCTAAGTATCTACTTGGTCTGCGCTGTGAGAATCATATCTACACCAAAAAAACCTTTGCACTTTACACATGATAAATGGGGAGGGGATTTGAACACAAAACCTTGAGTGCACAGGATACCTACTCTTAATCATTTGAGCTACAAGCCCCTTTGCACCTTTGCATCTGTGCATCTGTCCTCGTTACTGATGACCTTACATTCTGAACTATTCCCAGATTAACCCATAAGTTAATATCACTGTTCAACATTCTGTTATTCTCACAGAACAGAACAGTAAGTTAGTAAGACATGCCACCAAGAACTGCATCAGCTTCCAGCATCTGGGCTTCATTCAACAACTCAGTTTCTTAAAGCCTAAAAAAGGCATCAACACTTGAAATTGAAATTAAATCAAAACATAACTCATTTGGATTAACAAACTTATTCTCATTAACATCTCCAATAAGTACACCATTTAACCCTAATCATCATCACAGAGCGGGACAACAAATTATTCTCCATTCTCATATCTGCATTTTAACAAAATTGGCCTCAATAATACAACATGTTAAGCTAACAAAGTCACAACAAAGAGACAGATCCAAGTATAACCTCTATACTTCATTACATGATTATGTTTCCTAATCAAACACCTCCATGGCCACGACCAAAGTGTTCGATCCTGTCCTCACCGAGATCCAAACCCGCCATCAGACCCGACAACCCAGAACTCGTCTCCACCAACACATGCGGATCATTGTAGTTCCTAACCGCCTCAACAATGCCCCTCACCCGCTTGTACGGATCCGAACAGTTGAAAACATCCGACCCGACAAAAACTCCGTCGCACCCCAATTGCATCATCAACGCCGCGTCGGCCGGCGTCACAATGCCGCCGGAGGCGAATTGCACTACCGGAAGCCGACCCATTTGCTTGGTCTGCGCAACGAGGTCGTACGGCGCTTGAATTTCCTTCGAAAACGCGAAGACTTCGTCGTCGTCCATGTTGTTGAGCAGCCTTATCTGACCCATTACAGATCTCACGTTTTTTACAGCCATAGCTACATTTCCAGACCCAGATAGATCCCCTTGGGTTCTTACGATCGCCGCGCCTTCTCTCACTCTCCTCAACGCGTCTCCGAGGGTTTGGGCTCCGCAGACGAAAGGGGTCTGGAAATTGTGCTTGTTTATGAAATGGTCCTCGTCTGCTATCGCCAGATACTCGCTCTCGTCGATGTAATCGACGCCGATGGCTTCGAGGACCTGGGCCTCGACGAAATGGCCGACCCGGGATCGCGCCATGACGGGGATCGAAACGGCGCGTTTGATGTCCTTGACGAGAGCTGGGTCAGACATGCGCGAAATGCCTTGGGCGCGGGGTGGATCGGAGACGATGACGGAGCAAGCGCCGGCGTCCTCGGCAAGCTTGGCTTGGTCGGCGGTGGTGACCTCAAAAATGGCGCCGCCGCGGAGCATCTGGCCTAGGCCGACCTTGAGAGAATATGGGTTCTTCTTGGCGTCGGTGATTGCGCTGCCGCTGTAGATTGTGACCGCGCCGTCCTCTGCCGCCATTGAGATGTTTGTGAAAATGCCTGAACGAAACAAAAGGGCCAGAAGAGATTAGAGGTGCGATTTATGAATGATGGTTGGAGTTTTGGCTTGGCTTTGGGAGGTGGGGATTATGTAAATTTAGAGAGAACTGGAAGAGGATGAGGATTGAGGAAGAAGTTGGGGTCTGTGGGTCGTTCGGTCGTTCTTGAAGCTTCGGTGGAAGCTTCTTTCTTTCTGGGGTTGGTGGTGGTTGTTGAAGTTGGTCGGTGGCTTATAAAAATGTAGAAACTTCGGTTCCCTTCTAAATTTGCCAAGATTGAAGGCACCTTCTTGCATGGTGTGTGTCCTTGTTTGGTTCTGGAATATTAAATAATGTTTTGTCTCCTAATGATATAACTTTTTTTTTTAAGGGCTAACATTATTTTAACCCTCAAGATTTGGGTTATTCTTGAAATGGGCCATGCAGTTTTAATTTTGTTAATTTACACTTTAATATTTTAAAATTCAACAAATTTACATGTTCCATCAATTTGACCGTTTGGTCTTTTGTTAAGTATTGATATGGGGCAAACATGTAGTCCACTTTTTTAACTTAAGTGTAATAAAATATGTACCAAATAATATTAAAAAATTCTTTATTTTTAAAGTTAATTAAAATCAATTTTTTAAAACAAGGGCGAAAAAACATAATTAAAAAAACCCAACACTCTTAACAAACTCCCTACCCGTCACCAATCAACTCCAAACCCAGCATCTCCACCACCCCATCCTTCTTCTTCCTCCTCCTTCTTCTCTTCCACTATCCCTACATTTGTTCCCAACACCCATTTCTCCTTCAAACACCCACGCTCATCTCCACCCTTCAACTTCACCTCCTTAACCCGCCCTCTCTCTCTCTCTCTCTCTCTCTCTCTCTCTCTCTCTCTCTCTCTCTCTCTCTCTCTCACACACACACACACACACACACACAAATTAGCCAGCCCCACCCCCAAACCGTACGACTTGAACCCGACAGTGGTCCAACCCTTTGCCCCGACCCTGTACTCTTTAAACAATTGTTTACCAGATTGAACGATTTCCCATAATTTGAAAAACTCACCTTTTCGGAATTCGAATTTCTCGCGTGAGACTTAAACAAGTCATCACCAACATTTACTCCGCTCTGATAATTTGAGAACCCAACCACCCTAGAAGTACCGCCTCCAAGGGTGGACCTAAGCCTAGGCTAGAGTGGGCTCTAGCCTAGGGGAACATTTATAAAATATTAAACATGGTCTTACTATTGTAGGCTTATTCATACTCAACTAAATATTAGCCCATTGCACCAAATTAATATAGCCCGCACATGCATTGTTTTTCTTTTTTTAATAAACTAATAATAGCCCAATCTGAGTAAAGTAAATAATAGCTCAATCCTCTATTTAAAATAAGCCCACTCCTGAAGCATATAGAAAATAATAAACATCAATCCAAACCAATATAAATTTGATTAGAAGCAAAACTCACGATAAGGCTCTACAACTTGAGCTATTCTAATGGTACTGATATTGCACTACATCAAAAAATCAAAAAATTTCTTCTAGCCACCCAAAACGCCATATTTGAACCTTGAGAGCCTAGAGGAAATAGCTCTCCTCCTCTAAAAAATTGTACCAACTCATGTTCAGTGGGTTCTTCAATCTTGGTAAGTTATTTTTTTTATTTTATTTATTTTATTAATATTCAATATTAAATTCTAATAGTTGTTGTTAAGTTTTTATGATTTAGGGTTTGAGTGAAAATGTTTGGAGGTTGTTGATATATGTTTTATTTTTGCAACTTGAATTATTAATTAGCACATATGATTTTTGGTGTCTAGTATTTCTTGTTAGGATATCATGTCACATGATGATAATAGACCGGCAAAGAGAGGAAAAACTATTTACTCATTCTTCAAAAAAAGTAGTAATGATCCTCATAGCAGTGGCCTCCGATTAGCAGTGGCAAATGGCTTCACCAAGATCCTCATAGAAATGGATTCTCATATTGCTGTGAATCTATTCCAACAAAGGGATTCTCTATGTTTCCATCTTCTAACTGCTTTGCTCTCAAACTGTGGGAAGATGCTTAGACATTTTGAGAGTTGGAATATCCAGCATATTTTCAGAGAGAAGAATGGTTTGGTTGATTACCTTGCTAAATGGAGCCATAATCTAGACTTGGATATTCAGTTTTTTGTTTCAGCTCCTATCTGGGCTAGCTCTGCATTAGCTAATGATCTGTTGGGGGTCACTTGGGCCGTTTGATTTGTATTGGTTAGGCTTTTGGTTTTTGTTTTTTTTGTTTTTGGGTGGGGTTTGTCCCCCCCATTTTATCAAAAAGAAAAAAAGAAGTAGTAATGATAACAAGGATACACCTTCTGCATCTAAAGTTGATACTTTAATTCCTGTGGAACTTACTGAACTCAGATCTCATTAGGATTTTTGTTCGGATTTATCAAATATGTTTAATGCATCTTGTACAATTGTTGAGAACTTGATTAAGGATGGAGCCACTAATTCTATACGTGGGGGAAGCGACTGGTACATTCAAAGTGATGACATCTTACGAGTTCATAATATATCTCCTCTATAAAAATAATAATTTAGCCTACCCCTATAAAAATTCTTGGGTCCTCCATTGACCGTCACCTCCATAGCTCTTGAAATTCTTGTGTGGGTTGTTCGCAGATTGGCTGTACCCTTTGAATGAATCTTTTTGGCCAATCCCGGACTCTCTGTAACCTATAAAACCCGACCCGATTATGTTCCTGTCTTCGGCGTAGCTGCTGAACTTTGTTTGGTTGGCGTTGTCGGTTTTTCCGTAGCTGACAAACTTTGGAGTTATGGCTTTTTCAGCAACGATCTAGGTTTCGAGATGATAGGGTTTTAGAGGGAGGAGGCTGGGGGCAGGGATGGTTTCAGATCCGGGGTGCGATGAGTTTGGGAAAGGGGAAAGTAGGTTGTTTGCAGACAGTGGTTGTGAGGTGGTCTGGGTTGTTTGCATGCGGTGGTTGTGAGGTGGTTTGCATTGTTTATAGGAGATGGTTGTGAGGGGGTATGGGTTGAAAGAGAAGAGAGGGTTTGGTGGTGAGGTTGGTGACGACCTAAGGGGTTTGGTTGATATATATATATATATATATTTGTTTTAAATAATTGATTTTAATATTTTTAATTAACTAAAAAAGTAAAGAATTTTTTAATATAATTTTTTACATATATTATTACGCCTAAGTTAAAAAAGTGGACCCCACATTTGCCATCTCATCACTTAATAGAAGACCAAGTAGTCAAATTAACAGAACGTGTAAATTCGTCGAATTTTAAAACATTAGGGCGTAAATTGACAAAATAAAAACGCGTGGCAATACAAGAATGACCCCAAATCGTGAGGGTGTAAAATGATGTTATCCCTTTTTTTTACAAGCAATTGTGAAAAGGGGATTCATAACATATTATAGATATACTATGCATGCATATGTGTGATATCTCATTCCTAAATTAATATTTAATTCTTAAATTATTAGAGTAAAAGACAATTTTACCCTGAGAATATTTTAATGAGTTTAAAAATTGACTTTTTGTTTGGGGAAGAATTTGGGGAATTGAGTAGTATCGCTATATAGAGCGCGTCAATACGAGTTCGTAGACACATAGTGGGCTCAAATCGGAGTTTTAACGAAGAAGTTATGATCAATGGAAGTGCAGTGGCACAACCGTAAATATTTCAAAGTCAGTTTTAAAAAAAACCCAGAACAGCTTCTCACTCTCCTTCACGACCCGTTCTCTCTCCCTCACTACAACCAGAACTTTCGGCATTGATTTCAGCTTTGTCCGACTACCGTTTCTGACGAAACGACTTGCAAAATCTTTATCTCCTCCTCCTCTACCTGACCCACCCAATTTCCCCAATCAAAAGCCAGCGTAGCTCCGGTGAGAACTCGAGAAAGCTTCGGTTATTTTTTTAAAATTTTTCGGCGTCATTTTCGATGATTCTGGCCACCAAATTTGTCGATCCAGGCATGCTTTCTCATCCTTTCAACGTGACTTAGCTAATGGTTGAGTTGATTAGGATCGATTTTGAAGTTTTGAGGTTTGATTTATGACTTAAAGTTTTGACCGGTTTTCGGCTCGAATTTCCGGCAAGTTCCGGCCGCTTTTTGGTCGTGGCCCAAGAACAAAAGTTGTTCAACTAGTTGTCCTTATCACGTTGGGATAGGTATTTATGGGTGTTTGGAGAATTTTCCTGTCGCCGATGACGGTATGCTCGGATTCGAATTTGGTTATCGTTTGACGGTCGAACGGATTTTTACATATTAGGTGATATCCAGGTTCGATATGTTCGGACCATTGGATCGACTCCATTTCCAAATATGTTGATATCGGAATCTCTAGGATCGTGTAGAAACTCATGGACCGAGAATCGGAGTCTCGGATACTCCAAACCAATGATTCAAAGTTTACGTAAAATGGTGACCGTCGGATCGTGCGATCGGGAGCGATTCGACCGCTTGATCGAGACCAATCTCTCGGGACATGTTAAGTAGACCTTGTCGGAGGCTGTGGTCCCATAGAATTTGAATCCAATCCCAATTGCACCATAGAATTTGATGAGGGATTTTTAATAAAGGTGAAAAATATCTAAATACTTTCTATTTAGATCAAAACTTGCCAATATAGTCCCTAGTTTTTTTAGCAATTTTGCATATGATTTAATGTGGATCGAATTGTAGGCTTTAGAGCACTTCCACTAGTTTGTCCTTTACCATGGCAAGGTGGGGATATGGTAGCTACTATTCACATGAATAGTGGTTGCCCCTGCAAAAAGCAATGTGTGTTTCCACCCGTTGCCATGGAAAAGGGCAAATACTATTCTTTTTTTTTTGTTTTTTTACAAATTTTTTTACCTAAACAATTAATTTGGATAATATTTTCGGATTAGATTTCTGGGTTCGTACGTGTCAATATTTATTATAAAATTCATATCTCATAATCGGATTAAAATTTTAGAAATGATTTTCGGTTTCAAATTTCAAATTTCAAATACATTTCAAAATTCAAATTTCAGATAAGATTTTCACCCTTTAAAATTGCGCCAGTGGCTTTGCTTGATGAAAAATACAAGAGCCGCCATGGTTCAGAAGTTGACCGTGGCCCAAATGTGGACAGACATAGGCATTCTCGAGGTAAGAATCTTCTGAAAGATTATTTTATCCCAACTTCTCTGTACTATCATGTTCATTTTCGAGCGCAATATAGAATGCAACCCCATTTGTTCAATAAAGTCATGTATGATATTTGCAATTATGATGTATACTTTATTCAAAAGAAAAATGCTGCTTGGGTTTTGGGACTTCTTCTTGAGCAAAAGTTTATAGCTGTTATACGAATGTTGACATATGGTTCATCTGCTGATCATGTGGATAAGATTGCCATGATGAGGAAGTTCACTACTTTGGAGAGCTTGGTAAGATTTTGTGAGGCAATCAAAATTCTGTACACCAGGGACTACCTGCGCAGACCTACGCCCAGGGACTTGGTTGGGTGTGTAATAATGATTTTCTGCTTGGCATGACATGTCGCTTGGCATGACATATCGCTTGACATGCTTTTGATTATTATGTTTAACGGGATAATTAGCATAGATTTGTAGAGCTAATGCATTTTATAATCTTAATCTCGATTCCTAGAATGACAGATTATTTATTTGTCATGGCATGTGGAGTGTGCCTCGTGCATGGCGGACTTTTGTGTGCTCCAAGTCGGGTTTTTCTCAATAAGGTATTGCGCTGGGCCGGGGATCAATTTGGGCCAAGTCGTGGATTTTTTGGGCCTCAACAAAATCAAGAATATCATCTACTAGAATGGGTATTATCTAGCTGACGGCATCTACCCGAGGTGGACCACATTTGTGAAATCAATTCCCTATCCCCGATCCCAGATGCAAAAATTATTTGCTGCCTATTAAGAGGGTTACAGAAAATATGTGGAAATGTGCTTTGGTATCCTCCAAGCCCGGTGGGCTATTATGAGGGGTGCAGCGAGTCTGTTTAATGAGGAGGTGTTGAGGAGCATAATTATGACATGCATCATCCTCCATAACATGATTGTGGAGGATGAGTATGATTACGATGCTGCAGACGTGTACGAACCGGATCCCATGAACATGGCATTGACAAGAATTTATGAAAAACTCATGGGGCCAAATGGAGAATCAGTGCAGCATGAAGTGTTGGTTAGGGACGGTCGTTTCATGACCCATATGATTGATCGATATACGGAGATGGAATCGTCTTATATTTATGAACGACGTCAAGTTGACTTGATGAAGAAAATTTATTATGTTTATGTTTTATTTTTAGTTATGCTTTGTTGTGGTTTGTTTGTTTGTTTTTTTTTGAATGTTTTAGTTGTGGTTTGATTTTTATGTATGTAATGTTTTGAATAAAAATGTATTTTATTGAATGCTTTCTTTATTCACTCAAAGAAAACCAATACTTCATGCCCTTCCGGTTTCAATAGAAGAAGCCATAAGATGATAGAGAAAAATAAAAATTGAAAGTGAAAAAAATATTGAGTAGAAAGTGAAAAATAGTTGAAGGAGAAGAAAATGTATGAGGATTTGGTATTAAAAGTGAAGAGTGTTGGTTGGTATTTATAGAAAAAATATTCATCAATTTTGGGTTTTTTTTTAATAAAAAAAAAATCGAAGTGTTTTCATTATTTTATTGCAAAAAAATTGGCTACGATTGGATTGGAGGAAAAAAATCCGATCAGAGAGCCTAGACGACGCCATGTGGTTGCTAGCTATTGGCGGCTACTGTAGCACGCGCGTGGAATTTTTTTAAGGAAAATTAGGAATTAGACATAATTAACTTTAGTAATTTGGATTTGAGACATTAGGTATTTTGGTTTGGGTTTTAATACCCACAAAAGAATATGTATTTTGGATTAGGCCAAGGAGGAGGCTCAGATTCGTTAGCCCACCTTATATTAATCACTGAAAAGACAATTATACCCTTTTTATTAAAATATTTATTGGTCTCCATTTTTGATCAAATTAGATATATATATATATATATATCTCTCTCTCTCTCCGCAGCAACGATGACCACAGCCTTCACTTGCGGCTGGGATGGAATTCTCAAGCTGCTCATCCTTTCGGCCTTCACCGGTAACTCCAAGGTCTTCTAAATAAAAATGTTGACTGTAGAAAAACTTTGGGCCCAAATAAAATAGAACAGCTTCAATTACGAAAACTCCTTTTCCTTATAGGATTGAGAAAGATTTACCCCTTTTCCTAATAAGATTGAGAAAGATTTAGGCTATAAATAATAGCCGGGCACCTTTTATTTTCTACCTTGAGTGAGTGAGCAAGCCAATAGGAAATCAACTAGGTTTTGCTTCTGTGCAAACGTCAATTTCCATATTTGACGAAAGCTCTTGAGTTTCCAGTAACAAAGAGAGAGTTTTGTTGGGTTTGTGTTGTTTTCTTGAGATAGTTTGAATAGAGAATTATTGGTTCCTTAAGCCGCTCGGTGAAGGAAGTTTTGGGGTTGTATGGAAGGCTTTGCACAAGGTAACTGGTGAGATTGTTGCAATTAAGCAACTGAAGAATGAGGTATCGAGGTTGACTTCATGGGAGGAGTTTCTCCAAATGGCGGAAGTTGAGTCTCTGTCTCAGTTGAAGAACCACCCGAATATTGTCAATTTGAAACAAGCTTTCATGGAAGTTGATGGCACGGCTTCCCTTGTCTTTGAATTCATGGAGGGCAACGTATCTCAATTTATGCTTATAGCATTATATTTCTTTATTTTTCAGTAGGTGAAATTTTATACAGGTTATACATTGCAGTTTTGGAAACTACATTGCTGTTTTGGTAATTATAATTGGATTTTTGCTCTTTCCTTGGCCTTCAACCTCACCAATTTGAAGAGTAGAGGCTACCTAGATGAGGAATTAGGTGGGCAAGAGAAGAGTAGAACTACCCAAGAGAAAGGGAACACAAAATTGGACTTTTAGAAACTGGAAACTGCATTGCAGTTTTTATTTAATTACAATTTGATTTTTGTTCTTTCCTTCGCCTTCAACCTCACCAATTTGAAGAGTAAAGGCTACCCAGATGAGGAAAACCAAAACCAAAACCAGAAACTGAGATGCAGAAAACCAAAACCAGAAACTAAGATGAAGAATTGGCTTCGATCGTTGGTGGTCTTCGATGATCGTTGGTGGTCTGGAGGTTTCTGGAGGTGAAGATGAAGAGGTTTCTGGAGGTGAAGTTGAAAGGTCGCGCGAATGGGTTGTGATTCAATTTTGGTTTCGGTTGATGTCGTTTTGGTTCAGTTTTGGTTTGATGTCGTTTTTCAGCTTTGGTTTAAAACTAAATACTGAAAATGGCCTATGTTGTAATTTTCATATTTTGTAATGGTATTTTTGTTACATTTTGGTTTTTGGCCTTTTGCTAATTAGACTAAATTGTATTTCTTTCTACTAAATTAGTAAACTATATTATGGTTTAAAACTAAAGCTCCCTTTTTTTTAACACACACGCCAACGGTAAAAAAATTTCAAATGAGGGGGCTGACGTCAGCCCAAAACTCAGGCTCGCCTCCCCCTCAAGCTAGCCCAATCTCGTGGCCCTCACTTCCTGCCAGGTCCATCCCTTGCTACTGGAAACAATTTTTGGGCCCTCACCCCCCTGCCCTCCCTCTCCTCAGCATGAGTTGCTGGAACTGCTCTTAAAGTTTGACTCTAGTGATATGACACTTATCTCCCCCTCACATTTGGTTAAGCTAATTCTATTTCAAACAAAGAAGAAAAAACCTTCGATACTATAACTATAGCTTAATTGTAGCAATGGTCCCTGAACTATACATGTAGTTACATTTTCGTTCATTAACTCCAAAAATTTGGTCCTGAAATTAATGGCACCGTTTGTCCTTACCGTCAAGTGTCTCTTAAGTGTCGTCAATCTCAGGGGCAAATTTTGGAATGTTTGTACTTAACATGACGTTAACCCATATACAAAATGTTTGAATGAGTAAAGTGGAGATAAAGAAGAAGTAGAAATACATGGTTGAAAGTAACAGCTTAGTGATTGCCATTGGAGAGGAGCTTGAGCTACTCCAAAGTTAATGCCCTTCACAGAATAAATTGTTCGTCAGGACTCGGGAGGATGGTTGTTTGAGCGGCTGGACTGATCGTTTAGGTGGATGGGTTGAGAGGTTTGGGTGCACAAAGGTGTTATTAGTTGGATAAAAGTCTTATTTGCCTTTAAAAGTATCTCGATAAAACTAACAGAAGGATGAATGGTGCAACACAATATCCAATTAAGGGGACCTCCGTAACTATTTTTAAAATTAAGAAACGAAAATATAATTACAAGTATAGTTGAAGACCATTGCTACAATAGCCCTACAACTATCGGTGTGTTTTCTGTTTTTTAGGGGTAAAAATGTTATTGATGTTTTTTGGGTTGGGCCGTGAAGAGTCCAAACCCCAAGAAACAAACACAAAAAGTTGGAAGGGCATAAAAATGCGCCGAACAGCCCAGGTGGGTCCCAAAACTCCAACGCCATATAAGCATTTACCGCTGGTTTAATATCCGTACTATTCAAACTGCGCCGTCCGATCACCCACCAACTAAAAAAGCTTCCAAAATTTCGACACGTGGCACCGCAAGTCACAGAATTTGAATGAAATCGTCAAGCGCGCAACAAAAATACTGGGCCCCACCACGTGAGAAATGGCCCAGAGCATTCAAATACAGAAAACAGGACCCACCTGAGCCCAAAATTCAGGTCACGTGCCAAAATCTCCACTCGCACGTGCCAACTGTTTCTTAAAAAATTCAAAGCAATCTTTGCTTCTGCTATATCTTTGGGTTTACTCGGACCTCCATTAAAGTTCAGCTTATATATCACACCAGGAAAAAAGGAAAAAAAAAGGAAAAAAGAGAAGAAAAAAAGAGCCGAAGAGAAGCTGCAATACAAGCTTTGAAAAAGATCGAGATTTCATTCCAGAAGTAAATGGTCGAGATTTTTCTGTGTATTTGAAGAGAGAGAGAGGGGTTGAGTTCCCGATCTGAGTTTGTGATTGGAGGGTCCGATTGAGATTTGGATCGGGTGCAGAGAGAGAAAGAGAGATGAACGGGGTTGGGAGACAAGGGCAGAGATCTAGTGCGGCAGGGGTGCACCACCAACGACAGTACTCCGATAACTTCTTGGAGACTTCGTCCAATGGCAGGTGGCTTCAGTCAGCTGGTCTTCAACACCTTCAGTCTTCCAACTCCTCTGGTGCTCCTCCTCAGGTCTGTTTTTGCTTCCAAAGAAAACCCATCAAAGTTCAGTCGAAATGTTATAGCAAATTTGAATTTTAGGTACAATTTTGTCAGCATTTGTTGTTTACTGGTTGCTATTTTAATGGAAATTTTAAACTTTTAATGATTTTGGTGGTACCATTTTGATCAGACCCAGATGAGATTTTGAATCAAAAGTTCAAGCATTGAGCTTTATAGATCTGATGGTAATGTTTTGTATCTAAACCGTTTGATTGTTGGCTTTTTTGCATTCAAAGCAGGACTATGGCTTCTATGGTGGAGGTGGAGGAGGACCGGCTTCTAGAGTGTACCGGAACGCACAGAGAGGGTACAATGAGTTCTACGCAGAGGCGCCATCGACACCTCCTTACAATTCGCGGAGAAAGAGCGGCGAGGAGTCGCCCAATGAGTTCAGTCCTGGACTCTTGGATCTGCATTCCTTTGATACTGAGCTCATTCCTGACGTGGGTCTCTTTTCATTTCTAGTTACTCTTTCGTTGTTTTCTGTTTCTGTGTGGCCACCTTGGCCATCTCTGTATTTTACGGTCTATTGCAATAAAATTTGAGTTCTGTTATGATCCATATGTGTAAATGTGTTTCCGTGCCTAAGTTTTACCATTGATTTTTGATGTTGTAGTTCAGTTCATGAAATATTTCCTATTACGAACATTGTGATTATATGTTTCAATCACTTCTCTTATTTAAGCGGAGATCTTATACTTGCATTCACATTTGAACGAGTGAAATTAAATGCCTTTTGTTGTTGTTAATATACTAAACCTTGGTAGGCGTCTGCATTACTAATGTTTAGTTGCTGAGGTTTAGTGTCATATTTTTGTTGTTGACAACAGATATTTTGTTTTCCTCATTTTAGTTTCATTTTTGTATTTGATAAGAAATAGATGGATAGTCGTTCTAATTTTTTTTTGTATCTCATGTATAGATGCAAGTCACTGGGTTGTATGATGGTGCTTCTCTATATTATCCGTCTCGCGGTAGAAGCTTTGATGATTCCGAACCCTACATTTCAAACAAACAAACAGAAAGGGCTCGTGTACCAGAAAACAACCTCCTAAAAAGTTTTGCTGCAGACAAAGAGAAAGCTAGTTCTGTAGCAAAGATCAAAGTTGTGGTATGTTCTATCATAACATCATAATTAGTGCTTGTGATTTCCACTTTTTACCTGAAATGAATTCAAAAGCCCATGAAACCACCAGGAATTTTCTGATCCAAAGTTTGTAAACATTGTGAAGTTGCTTGATGTGGTAAAGGAAGAAATTGTTTGAACTTCATACTGAGTTAGGCTGTTACACTCCTTTTTTCTTTCCTAAGTTGGTTTATGATTGTATGAATGCAGGTGCGGAAGAGGCCGCTTAATAAAAAGGAGTTGGCAAAGAATGAGGAAGATATCATAGATACACTTTCCAACTCTGTAACAGTCCACGAGACTAAGCTCAAGGTAAATGTCACTTGGTGATGTGTTGGCATGATTACGGCTTACCAGAGAAAGATCTGTCTTCTGGTAAAAAAGACCAAAATGAAGAGCTGTCTCTTTTTTTGGCCAAGGGCATGATAAAAGTTATTTGTATAAGCATAATGATCAAAATTAAAGTCAGAAAATATAGATGATGCTTCGTGCCCTTTTTGTTTTTGGGCTGTCAAAAGATCCACTAGAAAAGGAACAATTATATATGCTTTAGAGGTAGGATGAACGAACTTTAACAGGTTTGGAAAAAAAAAAACGAACTTTAACAGGCAATATGTATCAAGCACCTATAAGAGAGATTAGAAAAATATCATCAGTACCCATAGTTGCTGCTCGTCATGTTGTGTGGAAATATTTGACATCCGTATTTCATTTGTAGTCTTGTTACGCATTGCATTAACCGATAATCTTTCATGAGTTTTCTTGTTTTTCCTTTCTCCTTGATTAACCTGATACTGAGCTCAATATTCTACTAGTACCAATGCTTTTATGTTTCTGAGTTCGTTCTCGACGTTCTGCAGGTTGACCTAACAGAATACATGGAAAAACATGAATTTGTGTTTGATGCAGTGCTGAATGAGGAAGTCTCAAATGATGAAGTACGTATATTGCTATTAAATGAATAACAGAAAACAAAAATTACAAAAACATATATAAATGTGGAATTATTGATTTATTATCACTAAGATTATATTTGAAACACGTCTCTCACTATGCTTTAGGCTACTTATCATACTGTTTTCATCCTGTATTTGTAGGTGTATCATGAGACTGTGGAGCCCATAGTTCCAATAATATTCCAGCGAACAAAGGCAACTTGTTTTGCATATGGACAAACTGGTTAGTGGCCGTCTCAAATCTATGGTTTTTTTAGAGACTTGTTGAACAACTCTGTATAATTTTACATGTAATATTATAGTATTTTTCCTTGTAGGTTCTACATCCTTATTCTTTATTTGATAAAAAGTAAATCATTCTGATAATGTTCCACCTGGATTATCTTACTCTACACACTTTAAGTTGATTACACTTCTTGATAGACCTACTCTGAGTATATTTTCCTACATTTAGTGTGGAGTGGTGTAAACTTCCTAACAATGCGAAGTAATTTAAAGAAGGAAAATTATTTTCCTTCATCATTACACACCCACAGAGACTCACATGCTTAAAATATGTGAAATTTTCCTCTCTCTATATGTAAATTGCTCATTTGTTTACATCAAAATCTCAAAGTAAAATGGCCTAAAATATTGAGGAAATGTCAACTAATACCATTTTATTATTTTTCACACTTGGGACTTTGATTGATGTCTTTTTGAGGCATTAAATATCTGGTAGATTTACTAATCAAAGTATGTTTCGGTTGTCTATTCAGGAAGTGGAAAAACATATACCATGAAACCATTGCCTCTTAAAGCATCACGAGACATCTTGAGGTTGATGCACCATACTTACCGTAGTCAGGGATTTCAGTTATTTGTGAGCTTCTTCGAAATATATGGGGGAAAACTTTTTGATCTCCTCAACGATCGAAAGTAAGCCATTCTATCCTTTATCCTCTAGTTAGTTTTAAGAGGTTTAAGATAACTTGAAACTTACAATTCAAATTCTACAGAAAGCTTTGCATGAGAGAAGACGGCAAACAACAAGTTTGTATTGTGGGTTTGCAAGAATACAGAGTGTCAGATGTGGAAACCATTAAGGAGCTGATTGAAAGAGGAAGTGCCACAAGAAGTACTGGTACAACTGGTGCAAATGAAGAATCCTCTCGTTCACATGCCATACTTCAGCTTGCTATTAAGAGGTCAGTTGATGGCAGTGAATCGAAGCCTCCCCGTCTTGTTGGCAAGTTATCCTTCATTGATCTTGCTGGAAGTGAACGTGGTGCAGATACTACAGATAATGACAAACAGACAAGGTATAGTTCATTCCATCTTCAATTAATTTTATCCCAGATGAAAGCCTATCACTTTTCATATCTGTGAATGTATGTATATAGTAGCATACTGCACCGGAAGTCACTGTTTAATATATTAGACTTAAGATATCTGTCTTCTCCTGTTTGTCTATATTGTTGGGGATGGTGGAAATGTTTATTTTTTACACATGTCACATCAGTCGAAGAAAAGTTTGGGATATAAGAAAGGGAAGTAATTTGGTGCTGGAGTTGAAGGTTGGTGAAAAAACATCGTAGCTCAAATCACATATAAGATTTAGATGCTCTTTTCTCAATATTTGGTGGATTGCTTCTAAAATAGCTGTTTTAAAAAAAATGATGCAGAATGGAAGGTGCTGAGATTAATAAGAGCTTACTTGCATTGAAGGAATGCATTAGAGCTCTTGACAATGACCAGGGTCATATTCCTTTCCGAGGAAGTAAATTAACTGAAGTTCTTAGGGATTCATTTGTTGGTGACTCCCGTACTGTGATGATATCATGCATATCACCAAGCTCCGGATCCTGCGAACATACTCTCAACACTTTAAGATATGCTGACAGGTAAAATGCATTTTTGTAGAAGTAAATTTCATGGTATATATATGTTACTCATTCATTCCCCTTCTAATGTTTTCTTGCTACTAAAATTACATTCTAGGGTGAAGAGCCTTTCGAAAGGGAGCAACCCTAAGAAGGATATGCTACCTTCAACCTTAAACCTCAAGGAACCAACAAATTTACCCTTACCTTCAGCTTTGCCCACTGCTTCTACCTTTGAGGTTGACACAAATGATACATGGCCTGTGCAAGTTGAAAAAGAGGAATTTGATGCTTCAGAAGAGCCCTATTATGAGGCCAAAACATTATGGAAGAGAAATGGGAAGCTAGAGCAGTACAATGTATCAGCTTCAGAGGACAAAGTTCGTAAGCCAAATGGTCAGACAAAATTGGAACTGCCAAAGTTTCGTTCAAGGAACTCAAATTCAGATGATGATTTAAATGCCCTGTTACAGGTAATAACAACAAAAGACTTAAGTACAAAGACATGATACAAATAGTTCAGAAAATGGTGTGGCAGAACAACTTGTGATATAAACTTTCTATAATTTCTACAGATAGGATTAACCAATACATAGAGTTATAAACCAGAGTTTTGTTAACGTGTAAAGCCTATGTTGCATGTTTCCAGGAGGAGGAAGATCTTGTAAGTGCTCATCGGAAACAAGTTGAGGACACTATGAATATTGTTAAAGAGGTATGCGATTTCAATTCATAATTGAGGCTTGAATGATTTTTTGTATAATTTTATGTTCCATATTTTAGCATGCAAGAGTGCAACTGGATGGGTTTCTTGAGTTTCTAAATGCAGATAGCCTGATGCATACCTTTTGATGATTTATTGTTTTCTTTAGATTTCCAAGCGTGTGGTGAGTTCTGGCAGACCTGATATACGCATGTATGAAGTTTTGACTTGTGTAACGCATTTGCAGGAGATGAATCTGTTGGTAGAAGCAGATCAACCAGGGAATCAGCTGGACGATTATGTTACTAGATTGAACGCAATTCTATCTCAGAAGGCTGCAGGCATTCTGCAATTGCAAACCCGTTTAGCTCATTTCCAGAAGCGTTTAAAAGAACATAATGTTCTTGTATCTTCTTCTGGTTACTGAATTCATGCGGAACTAGAGATTATATAGTTAGATCAAGTGGTGCTGCTCAACAAAATTTTATTGCAAGATGGTGTTCACAATAGCATAAAGGATTGGGTAATTCTTTTTTTCGTGAGATATAAGCGGAAGCATAATATGAAATTGGCATCTTATGTGGGTCATTTGTTGGGTATTTCTTCATGTAAACTCTACCAGGCCTCAGGGACTTGGAGTTTTCCTTGGACTGTCCAATTTTTATTTTACAGTGTACGATTTTTATGAGAATCGGATATCATTTTTTACTAGCCATTGTATGGATTCCCATGCTTCTGTAAAGTTCTGGACCCTTGTACGTTGATTAAAATTAATTGGACTGCTTAGTGCTTGTACCCGTCTTCTTCAGCAGGTTATACATACCAGATTTTCATGTTCTTCATCCTTCAAATTCTGCAGAATTTTTCATGTTTGTAATTCATAGTAACAATGACATCAAATTGTGTCAAGCTGGAGCTTCTTTCTCAAGTTATTTGGTTAATCTCAAGATCCATGACCCGTCTTGGGTCATTTCCTAATCCAGTAGTGACCCATTTGCTTCAAATTGATATCGCAACACACAACAACAAACTTTAAAACATAAGGGCGTTTTTGTCATTTCACATTCTATCTACCGGCTACCATGTTCGTTTAAAACCCTGCGAGGCTAACAAGTTGCAACTCTTTGATGTGGATTCTGCGTTTTCATCTCTCTGATGAACTCATTCGCTGAAAGACAGTACACTTTCTTGCAACATACGAGCTGCCTTCTCCCAAAGTACTTACCGGAGGCCCTTGCATCCTTTGCATCAGGGGATTTAGTGAAAGAGAAACTGTCAGCCTCTTTGGCATTCATTCTTGATGTAGAACAGCTCGCCGAGAAGGCAGAGGAGCAGTTGGAGCGCCGAAAGCGCAAAAGCACAATCCATTCTCTATGTTTGAGTTCGAGCTTCGATTTGGGCTCATGACCCGCAGTTTCCCACTCCTTTATTGTGTTTCTTGGGTGAAACCAAAACAACATAAAACATAAGATTGAAACTTTATTTTTATTTTCCCTTTGCTGATCTCAGGTTACCTGGAGGATTTCGTCATCTTTGATGATTACAGTAGAAATGTAGTTAATTCTGTTCCAAAGAAAGAAAGAAATGTAGTTAATTCTGTTCAATTGGATCACGGTTTGTCTGGTAGATTTATATAACTGGTATCCGGGCTCCGGCTGGTTTTGTAAGGTAATATCCCAAACTGGATGTCTGACTGATATGAATATTTACAAAAGTTGCTCATTGCTTTGTAGGTGTCTGCTCTTTCTCACAGCATTGGAGTGATACACTGCAGATTCTTCGAAAACTGTTTCTATAACTTCAGTGGTAGCCATGAGCCTGACCCATCTTTAAGATGTTGACTTCCTTCACCTCATGAGATCAACATGCAATAACAGTCAGAGTCTTCTGCAAGGTACATGAATTTTCTGACCAGTAGCTGATGGCTGGGGAAGGAACTTGGAATTGCATTTGCGCATATGCTTTTGATGCCTACTTGTTCCGGCAAGACTTTGCCATGGCAATGATCAAGCTTTCAGACCTCCAAGTCTTGACAACACCAATGGGTCAGATCCGGCTCAATTGTTCAAAAGTGGTGTGATGGATAGTTCCAAGTATTATATGCTTGATTTGTTTTTTTATTCTTGTTGTTTTCTCATAGTTTGAGTTTCCAGAATAGGACATGGCTCTAGATACTTGTCGAGACCTTAGAGATGGTTTTAAATTGTCTAAGAAGTCAGTTTAATTCCTCACTGTTCTAATTTTTTAAAAAAAAAAAAAAAAAAAAAAAATAAAATTCCTGATTCGACTAATTCAAGTTCATATTGAGCTGCAGTGAAACACTTATCTAATCACAGGGGAAAAGTAAATGCAGGTTTTCATTGATGAACAGGCTCTAATGTTGAGTGAGTGCAAAGATGCTTGAAAAGGAAATATCCTATACATGACATTTTGAAGCAAGTCATGGCTACAAATTATTGTTATTACAGAAAACCTGTGCTGCTTGCAATTAAGTATATTCATGGAAGAAGGCAACTAATGCCAGTGCCTATGGGGTCACAAGACAGACTCAAACAAACAGTATTGGATTCAGAAAGGTGTACAAGCCTTGCAAAGTGAAAATAAAAACCAAAACACACACACAAACAATGGGGAGTTACACACAAAGTGGAAAAGGAAACAAAATGGGGAAAGAACAACAGATCTATATGCACAAGGAATAAATCACCAACACATTCATCTACAACCTAATTGAGCCAAGTCTCTGTGATCCAAGTCTCCTCTTTGAATTGTTGATGTTGATAGACGCCGGTGGAACAGAGAAGTCCGAGTACATATCCAAGAAGAACTTATCAACAATGTCAACGTATACCGGACTTTTGAGGCGAGAGTAGTAATGAAGTGCCTCTTCTACATCCAGCACTTGTTCTACATCACTGGTATCCACCATTTCGAATTCCTTCATCCTTTTAGCTAAGCTTCCTCCATTCATGCTCAGCAAAGATGACTGAACTTCTTTTTTTCCCAGATGATGAGAACTTCCCATCTGCTTCTTTTGCTTTAATCCCCCTTCTTGTTTGCTCTTCTTAGGACTCTGCTTTGAAAAATCCAGAAAGCTCCCATTACATGCATCATCTTCCTTTGTTGGTTCTTTTGAAGCACTATCTCTCTTGTTTGCCTTATTTAGAGTAGACTCCCAGTCATCATAAAAATCAGTGTAGAACTGATCTGTTTGGTGATATTTCGGGTCTCTCCCACAATAGAAGGGATTGAAGGAAAGGGTTTTGGGCAATTTCTTGTATCCACCAAAGAAGAAGGACTTGAGGTTTCCAAGAGTTTTGTGAAAGAAGTTTTTGCTGTTATGAATGGTTTCTTGTAGCACCATTGCTGGCTCTACTAAAGTATAGCAAGGCTAGTTGTTCCTCTCTTTCCCTCACTGCCTCAGTCTACAAGAACAGACAAAACCCTAATCTGTTTTGGCTTCAAATCTGTCCTCTTCTGAAATTGCTTCAATGTAACAGATGAGAGAGATTAGACAGTTCAAGCTCCTTAAGATTCATAAACAATGAAATCTAAAGACAAAACTTACTTATGTTCTCTCTCTCTCTCTCTCTCAAGCTAGTGACTTAACTGATAACATGATCATAGATCAGAAGGCCTGGCTTATTAATTTATGACTTTGAGCAAATTAAAGTTTGTCAATAGTTTAATGGAGACACATTCAAGATATTCAAAAGACACCAAAAAGTAGATTACCAGATTGCGGACGTTGGGGTCCAATTATACCATTTTTTGTTTTTGACTAGTTGTTGTATAAAGTGCAGTGGCATTGATTAAGATGCAAAGCTAAAGCCTAAAGGCAGTGGTGCTGTAATTTAATAAGGTTAAAGGTAGTGGATTGGTGAACGCAAAAATTAATTGTTGTTAAAAACAAAACAAAAAAAATAAAAAATTGAATGTGTTGCCTAAATTTTGACCCATGTGGCCCATAGACCCCAATGGTCCTGTTTGATCATTAGAGATGTCTGCCCCACAGTCATAACTCATAACATAAGAAATTAATATGACATTGTGGGTGCCAAAACCATTCTAGAAGTACACACTAGCAGCAGGCCTTGTAGGTCAAGAGTCAACTAGTTCTGATTAGCAAAATAATTTGGGATTAGGTGCCCCTTAAAAACAAAATTAATTTGAATTAATTGGACTAATCACAATTCCCATTATATTAAAAGGAGCTGCCTGGTCCCCTTCTGCAAGGCTGCTGCCATGTTCTGCTGCTGATATCAGGATAAGGTGCATTTGGAATTCTGCACACTCAAGTCACTTTCTCACAATTGCCATTAAAAACAAACCTCCCTCCATCCTCATATACTTTAAAATCTGTTGCAGTTTGCAGAGGAATGGTAAATGGTAAATGATGTTAGCCTTGTTTATATAACTCAACGCACAAGATTGTGACTTCAGAATGACAAGTTAGGTCTGGTCATTAATGAGCCACCTTCCAGGCTGCAAGAAGACCCCAACTCTTCACAACTTCTGTAATCACATATGTTTAGGCTTGTTTTTGTGGCAGGGTTTTGCTTGTCTTATTTGTCAATTCAATGTAACTATTGTAGATCCTTCTTGAGAGAAGAATGAATCAGGAAGAATTTTTCCTCTTGACATCCAACCATTTCATCGTATCAAACGTATTATGAGATTATCACATCAAATCATTCTTTACAATCCTATCAAACATATACTTTTTTAATATTTGTATTTGCTTGTTTTCTTTTGTTTTGTTTCAGCACCACTACTACTCCTATAGCTGCTGAGGCCCACCCAACTAAAAAGAACATGAAAATACAACTAATGCATGGCTTTACCTGCATTATGCAATCAAGTGAATACATAGCTTTATAAGATTTACTGAGCTATAGATTCTTGCTTCTCTTCTCAATCTCAGCTACTTCCTCCAGATAACTTATTGCTGCAACCATCTCTTCTTGTTATGTTTGAAGAACTGATGCAACATTCTATGAACTTCACCATAATCAGTTGAAGCAACGAAGCGATCCTTTATCCACTGAGGAAGCTTGCTAGTTGGATGGCAAAAATTCCGTTTGGAGGAATCAGATGCGTACCGTGTGTCGACTAGTAAAATTGCTGCATAGTCATTTATATGCCGGATTGCTCTACCTAATACAGTCAAGGAAAAATCCCATGTCAAGACAATTGAATGAGAAACTGACTTCAAAATATGTTTATATCAGTAACAAAAAAGATGATCATAGAACTGCAGCTACATGGATGGCATACAAAAGGGGGCTGGCCAGCATTTGAAGAACTTGATAGTGAGAATATTTGGAGAATCATGTATGGATGGGCATTAGATTTCCTGGTTCCGCCTTAACCTTATTCTAGATTATTCATGCATAGTTTCAATAAAACATCTTTAAGGTTGGTCAGGCTTCATGTTTTTGAAAAATATTTAAAATTGTAAAACCACATACCAATGGACTGATTAACAGCTTTCATGCATAGATTCTCATAATATTCTTTTCCTCTGCGTCTGCAACTTCTGAGGACGTTAAACCCTGCATGTACTTCTTCACTGCACAGTTCATTACCAAGTGAAAGATTTGGTGTCTTAGTGGAATCTGAATCTCCCAACCCTTCAATATACTTCACCCTCTCCATTAACTCAATATCAGAAGGGCTAGCATAGGGCAGTCCAACCATGACTATACACCGGCCCATCCCATCACTTAAGTTGATGCCTTCTGATATCTTACCACCAACGACAGCAAGAAGCATTGCACCACTTTGAGAAGGATTTTCTTTCCGCTCCCCAGAAGACAATGTATCAATTGTTTCCTTGTATTCCTTGAGAACAGATTCTACATATGTATTCTTTCTAGGCTCTCTAAATAGACGCTTCTTCTTCTTAATCCTTTCAAGGATGCCTGAAGCCTCCCAGGCATCATAAACTTGCCCTTCATAATCAAATGAGGAGAAGAAGACAACAATTCCCTCAGGAACCACTGTCACCAAATTACAAAGCAATTGCCCTAGTTCCTGTATCTGTAAATCCAAGCCCATCAACTTAAATAGTCAGCCACCATGTATAATGAACACCAAAAAAAGCAATAAGCAGAAAAAGGGTGCAACTGTACTTGACATAAAAAATAATATTTCCACTGGGCTTGAACTGTGTATTATATTTTCAAAACAAAATATGAGAATTAATGGTGATAAATACAATAATGACATAGTAATGACTTCATCCGAAAATGCTCAAAAGAGAGTAGTTTCCATAAATATATTCAGATAAGATTGCAATATACTTGCCATGATTGATGACCTTCTGGAGCTGTAGCTAAAATCAAAAGTGTGACCAGAAGGGCCACGGGAAACTGCAACTGGCAAAATGCTCTCCGGGGGAACAATGTGACTACATGAAAAGAATTGCAACTGGCCCGGTGGTAACCAAGGGAAGAGTCGCTCCCTTGTTTCTTCTATAGGTTGCAGAGTTCCCCCAGCCAGTACCACGGAATGTGCTTGATCTACAATCTGTGTAAGGTTGAGAGTTAATGTTTCATAACTAGGACATGAATACTAGGCTATGAAAACAAGCTATGTCAGAATAAGCAATTTTTGGCAAACCTCAGAAAAAATCTTATCCCCAGTGAGCATAACATATTTTATATATCGTCCTTCCTCTCTAGAGCATGTTGTACTAGTCCTTGAGATGATAATCCTCCCATCACCATCTTTATTTGTCAGTGATAGCAAAAAATTTGCTAAAGCTTGGAAACTGGACAGAGTGCTTCCGTCTTCACCGCCACTAAGTGCCAAATTTTTTTGAAAGCTAGCTACTTTATCGCCATACCCACTAACCTGGCACACCAAGTACATTTTAACCTATAGATCATGGAAAGAGATGGGAAGAGTAGCACCAGGTAACAATATACAATGGGAAGAAGGATTCACCTTGTGCATGATGTTGCTTTCCTTTATATACTGAAGCAATTTGACCAAGTTGATGTTGTCTACATTGCAGGAAAATAAAAAATCATTAATGGCCATAGAGGAAGTAGACGTCCCACTTGCTCCAGAACCCTTTTCAGTATCACGGAAGGAATCTCCATAACTTCTATCATCTTTGTGAAACACTTGGCGGAAAGCCCGAGTGAGTACCATGAGAGTTTGGATATATCTACGATTACCAGGTCCCAATACATTGCAAAATCTTTCAAAGTACTTCTCGATGTGGCTGTGCACATCCTCCAGCTGTAAAGAAGTCAGGAGAACTGCTAAGATGTCAAATTACAATTTGTATCGAAAACCTATACTATCAACACCGGAAGCTTACTTGGTGGCACAAATTAAGGTTCTAACCTTGGACGGTGCTAACCTTACACTATACATAGTGAAGACTACAGAATGCTACATTATGTTAAAGTTGTCTTCTATTCTATCGTTGGATCAGATAATTTGATAGATTTAGACAAGCAGTCAGAAGCACCCAAACTAGTTATATGAATGAAAAAGAAAGATAATCCAGTAGCTTTCAAGTTATTAGCTCAATAAAAGCTCATAATTTGATTACCTGCGACAAAGTGATTCTTGAGTCATACATGCTGATTAAGGAGTCAGCAAGATTGTGAGCCTCATCTATAATAACGATATTATTCTTTAAATTGAGCCCAAGTGACTCGCGAGATGCTTTTGAAAGTAGAGATTGATACGGTAGAACCACCAGATCAGCAACAGTAACCATGCTTCGGGAGCCATAATATGGACAAGTCCTCATGTTTTTTCCAAGATGAACAAGATCTTCAATATCCAAGGCACCTTGTTGAGACATCATGCTCCTGAATTCCTTTTGTAGTTTATGTTTTCTAAGCATTGGGCAGCCACAAGAAGCCTTGTTCCTGCGAATCCTTCCTCCTGCACCCACATTCTGCAGATCAATATTATCATCAGTCAAGAGAAACCCTTAACACAGAATGAGCTGAGAATGCTGTAGATCATATGGACATATGGCGCTTGATGGCTGGTGACCTTTAAATCAAGAAGAAAAGATTGCACTTGAGCCAAGATGTATACTTAGTTTTAAAAATTATTAATCCATGCCCTGATATACATGGAGGTCATTTCATTATTGATAAGAAACAGACCACCAGATCCGTTAGGTCTGTTGACCCACTTAAGTACTTCCAATTTATTCTTAGCCAAGAGCTATATTCTTAAGAAATTGGTTGAACACATTGGTGCACGATCATATGTAGACAATTCAACATGATTAGATATTCACATTTACAAAAAAAAACCTATTCAATTAGATCATGTGTCTGTTCTGGCATTGGCATAAAGCATGCAGCACAGGGTAAAACAGGTCATCTGCTATATATCATGCATTTCTTATAAAAATAAATATATGATCATGCATTTCTTATGAAAAATATATATGGCCATGCATTTCTTATCAATAATGCATACGGACATGCATTTGTTACTTAGCTTAGCAGGCAAAGTGCAGATTTATCGTTGGGCATCCAAAGAGCCAGATGCTGGATTAGAGAGCTAGAACCATATAGTGATATCAAATAATGGTATATGGTGATAATTGAGTACATACTTCGACCACAGAATGTAAGGTTAAATGGTTCTAAAACTGAAGGGCTCGTACCAGACAAACAAATTATTTTTTCTCAAACAATATTGGGGGAAGAGGATTCGAACTCACAACCTCAAGTAGTCATGTGTAGGGGTAAATGAAATCAGATAGGCAAACCATAACAGAAGGATTGATTAGAAGGAATAAGCACTAATGATCTTTAGTTACAAAAATAATTAGATATCATCTATCTATCCAGAGAAATCCAATTCTGTAGTTGGACAAATGTCCCGAGGCCAGTAAAACAAATTAAATCAAGTGTATGAATTATAACTAATGAGACTTTAAATGGATATATTTGTTACCTTGATTTTGGAAACTTCCTTATTCTTGTTTCTTTGAAGTTCCAAACAGCGTTCATTAATGCGAGTTGAGTTTCCAAGTTTCAATACATCTGAAACCATGGCCCAGAAGAAGGTAAACGCCATTCAAATTGAAATCTAATAATTCAATGATATGTTCCATACCTTCGTTGATGCAGAAGTTCCTCCTAGAGCCCAAACAGACCACCTTCATCTCATTAGCAAAGACAGTCTTCTTTAACTCCTTTATGAACTGTGAAAGCTGTGAATGTGTTCGGCTACAAAAATAAACCTGCAGCTTCTCGCCCTCCTCATATTCATCATCACCAGACCCATCTTCTTCATCTTCCTCGCTTGATGAACTAAGGGAAACCCCAGCAACCTTCCTCTTTGACTTCCCACCACCCAGATTCCCTTCCTCTTCACTTTCATAATCTTCCACCAAAAAATCTTCATCACTCAACTCCACAGCATCATTGCTCATTTGCAAATTGTTTCCCTCTTTCTTTGTGCAAGGCTCCTCCTCAACACTCCGCGAGAACAAATCTCTACAATTTTCATGGTTCCTTCTCTTATCGACCCTTCGAAATCCAATCCCAAACTTCTCCTTCATTTTAGTCTTCATCTCCTCACTCTGCTTGTCTTTGTTAATGACAGCATTTCTCATCCAATCCGGTTCATCATCTGAGTCAACTTGACCATCTTTTGCACCATTACGATCAGATTCAATCCTATCTTCAGTCTTCTGTTGTTGCCTCCTATCAACCACCCATTGCAAAGCACTACAAATGATACTGAGAGTTTTTCCAGTCCCTATTGAAGTACAATAATTTCAAATCAAACCCAATAGAATAAGAAAAGGGAAGTTTTGGACAAAAAGTAGGGAAAAAAAGAAGGAAAAGTATTGAAATTAAAGTTTGTCGGTAATTGTAACTTCAAACTACTTCAACTCTAAAGTATGCAAATTCTTGTTTTTATTTGGTTCTCTCCATTGTCCTAGCAGTCAAAAATGCCTACAAGCAACCAAATCAAAAGGTTTTCCCATTCCTTTGAACTTGATAAACAGTAATAATCTTGAATCTTAGTTCATCTATGCCATAAATTAAAAAAAACTCTATGTGACAATAAGTGGTGGATGCCTAAAAAATGCAAGCATATAAAATGAGGGTTTTTCAATCAAAGTCGTAAGCTTGAATCTTCAATAATGGAGAAAAATATGCCTAAAAGGAAGAGTCCTATAGTATAGAGATTGAGCGGTGAGCTATGACTTGCCTGTGGGGCTTTCGAGCATGGAAAGACCTCCTTTGTTGAGAGAGTGATAGAGGGCGTTCATGAAATCGATCTGTATGGCGTAGGGTTTGTACGGAAATGCTGGAAAGTTTGGGGCTTCCTCCCCTTTTTCTTTTTTCTCTTCCATTTTCGTCTTCCTCTCTGCTTTTCTTCTTCGACTTTTTAGAGAGCTGGATTGCTTTGCTCTGGTAGCTCTCTCCCTCTCTCTCTCTCTCTACTCTCGAGCTCGACTCTGTAGACCTCTGTTTCGCGCGCTTTCACTTCACTCCCGCGAGGACCAAAAAATGGGCCTTTCCAATTGGGCCATTTTGTTTTAATTTTTTTTTAGGAAGAATTAGGCCATTTGTCTAATTAATTCCTCTTTTTTCTTTATTTAATTTTTTGTTAATGAAAATAAATTTTATCCTTACATACTTCACAATGTGATCTTCCAAAATAAATTTTGTATCACATATTTCACTTATTAATGAAACATGATCATGACCCAAGAAATTATAAGTGTGAATGATCATCTAAAGTAAACTTGGCAAATATATAATTAATTGACTAGATCAAGTTAACAATGAACGCATATTTTTCTTTTTGCTTTTTTTATACAAGTGATATTGGTAAGGGGAGATTCGAATATAAGACCTCGATTGCAAAGACTACTCTTAACAACTTGAGTTACGAGTCTTTTACACGTGTTTTGATTCTCAAGCCCAGCATTAAAAAAAATTCTTCTTTCTCCTTTGGTGTATTGGAGGCCAAAGGCCCAAAACAGAGGAAACAGGAAGACACATAGGCCACAGAGTCAGGCCCATATCTACACTCAAAGCCCAGGCCAACAAATACCATCATTATTCAGCTACGAAGTTCGACTTACCCTAAAACCCTCATTCGCTTTCATATATATATTCACCCTCTCCGCCGCTCACTTCTTTAGCCTGAACACCTCCATCTCACAAGCTAGGGTTTTCTCTGCGCTCCAATGGTACCTCTTTCTCACTCCTTTGCTCTCTATGTATTCTGTTATACTGGGTTTTGGTAGATCACCATGTTTACGTGAACTGATCGGGTTTTTTTTTTCTTCTGTGGGAATGAAACAAATGGACACAGGGGAAGGGAACAGGGAGTTTTGGTAAGAGGAGGAACAAGACCCACACCCTCTGCGTGAGGTGTGGACGTCGCAGCTTCCACTTGCAGAAGAGTCGCTGCTCGGCTTGTGCCTTTCCTGCTGCTCGCAAGAGGAAGTGTATGTCTTCAAACCACTTTTATTACCTACATAATCTATCTCTATTGGTCATAATATGAATCTGGTAGATGATTTGTTGATGTGCTTTGCATTTTTGTTGGGATTTTTGAATAACCAGAAAATGAATTTTTCATTTTGAAGATGATTTTCCAGGAAAATGTTTCCTTTTTATGATTTTTGCTTCTGGGTTTGTTTTTATGCTTTGTGTTGTTTTTTGTTGGTATTAAAAAAAAATAGACAACTGGAGTGTTAAGGCCATCCGAAGGAAGACCACTGGAACTGGAAGGATGAGGTATCTGCGCAATGTTCCTCGCAGATTCAAGAGTGGCTTCAGAGAAGGTATCAGTCAGATCATGTTTCTATTGTTAGATGTTGATGGCATTGCTCTATTTGTAGTTCTTCATTTGTTTGTTTTGTGCCTATATTGATTTTCTCATTTGTTTTTTGAACAGGTACTGAAGCTGCACCAAGGAAGAAGGGAGCAGCAGCAACTGCTTAAGCTTTCCAATGAGTGATTTTGAATGTCATTTGGGGTACCCAATTATAGCTTTAGAAAGCGATTTTATGAGTTTGGACAAGTTCTATATGAGCTTTGTTTTTGTTTTTGATGGATGTTATAACTTTTATTGTTTTAATTGGGATCTTCCTTTCCTTTTAATAGTAGTTGCTTTCAGTTTGTGACAAGAATGAATGAGCCTCATGTTGCCTTTTCTAATTATTGTTTTAATGATGTCTAAGATTTTGTTGGGTTTTGGTTGGTTTCTGGGACTAGACTGAGCAATGAGTTAGATTTTCTAGTTCATTATAGGTTATATTGGTTTTATGATATGTAAGTTTGCCCATGAATGCCAGGCTAACGACTTTAGTGATAGTCAAACTTAATTTACACGCACGACATTGTTCATATCCAGTTGGGTCATGGAATTAGTATGATATGATATGGAGATGTAGTTGTGTGCAGGGTTGCAGTCATAGTTACTGTCTTTTTGATTCAGATGCTGTCTACTATATAAATGCAGATATGCTTAATGTTAATGAGCTACGAACGCTAAAACTTGGGACGGAATAAACGTACCCGTAGATGTTTGCATGTGAATTGGTTCTGTAACTTCTGTTACTGTCAACTAGGTAGTGTGATTATGCAGGTTTAGTTTATTAACGTAGTGTTGATAAAAGCTACTTTGAATTTCGCCCTTCTCATATCATTGTGAAAAAGGACAGCATTGGTAAATGATTGGCTAAAAGTCACTTTTGGTCCCTGTAGTTTAGCACTTAAATTACCTTTGACCTTATACTTTCAATTTCGTCAATCTTGATCCTATAGATTCGTATTTGTAGCAATTCAAGGACAAGTTAGTATTTTTGTCAATTTCTTTGACGGTGCAATGGGCAATTTCATCAACCCAAAATCCTTGAGCATAAAAGCTCATATGAAACTCTCCTAATTTCATATTAGGGCATCAACTCAAAATCCTTGAGCATAAAAGCTCATCTGAAACTCTCCTAATTTCATATTAGGACTTTAAATTGGTCATTTGGTTTTAGGGTTCTTCAAAAATTGGAATTAGTTGTTGAATTTTGAGCCCTATTTTGAAATGGGGAGAATTTGAGACTAGTTTTTTCGCTCAAGAGTTTTGGGTTGATGAAATTGCTTTTTGCATTGTTAAAGTAATTGACAAGAACACTAATATGTCCTTGAATTGCTACAAATATAAAACTACAATGGCAAATTGACGAAATTGAAACTAAAGTGGTTGAAGTGTCAAATTATAATGACCAAAAGTGACTTTTGGCCTAAATGATTTAGCATCGCACTTTAATCAGTAGGATCTTGATTACATGAGTAAATGCTTCAAATCACTTGAGTTACAACTTAAGAGTCCCTTTCAACACCCCATTAGTTTGCTAAATCAGTTTTTTCCATGGGATTGTAAACTATGGTTTCATGGTGACCGTAAGAAATATTCGAAATGGTGCCTAAATATCCTCTTGTAATGAGGGTGTGCACAACATATTCATGTACCTTGCTGGTACTTGAATAAACGTCACTATTTTTTATGTGGAACATCTGAAATATGAAATTTCTTGATCTGTTAAGTCGGTGCAATAAATGTAAATGTCCATTTGGTCAAATGAGTAGTCGGAAAACTAAAGGAGATAAAAAAGATTGAGTCCTGAATCAGGCCGAAAAGAACAAAGAGTAGTTTCTGAATATGAGGTATTGTATATTTGCACTAATCTCAAGATTTACAATGAATTTCCTCAAGATGCTATAACTAAAGAGCTACTTACAAAATTCAGACAAGAATGACTTGATTCTCTTGATGCCAATACAAATGAAAGGCAACAAAGTCGGTTGCATAAAAACCAAACCAGACCACAGAATCGTGTTGCCAGGCTATGCTCCAAATGAGGAAGAAACTATGCAGAGCAATGGTTCTTACTTGATCTCAAAATCTATCGTGAAATAGAATGACCCGCTATTGCGCTTTAAACTCGCCAAATCTATGCTTTTCTTCATGCAACTGCTTAAACACATAATCCAGCTCTGGAAATGCCGACATAAGTAGCAGCTCCAGAAGGTCATAAGCCAGTTGTTTCAAACAAACAGATGACTATTCAAAGAAGAAAAGAAGCTGTTACAACTCTCTAAAAGAATCCAGATAAGAAAATACAAGAAGCATCCTTAACCTTCTAAAAAACAATAATTACCTGAAGAAAGTAATATAGATCCTTGGCGCATTTGTCATACTCTCTACTACCAACCAGACCGACAATAGCTGCAGGTGCATTATCTGCATTTAGAACCAGAAAATTTGAGCATGTTATTGACGGTCCCAATAGACACAGGTATGAATTAAATATACTGCTGCCAAATGCAGAAAATAATAGGGTTTTGCAGAACAAGGTAATACCAATCATTAGTCATAAACCAACTTTGCACGTCGATCTGCCTCCTGTTTCTGCTGCTCATCAAATCTAGGTGGTGATATTTCTGTAGGTTTCTGGCCCTGAGGTGAATTCTGTGCTTGGTTGGTGGATGGTGGTCTTCGCTTTGGATGCTTGGTTATAAATATTCCATCAGGCCATAGTATCTATCAAAGACAAGTAATCAATTAACACCAGCATCTAAGTCTTCCGTTTTAAAACTATCAGAGTTAATTTTCAATAGTAGCATTTTCAATTCTGGTTTGGGGTTTTTTTATTTTTAATCAAAGATAGAGAAAGGAAAATCGAAGAATAATAAAACGACATGATAACACAATGAGAAAATGGATATGGAACAGTCCATAAAATAAAAACCGAAACTATATTAAATTTTTTTGTTTTGTTTTAGTTTTATGTAGTTTTTCTTTTCTTGGTTTTAGTTTCACGTGATCTCCCTCATTTCTTCTTGATCATATCTCTCATATCTCACCCCTCTCCCTCTTCTATCCCATATATTTTTCCTCTCTAACTTCAAAATAACATAAAGTTATAAAACGAGCCCTCATTAAATCATTAATAGAATTCAAAATCAGCTTGCTAAGGGCCCTTTTTAATTTTACCTTTTTTTTTTTTTTTTTTTTTTTTTTTTTTTTTTTTTTTGGTTTTATTTTTTTTCAATCGAAATAAGGAACAAGAAAGATGATGGAGTGGGGAGGAGAGGAGTAAATACATATACAGTGTGTTTTCCAAATAAAAACTCTAAATAGTTTTCAATAGTTTTTAATTTTTTAGTTTAATAGTTTTAGTTCTATGCACTCTACTTCTTTTCTTATTCACCTCTCATCTCTCAACTTCATTTCTCCATTCTTCAAAACATTTCCCCTCTCTTTCTTTAACTGAAAACAAAAAACAAGAACCTTATCGAATGAAGCCTCTCAAGATTAGATGTGAGCCCACATAATCACTTAGCATTCCATATATTATAGAGCCCATCTCTCCCCTAAAACAAATGTTAAATTCTGTAGCATTGGCCACACAGCAAATGCCATCACCAACTTCTTTACATTTGAACTACGTCAGTTTTAAGCAATTCTCTTACATTCTATAAGTAAAATGCAATCTGCATTAATTTCCCTCGCCATGACAATAACTACAAACAGAATAAACTAACAAAATGCAAAAATAAACTTGTAAACCTTCTAAAGCACCTAATTTCAATCTATTAGACATAATAAATAAGTACATGTGAGCTTACAAAACTCATTGGACTAAAAGGAAGTAAATGGCGCCAAAACGTACCTGCTCAACTCGCTTGATCCCAGAAGCCACCACCCATCCCTTACGCAAAAGCTGGATTTTCTCTATTAACCAGTCATCAAAGGCATCACCCATCCCTAGCTGTAGTATTTGTTTGGCCACCCAGAAAGCCTTCCGCCTAAAGTTTCAGAAGATAAAAATGGCTCAACTCAATATCACAATGCAACATAAGGGCACAGTTCTGCAATCATATACAAAATACCTGATCCATCCACCATCTTGGAGCTGAAAAATGACATCCACCAAATCTAAGATAGGAACACTTAAATTTGGAGGCACCCACTGCATCAACCAAGTATGTGTTTAGCACATACAAGCCATATCGCATCATCGTTAAGTAAAATAATTCTAAAATTACTGCTATAAATCCTCTTCGAAGTCTAGAATCTCTAGAAATATCAGAAAATGAAACCTGAGAAAACAAATTGCGAGTTTTACCTCTGTAGGAAGGGTAGGGTCTGTATCAGTATCAACAAACAATTCAATTTCTTTTTCGTCTCTTCCTTGTATGGTCTTACCCAAGTTTGTGAGAGAAGATGCATCTTTTCTTCCTCTAGTATCTGAATCAGTGGCACCAAGTGACTTTCCAAAATCGTTACCAGAATTTTTGACTGGAGAAGAAGAGCCTTTTGTGTTCACTCTTAACCCATCTGCCACAACATTATTCTTCAATTGTAAAGCAGAATCCTTAACTCTGGTGCCTATAGGTTCCCTCTTCAAGGAAAACGGATCAGTCACAGGCCCACCAAAATTTGAAACCTGTTTACTCTTTTCAGATGGCTTATCATCTAGGTTAACTAGAAAATTCCAAATGAAAACGGGAAATTAGAATGAGTAAGAAAAAGGAAAAGCGACCAATAAATTCAAAACTAGGCATTTAACTGATTTACCTGACAGTGTTTTGATTATAGAAAAGGAATTTGTAAATACATAAGTCTGCATTTGAAAGATATAAAGTGATAAGTGCTCCTCCCAAATTTACGAACATCATAACCACCTCCCCTGTAATCAAAATCAGTAAGAAGAGAAAATTACTGAACCTGGGAGTCGACACTTAGGAAATCCCAAACTTCAATGGATCCTGAAACTGTTGGAAGCTGCATAAGCTCCTGAGAAACAACGATAAAAGTTAACAAATGATTAAAGGCTTAAGACAATATTATTCTTATCCAGAGCAGCAAGAAAAGGGGGATTGAGTTGTTAACCTTTACATATTTGTCAAGCAATATGCATCGTTCTTGAATGACAGCTAAATCCAAACCAGTTGACAGAAAATGCTTTGGAGGCAAATGTAGGTTGTACTCGGGAAACTCTTTTAGACGCCGATGTAGCTCCTCAAAATGACGAAATCTGTAGGGAGATACGCATAATGTTGAGTTACCAAAGCAAAGGTACAATGGAAAATATAGACCTCATCTTCTTGACATGTGAGAAAATTACAGAAGATATCACTAAAGGATGAAGCATAAATTTAGAGCACAATGTTACCACCTTCTTTTAATTGACCAACTATTATTATTTACATCAGTAACAGATATGGAATATACGGCAAATGTTTTTGAGTCACTCTTCACAATATTTGCACCCAATACCTGCAACAGAAAATGGGTTTACAACTTTGCATCTATGAACATATCAGAAAACAAAATTAAGCGTGCATAATCAAGACAAACTGGTAAGATCTAAGGTAAGTACCTCACATTTCAACTTGAAAAAAGAATCCACTGCCATAGAATTTTTCATGGAATTAAAAGTCAGACTTTGACTACCAGCAAAAGATAGAGAAGTTGCAGATGAAGAAGTGGCTGCCCCACTGTTAACTCTACCCAAACCTTCAATGTCAGAATCATCGCTGGAATCCTCAATGTTTACATGTCCTTTTGGTGAATTAAGTATGTCCTGTCCATCTCCAGACAAGAAGCTTGTTCTCTCAACCTCTTGCCAAACGGGTACTTTCTTATTGCTTGGTCTAGATCTTTTCTGGCCAGACTGGGCTTTAGGCAATCTTTGAAAGTGAAGATTTCCTTTACCAGTCCTTTTCGTAATAAGGCGTTCTGAATTTTCAAGTGGGTGATGAATGTGAGACAATGGCATATTTCTATTACTTTTACCATCCCAAACTTTAGTTCCAGGAGAATCAAGACCTGTTACACTGTCTGTCTCTTCATCTTCAGAAGTATAAGAAGTACTGCTTCCTGAATCAACCTCCTCCAACCGCATGTGGTTGTGTTCATCATCTCCTTGATATGAAGCAACTGGAGAGTGATTTGGTAAATTTTGAGCTCCAGGGTGGAAAGCATTTTCTACCTTCAACTGAGTGGTACATCCAGTGTGAGAAGTGCTTCTCTCAGAAAAATTGAGCTTAGATACAATTTCCTTGTCTTTGGGCCTAGATTTTTCCATAATATGGTCCACTGTAACTGACTTCCCTCCAGAAGACTGCTCAATTATCAGATTTTCACCTTCCTTCTTTTTGTAATTTCTCCCTTTTGCCCACATGTTTTCGAAATTTTCAGGAGCAAGGGCTTGAGTCTTTCTGCGAGACATTAGATCTAACATATGTCCCCATTCTCCTCCCGAGTGGTTCCGTTCTATACCTCTTTCAATGCTATTTTGGGAGTTCATTGGCAATGAGCTCCATGAACGGGAAGACTGAGTATCAACCTTAAGCAGTGGATCTTTTGATCCATTCGCATTTTCTGTCACAGGTGTCTCCACAGAAGTTCTGGATTGGCCGTTTTTTAATTGCACAAGTTCAACACCAGTAACAGAAGGATCTAAGAACCTAGAAAAGTGATCAGATGAAATCTTCGAAGGGCCCTCTGGTTTGGATCGAGATTCCTCTTGTACCGCAGTAACACTTTTGGCCTCAGTCATTTTTATGACCAACAATTCAATTCTTTCATTAATAAACCTATCACCAAAAAAGTAGAGGAGAAATGATACAGTAGTAATGCAGAAAGAAACATAAAGCAAACGAGAAGGAATGGATACCTTGGACTAGCCAAGTTTAAGACAGGTCGCATTACTGCACAAGCAAGAAGCTCTCTGACAATATAACGGAAGAGAGAGCACTGCAAATCTTCAGGCTTGAATGTAAAAGAAATAAGGCCATCCATCAGATGCTGCAAGACCTGCAGATGAATGGTACATAAAACATGGTCACCACAAATGAGAAAGCAGATAATATATAGAGGAACCATAACTTAATTTTTCCAGGTAAGAAAGATTTACAGATTGACTAAGCAAAAATTAAAGAGCAGAAAGTAAACAACCTTGTGCTCAGATTCTGCAGAAAATAAAGCAGGATGCAATTTGTTTGCAGCAGCCAAGACAAGTCTCAATTCCATATCTCGTTTTTCAATTGTCAGCAATCCTGATTGTTGTTTTTCAATCTTTGCTTGTGCTACGCGGAAAAGCTCCAAGTGAGTGCATATGAGATTAATAAGATCCCTGCACCATCATAAACATTAGATCTTCAGTAATCATTCAATTAGTCCTTTACAGCACCCTGTTGAACATGTTATTAACCAGAACCTTGTGAGAAGATCAATTAGATTTATATTCCTCATGCGTCCTGAAATTTCCCCAAGAACACCATTCACGATGCACGCCAGTTCTTCTGGACCTTGTCTATCTGGTGTTAGACGAGAATACCAAAGATCTGTCACAAACTCAGAAACCAGATGCCGGGTGAAGTGATCTATAGCTTCCTCAACAACAGGAGAATTGACTTTCCTTCTCCACTCGGATTTTTGACTAGTGTTAGGCCATTGAATAGGTTTTTTTTGGGAAGTAGCACTTGCCAAGGATGGTCTGCTGTTGTATGCTGCAGCTTTTCTTCGCATATCGTAATCTAGTGAGAAGTAACGAAGGATGACAATCAAGAAGGCAGCAGCAGGCAAGTTGATCCAGACAGAGGAGCTTGTCACTGAAATTAAAACAAGAACAATAAGCCACACCTCAAGGAAAGAAAAAACATGAACATCATAGACGGCAAGAAGGTCTGTTACCCTCCATCACAATGCTGGCTTCTAACACAAGTAATAAATAGTGGACACGAAACAACTGAAGCATGCCATCTACAACTAGATAGAACCAGAATACTAGATTTTCAAGGCCAAATATGTAACCCTTAACCTATAAAATTAAGATACATCATCAAGTGGGTGGTACTGGGAGATGAATAAAACTAACAAATTAGCTCAAGTAATTGCATGCACAAGGAAAAGGTGATCGCTTGCTTATTTGAATTGAAGTATGTTTTATTCAAAGCCTTGCCAACAAAATTAACAGGCGAAATAATAAATTAGATATTAAAGTAGTGGATACCAAAAGAGCTAATTAAACACCCCTCCCTCCCCCTCCCTCTGCTTAGCTCAATTAAAAAAGGTTCATATCTGTTTGCTGTGCAATGCACATTAACACAGTGATCATCACACAGACTATAATTCAACAATGCAAATTCAATCTGAAATTGATCATAAACAAAATTAAAACCCAATTTATACCCAATTGTAATAAGTCTTAAAACAAAACAAAAAACCCAGAAAAAAAAATAAAAAAAAATAAAAGGAGAGGAAGAGAACAAGAAGAGCTTACAAGACATGAGGTATGATAAGCCAATGACGCAAATGGCGAGAAAGACAATCCGCTTCTTGGCTTCCTCAACGAGGTCCCGGATGGGCACTTGCTGCCTCTGCGTGCTCATTTCCAATCAAACCCAGAAACCCAAATCAATTCCTCAATTAAGCAATACTAGTCTCTCGGATCATATCCACGGCAGGCTCGAATACCCAGAACAAATCCAATGGGTTGCATTACGAGGACACGGCGATCGACGAGTGAATGAGGACTGGTGTGTGTTTGGTTGCAAGGAAAATGAGAAATGGAAGTGACGGAAAGCAAGAGGCGAGAAAAGTAAGACGGTGATTCGAAGGCCTTGGGTTCAACGCGAGGACCGTTAGGTTTCGATGTTCATCTTTGCTTTGCTCTGCTCTGCTTGCGTGGGGCTTTTATTCTTTTTTGTTTTTCTCTTTTCTGTGTGCGTTTTTTTTTCCTTTCTTTGTTTCTTCTGTCACTTTCTCTTCTTACGCACTCGTTTTATTGTGATGTATATATGATGAGTCTTGCCTGTCAAGATGTGTTTTAGATTTCTGGGTTTGGGAATTTCAACTGCCACGACACTGTTGTCAAAAATATAGATTCTGGGTTTCTGCGGGGTAAAACCATAAATTTAAATTCCTATCTTTTCCTAATATAAATTACATATCTCTATCTAACTGTAGAAATGGTTCTTGAATTTGTGCTCGATTCGCATTTTAGTCATTAAACATTCAATTCGCATTTTATGAGTAATAGTCCTTAAACTTATACATGGTGTACATTTTAGTCATCCAACTCGGATAGTAACTCTAATAATTCTCAACATCATCTTCTCTCTCACTAGTCTAGTCCAATCATCATAATTTGCTAAATTTTCCATCAAATCGAAGGGTAATATGGTTATTTTATATCGTTTTTACGTCCCACCATATTCCTCCCAAAATCATTGCGATTCTCGACAAATTCAAGGACCAAAATGCAAATCAGACACAAATTCAAGGACTATTACTCTTAAAAACCCATTATTTAAAAACCAATAATTATAATTTATTTTGATTTTGATTTTATAAAAAATAAATAAAAATCTCCTACAATTATATTAGTTACAACGTGATTATTTTCGATACAATTCATAGGTTGACAGGTTGGGTTATAGTGTCCACAAATGCTAGTCACATACCCCTAATAGAGCTGGTGGTATGCAAACGTGATATGCCCAGCAATGCTCCTCCTATCGTTCATTTCTTTGTTACCATAACAATTCAAATTTAGGATCTTTTTAAATTCATTATACATAATATAAACATTTTAGTTTGAGAGATAAAAATGTACAAAGTAAATGAGGTGATAAAATTGGGTATGAATGCGGTAAGAGAGCAATGAATTTAGTTAGCGTGTGTTATTTATGAATATTTTTAAGCAAGAGTTTGTACACCACAATCATACGCACAGCAAAAACTAGTCTTTCATAATGCGAGGCGTGAAAGGAAAAATCAACTTCAATATATATGGTCATCAATAATAATACAACCAAATTACTCCAAACTTTGTTCCGCTAATTAATGTCCTTTCAATCCCTATTCATTTTTGTCTGGTTGCCAGCTCCCCATTGTGAATTATGTTGTCCTTCGATTCAATTTTACTAAAGAAGTAATGTATCAAAATATAATATGGGTATAAAAAAAGAAAAAACAATAAACATATTATTTACATAAAATAAAATCCCTACGTTTACGAATCAAACTCTAGGAAAGGTTTCTGCTTTTATAATCGGAATATATTTCACTGTGTCTACAACACTCATCACGCTAATATACCAAAAAAATTAAAACTAGAGAAATAAAGGTACTTACACATGGCTTTCAAGTCGGCTAGATCGGCCCAATAACGAACCCTATGTCAATGGGTTTAAATATTTTCAATACAACTTCCAAATCGCATACTTGGTAATTGTTTACAAAAGAAAAGTAAAAGAGAAAATGACTGCCCGCATTTAATTATTTTTGGATTTACAAATTTTACATCACCATAGGGTAGGGATATAAGAATTTATCACATTTTTGGTGTTTTCATAGTAGTTCAGCTTGTTGAAGAATACACGAGTCCCACATCGGAAACTTAACAAAATAGAAAATCTCATATAATAAATGGTTTCACTCCTAATAATATTGAGGCATTTTGTATAAAATTGCATACCTGCTAAACAGGTGGTTAAGTTGATGACAATATCGATGTTGCTAGTGGTGGGTTAAGGGTCCGTCCCTATGAAATCTTAACACAGCTGTCCATTCGAAATTAATTTCCAATTGCCAGCATATAAATTGAACACGAAGTCTTTCCCTCCATCTCATCAAAGTAATGTCCCTATCTGTCCATAACGTACAGGTGGATAATTGCCTATGGTAGTAATTCCCATGCATGCCATGCATACACACTTTTCTTTTTTCTTTGTCGTTCTAATCAAATTGAATTATGTGCTGCGTTCTTATGTTTGTTGTTGAAACTTTTGAGTAAACAACATGTCACTAAAAATGAAACCCGTGGGCCATGCATGCTACTTTTGAGATTACCATGAGGGAACCATGCATGCTACAATTCCATTTCTATCTCAATTACCATAAGGGAACCATGCATAGTAAGTGAGATGTCAATAACTCTCGGGCGCTCGTAAGGGACTTGTAGTTTAATGGTTAGCATTTATTATGTTCTGAACTTGAGGTATTCGGTTTGATTTCTCTCTCTCTCTCATAATATCGCTTGTATAAATAAAAAAAACTCTTGACGCTTATGTGTTTGTGGCAGTGGGAGAGACCATAGATTGCTAATAATTGATCAACAGTAAGTAACCACTAAGGAAGATTTATCCCTTTCTCTTTAATTGAAATGAAGTAACCACAAGTAAACTATAAAGGTAGAAGAACAATTTATATAATATTTGTTGCTGACGACATTTCCTCTATCCAGTGAACAAGAATATGGCATTGAAATTCGTAAAAATATATCAATACGTTTTGTTGACAACAATGATGTCGACATATTATCTAGTATTATCAACAATCCAATCTTTTCATTAGAATTCGGGCGCCCTATGTCTATGTGCGGGGAAAATAATTGGAGAAGGTTCGAGTTCTCAATCTACACATCAATTTCTACATACATATAACTTGGAGATAGGGGTGTTTGTTCCTCAACGTGAAGTTGTGGTCAAACTTAAATTTTGGCACGATTAGCCAGGTGACTCATTTTGTAGATAAGACTTTGAATTTTGGGTGTAGAAGTTTTATGGACAAACTCAACCAACTTCGGAGTCGGGATCTCTATCTTTCATGACTCACAAACCATAGAAGCCCATGGGCTATATATTTTGGTTACAGCTAGGTAGGCTCACTTAGCCCAGCCCAGGAGTCGATATGCAAGTTGAATTCCGTAATAATAATAAAAAGATGTTATTGGCACTCCGAAATAATCATAATTTATCATTCTCATGCAATATTCAATAACAGCTTTCTATAAAAATGAGATCAAAGCGATAAAAAAATGAGTGCATATGACTATTTTGGAGTGTTAATAACAGCTTCCGATAAAAACATGACTTGCACACACTTCACTAGTAAGAACACTTTTCATTTGATCACTTGCTTATGACAGCATAGTATTAGTATGACAATGACTTACTTCGTGAGTCAGCGGCCTCATTTGCTTAGTGGTATAGTTATACGTGGATAATGGCCTTCCATTTGCATAAAATGACAGAAAAATGCCTTCCACGCCTATTAAAATTAGCAGAGGAATTTGTCAAATTATTCCTTCACACTCCTTCTAGCAGCAATAGCTAGCAAACCGAATATTTTTCAATTTCAATCGAGCTCTCCTAACTAATTACATATAAGAAATTAAAGAAATAAAAAGTTTATTATATTTCTGAAACCTCTCAGAGGTGGTGGTGGCACCTAAGGGTGTGCAAGTGGTGCCATCGCACAAGGCCCCTGATTTTTTAGAGCCACCGATTTTTTTTATGTGTATAATAATATATGTATATATTAACAAATATTATATATATATATATAGCGAGCAAATTTTTGACACAAAGACGTTTCTAGTTGTGTTGGTTTACAGGGCCTCAACTTCTATTTAGAGCACAAATTCAAAACCCGCTTTTGTAGATCATTAGTTTTTGTTTTTTTTTTTTTGGTTTTTTTTTTTTTTTTTTTTTTTTTTTTTTAACAATTAATAATCATAATAATAAAAAAGGAAAACACGTTATTTTCTATAAGTAATAATCACCTCTCTTGGCTCTCTTTTTTAATCCTTTGATAATTTTTTATTTATCAATTTCAAGGATTTCAACACAAAAAATTGACCAAAAAAATTCATAAATGTCACTCAAAAGCAAATAGTCATATTTAAATCTAAATTCAAATCAAATATGTATCTAAATTTCAATTTATATATACTAAATGCCTTACTTCATTATCATGTTGATTGGTTATATAATGAAAGATGACTTAATTTTTAATTTGTATGCTAATTGATGATGATTTTTACTTTAAGAAAATCTTGAGGCAATCTTGAGGATTTTTGCACAGTGCACTCGAGTTCGATTCACGTAAAAGACAATCTTGAGGCAACCCAATATAATACTCTCCCATTTCCCTCCCTATCGAATGACAAAAATAAAATAAAAAAGATCAAATTGCAAAAAGTAGTATAAAAATTATAGTTGAAAATTTATTACGTACATGACCAGTAAAATTTCTTTAAAGAACATAATCATATGCAAATGCGACCTATCTAGCAGCAAAATCACCATAATGACAATAAGGGTCAAATTAAAATTTTGGCTTGTTTTTTTGAAACTGATTGTTTTTGTTGAAAGATAAAAACTGCTATGCTATATGTCAATCACATAATGTTGCAACCACTATTTAAAGCAGCTTGTCCGATGTCAACACTAACATTCAATATCCCAGCTACTTTCACAACCACATACTGAAATAATAAATACCCGATCACAAGGAATTAGTCAATAATTATGTAGGCAAAGGTCATGCTCCCTATTCTTTATTTAAAATTTAGCTAAAAACACACAAAAGTTATTTTAGGAAC